CCCCATTCTATTCTTGATGTTCTACTGATTTGTCGTCGTGCCACCTCCTCCCCACTCACCTCATGCAACTGAGCACAGCGACTGCACATCAAGGCTATAGCTACAGGGGGTTCAGACCAACACAATACAATGTGGATGCGGAAACTTTGCATGACGCCTCTCAAGCAGGAACGCCCGAGTCAGACTGTGCAGGAACTTGCCCATCTCCAATCCGGCATGGGGGTCATCCCAATCGTATCGGTGGCCATACAGGAGTAGTACAGTAGTATTCCATCAGCCTGAGTCCATTCGAAGCATCATGATAGGAAATCTGGCGACCAAATGCAGGACTGGCATTCCAAAATCGCCTTTTGTGGGCGGGTTGAGTGAGGCCTTTTGGACGGCGGTATAAAGGAGTCCATAGGGGAGTTTGCAGACGTGTGGAAACACCACAGGATGGAGGTACTGTCGACCACGAAACACGTATCAGTTTCTCGGATGCACGACGGCAGAGGCCGACACGCCAAGGTCACATCATCGCACCAAAGCCAGGCAGTATTGAATTACTGCTTCTGGACGATGACGCTGTTGGGGATACATCGGTACCGACATGCAGACAGGCGGCTATCGCTAGACTAGCGGGGTGTCACCGGAGGGGGGATGGCGTCGCCCATAGCGTTGTTGGGCGGCTGTGCTCACCGGACTGACGGAGCATGGGTTTAATGACAAATGATGGGTTGGTCTTGACTCGCGGCGACATGCAGAGTCACGGTTTCAAATCAGACCGTTCAACCGACCGGAGCCACCTCGCGAACCGTCGACCTCGAACAAAGAAAGATTCGCCTGAAGGGCATCGAGAGAACGGCCGATCGACATGAATTGGGATGCATCGGCGCAGTCGCCATTGCCCAAGCCCCTTCTCCGTCCTCCATCCTTCAGCGCCGGGGATGTCCAGCCCATCACCACAAAGTACGGGTGAAAGGGTCACTGATTGGTGGACGGGCAGACAAGTTGTGGCCACAGCGGCCACGTTCCACCCTGGTCGGGCGGCCCTGGCGGATCATTGGCCGTGGATGGGGCCAGGATCGGGACGCAACCTGCACGACATGACTCGTAACCGGCCGCCAGAATGTGATGATGGGCCAAGGCACGGACTCCCTCGGGTAATCCCTCCCCGCTGCCCGAGTATTACCCATCTACGAGTGCGCGGGTCTGGCGAGGTGCAGGGCGCCTCGCTTCCATGGGATGAAGTGCTTTAGTCCATGACGGAACGCTTTAGGAAGGAGTCGGCCTCGGCCAGGCCGACACTCACGTGATGGGACCGCACTGCGGCTACGCGACTAACGCCAGGCTACTTCGTCCGGTGGCGTCGTGATTGGCCTGACGAGAGTTTGAGGAGATGAAAGGTGGAACCATCCCCAAACAAAGACCCGGGGGTCGTCCGGTTGTTAGCGCCCTGGTGCCATGTTGATCAGATCTGCACGGACGCGGGAGCGCTCGCCCATTGAGGCTACAGGATGCAGGAGAGGCGAGGCGAAAACAAAGAAAACGGAACTAGCAGCGCTAACGGACCAAAGATCCCCGGGTGGACTCGCGACGATACTCAGAAGAGAAATGAGCGCGAGGGAGAAAGGAGAAAATACGACCAGGGTCGTTGCTACAGCCTAAGCCCAGTGTTGGGAGGCTTGCGCAAGCGGTCGTGCTCGATTACCTCGCTTTCTCCTGTACGGTTGGGTTGGCCGTGTTGGCCGTGTTGGCCGTGCCTGTTGGCCTATTTGATTGCAGATTCCATTTCTTTCTAGAATTCGGCGGTTCTTGGGGGGGGGGTCAGCAATGAGCTCGGGAGCTTGGAGCTTGGAGCTTGGAGCTTGAGCTTGGAGCTTGAGCTTGGAGCTATGCGATCTCGAGGAAGTACGGTACCGTCGTGTTGTACGGAGTACAGGACCGCCTGTAAGGAACGGACCGGTAATGAGACACGGGTCTGGGACCCATTTTGGTCATGGGCCGAAACGATCGGCCGAATTTACCTGAAGAAAATCGTCGTGTTCAGGGCACGGACGGGTAAATTTCGGTCCAAAATTAGAGGGGAAAAAAATACGGTCTGCGCTCAGGGTCAGACTACTCAACCGTTGCCCGCAATTAGGCACTGCAGATGACCGACGATCTACCAGCCGCTGATCAGGCGGCGCCAAAGAAAAAAGCGCCCCTAAAGGAGTAAAGAAGAAAAGGAGCTGATGCTTGACATCACGCGGGACATTCATCGACTTGCTACGGACGCCAGGACCGTACAATAGTCGAGTCATGCAGCGATGAATGAACCGGATGATCCAACGTAATACCATAATACTATAGGTGGAGCGAGCCGATTCTCGACTCTAGACTCCATGTCTCTGGGGGTAATTCTTTCTTTTCTTCAAGGGTGGTGTGGAGATGGGCGGAGCAGCGAGCAAGAGGGGATATGGGGCTACATTGCCCGTGGTGGAAGCTGGCAATTGTTGCCTGTGCTCCCGGGTGTTGCCGATAGATAAGGAGCCTCGCCCAGTGGAGTGCCCGTTTTCCCCAATCATCCCCCGCGTCGGCCGCGCCAAATGTGCCCATCGCCTCAGCCATGGTTTGCTCCATCTCGGAGACAGGACCAGATACCGGGACTAGCACGGTCTCCAGATGGGCCCTGACTCGGTCGCCCTCCGGATGCGACATCAAGGCCTTGGTTCCCCTGGGTATTCGAGAGCCATCGACCGCATGGAAATCAGTGGATGGGATGACTCGTGCGAACCGGATCTATGGACTCGTGGGTTTGGCGGTAAACTGTCACATTACATGGTTCCCTCTGTCAGGAGGGTACCAAAACCCAGAAAAGCAGATGCGTTGGCAGATGCAAAATGCTTTCTGCATCTGAGGCCAAATTGAGCCCGCATTAGCTCGTCTCCCCCATTCGCCCTTGCGGCCCAGGGCCACGGCGGACGTCGCAACAGGTGACGGTTTGTAGTCCAATAGACGCGGCGCGTTTGTGTTGGTTTTTTTGGCTTTGTTGGCTGCATGCCTCGAGGTGTATGACTCGGCAGAACGCTGAATACTCGAGACGAAAGGGGACCCTGACGTCTGGGTCAGAGTCCCCCCGAACCAGACCCGAGCCAAGCCACGCTGGGCCCTCCGATGAGTCGCTCACATCGCGAAGACGGACTAACTCGCGGGTAAATTGAAACATTGATCTAAAACAGAAAATGCACGCGAGTCCACGCTCTGATTTCCGCATGATTATTTCAGAGGGCCGCTGGGATTGGCTCGCATGGTTCCCCAATCTGATCCCTGTCCCATCGCCTGCGCGACTCCATCAGTGTTGGAGCTGGCCTATCAACCAGGGCCGATGAACGGGTGCGGCCGACCATTGCGTTGCCGTGATTCTTCTCGTTTCTTTTTTTATGCTTTCCTTTTCTTCCAATACACCCTGTAACCCTGTACGGCTGCTATGTGCCGTCAGGTATCCTCCGGACCTGTTGGACCGTCCGAGCGACGGTCCAGAAAGTACATCGCACCGGAGCACGTAATCTTTCAACTCGTGTGTGTTCATGTTCATATACGACAGGCGCGTCCCCACAATTTGTCATTCGCAAACTTTAGAACCCGCGCTACAAATGCAAAAGACTAAAAGGTCGGTAACGCGCCTGTAATTTTGGATGTGGATTCCCCCGCGCTGCCCCATTACCCGTATCTGACTGAAACAGGTTCCATGAAAAAAAACTTGGGCAATCGGAATTAGGAAATTGAGATGTTCGAAAGAGGGATCGGCCCCCGTCGAAAGGGCTAACCCATCGCGCTGAAGTCATTACTGCGGGACCAACAAGCTGCGGTCGAGATTGCCGCGCCTCTTTGAGACAAGGGGGGGGAAAAAAAAAAGAAAAAAGAAAAAAAAAGAGAAAGGGCAAAATCATATACTCACCAAATCACCGTAGCAATATCCTCGTAACTTGGTTGAAAATAAGTGACCAAATACCACCGAGGAACCAGAAATTATCCGATTCCACGCATCGCTCGCGCCGCACTGGTGGCCGAGTCTGCCTTTCCTTTCACACCGAGCAGACTGTGTGGAACGCCTTGGGTGATCGCCGCCAGTCAACGACCCTGTCTGCACAGAATTTTGAGATATCAATTTAAACAGTGGCGACATGATTCAACTGTCTGCACGTCCAGCATCCAGAACCACCGGGCACGGAGCCCCCAGTCCGGTTCACCGGTCTCCATCGCCCACACCCTACCACACTTTTACCTCTCTGGGGGTGGACCCGAACGCTCCTTGAATGCCCGTAGAGGCGAGGCACATCCACTCGCGGGCTACAGAGCTGGTTCATGCTTGCGCCCCCTCTGGAGGGATCTCCTCCCCTCCCTCTCCGACCACATAAGCCCCCTCTCCCCTGTTAGCCCCAAGGAGCCTTGTGTATCCGCGGTACAACTCTCATACAGGGGGCCAAAGGAGCGACAAACCAGCCCGACCCGGGCAATCGGTACAGTGCACCCAACAGCGCTGTTAGCTTGGAGTCATTTTCGGTATTTTCTTTTTTCCCATTTAAGCCCGTGTCTCCAGGTGATCTGCCACGGCTAGAATTCTTTCGATCTATAAACCTCGCTTCCCTTCTTCCCTAGCCGGATCTTATACTACACTCTCCGTCACCCACCATCAATCAACACCCCCTCTAATCTCTCCGATCTTAATCTCTCTTTTATACCTCCCACCTAGGTCTTCCTCTTCCTCTCTCATCGTACTCTAAAATCCATTGCGGGGGAGAGCACATCACGTATATGCGACCCGTTCGCCTGTTGCACATCACTGAAGAACAAGGATCATCACTCTCACAACACCTTCTTCGCCCCAGAGTATCGTGAGGATCTATCAATCCATCCAAAAAACAAAGAGAGTCCAAGGGGGGACCGCATCATTCATCAACATATCAACCACCTGATCCCTTCCCACCCCGATCTCGACACTGGGACAAGCAAGAGGCAGAAGACGCCCATCCACAACCATGGAGGCTCGCACAGAAACATACCATCACCAGCGACCATCAGCACGGCAAGGCCAGATGAAGATTGACTCGCTGCTGAACCCACCCTCGGCGGACAGCGGCGCGGACGAGTACAGCGGCTCGCCTTACAAGCCGCACGCGACGATGTCATCCTCGTCGCACGGCGGCGGCTACGCACATTCGCCAGGCAACCCACCATCTCCCAACCAGTACTGGTACGGACGATATCAGGGCTACCATGACACCAGCCCGGGCGCCGCATCCACCGCCACGACGCACGCCAGCAGTGGCAGCGGCGGCAGCATGAACGCACACCACCAGAGCCAGCCATCCGGGGGCAACCACCGCCACATGTTCCTGTCCTACCGGCCGACGAACAGGTCAGCACACTCGTCGCCGGACCCGTACCACCCACGCGAGCGGTACGACTCGGTCTCATCCAGCTCCAGCAACAACGGCAACGACCGGCGGCGGCCCCCGCGGCCCAAGTATGAGGAAGAGGAGATGTACTTCATCTGGTACCACCGCGTGGACCTGTGCCAGGAGTGGAAGGAGGTGCGCGAGAGCTTCAACCAGCAGTTCCCCAGCCGGCAACGGCGCGGGTTCCAGGGCATCCAGTGCAAGTTCTACCGCTTCATCAAGGAGAAGAAGTGCCCGACGCTGCGGGAGCAGCGGCGCATGCGGGATGGCGAGTTCATGCGCGAGGGTGCGTCGATGGGGGCGGAGTCGGGGGCGCCGCGGTTTGGCGTCAGGGAGTGGGCGAATGTGTGGTATCCGTGGATGCGCGAGGCCCAGGACACGGTGATGAGCCAGCCGCGCCCGTCGACGTGATCCGTGATCCGTGATCCATGACCATGACCATGATGGTGATCCATGATCTCTTTTTCATTGTTCTTGTTCTTGTTCTTGTTCTTGTTCTTGTTCTTGTTCTTGTTCTTGTTCTTGTTCTGTTCCTATAATATTGGCTGGAGGCTCTTTGTCATTTCCGTTTTACAAGATACCTCAAGGGAGTTTGATTTCCTTTTGCGGCGGGATTCGTTATTCGTTATTCGTTATTCGTTCGCCTGTCTTTGAACACTTTGGGTTTAGGAGGTTATCTGCTTGTTTTGTTCGCCTTTGGCGTTTTCTTTTGTTTTTTGGCCTGCTGGGAGGGGTTTTTGGCATTTGGATTGCGTTGCCCTTTCTACCTTATGTCTTTCTACTATATCTACCAGTACAGTCGAATGCTGCATTGTCATGATCTGAGCGTGATCAACTTGTTCGTCAGAAATACCTACCTCTCCTTGAACCATTTCCCATGGCATCCCTCTCCTACGCGTACATTCTACATCTACATTCCCGCCCTACACTGTTTCCTCGGGTTCAAAGTTCAAGGTTCAACGAAGCTAACACTGCCCACCCAGGCAGATCAGCGTGCGGGTCGATATCGAGTCTCGCCAATGCCGCTGCAGTATGACGGCCGTCAATCAGCCTTGCCAGTCACGCAGCAGGCCTGAACAAAGCGGAAAATAATCAAAACGGCCTCCAAAAGCCAGTGAGGAATCAAATCGTGATCAGCGAAGCTCCTACGCTCTTCAAACCTCTCGCTAGCTACGCTCCCGATACAAGAAAAACCCCTGCTCCAGCCTGCCGGTGATCGCGGCTGCCCGAATTCATCCAACGAGCAAGTCCGCGTATTTCCGTTGGAGGCTGGAGTGGCCTGGCCCACACTAGACTGTGAAAGTACGAGACAAACTCGGGGTGGCTTCGTGGGCTGCGACTCGCCAATCCTTCACGCGGCCCTCGGCCACGTCCCGCTTGTGGAGTTGTTGGATGAGGCAGCGCCCACGAAGGCCTGGGGCCCGGATTTCGTCGATAGGCCCCGCCTGGAGCAATGACTTCCTTGGGGGCCGTGGTGCTGTGTTGGCCCGGGCCGGGGGCCGGGGCCGGGGCTTGGCCGGGGCTTGGCTGGGGCTTGGCTGGGGCAGGGGGGGACGGACCAGGAGGCGAGTGGTGAGTGATATGCGATGTGCGATGTGGGGAGTCGTGCAGAAATCTACCGAAGGATCATGGGTTGCGTCGGGCGCAAAATCCCGCGACTGTCAGAACGCTGACATCCGAGAAGGCCTCATCTCTCGAAATGGACGGAGATGACAATTATCAGTAGGGGCGCGACGGGGGAACTCATCGAAGAAGCAGAAGCCCCGAGGATGCAGCCCTGAAGGATGCAGCCCTGGCTAAATTTACATTTACTGAATGGACTGGATCCTCAGGCCATCTACTGTACAAGTTGCAGTGGATGCCAAATTGCATTAGACCCTATTCCCCTCTGTTCGCCGGGGCCAGACTTCGACAGAGCCGCATGGCAGAGTTCGCGCCAAAGCAGAGCTACACCTAGTGCAGGACATCACCTTCCTGCAGCCGTCAATTGCTGACACGGGTCAGACTGCAGTAGCACGGAGAACAGAACAGGTGGACTCCATCATTGCCGACGTATTACTGGTATGGCCGCAGAATGATTCCTCTTCCGGTCAACTCCACCTCTCCACGGCATCTGTCAGCCTCACTGGATGTAATTAACACCTGCTCACGCCACGCATGGCCATGTGAAGACTGGCACACAAGCTAGGCAGGATAGGCAGGATAGACAGGATAGACAGGATAGGCAATGCGCCGGTTGTGACTAGGCGGCTAGTTCGTCGACACGGACCATTGGCTCGAGCGTTATTGGCTCGAGCGTTAGCCGGAGATTGCTGGAGTTTCCTAGTTCAGGTTCCGCCCGGCCTGAGTCGCGAGTGGCAGAAAGTACGGAGTAACTAGTGTAACGACGGAGTATGCACGGAATAATTCTCGCCTAGTAACGCTGAGTGGGGGTTACTAGTCTGTCGGCTGTTCAGGGATGTGGGGACGCAATTACGAATACACGCCGGTGGAGCTGGCACTGCGATTATGGTCCGCAAGCTACGGAACCATGCTCGGGGCTCTAGCTGGTAGGATGTAACGTTTCCGGACGAACATTCTGGCTGAAGTCGGCATTTGTACGGCGTACTTAAGTTGTCTTAGATGGGTTAGGTTAGCGTCGCGGATGGCGGAAGGCAGTGGCGATGTCGATGGCGATGGCGATGGCGACCGTGCTTGGGCCTGTGGGCGTGGGCGTTCGGGGGCGGTTATTCAAGTCTCTAGTGACTGGCAGCATCAGACCTCTTCTGGCAATCGCGTCTCGGCAGACGACGTTGGTAGGTTCTCAAGACTCATAAAGCAGCCTCGATATTGCGAACCACGCGTGAATCCTTTCGCGCTGCTAACCCCGTAAATGGCAAAAAAGAAAAATTCGCAAAAATGAGACCAAACAAAGGAAGAAAAAAAATTAGAAAAGAGTGTCTCTTCCCAGAAGGCCTCTCAAAAGCAAGACCGGCTCGTGAACGCGGAGGCGTTCATCACGATCGTGCTAGTTTACCCGATGCCATGGCCTACGGGTAGCGCGGGCAGCATCCGGACAAATAAGCTTCGTGGAAATCAGGGCCCGTAACGCCCCTCTTGCTCATTTGGTGGCTAGCGCTGATACTGATCAATTTTTCGGCGACAGGGATTGTGGATTTCGTTGAAGTCATATGAGCGTGTGGATGTACGAGGGATGGACTGCATCCCGATTGTGCCACGAAGGGCCAATTGGGATGGGAGAATTACAGTTTGATGTGATGTACTTGAACTTGCATGCAAACAGTATGACATCGTTGGATGCATCTTTGGCGGGACCGGCACTTACATCTGGAGGAATCTACCGTCATTATGAGTCTGAGAGCGTGGTACTTTTGCAACCATGTTTTCAAAAAGCCAGAGTGAATTGGTTTTGGTTTAAAGCATCTCTCGTGTTATCATATCGGCACATAATGGATCAATCGCTAACTATCCCATATCCCATCTTCGTGCTTTTCCCATTAGCTGCACCCGGAAAGTAGGCTTACAAGCCCCGGCCGCCGTGGCAGCTCCTGGAGGATCAGACAATGGCGACGGCAGATGCCATGGGGTTCGGAACTGTGTTCTGGTGAAAGGCCGTGGCAACCTTGCAACTGTTGATACAAGAACGGGTCAGCATGCTCGTACCCTCGATGTGATCGATGTGATGGTAACCAGAAGCTTATTAACTCACGGATCAGTCATAAACTCGACGGTGCATCCCTCCCAGGACTCGTCCTCGGCCTTCTTCTTGAAGCTCCAACCATCTTCGAGGCTGCAGAAGAAGACGTACATAGAGCTGGCCTGAAGATAACGGTTAGTTACTTGAATCTCACTCAGGCATCAACTTTCGCGTATCATACCTTGTTCTTCTCTGTGTGGGAGACGATCTGGTCAACCTCATACTCCATAGCAAGACCGGTGAGTTCCTGGACCTTGGTAGAGTCCAGGATGCCATCGATACGGACCAGGCGCGAGCCACCAGCCTCAATCATCTTGAGCAGTGCGGGAGGGACCTTCTCACCCCGCGGGGCCGCCTCAACCTTGATGGTCAACGTCTCATCGGGAATCGCGTGGTTCTGGATGCTGATGCCCTTGTTGTGGGCCTCAAGGTACTTCTTGCAATCCATCTCATCGCAAAACTGCACGGTGATCTCCGCCATGTCGGAGCGGAAGGCGCAGTCGACAGGACCCCCGTAAACCAGGCCCAGGATGTCCGAGATGGTCATCCACTCGGGCAAGTCCCTGAAAAGAACACCGCGGGCAGGGTCCGTGCTATAGAAGATGCCCCCACCACTAGCCGTCAGCGCGCGGACATGCGCCATGAACTCCTCGGGGCTGCGGATACCACGGACAGCAGCAGGTTGAGGAGGAGAGAACTCCTTGGCCGCGGAGTTGATGCTGGATGGAGCGTCATGGCTACCCTCGGTGCCTTGCTCGGACTCACTCAGGGACTGTCATAAAATGGAATCTCGTTATCATTTGCGTTGTCTCAGGAATCACTTCATGATCAGGAAACGAAGTGAGAGAAGATGCAGCATAGGCAAGTCGGAGCAACACTATGTTTCCATGAAGTAGGGTGTACCAGCACACCACCAGGTTATCAGGATCTCATACATACCTCTACAACAAGGGGGTTGTCCGAGTAATCCTTGCTTCCAATGCCGTAGCTGATCTTGCGCATGACAGGCTTGGTCTCCTTCAACTCAGCAGGGAACTGTTATGAATGAAACATGGTCAGCACATTCCTTTTCTCAAGACAGGCGTGCACTCCTTGGGACAGATGACGCCTCAACCATCTCATCTTGCTTCAATTTCGGCTAATTGACATCACGTAGTCTGCAAGTACGTGCAGATACATACCTTGTCACAGCTTTTATCGCTCTCGCGGCCCTCACGCCTGCGATTGATGCCATCCACGATGCAGACCAGGCTCTTCGAGTCAGCGTAGATGCTGACCTCCAGATACTGTGGCTCACGGCGGCTCAGGAAGGACGAGACGCTGTCGTAGATGATGTCGCGGATCTCACGACGCTCAGCCAGTAACTTTTCATCGGGAGGCTGTATGGGCAGCACGTTCCCGATAAGAGTCACCATATTTGCGATTGGAATGGAGGAGTAGCAGTGCAGAACAGACAGGCATGTACCCGTGGGGCGGAGATGGTTGGATCACTCAATGTTTGGCAGGAGGATGGGGGAGGAGAGAGGAGGTGTGAGAGATGTTGTGGGCGTCACGTAACGTTACGCGTGTGTTTGATGCCGAGGGCATTGGTTGCCGCCGGCGATGCAGATCCAGCCTTGTAGAGGCAAGAACCAAGGGCTCGTTGCTGTTGGCCATTTTTTCTCGTGGTTCTTTCTTTTTTTATTAATGACAGGTGATGGTGCAGGTACCCGATTTGGAAGGACCTCTGCGAATAGCAGAACAGCAAGCAATAACGGGCACTATGGAAATGTACTCACAATGCGAACATATATGTTAAGCTTTGTTTTTCTAGTATTTTCTTTCCTAGTGTCTTTCTGTCTGGCATGGTACATCTTCAGTATACACCTTGGTATAGTTCTGAAGTCGATAGCAGCGGTATATACGCTGCTGTGCATAAAAAGCGGGGAAACAAGTCATAGCGACGAAGTGGTGCAAGCTAATCGAGAATCTCTACCGAAGGAAGTAGGCTGAAGAGAAGGAAAGAAAGTCTCATAGCATATAAGGAAAGGAAAACACCACAGTCGGGCGGGGCATCATATGTGAGATGTGGAACTTCGCAAAGAAGAGGGCACTGGCTTTTCCATTGAATTTAGTATCCAAAATATCTAAAGACAGCCTTGTCGGAGGGCTCATACTTTGAGATTCCACTGTAGCCTTCGGTACTCTGTATAAGGTGATGGAACTAAACGTGTAACAAAGCGCTGTCAAAATGCATGTGCATTTTAGTATACGTTCTGTGGTAGCCACTTTTACTGCTTGCCGTAAGTCTCAGTAAAGGCAGATAAGGACCAGCATATGCGATAGAAGTAACAGGTTGCGGTCAACTAGGAGTTTTCATTCATGCCCCTCAGTCCCAAATATCCACGTGAACGTGTAGGAGATTTCAACCTTCCAAAGTACTACTCAGAACAGGTCTCACTGAAAATTTATATGGAAGTGGAAATATATCGGAGGGAATAATGGCAAATGAGGCAAGACTTCTACTATAATGGCCCCGGTCTAGCGAGGATCAGACAGACTCTAGACATTTGGGATATTTTATACTTCCGAAATGTCAAACTAGGTGCACAAATAGAGCAGAAGTCTGTTCCGACCGCTACATTTTATTAGGGGAGTATGGCATGACGGGAACCCTCAGTGATATACCCAGATTTATATAGCCATATGCATTTTGGGAGACTTCAAATAGTTACTCCTGGGAAATACCATCTAGGTCTACAAGGTTCCATTTTATCGAAGATTCCGTGCGAGGGCCATAAACGGTTGAAATACGCTTGCCACAGTTATGTAGTTTGTAGTAAAGTGCCACTGCACTTCACAAGTTTGGAGTCGGTGACATGGGAAAAGGTCTGGCATTCTCGGGCTCAGCGTCATCCCTTTGGAAATCCCTTTGGAAATGTCTTTCTGCTTATCTTCCTAAAATCCACTGCAACCTTTTACGAAACCAGAGAATCGGTCATGGATCTCCCGTTCTGTCGCAATACTGAAAACCACCTGGTCACCGATAGAGTGGAGATGTTGAATCTTTGTTGGGGTGTGTGCCTTGCCGATGAGGTCATCTCAGTTGCTTATCCGCGGTTTCGCCCAACTACCTCGCAGCAGATAGACGCCTTCCAGACTCGTCGCAAGATAAGAAATAGGGGATACCTTACGGCCTGTGCCGGAGGTTCCGGGAAGCCCCCAATTTCCCGCCTCGATGGGGGACGCCCAGTGAGACTGGTAGAGTCATCGTACTCCTGGAGTTTCGGGGTCAGTGACGTAGCCGCGACCGGCATGTGCTACTCAGGAGTATCTGGACCGCTGTTCTTCTGCCCTTGACCTGATCATCATATCATTTCACCGCGATTCTCGCCTCTAGGGAATCAATTTCCGTTTCTATAGTCCTCCTCTTCTTACCACCTCCCATCGCTGGGCAAACGAAGCTAGACACTCCTTTCCGCTTTGCCCTTCAGCCCCGCATAAGCCCCTCTCTTTCCACCTCCCCTCTCGCCATGTCGCAATTCAAATTCGTCAATTCCAACGAGCCCGTGCCCGGTAACGGCACCCTACCGCTTGAATTCACAATCACCACCAAGCCCTCGACAGACATCTGGTCCAAGCCTCCGTCGACCAACAGCTTCTCCGCACCAATCCTCTACCAATCCGTCCCGATTCAATCCTTCAAGCGCATACGGGCTGCCTTCAACGCCCTATGGAAGCACCAGTATGACCAGGGTGGCCTGATCCTGATCCTGCGCGGCGCGGACGGGACCCAGAAGTGGGTGAAGACGGGCATCGAGCTGGTCCACGGCAAGCCGCATCTCAGCGTCGTGGCGAAGGACCGCTGGGCGGACTGGAGCTTGCTGCCGGTACCGTCGGGCGGCGGCGCGGCGACGATCGAGATGGTGCGTGAGGCGGACAATAGTCTTTGGATCTACCTGGTCGAGGGCGTGCAGAAGTCACCGATTCGCGAGGTCACCTGGATCTTCCATGAGGATGTGCAGGAGTTCTGGGTCGGGGTTTATGCGGCGCGACCAGGCAGTGAGGGAGGCGAGCTGCCGGTCAACTTTGGACATTTGATTATAGATTTGGCGTGAGTCTGTAGGGAGATTCAGTCTCAGCTCTATGCATGGATGGTCTGGCATATTCGGGGGGTTATCTCCATGAACAGTGTTATAATATGCTGGTCGATGAAATAGTTTTTAATACAGGTGCTTTTAGTCGCAATGGTGTGTGATATCTTGTACAAGGCTCCGATCATTGATGTCTTAGGTAGCGGGCGTTATAAGGAGAAAGAGCAACCGTCGTACATGGCAGATTGTCTATCGTGAGTTCTTCTCCCGTCTCTGATCTACGGACAGGTGAGATGCTGCCCACTGCTGCGGTTGTCATAGGTCATAAGTAGCACGGACTATGGCCGATCCGATGCTAGGCGGCTGATAGGGAGGGTTGATGACGCATGTTTGACCGAATTGCAGCGGGGTTCCCAAAATAGGATGGACCCTTACAGAAGAGGCCGATCTCTGGGCGCCAGCTGATCACAGCGAGATCAACGGGTATGTTCTCTATATTTATTTTCGATGCATCGCATGGATTACCACCCCATATGCAGTGTTTGTCCCACCCAGTATGACAGGATATTCCAGAGATTGATGCCTGCTGCCACTCGGTGCGACTCTCGCCCGCTTGATCTTGGGAGACCGAGACCGTGACCGAATAGCTCCATCCTCCGGAGCAACTGCTCCTGATAATTGATGCTCATCAATCTCACCAATCAGATACACTGGCAAGGAAACCCGGTACCTCAGACTTCAGACTGTCCCACGGCAATCTCCCGATTCGACCCAACCTATAGCTGCCACGTGCCGGATCATGGGACTCCCGCGTCACACCACCGTAACTCGCGTTGTGCCCAGAAAGGCACGGTATGACTGGACTCTTGGACCTTGTCCTTCACATTCCGGTTGACGCTGTGACAGAGGTGGACGACATCGTTTCAATTATCTCCTGTTCTGCACGGAGGACTCCCTTGGAGTCTGCAGGGCCGACCGGAGCAGACACCGAAAAGGAAAGCCCCAGTCATAAATCCCCCCATTAATGGGACCCACTCAGCAAAGACCAAGGATGACTCCTAGCGGTTCCAACTGACGAACCAACGCCCATTCCAGCATCTTATCGATCAATCATATCTGATCAGGCTGCCGTCTTGGCTATTGACTCCCCTGGGTTGACTTGTCTGCAACCTGCGTGTCCAGCCAGTCGTCGAGTACTCCGTACATCCCGCGTACCCGGCGTGTGTGGGCTCGTGGCTCATAATCCACCCCTCCCCGGTGCCTGACGTGAACTGACACCTTGTCATGCTCCACTTCGTCTCCTTGGGCGCGAAGAAACCACCTTTCACCTTTTCCCTTCTATCTGCCTCCGATTCCCGAACCTCCCCGACAAACCAATCCCAGTCATCCGCGCCTCATCTGCTGCGTCACATCTCGATGATCAGCGTCTGACTCAAATTAGACTTGGTGCATCTGCCTGCCGGAATGCTGGAGCGTGCTGAGTTCGGATCGCGATTTACAACTCGTTTCTCGCCTGCAATCCCCGTCGCCGTGCACAAGTGCGACCGACGATCCGACTTGGCTTCATTACTCTGCGTTTCCTTCCAAGGCCGCCAGGGCCACTAAGACCACACGGCTGGACTCGTCCGACTCGGCCTCCTTCCCTTACAGTTGGGCGCTCCTCTCTCATTAGGCCGTTCCCCTCCCCCCCACACGGCCAAGGCTCGACGGACTTCCCTGCGACCCAAGACACGCCAGGCGGATCTACCCATCCGCCGCATCCCCCTCCACCCCCCGCCTGCTGCGAAACCTGCTCCTTTATAGCATAGCCTTTTATGAGTTTATCGACTACCGCGCTTGCCCCCTTTCCTTTTTGACGGGCTCGTTGCTGCGCCGCGCCCCGTATTTTTCCTCGGTGCCGATTTACGATTGTTTTCGTTTGCTGATTACTCACTTGAGATCGCCGGCGCTGATTTGCGGGCCCTGTTTGCCTTGCTTTTTTTCAGCTCTGACGGTGGACCTGACTGGCTCCGGTCGCCTACCCTAAGAGGACCCCTCTACGAGGTGCGCAAGCGGCGTTTAGTCAAGCAGCAGAGTTCCCATCCCCTTTTATGAGATACGCCCGCTTCCTGTCACGCTCATGTTGCATGAACTTTTTTGGATGATCCGGGTGCCGGTTCCTACTTTCGCGAGATCGCCGCCCTTTTCTCTGGACGGTTCTGCCTATTCTAGGATTTTGATCTAGTTCTTATCTGCTGCCTGCGTTCCCGTTCCGGTCTTATATGGACTCATCCGTCAGCCCCGAGTTCTGTGATCGCTTCGTCTCGCCCGACCCTGTTGTGCACGCACCCAGGCCGCGGAGATGCCCCTTCTCGATCCTCGCTCTGGTCCTTCCTACGGTGCTATAGAACAGGAGGTTACCTGCGATATGGATCATGAAGGAGAGCAGTTATTACAGGGTGGGTACGACATGGAGGACGACTCCAGTGGTCTGTCCACGCCTAGCGAGGCGCAGGAGGGAGTGCGGAAAATCGAGGCAATTAACATGACCTGGACGAGACGGTCGTTGATTATTGCCTATGTCAGGTTCGTGTGGCTTGCAGCGGCGCTTTGCCCGATTTCATCATACATCCCTCGGCTGACTTGGCGCAAAGTATATTCCTCATGGCCTTCTGCACGTCATTAGAGGGACAGACGGTGATGTCCCTGTCGGCGTACGCGACAAGTGCGTTCAGTAAGCACTCGTTGATCTCGACGGTGCTCGTCGTTCAGAATGTAGTCAACGGTGAGTGAGGCGGGCTCGCCCACACAGAGCCAAAAAATGAACCGGGAACACAGCCACTAACGTGTCAGCCAGCTGTGATCAAGCCACCAATGGCAAAGGTGGCCGATGTGTTCGGTCGCTTCGAAGCCTTCTGTGTCAGTATTTTGATCTACATCTTGGGCTACATCCAAATGGCCGCGTCCACGAACGTCGAAACCTACGCTTCCGCCCAGATTTTCTATTCCGCCGGCTCGACGGGCTTGCAGATCCTCCAGCAAGTGTTCATCGCCGACAGCAGTGACTTGCTTAACCGTGCTTTCCTGGCCCTGTTGCCGGAGTTCCCGTTCTTGATCACGGTATGGCTCGGTCCCACCATTGCCGATGCCGTTCTGCGGTCCTCATCGTGGCGATGGGGCTACGGCATGTGGGCCATCATTTTGCCGGCAGCTTTCTTGCCGCTTGCGCTCTCATTGCTTCTGAACCAGCGCAAGGCTCGCCGGCTGAACCTGCTCAAGTCACCTCGGCACAAGCGGCAGAGAAGCTTCATCAACGTGGTCAAGCGGACCTGGTATGATCTGGATGTCGGCGGACTGGCCCTGTTATCCGCCGCCGTCACCTTGATCCTCGTGCCGCTGACTCTAGCAGCCCACTCGAAGAATGGATGGAAGAGTACCAGTATCATTGTGATGATGGTCGCCGGTGTGGTCTTTTTATTCTTCCTACCATTCTGGGAGGGCTCGAAGAAACTGGCGCCAAAACCCTTGCTCTCCCTGCATCTTCTCCGCCAGCGAACTGCTCTCGCGGGTTGCGCGTTGGCGTTCTGGTACTTCAGTAAGTCCTTTGCTTTATATGGCCCCATGCAAGACGGTATGCGCTGACCACTTCTCCCAGTGGCATTCTACTTCTCCGTTCAACCATACCTGTACTCTTATCTCCAGGTCGTCCAGGGCTATGACGTTGCCACTGCTGGTCGCGTCACCCAGACCTTTGCCTTTACCTCCACTATCGCTGCATTCACCGTTTCCCTCCTCATTAAATATACCCGGCGATACCGCGTGTTCGTGACCATCGGATGCGTCATTTACATGGCCGGTCTGGCCTTCATGTTCCTAGGCCGCGGCGAAGGCGCTTCCCACGCACAAGTCCTCGGTGCCCAGATCCTGGTCGGCTGCGGCGGCGGTCTTCTCAACGTGCCCGTCCAGCTCGGCGTGCAAGCCTCTGCGAGCCACCAGGAGGTCGCCGCCGCAACCGCGATGTTCCTGACCTCAATGGAGATGGGCGGCGCCGTGGGCGCAGCCATCTCGGGCGCGATCTGGTCTTCTTCCATTCCCAAGAAGCTCATGCAGTACCTGCCGGACGAGACCAAGTCCGAAGCGGGTGAGATCTTCGGCAAGCTGACCACAGCGCTGTCGTACCCGATGGGATCGCCCACGCGTGATGCGATCAACCGCTCCTATCAGGAGACCATGAACCGGCTCCTGACGCTGGCCTTGCTTGTGACGCTGCCGCTCATCCCGCTCAGCTTGATCATGGAGAACTATAAGCTCGATAAGGTGAGCACTCCACATGCACGAACACGCTGGAGATATCCATCCCGCCATCTGGTGAGAATGTTTTGCTAACCTCGCCCCCAGATGAGCCCCAACAGCCACGACCACGACACGAATCCCTCATCCCTTGTCGAGGCAGAGCCCGACTCCGAGGATCCAGATCACAAGCGGACCTAAGCACCCCAACCGGGTGCCCGCGGCCGCCGCACACAAGTGCTACGACTGTATGAACTGCGCCCTGCGTCTACCATTTTGGATTCATCCCCCTATCTCCCGTCTCATTTACTGCGCGGCATGTTTCCAAGCACATTGCAGCCGACTGGCAAGCCGGCTGTCGATTTTTCCCTGCAAGCCTACATCTTCCCGTCTCTGATTACTTCCGGTCTCCTCTTCCCTGCTCTGCTTGCCTGATCTACGTGTTCGTATCTGCCACGAAGCTCCCGAGTCCGGATCAGGCTCGGGATCTTCCTTTCTCTCTTCCATTGCATATGGCGTTATTTGTTTCTGTAGACCCATCTACCGGAGACGGTGAAGGTCGCAGGCCCCTATCTCGCTCTGGTTCTGAACCCTGGTTTCGGTTCTGGCTCTTATAGACTGGCTTGCCCCGGACTCGAAATGAAATTTAGTGAACCTTTTCCGCTGGCTCGATTCTCATCTCGGCTATACCCACTGCTACGTAGGACTCGCATAGAGGATTCCAAGACGTCCTTTTTCCTTTACATGCCTCGGAAATGCGTCTGGCCGGGTGCAAAGGCTTGGACTTTGGCGCTGGTGGGTATTCTAGATGCCAGCCTGAAAGGAAACTTGCGCTGCTGGCGCTGCGGTACCGGCTAGGATTTCAATCGAGGCGCTGGAGTCGGGTAGTGGTAGTGGGGATGGGGCTGCTGCTGATGGGGGAAATCTACGGGGTGCTGCTGCGATGGCACACGGCATCGACACCCTGGTCTGCTCCGTCAGGTTCAATTGTTCGTCTGACGTGCGGAGCGAGGAGTGGGCATGTCGCTCACGTATCAACCTGTTGGCCCTCCAGGCTCTCCAGACTCTCTAGACTCTCTACCACTCGGATCCTGCAGAGCACGCGATGCCTACAGACGCATCTCCGGTCTCCCATCACATCCGCCCAACCCCAACCAGCTGTCAATCCGCCCTGCAGAGAGACCCGAATCCTCACCCGTTCCCCCTCCCAAGGACAAAATCAAACCATACACCCCCGACGCACCCGCGCCGACAGTCGTTCCTACATGACAGCACGCACCGCTGGATCCAACAACAGTCGACCTCTAGCCGCGGGACCAGGGTGGGCATTGAACGCGCCTGTACCTGCATACTGTCTGCATGCAGGGCGACCAGACCTCGTCAGCGCAGCACCGGTCGGGCCCAGGCCCAGACGGCATGGGCCCGTTCGTGCTCTGGACCTGCACTGGGACTTTTTTCTACAATCCCTGGAAGATCCCGCTCAGGGTCCTCGACGCCTGACGTGCAGGGGACCGTGGCCGGCCGGGACCGGGACGGGGACCTGATTCCTCCATACTTCGTGCGGAGATCGTAGGAGCTTCATCACGGGAGTCTCCTATTTGCACATGCGCGGACAGTTGAAACCGCCATGGCTGCCATTAGCCATCGCCGTCTGGGGGCGGTGCCATCAGGGGCGAACGGCAGGTTAGCGTGAGGGCCCTGACCGGCCCGTGACCAAGGGTGGCTTTTTTAGAGCCGTTGGGGCGGGCTTCTGGAAAAATGAAAAGGGGGGCCCATTCAGGGGCGCTCGGGGCGTCTGTTTCGTCCATGATCGGTGATAGGTTATCTGTATCCCTTGGGGCGTGAGGGTTATTCTCGAGTCGTGATCGGGCTCCTCCTCAAGAAATACTCCGAGGGGAGGGAGTATTCGCCGTGGACAAAGCGAGAGGGAGCTATCGCTGGGTCAGGTGGGTTTGTCGGTACCCCCCGGAATTGGGGGGGGTTTTTTGTTTGTTTTTTTGGTTCTTTTAGGGGAAAGGGGAGATATTATTCAATTTCAATATTCAGGGTGATGAGCTGTTTAGTTTAGCTTAGTTCCCAGGCTGGGAGGCCGGGACGTGAGGTATCATCGAATATACGGGCATCAGGGCAGGCGAAAGGGGGAAAGGGGCCGTTGCTCATCTCGGTCATAGGTTATCTGGTCCTAGTGGACTCCACGGCCATCACCGTCACGCCTGTGATACTGGGCTGGGAGAGGTCTGGTGGGATACCCTGGGCGATAGCTGGCAGTTTGGGGGTGTATAGGGAGGCGCGCATGGCGGGAGACGAGAAGCGACTCGGGAATTCATACTTCGTATTGTCATCAAAGAGGAATCCATCGAGATCGAATGAGCAGCAGGTGGAAGCAGAGTGCGGGATACTGGAGATACTGTACGGGCTGTGTATCTCGACCGTCTAGACCCGTGCGGTGGCCCCTTTCACGCGCGGGTGCCGGGCCAGACTAGCACGATCACCGCCGTATCTTACCAGACTGTACCAGCCAGTCTTGCCTCCCTTTTCGTCTCCCACAGTGGCCCACCTTCCTCTTCCTCCACCGCCGCTGCCGCACCTCCAACTTCTGCCTGACCGTGACCTTCACCTTCTGAATCCTACCTCCTCCTGCTGTTCCACCACCACCTCCCCCCTCTTTCCTCCCTCTGGTTCATCCCGGTCAAAAATGGTTGTCGCTACCATCAAGTATGTCCCCTTCCCTCTTCTGCGCCCGCCGTTGCTGCTGCTGCTCCCTGCTGCTGTCTTTGCTGTCTTCTTCCCCTCCTGACTGAGGCCGCGCCTCCACCGCATTATCACCACGAGACCACCCCTCTCTTCTCCCACTGGGCTAACCTCAATTTTGTTGCCTAGGTGTGTCGTGGTGGGTGATGGTGCAGTGGGAAAGACCTGCTTGCTCATCTCGTACACAACCAACAAGTTCCCCTCCGAATATGTCCCCACTGTGTTCGACAACTACGCCGTGACCGTGATGTAAGTCGTGTGCCACCGGGAAAGCCCGCGAAGAGCGAAGCTGCACCAAAGAGAAGAGAAAACACATCCTGACTACGCCCTCCTTTGTCCAAATAGGATCGGCGATGAACCCTACACCCTCGGCCTGTTTGATACCGCTGGCCAGGAGGATTACGATCGTCTCCGCCCACTGTCCTACCCCCAGACCGATGTCTTCCTGGTCTGCTTCTCCGTCACCTCCCCGGCCTCCTTCGAGAACGTGCGCGAAAAGTGGTTCCCGGAGGTTCACCACCACTGCCCCGGGGTCCCCTGCCTCATCGTCGGCACCCAGACCGATTTGCGCGATGACCCCGGTGTCCGGGAGAAGCTGGCCCGTCAGAAGATGCAGCCCATCCGCAAGGAGGATGGGGACCGGATGGCCAAGGATCTTGGTGCCGTCAAATATGTGGAGTGCTCGGCGCTCACACAGTACAAGCTGAAGGATGTCTTTGACGAGGTATGATCTCCGATTTCGATGCGAGGGGAGCATGGCGCTCGAGAGCCGTTGCCCTCCATTTTTGGTTGCTCACCGCTAACTCGACCCCCTCTAACTAGGCTATCGTGGCTGCTCTGGAACCCGCGCCCAAGAAGAAGTCAAGAGGCTGTCGCCTGCTGTGATCTACTCCCCCGTACATTTTTTACAGGTTGGTCTCGGCTCGCGCGTCCTGGCCCATGGCCCGGGATCTATCCCGACGCTCGAGCAGCAGTTAACTGGATTTTGGTTGCCAGATACGACGGAATGAATTTTTGTTTTGATTTTGATTTTGGGAGGCAACCTCTTTGGCTGGACGACTGGGTTTACTGGGATATTCACGAGGAAGGAAGAACATCGGAATGACTTGTTATGAGCTAGCGTCTCGATCTGATCGCAATCCGCCCACGCCATGGCCATACTCCTTCTCGCGTGCTCTCTGCTCATTTTCTCGATCGAGAGCCTGTTTATCGCCGGTTTCCGGATTCCTCCTGCTCGAACAGATCTCCCGGGTCGCTCGCCTATGCCCGGTTTGCTCCTGCACCGTTTTCCTTTTCCTTCTCCTTGGCTTCATCCATCTGTCGCGCCCTCTCCGATGGATCTCGTTCTCGAGTCCATTGTCCCATTTGCCCCCTCCCTTTCCCCCCCGCATTTCATCCTCTCCTTCAATCGACAGAACCCGCGAGTTTGCCCCTTCTCCTGCACTTCTCATGTCCCTCTTCCCCCCGCCTCCGCCATACTCGCCGACCCCTTCCCCGCATCTTCATTCCCCACACCTGCTGTTCACCTCTTTCATCCTCTCTCTCTTTCTCTCTCTCTCTCTCGGCGTTGGATGTCAGGGCGTGTTTTTGGCTGGCCGATGATTTCCGTCCCTATTACCCCGCTATGGTTAACCTCCAATCGACTACTCCTTTTCCCCGATCTGATTCTTCAATTCGTCCCTTCTTCGCCCTGTCGGTGATTGCGCTTCCTTCAAACAGACCCGCGGTTGCCTGAGCTTGCTATTTCTTCCCTTGCCCGCCCTAGCCAGATGCAGCTTTCTCTGCTGCGTCTCCGGCTTCAAATCAAATCCCAACGCTTTGCTGGTTTACGGCTTCTCTGTGATCCCGTCTGATACAAGCACCATATTCGTCATTTCTTCTTGCTGCTGGCCCTTTTATCTTTCTGCGTCGAGTTTGTGCTTATTTCTCGTTCGTTTCCGTGCAGAGAGCAAAATCATGAGAGATCTTAGAACGCTGCAGACTGTGAACGGACCCAATGGACAAGTTCTATGATGATTCTTCGTGGTAGTGGTGTTGTAGTTGAGCTGCGCTCGGTATAGCTCAGTCTAGCTCGGTCTAGCTCGGTCTTGTAGTTTGGCTCGGCTCACTATGGTCGTTTAGGGAGCTGATAAGCGCAACATACACCTCGCTTGCACTTTGTCCATCGGGCTAGTGATATGGTAGTCGTAGGCGATGCCTATACGGCGCAATAGACAGCTAGCTACATACGAGGCACACTTCTGGTATACAGACATCAACATCGATTTGGGCATTTCATGTCATGTCATGTCATGTCATTCATTCTTCTTGTTCTTCTTCTTCATACTACATTCATGAGTCTCGTATATACAGGTCCCATTCCTTCGTCCCATGCGCCTACAGCTCATCCTTGGCAGCGTCCTCCTTCTCCGCGATGACACCAACGCCGCCGGACCCATCCTCACGGCGGCCATACCAGCCACCCAGATCCTCATCCACGCCCGACTTGACCATGCTAGTAATAATCTCAAAGACGACCTGCGCCGCCGCCAGCGCCGTCGTCTCGCCCTTGTTATCGTACGCCGGCGACACCTCCACAATATCCGCGCCAACGAGATTCAGCTTCTCCAGACCGCGCAGGATACGGATGAACTCGCGGGTCGTCCAACCCCCAGGCTCGGGGGTTCCGGTGCCGGGTGCCGTGGAGGGATCCAGCACGTCAATGTCAACAGACAGGTAGACCGGCTGCGAGGGATCCAGACCGATGCGCTGCATAATGGCGTCGACGACGCCCATGGGACCCAGCTCGTCGATATCGTCAGCGTGGATGCGGATGAAGCCCTGCTCCGGGCCGGGGGTGGTATAGTCGCCGTCATCGACGCCCGTCAGACGGGTGCGCAGGCCGGCGTGCGCCGACGTGGAGTTACAAATCAGGCCCTCGCGGCTAGCCTTGTGGAAGAAGCTGCCGTGGTTGAACTGCGTCTGCTCGCTCTGCCAGTATGCCGAGTAGCGCACCGGGTTCCACGTATCCAGATGCGCGTCGAAGTGCAGCACCGTAATCGGCTTCTGGTAGATCTGGTACAGCGCCCGCAGCGCCGGCAGCGCCACACTATGATCACCGCCCAGCGTGACGAGCTTGGGGTGTCCGGCGCCGACGCGGGCGTCGCCCGGGGCGACCTTCGCCACGGACTTGCGCGAGCCGAGCTCCAGGAAGGCCTCGTACATCTGGCGCTCGGCCAGGCCGTTGTCGAAGGGGGTGATGGGGATGTCGCCGCAGTCGGTGATCTTGGCCCACGACTTGTACGGGTTGATGCCGGCGCGGGTGTTGTAACTGGTGCCGGACATCTGGCGGGCGGAGGCGGCGCGGATGGCGCGGGGGCCGAAGCGCGCGCCGGGTCGGTAGCTAACGGCTGTGTCGAAGGGGGCGCCGATCACGGCGATGTCGTAGTGCTCGTCTGGCTCGACGAGGCACTTGACCGGGCGCAGATGTGCGAAGCTGGCGATGCCAGAAAAGGACCACTATACAGCATTAGCCCGCGTCCAACCTGGGATGGGATGTATATCTAAGAGCTAGGATAGCTGTGCTTGGGCATGGGGCATAGGCATACCTCCTGGTCCCATTTCTTCAGCAGCTCCTCGCGCTCGTGTTCAGGGACGACCTCGGCGTCGCCGTGGTGCGCGCACGACACTGCCGTGCCGGCCAGCGCCAGCATGCTCAGTAGAGACTTCCAGGCGGGCATGACGAAGGCGGGTAAATGAGGAGGGGGGAAGAATGATTGGAAGGGGAAAAGAAAACCCTGGCGGGCACTTATATAGAAAAGAACGAGAGGAGCATGCTGGGTCAGGGTCTTCTCCGCCGAGCTTCCTAATCAGCGCAGCAACTGTCGTTGATCGAAACCGATAGACGAGCCCGATGCCCGCAAATCGCAGCCCGTCGCCGCCTGTCGGCCCCGCCCTCCGCTGGGGTCGTGCAGACCTTCCCTTCTTGGCGACTGCCCGCGTTCCCCTTCCTACTTGTTCTTCTAGCTTATCACTGCAGGTTCAGCAGGGTACGCTGGAGTATACAACAGGCAATTGACACTGCCATTCCCCAAGGCCGCTCTTCCAGTGCCAACAATGCCATGCGTCGCGTCGTGGTGACGGGTCTGGGTGCGGTCACCCCGCTAGGCGTGGGTGAGTGAACTTGACCTACTATCGAACTTGAATTCTCCCCCTCCCCGGGCTATCCACCTCCCCCTCGCCTCCCCAGTTGCTCAATGCAAGTGTCACCACTGGTACGGGCAATCTGCAGCTCCCGGGAGCATCACCGGAGTGTCCGGACTCCTTCTTGCCCCGGGCCAGGCGAGGCACAAAAAACCGGCGGTTGGGTTTGGCGCGATGTCTCCACTCCTGCCACGCCGGAAGGGGAAAGTCCTAACAGCCAATGACGGCATTTCACAATGGGGCTCAGCGACGCCCAAGCGATATGCCGATACGCTGCTCTCGTGGTGCGCGGCCGCCGGGATGGACGGGGAGGGATCGATCCTTTCTGCTACGTATAGTTTTGCTAACGGCGTTGGTGGTTGGTAGGTGTGAGACGAACGTGGAAACGTCTGTTGGAGGGCCATTGCGGTATTGTCAATGTAACCGAGCGCGATGCGCGCTTCAAGGAGGTGCCCTGCCAGATTGCGGCTGTTGTGCCGCGGGGAAAGAAGGAGGACGGGGCGTGGACGGCGTCGGAATGGCTGAGTCGAGGTGTAGGTACTTCTCCGCTGAAGGGTTATGGTGATTCGACTGTTTCTGTGGGATATACTCATGAAGTGTTGGGTTGCGGTTTAGGAAGAGCGTGTGATGGCCAAGTTCGCGCAGTACGCAATGGCTGCGACGGAAGAGGCTCTTGAGGACGCGGGATGGAAGCCGACGCTGTTTGAGCAGAGAGAAGCGACGGTATGATCCTCAGGATGCTGAGGTTGACCAATGCGATTGACATGTATGCCTAGGGAGTGTGTCTTGGCTCGGGCATTGGCAACTTCGATGAGATCTACGACACGGTCGTTGCATATGAAAAAGGGGTGAGTCTCTGGATTGGGGCAGATGGCGACGACTCGTGGCTTACCAAATGGAGTAGGGTTACAAAAAAGTGAATCCTCTATTCGTCCCCAGGCTGTTGATCAATCTCGGGGCGGGCCATATCTCCATGAGATATGGGTTCATGGTATGTGCAGCAGCCGGCGCGGAGTCCCATGCTGGCCTTGCTAACTCCTTCAGGGACCAAACCACGCTGCAACGACTGCCTGTACAACTGGCGCTCATTCGATCGGTGACGCAGCACGGTTCATTGCCTGCGGCGATGCCGATGTCATGGTCGCTGGCGGTGGCGAGTCTTGTATTCATCCTTTGGCCATTGGCGGCTTTGCTCGAGCACGGAGTCTCGCAACGGAGTTCAATGATGCACCCGAGAAAGCATCGAGGCCCTTTGATGCCGACCGCAAGGGCTTTGTTGTGGGTGAAGGCGCAGCTATAATGATTCTCGAGGTGAACTTTTACCCTAGATGGAATTGTTTGTTTGTTTTTTCAACGCTTCTAACACCTAGAGCTTAGGAACTAGAGCATGCTCGCGCTCGGGGTGCCCGTATCTACGCTGAGCTGAAAGGCTATGGCTGCTCTGCCGACGCACACCATATGACCGCCCCGAAGGAGAACGGCGAGGGTGCTTTTATGGCCATGAAAAAAGCACTGAAGCAAGCTCAGCTGGCCCCCGCAGCAGTGGATTACATCAATGCACATGCAACATCGACTATCGTCGGCGATGCTGCCGAGAACGCGGCAATCAGGACGCTTCTCCTAGGGCCAGAAGGCAAGCAGAAACCCGCAGATGTGAACATCAGTAGCACCAAGGGCGCGGTGGGTCATCTGCTGGGCGGTGCTGGAGCCGTGGAAGCTGTCTTTAGTGTCATGGCTATTGAGCATGTCAGTGGTCCATTTCATATTATTGCTTTGGGGAGTTCAATATGCTAACGTATCGATCAGAATGTCATGCCGCCCACTATCAACTTGGACCGCTTGGCGGATGGATTTGACTGCAACTATGTAGCGAACGAGCCACAGTCGAGAGAGATCGATGTCGCTTTGACGAATAGCTTTGGCTTTGGCGGGACTAATAGTAGCCTCTGCTTTGCTAGACTGGGAAAATAAGGCGAGCAGGTTCGAACCAGCACTGTACATTATGGTCATATTTAGCGTTGTTATTGCAGTCCTGTTTCGGCTTGAGATGAATACGACGATTCTCGTAGAAGCATAGTAGATTTGATCTGCGGCCCTTAGTGTTTCGGCTGATACGATCCATCGCATACCTATGCCTTCGTCTCTACATCAAGAGGACCAAGGTCTGATTTTCCATCAGCTTGGCTATCAATAGAACAAGCCCTTCGCCCTTGGCGCCTCCCCTTTGCGGGTATCGAAATCGCACGTGACTCGATCCGAATGCGGAGCCCCAGCCCGACCTTTCGACTCCAGAGACGGTGTGAACACGACCAAACACATCTCCTCTGGCGCGAACCGCATTCGACTAGTGTGCCAGAGAGTGTATAATTGTGTCCGGAACTCTCCATATCTGCGCCCACCATGGCAACAAATGGCGATGCTGGTCGAGGTAAGCCGTTACTCGATCGATTCGCCAGGAACAGCGACCGAGATACATCGCGCCTGGTCATCTGCGCCGAAGGCTTTGGACTCGTTAAATTACAGCACGCTAACGGGTTTTTTCACCACGTATAGCATCGGGAAGCCTGGTCGATGCATCAGGCTACAAATTCACCGAGAAGGATACCAAGCCCGGGAAGATGAAGGTGAAGAAGACGTCCAAGGCATCGACAAAGAAAAAGGCAGACGGTACAGAGCTCGTTTGAAAATAGCACTCTACCGGATAAAGAAGGCTGATTCGGAAGCATCTAGATTCTAAAGATGGCCCTGTTGATTCCTCGCCGACCTCCTCCCCGCTTCCTAAACTGGACAACAAGGTCGCTGCCTCGTTCCCGACCGGCAAGCCTCGCGAGGAGGACCTCCTCGAAACAGTCATTTGCAAACACTGCAAGCGGCCCATCCTCAAATCTACCGCCACAGAACATATCCGCGGCTGCCTGAAGGCCAAGCAAGAGAAGGCGCGCAAGAAGAAGGAGGCACGCGACGCGGCCAACCGCGCAAAGGCAGCCGACGGCAAGGACGACGACGATGTGCTTGACAAGCTTGACGGCGACGACGCGATGAAGGGGCAAAAGAGCGCCAAGAAGAGCGCGGTCAAGGGCACCGCCGAAGACGGCACAAAGAAGGGCAAGAAGCGCAAGGCCGACGAGGACGACAACAAGGAGCCCAAGAAAAAGAAGAAGAAGGATGAGCCGAAGGCCAAGGCCGCAAAGCCCAAGGGCCCTGTTGATGTGGAGAAGCAGTGCGGCGTGACTCTGCCCAACGGTGCGCAGTGCGCGCGCTCGTTGACCTGCAAGAGCCATTCCATGGGCGCCAAGCGTGCCGTGCCTGGTCGGTCGTTGCCGTATGATATGCTGCTGCAGCAGTATCAGAAGAAGAACCAGGCCAAGCAGCAGAGTGAGTGCTTCCTTTTAGTTGTTTCGTTGCACCAGGTGTTCTAACGGGCGTCCTATTTTGCGGCCGTACAGGAGCTGCGATCGATGCCAATGCCCCGCTACCCGAAGATATCGACACGAATGGCCCAGTTGACTCGGACGAAGAGCGAGACGCTATCATGGCCGCGATCGCCCGATCCGCGCCAAAGCCGCTAGCCAAGCACACCCTGATCAGTTCAAAGTCCAAGTACCGCTTCGTCCGCATCAAGGAACAAATGCTGCACGCAATGGGGGGACGAGGGGGCGCAGGACTGTTTTCAACTGACGAGAGCCAGCCATTGTTTGGCGGCGATATCTTCCAGCCCTTCGACACCGACATGGGTGCGTCGTCGTCCCCCGTCATTCCTGGTGGCGAGCCTGGCGATGCATCAGCTGGCGGCGATGGGTCCAGGAAAACACCTGTGCAGGCCTCTCGCAAGAACCCCATAGCGGTGGCCTCGTAACAGGGTTCCTTTCCCGCGCAGCGGGTGACGATTTAATGACTTTCTCTTGGGCGATTTGCGTTGCTGTTCGGTCTCTTTTCTCTGGTGCACTGGGTTCGGGTTGCAGATGCTGGCGTTGAGGGCGCACAACCCTATGCATATCCCCTCCTTTTCTCTATCTTTCTCTCTTCGGACCTTCGGATGAAGTTCATCTTCGGGCGTGGGAACAGGCTGGTTCTGTTTGGTTAGGCGATGACATGATACCCCGGCTGTTGGCGTGATACGCTTTTGCACAGCATAGTATGAATGGAATATTTTCAATTCAAGAATCAAAGAAATAAATCGCAGAATCCAAGGTAGCTTGTAGGCTTGGGTGTATATATATACCACAATGGAACTTCCTTTCACCCAAAATAGACGGACCACTCGAACGCCCGGGCATGCTTCGGATTACGTTATCCGTGCCTCAGGCATGGGGCATTCGTTGCTTTGAGCTCCGCGGATCATCTTCTTCGAGGCCATCAACCATGAAGAGAGCCCAATTCTGAGGCTCAGGGGAGCTGAATACGCCGTCGACATCTCCGCGCAGCTGAATCCAGCCAAATTTCCCGCGTGGCTGTGTGCCTTGACTTTCACTATCATTTCGCAGCGAGCTCTGCTCCGCCCGACTCTCTCAGACCCCTCGAAGCACCTCTGCGTTCACTACAAATAGTCTCGCAAGCTGACTTCAGACCACATCCTTCTCCTTCCCTCCGAGCGATCCACCATGAGCCATTCCGTTCCCGACCTTGACGCGATCGGCATCAAGGCTGAGCCCGAGCTCGCAGACTCGTTCCGTCGCGAAGTCGCCAACCTCCTCGGGCGCAACAATCTCAATTTCCCGGGAGCGCAACCGGTCAGCTTCTCAAGAAAACACCTGACAGAGCTCCAAAAAGAAGACTACTTCGTGTGTGAGAAGACAGATGGCATCCGTTGCTTGATGTACTTTGCGCGCGGGGATCCCGAGTCCGACTCGCCGGAGATTCATTATCTGATCGACCGCAAGAACGATTACCGCTTCGTGCCTGGCCTGCACTTTCCACTAGCCAACGATGACACGTATCAGTCCTATCATGTCGATACGCTGGTCGACGGCGAGCTGGTCAATGACACCTACGAGGACGGCACCCAGCAGCTCAAGTATCTAGTCTTTGACTGCCTGGTGCTAGACGGACAAAGCCTTATGCACCGCACGCTCGACAAGCGGCTGGCATACTTCAAGGAAAAAGTCCTCCGGCCATATAATTCCATGTATCGCAAGTTCCCCGAGGAGAAAAAGCACCGCGCGTTCGCCGTCGAGGACAAATCCACCCAGTTTAGCTACGGCATCGAGATGATGTTCCGCGAAATCATCCCCAAAGTCAAGCGGATTCACGGCAATGACGGTCTCATTTTCACCTGCCGCAGCACACCCTACCGGATCGGCACAGACGAGCACATCCTCAAATGGAAGCCTCCAACCGAGAACACCATCGACTTCCGGATGCGCCTCGAGTTCCCGATCCTGGAGCCCGACACCGACGACGAAGCCGATGGCATCACCGAGCCGTATGCAGACTACGACGCCCTCCCGATCTGCCACCTGTTCACGATGCTGAACAGCAATGAGTACCGCCACTTCGGCGAGATGTACATTACCCCGACCGAGTGGGACGACCTGAAGGCCATGCGCGTCCCGCTCGACGACTCCATCGTCGAATGCTTCAAAGATCCGCAATCTCGCTGGCGCTTCCACCGTCTCCGCGACGACAAGGCGGACGCCAACCACATTTCTACGGTGGAAAAGGTCCTCGAGAGTATTGAGGACGGCGTCACAGAGGATGATCTCATCCGCCTCGCGCCTGCTATCAAGACGGCGTGGAAAAAGCGCCAGGCGATGGCTAGTACCGATGACGAGGATCGCAAGCGAAAGGCGCGGGCTATGCCGCCGGCTGCCAATGGGAATGGCGTTAAGCGGAAGTTTGAGGAATGATGAGAGAAATCAAATGGCCCCTGTTGAGCCCAGTCTTTTGTTTTGGTTTTTCTCCTCTCTCGTTGTCTTCATTTGCGCGGCGTCTGGGTGTTGTACTGCTTTGGTTCATACTTTTATTTTCCCCCCTGCAATGTTTCTCGCATGATGGAATAGGACTGGGTGCACTCGCGGTTTTTCGGTGTGAAGATGGTGTTTATGGCTTTGGCTTTCCGGTGGGAAGCTTTCGTTCGAAACCAAGTTGATAACAACTGGCATCTCAACTTGTTGTGATCGATCTACGGAGGGAGAATATACTGTACGCTACGTTCCTCAATTGTTCATGAAACTGTACTTTTTTGGTAAATTTCCAACGTAAATGCCCTGCCGTTGCAACTTTGTGCCCTCAGTGGATCGGCTATAGCGGCTGTGTGGTTTATCGCTCTTGTGCTTCGGGATGTCCACCCCCGTGCACCCCTCAGGGAGCTCCCAGGCTCTGCTTCCAGTTCTTTCACCCATCCACTTTGAATGCAATCGAAGAGTCGTAGCATCCGCCATCCACGTAGTGCCCAGTAATGTTCTTTGCAGGAACATCCTTGCCGAACTCGACGATCAGGCCCCCATTCGGTTCGTTGGGATTGAACAGAGGCCAGCCAACCACCTGTGAGACTGTAGATGGGTCCTTGACGAAAGCGAGCAAAAAGTCTTGCATGGTGTTCGAAGTGTCGATCTCGAGCTGGGATATCTCCCCGACGCTTTTCACATAGGTGCCGAAGATCATGACTAAATCGGAGTAGTGGAAGGCCCCCAACCAAGGGACGGGACTGATGTTGGAGAAATTACCTATCACCCACGGGTCATAGACGGTCAGATCAGTCAGATGGATATCTCGCATGAGTCGTACCTAATGAGCGGATTAGTATGGGGGTTCAATGCTTACCAGCCCAGAAGTATCGGTACGTAGGGAGGCCGTGTGAAAACCGCAACGCAGTGTCCGACGCTGCCAGACACGCCCACTGTCGCGCGTCAGCTTGCGACGAGGTAATATTGTTATCGACCGCGATCTCGCGGGCTGCAAATGAGCGGATAGCTGGGCCCTTCGCTACCTTGCCCTCCAGATAGAGCAAGGTTTCGTTGGCGAAGATGTATCTTTCATCAGCTGTTGGACAGAAGGGTTAACCGACGAGATATCACGCATGAGGTGCTCGAGCGCCAGGACACGTACGGATATAGGCCATAAAAGATATCGGGGGCGTGCCTGTGTAGCGATTGATGTATTCTTCAATCTGAACCCAGGAGAGCATGCGCATGCAGTTGAGCTCGGCCTCAGCGTCGTCGCCGTAGTTGCAGCCGAGAGCCTTGGCCACAATGTCAAAATCTCGATAGGGATCGCTCGTCGTCGAGAGATCGAGCGTCGTACCGGGCTCCTGTGAGATGATGCCATAACTTGCTACGAGGGGATTGTCCGGAAATGCGAGGGTGTATATGTGCGTTAACGCGCCTCCCTGCGACTGGCCCCAGAGCTATGCGAGATAGTCAGCTCAAATGGACACGAACGTTGATTGGAACTCATCTAGCCCATGGACTTACGAAGATATTGTCTGGATCTCCTCCAAAGGCCTCGATGTTCTCGTAAACCCACTCAACTGCAGCCCTCATATCCAGTAAGCTGAGCGAAGTCTCCGGGAGGGCTCGGGACTTGGGGTCTACAGAGGGCATTAGAATCATGCAGTGCCAACCTTTTAGATACTTACTGCCAAAGATATTCACTCGGTAGTTCATAGTAATTGCGATATGCTCCTGAGACCGCGACACCCACTGAGTGGGCAGATGAGCGGGAATCGTGATGCCCCCTTCCAAACCTGCTCCCCCCGTTGCAAACAACGCTACTGGAAGCTTGGATGCTTTGCTCACGTTGGCGGGAGTCCAGATGGCGATGGACAGACAGTCTTCAGCCGAGGACCAGGCCACCGATCCCTGAGTGCGGTTCTCCCCAAGATTGAGCACGGAACTAGCGGGCTCGTAATCTTTCCAGAATGAATCCTGGCTTTGGACATACTGTGGGCAGACTAACAGAAATGGCACATCAGTAAAGTATTCTCTTTGGAAGATATTCCCATGTCAACATACCGGGCCCGTACATGGTCGCGTCATACCTCTTCCTCGAAGGTGGAACCTTTTGTGGAGGCATCCAACGGAGATCACCAACAGGGGGCTGGGACAGGCTCAAACGGTTATACAAAGGGCACACTTCTTCTTTCTCGGATGGGACCCGTACCTGGGCAAACGGAACTCGCAGAAACTGTCGAACATTGGGATAGCTTTCATTGAAGCTACCAATGAACGTCCCAGTTCTCGTTTCAACGCTCAAATTGGACCAGTTTGACGGAGTCCTGGATGCTTCCCATCTTAAATCACCAAGATATGGAGGATGAGGCTTGTCCACCACCGGGACTGCGGTTGTCGCGGCGACCAATACTCCAAAAGTGAATATCTTCCTCATCGTCACGTTTGAAAACACGACCGACATTGAACGTGGACGTAGATAAATGGCGAATATGAGGGTCCTTAAGATTGGCCTACAGTAGCTGTAGCTGTAATAATACTTTATTCTAGCGACTACCGGCCTCTTATATCTGCTCTGGTATCCATCCTATGTGGCAGCTACCCTGTCGTATCACTAGTCCGTACTACCGGTCTTGTATGCCCCCGGAAGCCCGGAAGTAGGAACATTCATCTCCAGTGGGCTAAGTGCAGGTCCGCCTGATATCGAACGAAATATCTGCAAGCCTATTGGCTATTTACTCTACCGGTTTCCTGTTGGCCCCTTGTAGCCAAGCCAGGATACAGTTAGCCATCGACTACGGCACCCGCATGCATGGACTCAAGGCTGGTAGCGTAGGAGGAGGACGGGGAGTAGTAGGGTATCATTTGAATATTCACCAATGATAATGCCGAGTATCAACAAACTATCTACCTACTTCATTTCTGTTTAGCCCAGGGGATGTCAAAAATCGACGGTGGGAGTGGTGAAGGCGGGCGCCTCGCTTTTTCTAACTTGTCTGCAGTCATCCAAGGATCTTCATTTTCCAAGACCAGATGCTGAACAGTGATATGTTTGGATAAAGTTTGCAGCCAATCAACAATATGACCCAAAAGATCATACTCTGTTTGAGCTCGTTGGGCGAAGTCGCTGTACCAATCTTCTCGAGCCCCTTCCTTCTTGCAACTGAAAAACGAGACTAATTGCACCGCCGTGGTTTGCCTGCTCTTTGATCCAATGAAGAGGGATAGTCAGTGAGCCATCCTTGGCCCGCTGGTATTAGAGCAGACCAAGGACTATAGACTGATCCGAGGATTTGCTCTTGACGTGTAGTTCTATTCAATCAAGTATTGGCATATTAGTCGCTAGAGTTCCAATAAATCAAAGATTCCGCATCAAAAATCACAAACTTACTCCCGGTAATTGGAAAAGGCATATTCAAATGGTGAGAGCTTGTTACCTCAACTTTTTGAGGTTGACAGAAGTGGGTCCGAGCTTGGAAAACCGGCGGAGCCGGTTGGATCAACAAGATGAAACAAGCTCTAGGCCGTACCTTATTGGCATTATGGAACTGCCACCTGACAGCAAATTGTCGCCAGTGTGACCCATATAAAAATAACTACAGTATGAGGCAGGAACGGAGGGCGGGAGGATGAATGGTTGCCGCTCAGTCTGTTCCACGCCCTTGAACCTGAGGTTGCGCTCTCTCTGGCAAGACTTGGTGGCTTTTCGTGTTTGCGATTTCTGCCGCATATTCTAGTTCCCCTTCGACCTATTGGTGACCCTTCCCTGATTGTTAACACCGACACTCCTCAGGTAAGATATATTGTCTACACATGATGTGGAACACTTGACCAAGCTCACACAGCATTAGACGTTCTATCTAGATGGTCAGCCCATCACTGTGAAATACGTCGAGCAGCTACATCCCGGTCGCAAGACCGTACACCGCGTAGGACTTGAATCAGGTTCATTTAGGCACATTATTCCACCATCAGTCACAACAGTCATTGTCAAGCAACGGACTATCCTGAGGTTCCTTTTCCGACAGTTAGCGGGTTTTCCATAAAGAACGTGGGAGATCAAAGATGGCCGGCTACAACAAAATAGTGACAACCAATAGAGCATCTTTGAAAATATGTTCTAAGGGGTGGCTCCTATGGTTTTTGATTATTATTGGCAGCTAAATCACTGAATTTCGGGTATAGCGTCCATGAGCTGTGGCGTTTTCAACGCTGTCCAATCCAGCAGATATCGTTACTTATTTGATAATATTGTGGTTTGTGAATCGCATCCGAGATTTAATTGAGAAAGTAGCATTGATGAGTACCATAAAAGAAATAGCGATACATTCAGACATCATATTCCTTTCGAATAAAGAAGAAGGAAAAGACAAGCCTAGAGCTTGTTCAAGGCTACAGAGACTGTCAATACCAAAATAAATAAATACATGAAACTTCAATAAATACTTTGAAAGAGAAGGAGCGAGTGGGATCACTCTAATGGATCACCTCGTAAGTCGCAGACTTTAGGGGTGGTGGCTCAGCACGCGGAGCCTGTCGTCAGGATACTCTTAGCCTCCTGGGCATAAGTGCAACCGTTATTCACGTTTGAGTCCGAATATCCAGCGGACCACATCATCACACCACCAAATGCAGAATTGCTCGCATACTTAGCAACGAGCGTTGCGAGCGCACTAGGCTGGAGGTAGTACTGAGAGCCGCTCGATGTACCCGTAGCCGCAAGCGGGGATGCGGGGACGCCAATAAATATTTTGGCGCCGTCAGAGGGGGTATTGGCCACGTTGGACACCCAAGCGTCGTAGTTTATGTCGCCATTGACGGAACAACCAGGATTGTTGTAAAATTGGACCCACAGGTAATCGAATTTGGCATTGCTGACGATGATTTGCATGTTGGGTTCCGGAATAGGGCATTGTGGCGCTCCCGTAATGTAGTAGGTGTTCGAGGGGTCGGATGCAAAGTTAGACCGTAGCGCGGCCAAGAGATACTGGTAATATTGATTTCCGCTGTAAGCCTCGATGTCCAAATCCCAGCCGTTGACAAATGTTTTGCCAAAAGGCCGTGGGACGCTAGAGTTGCTGGCGGTGTTGCCGTACGCCTCCCACAGATTTTGGCCAATCGTCTCGGCCTCGGTCTGGGATGATAGCGAGTAGGCTCCCGACGCACCGCCTAGGGATAGTATGACCTTGATCCCGTTGGACTTGCAAGTCTCAATGTTGGCAGCCAGGCCATCGCAGTTCTGAGGCACACCGGCGGTCGAGAGATAGCATTGATTTCCGATTGTTCCCGATGCGATGGTTTGGCCATTGCCAAACTCATAAAGGAAAGACAGAACGATAATGTCGATACCGGAGGAGGATGTACAATACTTGGAAAGGTCCTGGACGTTGTTGTCCTGACCCCAGTAGACTACATTTTGGCCACTGGAGCTCCGACTTTGAAGCTTATGAGGGACGGCTGAGACCGCGGTGGTCAAGATAGCCACGCTGGCGAGAACAGTAGAAACGTGCATTTGGGCGGTGTTCGGTAGAGTTGTATGATAGAAGTAGCGATAAAAGAGTGGATGGAGTGAATTGTAAGGAGTGTGTAAATGTAACAAGGGAATGGAAATATCCTATGAGAAACTGAGAAATCAAGCCGAGTAGATGCTTGATGAGAACGAAAAAAAAGGGATAGAGACCGAGATTTCCTTCTCATTTTATACCGGACTTAGACATATTTTGCATCTTCTCATTTTACTTTCTAGTTTAGTAAGGAGTTTCAAAGACAATAGCCGATGTAGATGGAGGCAGAACAGCGCTTTGGAGTGTGGGTAACAATATGAGGTGGCTTCTTCGGAATAATGCAACGTCATAAAGCCCGCGAACCCGATGGAGAAGAGATCTGTAATTATCTTGAGAGATACGACTCTTTGGGAAGGTAACAATGTAGTTTGACACAATGGGTGGGTGTGGCGTTGAGCCGTGGCCGGTATCCTCTCAGAAAGGATGATGGCCGTCTCCAATTCCGAAATGCGTGAACTACCACTAATCTGCTAGCTATCGCCCCTGTCAATCTATGGGAACTAGATAGTATAAGGGATGCAGGAACCACCGATTGATTGGAACGTCGCACGGAGCCACGCGCCCAGAACGTGATTAGCGTGACCACGACGTATGATCTTCCCCGAAATTGCAACCCTCGACACACTCTCAATATACTCCATCTGCTACGATTTGCTCCATTGCTTGAGTTCCTAGATGCTACTACGAGCGGCCCTATAGACCGTGATTTTGGGACGTATAGAGCTGGAGGTCTTTTACTTCCATGGGCACGTCTAATTTCACCCGCTTGCTGAGGGATACACTATGGAAATCTTCCCATTGTGCTTTTTCATCTAGATATATTCAAGCGTGTCCGTTGGATGTTCGCCGGGGTCAGGGCTTAGCTTCGCTGTGGTAATGAAAACCCAGCCACATCTATCCCAATGTTATACTTTTCATCCCACACAGATTTATAATAATCCGTTAAATTGAAACTCTGCGGGGAGTCAATGTTGTAGAGGGTTATGACAATCTCGCATAGACATACTGTGCGGAGGACCTGTGGGGTTGGATCAAGCATGCTCAACGTTTATGCTTCGCCTCATTCTGAGTTCTCTATTGGCGGATAATTTTACTGCGAAGATGAGATACTTTACAGTACGACAGCAAACATCGATAGAACCTTTTTGGGACTCTGATTACAGGTCATCTATAAGCATTACGGTGATGGGATTAAGGGCGAAACAGCGTCGGCAGGGGTAAAAGGAATGAGATTAAGCATTGACATTATTGAATCTAGCGGGGTGTCGGAGGGACCCGACAAGAACTCTCCTGCTATACTTTTTTAGTAGGGGCTACTCCGCTCGATCGGGCTAGATTCCGTTCAAGTGGTAGTCGTGAAACATGAGGAAGTCGATACTATTCGCCAGGCGCAGCGAAATCACTCATTCCTCAGGCACTGGCCGAAACAACCTATTAGCCCCTGGTTATTCAATGGCCGTTTAGCTTGTGCATCTATTGGTTTAACACCACCCCACAGCAGTCAGGGTTTGCCCATCACGCACGCTATGGTCTTGAATTTTTCCCTAATAGGAATTAGCACCTCGTCATGGAAACCCTCATTTCCCATATAAGCGTGAGACCATAGTCCTATCTCTGTGGGGTGACATTTGAGGCTGGCTGGCTTGCATAAGCGCTGACACTGTGGCATTTTGATTGCTCTCGGGGTGGAGCAAGTGCAGCGGCGATCCTCGTCACGCGTGTATCTTTATAAACGACATGCCAATTACGCTGCTATCTAGGGAAGAACTAAGTAAATATTCCGGGTGGGCGCGTGCCGTGTGCCTTCGCGTATACCTCGGACTCAACCCGGACTTTACCATCTAGTTACCCGATGTCGTTGATTTCGCCCAGGAAAGATGCCCTGGTATAATCAGAACGACCTGGGAGTTTGCCGTTAATGTTACCACGGTCCTCCGGAGGTCACCTGGGGCCTAGATTTGACGGGTGCGGCTGCACACACTGTTTTTTCCGGAGATGGGAGGCATTTCGACCGATCCGGAACTACGATCGGTCGTTGTGATGGCTGACTTATGACCTAGCCTCTTTACCTAACATGCCTTCTATTGGACTACCTTGGCTTATTAGGATGAAATCTAGTCTATCTGATCGGAATCCCGGGTTGCTAAATTTTGATGGCGAATGGGACAGTAGGTTTCGTGGGCTGCAAATTGTCGGTCGGGGTTCGGGGCTGATGCGGGGAAATCGCTGTACAGCTTCATAAGGCGTGGTTTTGGGGGGAAGAAATCGCGGGAAATTGCATCAAAATAGCCAGCTTGGGCACATTCAGGATTGCGATTCAATTTCGCGATCACGATGGAGTGAGTGTAGAAGATCAGCGTATTCTTGCCTGGGGACTTCGTCCAGAGGCCTCCCCTTCCTTCCGCCAAGACGACGCTGGGGAATGCGCTAAAGTGTATAAGCTCTTTCTCTGAAGAATCTACCAGCGGACTGCCCCAGGCTCGACGAAGCTCTAGCACAGCCATTCTTCTCATGGCTACAGAATATGGGATGGTTTTCGACGCACCAGTTACGATCCGCAACCAAACATTCCCGCTACTTGTCGATACCGACAGTAGCGACGATGTCATGACAGCCGGCTATATCTGCATCAAAAGAACAAGCAATTTTGTAATTCCTCGAGCAGACTGGCTCTATTCAAATACAACCCACCATGAATCCAACACGTGTCGACTTATGCAGAATGAGATGTTTGAGATTCAATATGGTGCCGGCCTTGCGAGCGGCCTCCTGAAATACGGGGAAGTAGTATTGGGCGGGATCTCTGTCCAGGCACAAGGAAGTTGGGCATCGCGAGTATATCAAACCCTATAGGCGATTGTGTTAGCACAGTGGTCTACTTGGCTTCTCATACCCTATCCTTACATCGGCGCACCCGCCAGCAACACATGCAACACAACATATTGCTTCGACCGCTTAGCCGATAATCCACTGCTGTACACCACGCAGAAAAGGTCTGGTCGAACCCTACTTCAGCTTGGCTCTAGCGATAACGAATCAGGTGTATTTTGGGGTTATCTCACCCTCGGTCGCCTCCCACCTGTCAATCATAGCACTGAATCTACCATAGTCCTTGTGAAGATCTCAGATAATATTTTACTTAGCTTTACATCTCGAAAAAAAAATCGATCATATCTGTCGGAGGAACCAATGGTTCATTGCCCGCATAACTACGAAATCCACTTCGTCCCAAGCTTTCATCGTTTCTGGAAACCATATTTCATTCTGCCTTTGATTATGGTTGGTTCGGTTAAGTCACACTTTTTCCCTCCAGCGACCTATGATGCATCGTCGGCGATGTACATTGTGGATTGCTCAGCAAAGTCTCCGCATTTTGGTTTGACTTTCGAAACACGACATTCCATCACAATGGCATGGGTTGATTTGACAAATCTCCAAGGGAGTCTGCGTGTCTAGACTTGCTACCTAGCTCGGAGGATGTTTCCATTCATTGTCTCACGTTGAACATCATCGGTGTTTTATTCTTGAAGAACGTCGTGGCCAGTTTTGACTCTGGGAGAAATGAAATGAAATTTGCAAAGGTATTGGGCACGAAAACTAACATTTCGAGCAATGATGGTGCTGGAAATGAATCCATCGCTCTGACCTCAGCTTTTTCTAGTGTGCATGACGCTAGTACGTGTGAGTTGGCTGTGTTTTGACCCTGTCTATGCTCATGGGAATTGCTTTCTAAGTACAAGGATGGATATTTATGGATAGGTGTTGTGGACTTCCATCTACAATCATTTTTGGGATTATATATATTTGTCTTCGAGCCTCCACTGAGTAGATATTCTGTTCGTACTCGTGCCGTTATGAAAAGACAAGACTAACAGTAGTTTTTCATTCCACACACAGAGTGGGCTGGTAGTCCTTCCCCCTTCTCATGTACTTTGTCCGCATCCGAAATATTTTTGTCGCGATCATCATCTCGCCACAGATGATCTGTTCCCCCAGTTGATGGGGGTGTTTACTCCAATTCTACTTTTTGACCAATTCTCCCTCATATTAATTAATTATGATGAGACATCATAGCATCTGGGGACATGGCGTAGTTGGGAACGCGTCCGACTGAAGATTAACTTCAATCTGCTTAAGAGCAATCGGAAGATCGCCGGTTCGATCCCGGCTGGCCCCATTTTTTCTTCCCTGTCTACTCTTTTAATGCACCCTTTATATGACCTAAAATCCCGCCACACTTCAACGGTTGGGGACATGGCGTAGTTGGGAACGCGTCCGACTGAAGATCAACTTCAATCTGCTAAGAGCAATCGGAAGATCGCCGGTTCGATCCCGGCTGGCCCCATTTTTTTCATCTTCAAGATGAAGAATGATGAACTGGGCAGAAATCACATTGCGTCAAGACCACTTTCTGGCCATCGCAATGGTATCTTTTAATTAGACAGCCGGATTCCCCTTGTCTGTCTGTACCAGTTCTAACTTGGTCGTTAATCGCCCGCCGGACGAAGCCTACCTGCCACACCCAGTGGGAATTTAGAATGGTTTTTGTTAGTAATTATTATCTACACTAGTATATATAAATAAAGTCTATTCTATGTACCCTACCTACTCTATATGAGGCTTGAAGTTTATGTTCCGAAGCTCCACAGTTACTATGAAGGATAAGAAATGCATTGTAGACTTAGAAACCTTGCCTTTGCGTGTGTAGGTAGTAGGTGACGTAATTTGGCTCAAGTTTCAGTCTACCTATGAACTAGACCTACTAATAAATGGACTTATCTGACGCGTCAGAATCGCTATTATACCCTCATCATTACCATATGACTACACCCACATGATGTCCATGCTTATGTCGCTGTTTCCCCATCTTCAGTAGCTTCCCCTCCAGACAGGAATATCATCTCTTTTACCACTCCTCATGCTAGCTTACGCTACTAAGTGGTAGCAAACCCTCTTTTCTTTCCAGAAGGACCTTCTGAATGTGTTTTTAAGTACTTGACAACTTTTCGACCACTCTCGGGGCTCACTGAGAGCAGGATCGACTTATGACCAGTCGCACAGTTCCCGCAGTGCTGCGCCGGCTAACCCCCCCAACCTAAAATCCTCCGCAGTTTCGGACCGCTGGCCGTTTCAGACCGTTGACCCTGCAGCCTCGGACCGTTGACCCTGCAGCTTCGGACCGTTGATCGAAGTACTCTGGTAGCAAGCCATCCCAGCTAAAAGCCGATGGCCTCCAGACTGCAGCATGCTGTCGAACTTGCCTGCCAAATCCGCAATTACCTCCGCGCACGTCAGGAGGACGGATCGCCCTTTCCCTTCTCGTCTGACTTTGATCACGACACCTGGGGCGGTTAAACTACCTCCTCAACCACCATCATCTCTCTAATAACTCTTCATGCTAGCTTACGGTACCACTCATTTGACTGACTGGTTGCTACCTGGTAAAGAGAGGGAGCACTGCGGCAGTCTGACCAAGCAGATAGAAGAAGAACCCACTTGGAACATGTCAGGAGAAACAGGCACTAAATTGAGGGATGAATGCCACCAATTGGGTCAAAACCTGCTGTATACCAGAATTGGGGTTAAAAGGGTAAATAGTTGGCCCATGGATAGTCTGCTGGTATATTGCGCAGCACAGCTCTTTGTTAGATCCAGCGGGGTCAAGGATAAAAGGATCTGGGAGACGGAGTAATAATACAAATGGTATTTGACTGAAAGATGGAAGAACAAATGACCAAATTTCCGAATGGGAAATTCGGCGGAATTTACCCATATTCCTCATATTACAAGTCCATCCTCCATCTTCAAACATTCAGAATAAGATATAGAAGCTGAGACTACACCAATATAGGAAACAGAAGGTTAATGAGTAATGAGGGCATAGACAGTAGGTACAAACAGAGCATATAGCATCGTCAAACTGCTCTGCTACATTAGGTGCCATATTTGGAGTTCTTGCTGATAGCAAATGGCTATCAAAAAGAAAGACCTACCTACCTATTAGGTAGGCAGGAGAAAAAAATGGGGCCAGCCGGGATCGAACCGGCGATCTTCCGATTACTCTTTCAAGCAAGATTGAAGTTATTCTTCAGTCGGACGCGTTCCCAACTACGCCATGTCCCCACCTATAGAGTTGTGGCGCAGTCTTGAGTTACGTAAGGGGCCTGAAGTGAGAAGAATAGGTAGTAAAAGAAAAAAAATGGGGCCAGCCGGGATCGAACCGGCGATCTTCCGATTGCTCTTAAAGCAGATTGAAGTTGATCTTCAGTCGGACGCGTTCCCAACTACGCCATGTCCCCAACTGTTAGAGTGTGGCGCAATTTTAGGTCACATAGGACAAGCAGTGAGAACGGGAATCAGGAAATTTAAAAAAAGATGGGGCCAGCCGGGATCGAACCGGCGATCTTCCGATTACTCTTTCAAGTAGATTGAAGTTATTCTTCAGTCGGACGCGTTCCCAACTACGCCATGTCCCCAATTATTGATTTGGAATGAGGTTTTCGAACATGTAAAGGGTCGGATCCCACAGTCACTCCCTCGCGTTACATTTATAGACCAAGATGCTTCTTCACAGCTCCGAAAGCGCAGTACCTGCTGAGTGATCCACTCACAAATAATTGGACCAAAGTATGCAAGTATCATGACTTATTGAAGAATATCCGCCTGTATTCCTGTTGGAAATGCATACTACTGATAATAATGTTTCTAATAATAACATTATTATCACAAGTGATGACACATTTTTGATTGTATTAAATTTCAATTGAAATATCTTAGTAACTTTAGGAAAAGAAATCAACCTTTCAAGATAAGTATGAGATAAAGTCCATAAAAATTATTATTATTATTATTATAACAACAATGTAATATGCGTCTTTATATTGAGGAAGGGCCTCGGTAAGACACACGTATTTCAATTCAAACCCGGCCATTTCTCTTAGTAGTAAGAGAATCAGCCACACCATTATCTTGATCAAGATCAACCAATAGATGTTCTGGGCACATCGTCCTGGATAAACTGTCACGATAAGCATAGCCTGTACCATTCGCTACAAGCAACTTCTTCTCTGGACGTAAGACAAACTCTGGTATCGCCGGAGCCATACCCTTTTTGTCCCAGTACCAGCCGGCACGAGCGCCTTGAGGCCCTTTAGGCCTTTCAAAGGTATACCCAGTCAGTGCAGCCGGACGATACTGGGAGGTAAGGATCGTCTTCCGTACCCGCACGATGGGGTGGAAGGACTCGTTCGTGTCGCGAGTTTCTGGCTGTTGACCTTGCGTTGGCGGATAGTTGCCCGGTGTGCGATCTTGTACACCTAGAACTCTGAAGAAGGCACCTTCCACTCCAGCGAAATTGGAAACGATGGGACCGCAACCCCAGCTGTTATCACCAAGGTGGTCTGCGGAAATTCTTTTGGCCCGAGCATCTTGATGCTGTTGGATGAGATCATCGACTACAACCTCTTCAAAAGCCAGCATTCCAGACAAATTGTCCACCTAGAGCTCGCAAAGGATCGTGAGTCAACTGAGCACAGCTGTCAATTATTCACAATAAGAAGGTGAGTCTTACCATCCATGCAAATGCGATATCCGTGATTTCTCGATTCTTAGCACCACCTCCAATATCTCCGTGTACGCCGGGAAACCAGCATTGCTGAAGCTCCTTGGCCGGTGCATTCGCTGTTTTGTGCCAAAGAGTAGGTGGGAAAGTAAGCCGTCTCTCGTCAATTGCGAGAGCTTGGAAGGCGAGGTCAACGTCTAAGGCACAGCATTAGCACGAATAAATTGGGAGAATGAACCGGCAATGATGTTTACTTTTCGACACCTTGGTATTATGAAATTCGTATTTCTTGTTCAACGCAATGCCGACCTTTGACGCCAAATTGACCAGCGGCCATTCTGGGATCCCCTAATCAACGTTACCGTTAGCTCCGTTCAGTGCAAGGCATCCTTGCATATATCTATATACCAGAATTGTTTAGAAGGACTTACCAAGGAGCCGACTGTATCCCAGACACCCACTACCTTGATTCGAACATCCTCCAGGCGTAGCATGTCCTTGTGTTGTTGATACCACACAGTTTTGGAGAAAGGTTCCCCATTCGTATTTTCTCGATAGGCTTTCCACATCTCGGCAAAATAAGACATATGTTGAGACGACAGCACTCCTACGTCAGAGATTAGGCCCACGACTGAGCGGACCGTGAATGCACCCCGAGAAAATCCGAAAAAGAATATTTCATCGCCTGGCGAGTAGTTGTCGGATACGAACTCATATATCTCGCACACCTGAGTGTCTAATCCCCAGCCAATGGACCCTTCGCCAGAAAAAGACCCTGTCAGCCCAACGTCAGGTGTATGTATAGTGACGGAGTTTTACCCGAGATAGTTTTCTCTAATGGAAGCTCTCCAGCTCCCAACCCAGAATGGTACGAGACAATCTGCGGCACAATTTTGCCATCTGCGTCTGTTCCGTCATTTGCAATCATGCGGGCTATCCGCGCGACATTAGATGGTTCCTCGGTGCCGCCCTGGTCGGATGCCAGCCAGGTCCCATCTGCGCAGAGAATGATGCGTTTGTAGCTTGCGCGTTCGTGCGACATCGTGGGAATCTAAGGTGTTCTGTTGAATCTTGAAGAAGACTTCGGCTTGTGCCCAGGTTATACGAAGAGTAGGTCGTGAATGAAGATCTGTCTAAGGATCCTTTGACGATTCCACGGGAATGGTCGGCTTAATAAGAGAATCAAGATACAGGCCTAGCCATGGTAAATTGGGCTTGGCCATCGATACGAGATGGAATGCCTCAAGAGGCGCCCTCACATAAGCGCAACGGAGACAGCCCAGGCTGAGATGCATTCTTGCATTCAGCTTGCAGCCAAGGGCGCTCGTATCGACCGGTCGGAAGCTGCGAAGATTGCGCACAGAGTTTACTTGGCAGATGACACCTGCACGCCGCGAGCCGGGAGGACGCCTCGGAATGGGCGAGTCTAGAAAGGGAATTAATCGGTTCAAGGGGCGCAGGCTACGAAGTCCGAGCTATGCTGAACAAGTTTGAATCTATTTCACATTTCATTTGATTAGCGATACAAAGAGCTACTCTTGGTACAATCCTTGTATATTCTGTCTTCCTTTCAGTTTGCACTTATCAATGGGAAATACATTACTTATCCTCAATACCAGTGCATCATCCGACAGGTCAACCCAACTGTGTACCAATCTCGTCTCAAATACTCAGGTCTGCTTTGGTGTCATCGAGCCAAGGCCCTAGTGCAAATAGAATGATGAGTTGAGAAAATAAGCAGGAGACAAGAGCACTGAGTTGGATGGGTAAAACAAACGAGGCTTCGAGGGATTTGATTGGAATCAAGGCTCCACTTCAAATTGTGCTAACAATCTGCTCAGTGAACAGTAACCGACTTGCTGACGCTGGCCATGTTGCTGATTCTATTCTTACAATGCCTTTCGGTCATTAAATGTGCATGGAAGATCGGAGAAGTGGCCTAGTGGAGGCGCCGCAGTACTCAATAAAATGATCTTGAATTTAGAATTCTGTTCTTTGACATGATATAGAAACTGTGACAAAGACCAACGACTGCCAGTAAAAAAACGTGTTCATCCAAGATGCGAATTTATCGCTTCTTGATGCTGACATCGATGTTGCCAATGAACCAGATACCAACAAAGACGGTCAGAAGGCCAGCGAACATGGTGAGCGGCTTGCGTAGGATATCTATCAAGGTGTGGTCATAGGTAACCTAGATTTCCTGTGAGCTAGAGCAATATAATCGCGGATCGGGAGGGATAATAGAGAACGTACCACCAGCTGCGCATCACGCGCCTCATCGGTCAGACTGTTAACCTCCAGGGTCAAAGTTGTCCGGCCAAGGGTGTCCATGTACGTCTTGAGGGAGGATAGGCTGGCATGAATGTGGTTCGCGCCAGGGAGACCGTTGCTGGAAGCGCCCTCAACGGTCTCGAAGCGGACATTGTGCGCACCCTCGGGCAGGATCACGCGCACGACCACACGCTCATACTGAATACCTTCCGCCATCTTGGGACCTTGGAAGAAAGGCACCTTGAGGACATAGGAGTCGGTACCCGCGACCTTACGGAGGAAGGCACTCAGGTCGTTGCTCCAACCCACCTTGAAGCTGTAGTTCCAGCCACCGAAGATCGGGTAGCGGGGCTTCAGCTCGAGGTTGGCACCAGTCTTAGCAGTACCGGGGCGATAACGGCTGGTCGAGACGTTACCGATGTCATCAACGAAGTACGCATCGACAGAGCCAGGCAGCAGCGGATAAGTGAGCTCACGCAGGGCAGAGGTTGGGGCCTTCTGATAGGAAGAAAATGTCCACTCAACACGCGAGAACTGGTTAGTCAGCTGCGAGGCGTTGTTGCGCAGCCAGTACCGCTCCTCGGTGGCCAGGTTTCCACCCCATTGCGACACTTCCAGATCACGCTCCAGGAGGCTAATAGATATCACCGGATTGGTGAACTCATAGCGCACCGTGATGGGGTACTCGGTGCCGAGGGCCACCTTGGCCGTGTCGTACGGTCCGTATGTGTATGTAGCGCCCTTGCGCTCCGGGTCCGCGCCAGACTTGAGCCCGTCGGTTGTGGTGTAGTCAGGCACGTCGGTGGTGGGGAACTTCAACTTTGTCTTCTGAGTGATGGTCTGATAAGCGGACAGGATGTACGCGGAGAAGCTGTGGGTGAGGTACTGCTTGTCATTCTGCCCGATAGTCGCTGGGAGCGGGCTCAGAGAGGACAACACGGAGTAGGAGATTCCAAGGGTGATCTGTGATTTCGGGGCCAGAGGCTCAGGGAAGTGGACGAGGAAGTACTGGTTGCTATTGTGGGTGATGAATTGGTCAGTTAGAGTTCCAAGACTTCCCGTCGCGTTACGCTATGGATGGAATTCCAAGTCTCAAGCGATTGACTCGCACAATTGATACTGACCCGGAAGAAATGACTTCAACAGCAGACACCTCGAATCGGCCTTTCCCAGTCGCCTTCTTGTCTCTCACTTCGAACCCACCAACGCGGTCGATGACATCCGCAGGGAAAGGAATGTAGTAGTCGCTCTGCGGCTGCGTGTCGACATTCTCCACAACGACATTGACTGTCTCCCGAACGTAGCTCTTTTCCAGATTGATGTTCCGAACCAGATTGGTATTCTTGAAAACCTGCGCAGGCTTGAAGTCGGATGGGAGGGTCAATCGAGACAGGGTCGTCAGGTTGGTCGCGGCAGCCAGGCTGGGTGCCAGCAGCCCAAGCACTGTGGCCGTGAAGAACCTCATGGTGGCTGAGGGTATCACACTGGAGAACACAAGGTCTCCGTGCAGAATGGAATTTCGAGAGGGTGGGGAATGATGGGCGGGATTTTGGTCGGAGGAAGCTGATGAGGTGTCCCCATGTATACAATACGGCGGGCGCAGCGGCCACGGCGCGCACTCCGTTGCTCTTATCGCTGATAATGGTTTCTCCTCATTTCCCCTGCTTCTCCATTGATCGACAATCGAGCTAGTCGTACAATGCTCGCCTCAAGGACTACTGCTCGACTTGGCTGGAAGGGGGTGCGGCTGCCTCGTCCCCGTCACCTTCATGACCTCAGAAGCCACCCTCAAAGCAGGTTCTTGAGGGTATCGGAGGAGGTCCGCGATGCTGTTGCGACAGGTAAACCAGTTGTCGCTCTTGAGACGACAATTTATACTCACGGTGCGTCCTGAACTGTTGTGTGATGCTTCAAAAGCGGAGTCTATACTTCGATCAATAAGACTAACTGATTAACCGTCAGGTTTCCCTTACCCCGAGAACGTCGCCCTCGCGTCGCTGTTGGAATCCGTTGTTCGCGAGAACGGTGGAGTCCCTGCGACGATAGGCATTCTCGGAGGTGTTGCCCAGGTTGGCATGAGTTCCGAAGATATTGTCGAGCTGGCCTCGACTGTAGAGCAGAAAAGCGCTCTGAAAGTTTCCCGCAGGGATCTTGGGTACATTTGCGGTTTGGTAGGCTGGCGATCCCTCAAGAAGCACGAGAAAAAGCAACTAAAAGATCTACAGGGCATGGCTGGAAAGAAGATTCATGGCGGTACAACCATATCTGGCACAATGATTCTCTCAGAGCTCGCTGGGATCAAGATCTTCGGTACCGGAGGCCTAGGTAATTCTCACACCTCGCACTATGCAAGGCAGTATCTGACCAACTTGACAGGTGGTGTCCACCGTGGAGGCGAGAACTCCATGGATATTTCTGGTATGAGATCCATTCCTTTGAACCGTCTCAGTTCTTTGATTAGTTCAGCGACTGACTTCTCCAATTTAGCCGATCTCACGGAGCTGGGACGTACTCCAGTTACCGTCATTAGTTCCGGGTCTAAGAGCTTCCTCGATATTCCTCGTACGCTTGAGTACCTCGAGACCGAGGGAGTCTGCGTGGGAACCTTTGCCGATGGCCGCGAGGGCTCGGTCGACTTCCCCGGTTTCTTCACGCGAGATAGCGGAGTCCGCAGCCCGCGGGTCATCCAAGATGAGGCCGAAGCCGCCGCTATCGTTTGTAAGTGGTGTTCCCCATGATAACTGTACAGTACAGCTTATATCCTCTCAAGATGCGCAATCGAAGCTTCCAGTTGTTTCAGGCATCCTTTTCGCCAACCCTGTGCCATTGGAGCACTCCGTTCCCAAGTCAGAAATGGACCGTGTCATTGAGGAAGCTATCCGTCTCGCCGATGTAGAGGGATACACGGGCAGCGATAACACCCCCTTTGTGTTGGCTAAGATCAAGGAGCTCAGCGGTTCGAAGAGTCTGGTCGCCAATCGCTCTCTGGTTGAGTCGAATGTCAAGCGCGCAACGCGGGTGGCTGTGGAGCTGGCCAAACTCGAGGAACTTGACCGGGGATATGCGGCTCGGTGAGTTGGTGTGTTGGATGCTTAGATAAGACAGAATAGACACAATGCTAAGTTCGGAGATTCTCTGCTGTATAGACACATGCCCGCTATTCCGAGCATTGCTCGGTCCAACAAAGATGTCCCCACCCCCCAGCCAATCCCCCCACCAATCAGTCCAGCTTCATCTCCAAATCTGCCAGAAAAGGCAGACATCGTGGTGGCTGGATCTCTTGCAATCGATTTGTCCTGCGACTATACTCCCTTCGGTCATGAGCTCGCCCAGGTTGCGCCCGTGCCGCAAACATCTAATCCAGCCGTCATCGGGCAGAGCCTCGGTGGCGTCGGCCACAACGTCGCGGTTGCAGCCAGCGCTGTCGGCAGTGAGGTCCTCTTCTGTAGCGTGGTGGCAGATGATCTGAGCGGGCGGTCGGCACTTGCGTCCCTCGAAGAGAAAGGGCTGAGCAAAGCCGGCATTCAGATCCTCCCTGCGACAGCTGGCACGCGAACAGCACAGTACGTTGCTATCAACGACGCCAAAAAAGATCTTCTCGTCGCCATGGCCGATATGGGCATCATCGAGCTCCCCGAGCACCAGCTCGACTTTGACGGGTTCTGGGAGCCATTGATTGAACGCACAAAACCGCGATGGGTGGTCGTCGACGCGAATTGGCGCCCTGAAGTCCTAGCAAAATGGGCGGATGTTGCTCAAAAGCATGGTGCTCGCGTGGCATTTGAGCCTGTATCGACTGCCAAATCCCGTCGTCTGTTTGACCGCGACGTCAGTGGTGCCGGTGCAGCCATTAACCCTGCACGAACTGTTCCTAACAATGCTATCAGCCTTGCTTGCCCTAATAGATATGAGCTATCGGCTATGCACATGGCTGCGCGCGACACTCTTCTCTTCGACTCGCCGGGCTGGTGGAGTATCATCGACGCGATGGGACTGTCGCCGACAGGGTCACGCCAGCGTCTTGTCATGGCGACCTCGGCCAAGCTGGTTGACGAAGGTCTGCCCCAGCAGTCCATCCAATTCCTTCCCTTCATTCCCTGCATCATCACCAAGCTTGGTGAAGACGGTGCTCTTCTGACCCAGCTTCTGCCACCAAATGATCCGCGACTGACAGACCCTGAGTCCGCACCTTATATATTGGGTCGCACATCATCCGCTGAGGTGCCATTCGGCGGCGTTTATATGCGTCTTTTCCCACCTGCTGCTACGTTAGCTCCTGAAGAGATAGTCAGCGTCAATGGTGCAGGTGATACCCTGCTGGGTGTTTTGGTTGCTGGTCTCGCCAGGGCCGACTCGCCATCGCGCATCGAGGACATCCTTCCTGTGGCGCAGGAGGCGAGCCGGAGGACACTGATGAGTGCTGGGGGTGTGAGTAAAGACCTGGTTGGATTGCAAGCTAGACTGGGCCTGAAGAAGTAGAACGTGAGAGTGTTGCATAAAATAGCGTCCTTTATTATCTACGCCAAACCTGTACCACGCCACTTACCTCTATTCTCTCTCACCTTTTCCTGGCGCACCACCAGAAGCTCACGAAACTCACTATACCAAATTAGACTAACTTGACGCCTTCTTTGTTGAACTCAGCTGAGGTAAATAAATATGTAATTTTTTGCTCGTATGGTGTTCCTCTAATTATTAAACAGAGCAGTACGATCTCGTATCCTATTCAAGGACCTCTAATTCATTAGAGTGATTCACTCGCTCTACTGGTTGCTTCCCAGCCTCCCCTTCTTAGGGTCTTTTGGCAGAGCCGTGAGTATCTTACTCGACCTGGAACCTATCCGGCTCCTCTCTACAGCTTCCCGACCTCGAGGTTTAGAATTGGATGCAACAAGAACCCAGCCTTAGCTTACGATGGAAATGGAAATTGGAAACAAACTGGACAAGCGGATCAAACGGCCAGTCCAGTTTCGTGACGGGGCTATAGTTTTCGAACTTCGTCATGCGATTTAGCTGTATATCTCCCAGGATATTCACCGGCACGTCTGATAGTGTTACTCTTATATAGCTGCTTTAGCTCTCGGCACAAGCTCCGGGTCCAATAATCCAGCTTGAACGAGCACATCTGCTTGGTCCCAATACAAACTTTGGTGAACAATCCGATCTGCGAAGAAACTAGCCACGACCACGATCACAGCTTGAATATCACGGTTTGTTGGCGGCACGCCAGGGAGGAGCCATGGCACTTCCTTACTGTGGCAGAAGGAGAACAATATCTCATCAACGATACGATCAGCGCCTACAGTCCGTGACAGGAGACGAATATGCTGACTCGGGGGACCGGTAGGGATGAAGGTGTCCGTGAAGAATGCCCTCAGACTCTCCGGTGTGAATCCTGGCCCAGATTAGCATTAGCATCAACCCGGTCTCACAGACATCGCCACCGCGAATGGAATAGCCAATCTCACCTCCAGCCCTTGTCGGCGCGCAAAGCACACTCGAATTCTGCATATCATGCATATACGCCCCCCCCTTGACAGATCCGATCAGTCCCCTGTTTAAGCACAATCTCCATCGCCAACCCAGAACTCTTCTGCCCCCCGTTCGCCTTCAGCCCGTCCAAATCCGTCATCAAATGCTCCCAATACTGCTCCCAGACAGTCTCGATATCTGCTACTGCCCATTGACTCCCAACGCCAAATGCACGGCGCAGACACCCCAATGTCCGGCTCCAGGCTAACTGCGAACTGATACGATCATCATGATGAGGACCGCCATCCTTGATACTGTAATTCACAGGCTTGTGTTCCGCAAATCCCGCCCTGGCTTCTGGGTAAGTGTATATGTGGCACCGATGCCGCTTTTTGTACGTGACGTCTCCCTCCGAGGGGCTCACGCTGATCCAGGGCCAGAAAGTTCGTGAGCTGGGCGCGCTGCCGGGAAGGTGAATCTGAATGGGGAGGAAAGTTGCTGAGGGGCTGGGGTCGAAAATACCGCTCGTGTCAGAGCAGGCTGGGGCACAGCATTCTTGGTCGTGGGATGTGATCTCAGTGAGTTCGTTGGTTGATGTTAGTGGGTAGTATGCGATGAGGGCGCAGAGGCGTGGGAAGGGATTGGTTTTGCTGGCTGCGAGATGGTGAGAGCCGAGGAGGTAGTACGCAGGCCGGTTGTATGCTGTTGCAGTGAGAATATATCCACAGAGCTAGACCGCTAACATTGTCGCTACTTCGTGGTGAAGCCAGCGGCAATCTTAGACCCAAGCACATACCAACTATAGCATATCGCTCTCCAGTCTCCAACTCATCTTCCTTCTCATGCACCGCAAATTCTAGAGACTTGCGATCTTTCTCGGCATCTTCAGTGCAAACGAAACCGAGGTACGTCACGTTGAACCCATCAGCCTGGAATCGCTGTATAATATGCGGGTCGAAATTGGCATTATCAGAGATCAGAATCAGGTGTCGCGGCGAAGGCTCCTCAGCCACAGAGCGACGATGGTGCTTCCCAGAACTCCCACTCACAGTCCGGTGAAGGTCATGCGATCGCGATGAAACGTTTTTGCCGTTGATTCCGGGATCAGGCACGGCACTGCTGGAGCTGGTTGCTGCCCGTCTGCTAAGGCGCTGGAAAATGTTCACCATGGTGGTGAATACTTCGGGACTGGGGGTCACGGCCAGGAACAGGGAGACTGGATTATATACCTTGCCGGAGGATCCGGAGGTCGCCTTCCATGGATGACATCGGACAAGAGCGTGAATTCCGTTGCCTGGCTATGCCAATACTTAGGGTTTCCAGGAGTGACGTCGACGAGTAGTGCGATAAGATAGTGCGGACCCAGACGTCTAGAAAGAAAGTCACAAAGTGCCTTTCCAACGTATCAGACAGACAAGATCAGATTCTAGGGCTATTCTAATTGTAAGTGGGACAAAGGAAATGTGGAAACGCTCAATCCGCCAATTCTATCAGATGCCTGAGATATTTGCGCTCCCGCTGTCAAAAGTTGTCAGCCATTTCCGGTCCTCATTAACATTGTCCGACACATTTCCATCATCCACAATATACTGTTGATAGGCTTTCCGCAGGAGACTCTGCCGTGCAACCTCGCAGTCAATTCGGATATCCTCGATCAGTGCCTCCAGTGAGACATAGTCGTATTCCGGGCGGATGTACCCCAAGATCAGGAGGTTGAGCTGGGTGCCATAGAAATCGGGCAGACGGTTGAATGTAGGCTGCGCGACCGCAGTCGGAGAGGGTTGGGTGAGAGGGGGCATAATGTGAATCTCCTGGAATGCAAGGTGAGCAGTTTGTCATGATGAACTGTGGGGAGAAGACTTGGCACATACCACCGACCGCACAGTATTCTTATAGAACGGGTTATACCCAATGCTCAGCACAGCCGGCAAAATAGTCGCTGAAGAAGATTTCTCATCTCCATTTATCGATCCGTTCTCATGCGCCAGGGTCTTAGGGTCCAGCGCAACCACGCCGTAGTATACGCCAGAGGTCAGGTCGGGATGGTTCTCGGTCAAGTCGTCGGCGGGGATATTGGCCGTGGGGATTCCTAGCTGTAGTTGCAGACGTTATTCATTTGTCCATAAACGCAAGGTCTCAGATCGAGAACAGCGATTCGCAACATACATCCTTGCTCCCCCGCCCGAAGCCCTTAATGACCGGTCCCGACAATCGCACGGGGTAGGGGGGCTCCGGGCCAGCGTCAGGCCCAGCAACAGGATCGCGCGGCTTATCAGGACGCATGCTGTATGACTTTATGAAGTGCGGGGAGGGAAAGCGCAAGGGGCAGGCAGAGTCGCGACGAAGGTTGTGTGAGTCAAGAACGGCCGGGGCGCGGGGCACTCGGCGACTTCGGGACTGCGCGAATACGAGATAGCTGATAAGCCAGATTCGAGGGCTTGGGAGCCTTTTTGCTGACAGAGAAGGGAGGAGAAGGCTGTACGTCTCGTCTCGGAGGATCGGAATGGGGCAATGGCGTGCTGGCAGCCGTGGGGTTGAAGCGGATTGTCAACCGGCGGGCTTGGAACTATCGATAAGCACTCACACCTGAGGCACATCCAAAGCTCTCGAACCACGGGGGTGAAAACCCGCCAGGGCTGATTTACTACAAAAGCTGTGCTAGCTACAATTCTGTACACCGGAGGATACGCGATCAGTAGTGGAGTCATTTAACACACAATGCATAGGGGGAAACAGCATGTCCAGGTACAATACACATCAACCAGGTTCAAGATATAGTGACGTCCACACACCAATGGCATTATATCTCATAAATAACACAGTTCCAGCCCACAGATATCATTTTTTGTCCCCTTTGAGCGCCGCAAAATAAAAAATGTCAACGGACAGCTAGGCAAGGCAAAGCCGGGGCGATCAAACACCAGACATATGTACTGACGAAAAACAGAAGACTGGAACAAAGGGCAGGGGAATCATACAGTCCCAGGAACAGGAAGAATATGTACCGGAATAGAGAGACAAACAAATAGAAGACACGAAAAAGGAACTCAAGAGTAGAACCGAGTAAGGGTATGAAGAAAATCGACAACGGAGCATGCAACGAAAAGAGGATGACATAAAAACAAGACGGAGACATCCGAAAGTGAGGGAATCAAATGCATGGTAAGAACTATCGAGTATGTTAGTTGCTGAGTTGCCATCGTCCAAAGCGTTGCGGGTCTTCACTCACGTTCATCACGATTAGCATCGGAATGTCGAATACATCTCGCTTGACTGTCCAGCAGTACGCGCATTCGACTTTGCCGTCCTTGGAGCCCAACTGATTCATACCAGCCTCGCCGGAAATCCCGCCCTTGCGCAGGTGGTTATTCCACTTCCCTTTCTCATCGGACTGCGCGCCCTCCATGTCCTCTTTAGTTTTGTACTTGAGCAGTTTGCACCGCGTCATCACGCTACCGCGGGAGTCGCCGAACGCGAGGCGTGCAAAATCCTCATAGAACTCGACAACACTATCATCATCCAGCAGCTCCGCCAGGAAGACTGGTTGCGGGCGTCCGTTTCCAGTGTTCTCTAGCGTTGAGCTGCGCGGCGTGAAGCTCCCGCGAGATGTTGTGCCAGATTGCGGTGCTGAGCCGCCCGTATTGACATTGAGGTTCGGCTCCTTGCCCAGGAGGATGTCCTTCTTCCACCCGGTCAGAATGCTAAACTCCTTACCTACGGCAGCGATCTCGCCTGTACGCCGGCAGACGATGGTGGGAGTGCCGCAGGCATTGATGAAGTCTTCGTATTCCCAGAGTGTCCGCTGGAAGCACTTTTCCATGAAGATAAGATCATCGCGATTCAATGTTTTGGTTGTCGCGATGAAGGAAGGTCGAATCGAAGCGAGCGCTTTGGCGATGCGCACGGTCTTCTGTGGCGTAAACCGACGCTGGATGAATGCAGTGAGGTTGTGGAACCCATTCGTGTATCCGTACGGCTCTTTCACACTCTCATAGATGGAGGACGGGTTGCGATGACGTCGCTTCGGTCCCACCTGCAGATCGCGGTGCTTCAAGCTCGGCGTGGTGATCAGCGGTCGCTGGCTATTCGGCGCCAGGTTACTACTCGACTTAGGCACGCTGTTGAACGACGAGGCATCCTCCAGCCCGGCCACCGTCACATGCGGGCTAGTCACGGACCCAGGACTGGCGAAGCTCCCCGGACCGCTCTCGATCGCAAAGGCATGCGGCGCGTCTGCTTTCATGTGGCCAGGCAACATGCCATTTTGGCCGTACACACCGCTGACGTTCACATGCGGCTGGCCCGAGGCCTGCCCAGTCGACCAATCATTGAGCAAGGGATCGCCAAACATGAATGGCGGTTGATTCCCCGGACTTTCGCCAAACCCAGGAGCTGGCGTGGAGAACTGGGCAGACCCACTGCGGCCGATCGACCCTCGCTGCCCTGCCGAATCGGTCGGCGAATCTCCCGCTCCAGTGGCCATGTGACCGAGCATCCCAAACTCGAGAGCCCCATAGCGATTCTCGAAGTTCATGCTGGACAGGTCGAAGTTGAAGAGTGCGGGGTCACTGGGGTCAAAAAAGGGTCCTGCAAATGGATTCTGCGGCTGGTTGGTGTCCCCCGAAAGAGCCGTGCTGGGAGTCGGCTGCTGGTTCACAGTAGACGATAAGCTGGGATTCCGACCATTGGTGCTGCTCTTCAGGTTGAAGCTCGGTGATACAGGGGATTGGGTGGTGAACGGGCTCTGGCTTAATGTCGCGTCCTGGTACATGTTGTACGATCCTGGCTGCGGCTGCGGCTGTGGCTGAGGCGTGGGATAGAAACTGGCGGTATTTGGGGCTTGCTGTTGCTGTTGCTGTTGCTGTTGCGACGGCGGTGGCGGCGGCGGCGGCGGCTGCTGCTGCGGTGTGGTGGTAGAGCCATTTCTGGACACGGGCAGTCCATTTCGTAAGCCGTTGTTGTTGCTGCTGCTCTTATTATAAAGACTGCCCGTCACACCGGGCATCAGTGCTCCATCCGGAGCATCGTGGAGATACTTGGCCTTCTTGCGAACACCATCGTGGCATGCGTCCTGAAGGCCGCGCTTGATACAGCGCTGGCAGGGTCGCTCGTCACCTAGAACACCGAATACAAAGATTAGCCAAGACTGGACTTCGTTTTACTCGAAGGTATGCGCATGCGGGGCGCATGTCGATCGAAAGAAGTGCATACCGCAAGTCAAATGGGCACGCTGGCAGGCAAAACACGCCCTTCGGGCCTTCTTCCGGCGCGGTCGCGAAGGGTCCTTCGCATTGGCAGCTTTCCGGCCATTCTCGGCCTTGCTACCGTCGCCATTTATCTTCTCCTTGACAGAATCCATCTGCTCCGAGTACTCGGGGGCATCGGCGGAGTCGCGATCGCCACCAGTTGGGTCGGTAGGAGTCGGAAAGCCGTTTTTGGCTTCCACGTTCATTTCGTCATGTATGCCCCGGCACGGGCGAGGGCGAAGGAATTGCGATCACGCGTCCAACGCGCGGGTGGTTCTACGAGTCTGATAGTGTGGAAGAAGCCTTCCAGCACTTTTGCGTTCGCGATCTCAAGATCTCGATATGTGGTGACGACGGGACCATCCGCGCACCCGCGAATATCTCGGGCGGGCGGAGACACGTATCGTATTGGCGCACTGCGCACCTCTGTCGGGCTTCTGGGCCCAAATAAAACGGTCGCAAACTCACGTCGGCTGCTGTTCCGGTATGTCCTTCCACTGGTATCGCTGTTGGCGGCGGCTGCGGGTCGCGTGTCCTATTGTCGCGCGCCTGCGACCAATGTTGGCGGGGAAAGAGAGGGCAGGTATTGGGGCGAGTCACGGGGGTAGCCGGAAACAATCGACTCGAAGTAAGACGGGGCCGCAGAGATCGGACGCATTGAAGAATCTCGAACGGGGGTGACACACGAGAAATCGAGGCGACAGGGCCAGGCAGGAAAATGCCGCAACGGTTTTCGGGCGCAGCTGGATTCGGGAGTGGAGAGGGGCGGCAAACTGTTCGGCTGCGGGGAAGGCGGGAATTAATCCAGTCCGAATGAGCTGAGAACAGTATGCCGCAAGGGCCTGACAGAGAGGAGAGGAGAGAGAGGGAGGATAGGCGGGGAGGGAAGCCAGATACCCGTCAGATCAAAGCGCGGGGGAGTCGAAGGAATTTGAGGGACTTCTGGGAATGGTGTCTGCGATCGGAATGTTCCCGTGACTGGCGGCTTCCACGAAGCATCCAACAGGCAGGACTTCAATCGGGCCAATTCCTGTACGAACCGCCAGAGGCCTCGCGTGAGGAGTGACTACGGGGTGTTCTTTTGCTTTTTCTCTTTTCTCTTTTGCGATTCTTGAGTTTTTTTCTCCGCGGCTTGTTCTCCTTGGGATGTCGCCATAGCTTGCCTGACTATGTCCGCACGGATGCATATACTTCATCAAGCCTAATTTCGTTTTACTTTTTTCAGGTGGCTGATTAAAATGCGATACGGAGAAAATAGACGATCCTCATTACCACCCATTCTGAGTGCCTCCGATAAACTGTCAGAACCAGAGTCAATGCCTGTCACTAAGGTATTCTCTTCCCCCCACCAGGACCTGCATCAACGTGCAACACTCACATGCTGACGATTTGGGTGTCGGCGACTGGAGCGCGGCATTTCTGAGGGCGTAATTTGGGAGGCTGTACCGGCAAATACCGTACGTGTACAGTCCGAACGCGTTGAGCCGCACTGATTGGCCACGTTGAAAGCGGAAGATTAAACGTCCCCGCGGAGTCGCACGTGTGGTTTCAAGCAGCAAGACTCATATAACCCCCTGCCCTATCCAACATAGTTCGCTGTAATTTGTATTACATTCACTCACTCATAGACATCCTGCATCATCCCAATCCCTGTCCACAAACTTGGCCCTGGCATTGACTCAGAAAGCGCCTCACGGCCCCTGCACCGCCCTGGTCTCGCCCACGGTCGGGAACGCGCCCCAGCTCCGTTGTATTCCGAGGCTACGCAGGCTCCGCGGCGAGCCTCGGTTAGCTTCATTAACAGAGCCAGAGCTGGATCGTTCGACTGAGTAATCGTTCTATTTCCATTTTTTCGCTAATCAGTGCTCAGCTGCAGTGGATCCCATCGATGGGGTCTGGTGTATCTAAATGGGGACCACATCGTTCGCAACTGAGCCGGAACCTAGTACGGAGTACTGGGGAGTGGGAGACAGATTCAGTCCGAATAACTACACTCCAGCCCGTATTTCACCCCTATAGCGACGGGTGAATTGTGGCCATCCTGACTCTGATTCAACCGCCAAGACTAGAAATCATGAACGATCACAGGGACCAGGGGTCGGAAAACATTGAAACCTGCGAAGCGACTCTAATAATGCGATTATAGTACGTACTTTCATAAACTCAATTTCTTCCTCAATGGGTCTTCCTCCGTAGAAAGATTCGCATTGCAATTCCAGCTGTAGGTGGGACGGACGACAGCTCGGTTGTTGGACCTTGATCCTGGTGCAAGGGTTTGAGCGCAGGCCCTATAGCTCTCAGCAGCTCCCATACCCGCTTCCAAACTGCTTGTCACCGGGTCACAAAGCAGAAGGCTCCGTGTCTTGCAGCGCATGACACCTAGTCTTGCCTTGATGTGCTGGTACAGCGTTGAGCTGCCACCACATCGAGGACAGATGCAAATATCGCTACAAACGCGCAGTCAGGGACTGGCGCTTTAGAATGCACGCTTGACCACCATGCGTGGTATGTATTGCATATAGAAATGAGGAAAGAGGGACTGGTTTCTCGATGGCGGGGCGTGGAAAATCACATCTGCGACCTTGCGAAGCGACTCTTCTTGCGAATTTGAGCGCCATATCGGAAGAAAATATACCTATATGTGCATCAGACGAATGTTCGAGAAAAGATTTGGCAGGTGAAGTTGGCGCTGGGGTGGGGCATTATCAAAGCCACATGCAGCGGGGATGTCGAGGCACACGCCTGGGCCGACCTCCGTTGGCTCAATGTCTCTGAAGATCTCCAAATGCAAGGGAAAAGACAAGACGAGCGTCATGGTATGTACCACCAGCAATGGGGAGGGAATGAACAGGGCAACATCGAATGACAGCAAAGAAAATAAATCTCACTTACGGGAAGGGAGTCATGACAAGGGTGAGAAAGGCGAGCAGCGACGTCGCCCAGTGGAATCCAAGGTTGTTATACACTACGTAACCGTTAGCCATCACAGTCCGTACGCGATCTCCTCTCGAGCAGGCTGCAATTCATGCCACGGCGCCTCTCGGCCAAGACATCCCTAACGGCTTATTGGAGGTACTTGGCATCTGCCTTGCAGCCCGGGATTCTGTTCGCTGCATGCAGAGCACAGTTCCTTAAGCCCCGATCGCGGGTCGCAGGTATGAAAATAGAACTGGCAACCAAACTTACTCTGAATCCCAAACAGGGGAAATATCCCTCCAAAGCTTGACCGCATGAAGCTGTTCGCTGCCAGCGCGCTCGCCGCAAAGTCGGGATAGGCGTCAACCAGGAACGTAAAGACGCCTGAGAAGACCAGGACGGTCCTGGAAGTAACACGAGGCAATCAGCATCGCAATTTCAAGTTGAAAATACAGGGATGCAAGCACCGCCTGGGGGTCAGCCAGTGAACGTACCCTGCGCCAAATAGGGCGCTGCCAATAACGGGCGCGATCCAGTGCACATCGGGGTAGGTGGTCCAGGCGAAGATGAAGAGGCCGATAGTGACCAGAGGACCGCCCAATATTGCTAAATCATAACGGATTAGATGGCACTCTCTCATGCTGAGAAACCTTGGAACCTTACCAGGAGGTAGCCGCCATTCAGGCTGGAACTCATTGGTACTGTTCGTCGCCTTCAGGAAATTGCGTTCCAGGCGCATATAATTGCGACGCCAGATGGGATCTGACATAATCGCAAGCACCATGCCGACGAAAAGACCCATGAAGCAGAGACCCCGCTGCCACTGGTTGAAGCCATACACCTCGTTGAAGACCAATTGGAAGGCGCCGAAGAAAAGGTACAGGATACCCAACAGGATCGCGGAAAACACACAGAGATTCAAGCACATCGGCTCCATGGTTAGGAGCACCAGGGGGCGGTGCATCGATCTCAGGACCGTTTGCGCTACCGATCGCTGCATTTTCTCGATCGGCGCTCTCCATCGGTCGTCTCCGGTCTCCCTACGGAGTCTCTGCGCCTTGCGCCGCAGAAGCCTAATTGTGCGGGTTAGTACCTGAATTACACCGCCGCCGTTCTTTGGTTCGATGGGGAAACATACACAGGGTGATAGGTTTCTGGAACAAAGAAGATTATGAAGCCCAACTGGACACCGGTCCAGATCAGGAGAACATAGAAGGTCCAGCGCCTGAGAAAATGTTAGCCTCGATTACTGGAGAGCCACAACGGTAGCACTGACCAGCTAGTGTAATAGTTGATGAAGCCACCGACACTATAACAAAACGTTAGGTTCTGAACACAACCATGCCATACATCGAAGGTGCTTACAGAGGACCGATTTCGGGGCCAATAAACGGACTCGCTGTATAAAGCATCATGGGTAAGGCGAGCTCGTGTCGATTAAACATATCGCCGACGGTGCCACCGGCAACGCTCAAGAATGCACTTCCAGCTAGGCCATTGAAGAATCGGCTCACGAGCATAGTCTCGGTGTTCTTCGCCACGGCGCAAGGAATGAGCCAAATCAGGAACAGCGAGAAAGATACAATGTAGATGTTTCGCCGACCGTAGAACTAAAAGTGGTCAGCTTGGTGGATTTCCATGGAGGAGTTCTCGAGCTTGGGCTCACCTCTGAAAGCGGACTGAGGAAGAGTGGTCCGATTCCTGCACGATGCTCTTATTAGCAATCCTCCCAGAACGAATGATTGTCGACGGTGACCGACCTAGACCCCAGATGAAGAAAGACAATCCCAGCGTCGCTACCTCCTGCGAGCAGCCGAACTCGCTCATCAACTGGCCATACGTCGTGGTATACATGGACGAGGTACAAGTCCTGTAATGAATGGGTCAATATCATCATCAACATCCACAAACACGACCAAACCAACAATCATCAGTGCGCACTCACACACAAAACGATCCCATCGAAACAATCAACGTAATCAACCACCTCCTCGCCTTGCTCATCGTGCGCGGGTTCATAGCATCATTCTCATCCCAGCCCACGGTGTACTCATCGTCCTCGTCCGGCTGCCCCGCCTCAACCACCTCCTCCGCCTCATACTCATCCCTCGCCGGGCTAACACCATCATTCAAAGACCAGCTGCGCTCCAGCGAGCGCGTCCGTGACAGATTCGTTCGCTCCTTCTGCACCGGCATACCATGCTCGTCGAAATCCGTCGGCGCTACAATCGGCGCAAAAGCTGCGTCCTCAGATTTCGTCTGCTCGAGGCCGTCCCCATCATCGCTCCTCTCCGGGGAAGAACGCTGTGAGTCCATGGTGCTCGTTTATCGAGCGTTTGTAAAGATTCTGGTCGGCGAGTTCGGCGTGTGTGGGGTGAAAAGTAAATCGGCAGGGAGTCAGTCCATCCAGCCAAGCACCGACAAGCAACCCCGTGCGTGATCGTATAGGTTGGTCGCAGGTACTCTCTAGCACGAGCGCATGTCCAAGTTTTATCTTGAATTCGCGGTTGCTGCAAGGCTCGCAAGAGCATCGGTCTTCAGGGGCCCCCGGGCCGAGCTGATTAATCACCTTTATCGCGACGCCGCAAGCCTAAGGGAATGGCGCTAGAGGACCCCTCCCCAATTGAAGCAGTTCCGCTTTTTTTCGCCTCCCTCGGGCTGGCCCGGGTGATATTATATCCAGGGCAGAGGGGTAGAGGGGTAGCTCAGGGGGATCGGACGGGACTACGGGATTGTCATTTAGGATTTTTATTCCATACTGGAGCGGTTTATTATGTTTTGACGGACTATGCAAGCGCTAGAAAAAGCGATGGGAAAGGCAAATGTTGTGCGTATGCCCCTAATTTAAAATTAAATGTCCGATTCGCTCGAATGGAAGGCCCACTAAGACCGAGTTTACTAAAGCTTGCTCTTAGCCTCGAAACTCTGCGCCGTACAGCCTCGGAGAATATAGTTAGAATATAGTTTGACATGGGGGGCGGATCTGAGAAAGTGCCAATGACGCACGTACTAAAACGGCCCTGCATTGCTGGCTCCCACGTGGCACAAGCTAGACAAGGTTCTGGGCACCGGAAGTGCATGCATGATCCCGGCTGACAGACACCTCAGATGCTTAGTCAATTGGATCAAATCAATTTACTGTACAATGAGAGAAGTGAACTCGGACTCGGGTATGTTCATTAACTATAAATGCTAACACTACGTCGGCACAAACCCGTTGAGCAACGTCACTCCAACGGAACAATCAGGACAACAGGGGGAAGCGTGGGTAAGAAGCTCCCAATCAAAGCAAGACCCATCAGAACAGTACAGTAATCGCCAGAGCCCCCAATTCTCCAAGCCAGTTCCAAACTCCTTGATAGACATCCAACGCGGCCAACCAAAGTGGATGCTATCCCCAAAAATTATCGGATCTTCCAGAAACCCATAGACCGTCCCAAACTCAGCTGTACATGAATGGAAAGTGCGCCGTATATCGCCGATTTTTACCAAGTCAGGTCAAGACATGACAGGACAAGACAAGATATGAATAACCTCTTCTTTACAGAGCCTGGGACAACTGGCTCATTGCACCGGCGGCGTTCTCCTCAGCCCAGGAGCCCCACAAAGCCTGTTTGCCGCGGATCTTGAGAGGGGAGCCGATAGACTTGGAGCCCTGCTCGACCTTGACAGCGTCCTTTGTGGCCAGCACCAGGATCTCGAAGAACATCTTGGTGGCGTCCGCCTTGCTGGAACGCTGCTCGGGGAGGAGGTCCTGGAAGACAATGGCTTTCTTCTGCTCGGCGGCGGAATCGCCGAGGCGTTCGCGCAGAATGTGCACGGCGTGCTTGGTGCCCATGGACACGGGCTCGGTGTCCACGGGGCGAATGGTGTCATCCATGTCGTCAAGAGGGGCGTTCATTTCGTCGTCGCTCATGGCCGTGTCGTTAATACCGCCGTCGCCGGGGAAGTCAATCTCGGATGGCTGGTTCAGGCCAATGTCGAGGCTAATGCCCTCATCGACGGTGACAAGGGCTTCCTCCTCGCCAATCTCCAATTCAGGGACATTAGCAGCCACGTCCATGTCGGAAATGCCACTGTCGCGCTTGCGCTTCAGCTCACCAGCCTTCTTGACAGATTCCAGAGTCAGGAGCCCACGGAGCTCGGGGGCCCAGCCATGGCTGCGCTCCTCACCGAAGATGCTGGAGACGAAGTTACCGTTCTGTTGCCGGATCATGAGAGTGCGGAGGACGGGGTCACGGGGCAAGAAAGTGAGGGGCTGCATGAGAGCAGAGCGATCAGCCGCCAGCTCCCTGGCCTCCTTGCTACTGTAGTTAGTCTCAACATCCACTTCAATGAGCTTTTGTCGCTTGGCACGCTGACCGTGCTGCATGGCCCGAACTTCAGTCTCAGCAGTAGCATCACGGTTGAACTCCGCCTCAAGCTGGTTCATCTGAATCGAGCCGGCGTCGGAAAGCGGGCTTTCGGTATCACGCGCGAAGCGGGTCTCCTCTGCGCGCGGGGTCTCGCCGCCAAGGCCGTGGTCATCGCCGAAATCCATAGGACCATCCATGAGCGGGTCATTCATGGTGTCGAAACCATCCATACCAGAGTCAACCTTGTCAAGAGGGGCATCATCAAAATCGAGGTCGAGATCGCCATTGTCGTGGAGTTTACCGGAATCACTAAACAAATCCTCATCCATTGGGCGAGCCGGTGGTGCGTCACGACCCATTTCCACACTGTTTTCCATTCCGAGGGGAAGTTCATCCTCGCCGAGGTTCAGATGGACCAGGGAGGGGTCTTCAAGGCGGGCAGGCTCCTGGGACATGGAGCGGCGGAAACTGCTATCAGGCAACATCTGGCTACCAAAATCCATAGCGCCCGGTCGTTTGCCTTCTAACTCCAAGCTCAGGTTCTGAGGGAACAGCAGAGACGTATCAAGATTGGTGAAAAGGTCGGATTCAGTCAGTACGTCGGGCAAGGTGATGCCACCTGGCGCGACGACTGTGGTCGTCAAGTCGTTGTTATTTGTAAGGCGGAAGGCCTATAGTCCCATCCATTAGTCTTTGTTCCTTTCAGCACCTAGTGGTCAAAACGTCTGATACACACCATTTTGATCTTCATCAATGCTTCGTTGCAGTCGTCCAGCAGGTAACGCGCCTTACGGCTGTAGATGCGCACGACACCGAGCAGCAGCTGGCCACTCAGTCGCAAAGCCATGGGCGCTTGGCCCTGGTCGACAATGGCACTGACACTGCTCTCAATATCAGACTGCAGAATGTGCGACTTGGACAGTTTGCGCTCGATGTTGGCGGACAGCCAGACGCGGGCCAGCGGCCCTGTCTTGGACAGGAGGGTTTCGGAATAGAACATGGCGCGTGATGACACACGGAAGAATTATACACAGACGAGATGGACTCCAGATAGTGGAATGGTCACCACCCGCCCGGCGCGGGGTGAAGGCGTAGCAGGGGTTTGACGCGCTGAAGCCGGGAAAACAAAGACTCGAGCGGATTGCCCTGGGAGCCACTGATGTGGTAGCGTGAGCAAGAGGATTTGGAGTATATCCGACGAAACGAGGCAAAATTGAGAATCACGTCGCGTTGGGGTCACGTCGAAGATGGGGCGCGAGGGATAGGTTGGCTGAGAGGCCGGAGAGGAACGAGGATGCGCGTCGGTGGGAATCAGGCCTCGAGTCAGGTGAGCCCAGCCTTTTGGGGGGTTTCAGGCAGTTGGGGAATTCGAGGGGGCTGGGTGGGGTGCCTTGGAAACGAGGAATGCACACATGTTACGTAAGTTAATCGCTCAAGGCGAATGGTTAAGGTTAGGCAAATCTGAACTATGCCCAATGCAGATTATTCGGATTAGCTTTTCCTCCGGTCGCTCTAACCTCAATGAGTAAAGCATCAGCATGGAACTTGGCCGCTTCCAGAGTCGACAGTTCAGCGTCGGAGTTCGCGATTCTTTGGCGAGGCTCAACACTGCAGCAACTTCTCCTTTTTTTTTGCATACTTTCTCCTCCACTTGCCGTTGCTGCTTTGCCTTCACGCTCGTCGACCCTCCGACCTTATATGGCTCTTGGTCCCCATTCAGTCCCATTGCCAGTCTAGCCCCCCGTTCAAAGCTGCGGCCAGATCGCATCTCTAGGACGTGAGCGCAACACACCAATTTCAATCCGGACGGGATGCGAAGTGCTCGACAATAGATTTGACGCGTTTTTCTTTTCTTTATCCCCTCTTTTACCCCCTCTCTTTCGGTCAAAGCATGAGAGATGTCAAGGTCCGCGACACCTGCGTTGCCTCTGCATAATGCACCAAACTCCGACTCTCCGCGGGGCCCATCCGCCAACTCGTTAGGGGTCCGGCCAGATGCTCCTTCATCGGTATGTGCACAACTCAATTTGAATGGAGATTGTCAATGTTCTTTCCGGCCTCCTTGATCGCAATGCCATCGATTGCCTGTATTCCGCGACTAATTCCGGGCGGATCCGCCATTTTAGGCTTCAACCTCCACATACTCGTGGCTCGAACCGCATGAAACCGCTGAAAGATTACATACCTCCCTCTTGCATGGCCTGACTCCCGCAGAGGCTGAACTGCGCATCGCACGGGATGGCCCCAACGAACTCCCCTCCGAGGAGCCAGAGCCCCTGTGGTTACGGTTCCTCAAGCAGTTCAAGGAAACCCTCATCCTCCTCCTTCTGTCATCGGCTGGAATATCATTCGTGATGGGCAACTACGATGACGCCATCAGTATCACTCTCGCGGTTACAATTGTGGTGACGGTCGGCTTTATCCAAGAGTACCGATCGGAGAAGTCACTGGAGGCGTTGAGCCGTCTGGTCCCACACTATGCCCACCTCATCCGCGCTCTGCCATCTGCAACAAATGCTGCTGCGGACCCATCGGTTGCTGGAGAAGAACTGGATGAATTTCGGAGTAAGAGTCCTGGCTCGGCCTCTGCTGCCATGAAAGCATCCACAACCGTCCCAGCCGCTCATCTAGTGCCTGGCGACCTGGTCCTCTTCTCCACTGGTGACCGTATTCCCGCCGATATACGAATCACTGCGGCCACGGATCTCACGATTGATGAGTCGAACTTGACAGGTGAAAATGAACCCGTGGTCAAATTCTCTCCCGCACTTCGCAGCCACCACCACCATCTTGGAGCCACACCGGCTCTGAAGGTCGCCAGTCCTCCTCGCTCGCCATTCTACGATGCCCCTGCCACCGGTGCTGTTGGTGCCGATATCCGTCTTAATGAGCAACACAACATTGCATTCATGGGTACACTCGTCCGTTCTGGGCATGGCCAGGGTATTGTTATATCTACAGGCGCAAAGACGGAGTTTGGAAGCATCTCAGCTTCACTACAGGAAATCGAAAGCCCCCGGACTCCTCTACAGCTCTCCATGGACCGCCTTGGTCAGGAGCTGAGCTATATCTCATTTGGTGTCATCGGGTTGATTGTGGTTATTGGAATCTTGCAGGGACGCAACCTGCTTGAGATGTTTACAATTGGCGTTTCACTGGCTGTCGCTGCAATTCCAGAGGGTCTGCCTATCATCGTGACTGTCACTCTTGCTCTTGGTGTACTGCGTATGGCTAAAAGGGGAGCAATCATGCGCCGACTTCCCAGTGTTGAGACACTGGGCTCGGTCAATGTTGTCTGCAGTGACAAGACTGGTACTCTCACCATGAACCATATGACGGTCACCAAAATGTGGCACTTTGATAGTGAGGAGCCATTTGAGATTCAGCGGGACATGGCCTCGGTACTTTCGCTTGGTCCCGCAGCACGTACTATTCTCCGCGTTGGTAACGTTGCCAACAACTCTCGTCTCTCACGAATCCATGCCAACTCTCCCGCTAGCGCATCCTCTGCGGCGGTTCTTTCGTCTACTGTTGACAGAGACTCGACTGCTGTGAAGAGTCGTTGGGTCGGTCAGCCTACGGATGTCGCTATATTGGATCTGTTGGATATGCTGGGTGAGGATGATGTCCGTGAGCGAATTAGCGCTCGTGTATCTGAGACGCCATTCAGCTCTGAGCGAAAGTGGATGGGTGTCATCATTGGCAGCCGCAGCCCTGGCGATTCTGACGTTGCATATATAAAGGGTGCCATGGAGCAGGTCCTGGCTCGTTCTGACACCTATCTAACTAAAGATGGTCGTGAAGTCATTCTGGACGAGCCCCGCCGCAAGGTTATTCGTGAGGCTGCAGAACGCATGGCCAGCGAGGGTCTGCGAGTGCTTGCCTTTGCCAGTGGAGCTGTCCGCGCTGCTTCCCGCGGCATGCGAGGGTTTGGTAGTCGTTCTACTACTCCTTCCTCCAAATCCAGCAGCCCCGTTGATGACGATGATCGCTATAATGGGTTGGTCTTCGCCGGCCTGGTCGGCATGAATGACCCGCCTCGCCGGGATGTGCACAAGGCTATCCGTCGCCTTATGGCCGGTGGCGTCAGAGTCATCATGATCACTGGTGACGCCGAGACTACCGCCGTGGCCATTGCAAAGAAGCTTGGGATGCCAGTCAACGAGTCTGCGAACGCACGGTGCGTTATGCGCGGCGATGAGATCGACCACATGAACACGGGCGAGCTCGCCCAGGCCATTTCCACCACTTCGATCTTCGCCCGCACGAGCCCGGACCACAAAATGAAAATTGTGCGCGCGCTTCAGTCTCGTGGAGATGTGGTCGCTATGACCGGAGACGGTGTCAACGACGCACCGGCGCTCAAGAAGGCCGACATTGGGATTTCCATGGGTAAACTTGGCACCGATGTTGCGAAGGAGGCCGCCGACATGATTTTGACGGATGATGATTTTTCGACTATTCTCCGCGCCATTGAGCAGGGCAAGGGTATCTTTTATAATATTCAAAACTTTATCACGTTCCAACTCAGCACCAGCGTGGCTGCTCTCAGTCTTGTATTGCTGAGTACCACACTCGGATTCAAGAATCCACTGAATGCCATGCAGATCTTGTGGATTAGTGAGATCTCCCCCCCCCCCCTCATATGCATGATTCCTTTTTGATCCGCCCCACTAACTTAGATCTCCAGATATTCTCATGGACGGCCCACCAGCTCAATCTCTCGGTGTCGAACCCGTTGACCCCTCGATCATGAACAGGCCTCCGCGTCCCAAGCACGCGCGTGTCCTCACGAAACCCCTCATCCAGCGCGTCCTCACCTCCGCCCTGGTCATCATGCTCGGCACCCTTGCCATCTACATCCACGAGATGGGTGAAGTAGACGACGGCCAACCCTTGGGCAAACGGTCCCGGGTTGTGACCGCCCACGACACCACCATGACATTTACGTGCTTCGTCCTCTTTGATATGTTCAACGCTTTGACCTGTCGCAGCGAAGGCAAGTCTGTTCTCCGCGGCGAGCTGCCCCTCTTCGGCAACAAAATGTTCAACTACGCCGTGCTGGGCTCCCTGGCCGGCCAAGCCTGCGTCATCTACCTGCCCTTCCTGCAGCGCATTTTCCAGACCGAGCCGCTCGGCTTCGGATCGCTGTTCAAGCTAGTCTGCATTGCCAGCTCGGTGTTCTGGGTTGACGAGGGTCGCAAGTACCTCCATGCCCTCCGCCGCCGACGCGGTCTAGGTGCGGGGTATAGTGTCAATGTGTAATGTGTTTTCTTCCGGAGGTCATTGTTAGACACGTTTTAGACGGAGTCAGTGTGGCTGTTTTGTAACCTATCTGAGCGGATTGATATCCCCTATACATAATAGAGCTATTCTATGCATTGAGCATTTTGGTTGGCTACTTGCATTTAAAATATTTAGTTCGTGCATGAAGGAATGCTTGATACGTGTCTTTTTGTCTTTTCCAGCAGGTTTTTTGCAAATAAGATAAACTTCTGTGCATGTTTTGTCTCGTTTTCTACTTCGTTTCGCCATTTGTTTGCTCACTCACAGTCTTCTAACCCTAGGGAACTGCACCTAACCCCACCACCGTCTGTGCCTTCCCCGTCAGTGGATTAGCCAAAACAAAATCCCTTCATTTACAGCCCATATATTCACGAGAATAGCAAAAAATTGACCGACGCAGGGGTCGAACCTGCAATCTCTTGATTCGTAGTCAAGCGCCTTGCCATTGGGCCAGCCGGCCTTGTTGTTGAGTAAAGTGAAAATTTTGCTACATGAGTGGGGCCACAAGAAAGGGCTACGTCGGATGGGGTATCACCGTGTGTGGATGCACTGACGGGTTACTCCAACATTGTATACTGGTCAGGTGAACTTCTGCTTTCCTTGGACAAATTATTGTCCAGTTGCGTGGACTAGAAACTATAGGTGGTTGCTCTTGTCATTCTGTTTTTGAGAGCTTGACTGCTCCATGGTTTACCCTAAGTTACGGTTGGGTATATGGGTATATATATTTTGGATATTTTGGATGGATTGTGAACCAAGCAACAGCGGATAAAACCGCCCTGGCTACCTTGACCCACTTTCAAGGTATAGGTATCTCAAACAACAGCCTGCCGTCAATATCATTCCAGCTATCTTGTCACACGCTACTTCACGGGGAGCCTGCGGTAATGAAACAACCCGGTGCAAAGGGAGCTCGAATAGAGCCAGCCCGAGCTGGAGAAGAGTCCCGTTGCAAAGTTGTGATGAGCGCATGCACCTTTCAGCTCTTCTAGTATCAGACAACTGCCGAGCCAAGAACGGATTACGGATGCCTTCCGCGAGATGTCCAGTGCCGCTGGAGAATAAAATATCGCGAGAGCCCCAGCCCTCTAGAAGCCAATTTCCGTGAAATGGAGTTACCGCTTTGGGGAGCTTCGCTGCAGGATAAACACATTCCCTTGTGGAGTGCTAATACCTACCAAGACTAACATAAGTTCTCGCAAAGAACTAACGAACAACGAGGAGCCGGATGAATATACACGGGATTTACCAATACTCCCTCTCACCACCACACTCTAGCCCAGCGTCGAATCAATTGTTGGACGCCTTTGTGTGCGTACGTGCGCTAGGATGCTGAGCCTCGTACCGCAATCTATAAAAGAAGAAAACCTCCTACTATATCTAGCGACCGGTGCCATACCTTACGAGAGCTCGTCGTCACGTTCAAAACTAACAAGATATGGATCGCCATGCTTGTCCGACTTGGGGATCATTTGAGTATGGCTTGGAACTCTCAAAACTTTCAATTGCTCTCACATGCCCACCTATATGCTGCTGAGCAAGTGCAGCTGCTGCTTGACTACCTATTCAGAGCCTTTTGGCCAAAGAGGCTTACAGCATGAAGTAAACGAGTTGACTATTGAAATTGAAGCTCGGATCCTCGACTGTCGCAGGCCAGGAATAAAGCTCAACTCAACTAACCTGATATTCACATTGCGCATATTCTGTTAGCCATCCCGACTCCTTGTATCATTGGATTCATTTCGACCTCTCACCCTCCTATCCGCCCAAGTTTCACGGTCTGCTGTTCTGCAGTCTCATTGAAGGAGATTGGGCAGTATTTTCTCAAATTATTATAGGAGCTGACAACTGCTGAAGGAGAGGCAGTAGCAGTCTGGGTGTAGTTTGAGATTGTGCTCGTGGTCACAAACCAACTAGTGGTATAGAAATGTTGCCGAGTTGTAGTTACAAGGCTAATGTTAGCGGACCGCACTATTATGGTGGGGCAGACCCTTTATTATGCGCTAAGCTCATCCGAGACCAGCTGATTGGATCCTTCTTTTATTTCCTTCAATTCTTCGTCTTCTCTCTTCTTTCCCTCACATCCAATTTCCTCATTTTATTTCAAACTCCGCTTCGCTTGCACATTTCCTGCTGGTGATTGATTCTAAGACATTCTCCACTTGGTATCGTTTGGCCGCCAACTTCAGGATAAGCCCCTGCCAAGAAAATCAATCGATCTTAAGTACCGAGACAATCTCGAATTACTCACTCTCTTACACTCTGTCCTACTATCATCCTTCTTGAGAATACTCTGCAATATGCCTGACTTTCGAGCCTGGCAGGCCGATTTGTTCCTTCTAGTAAAATCATTCACTCAGCGCTTATATGCATATTTTGACAATATTCTAGGAGCATTGGCAAGAAGACTCGTCGCTATCTGTTAATGCACAACGCGAGGAGATTTTTGCTAAATATATGGCACTCGGAGTCCGTGGTCGTGAGGTAATATGATTTTGGCCCCCTATTACTTTAACGAGAAAACTAACCTATCGGAACAGCCGTATCGAAACCAGAAGCGAAGACTAGAGGGTAGGTCTATACGAGATCTTCCGCTATATAGTCAAGAGCTTTTGGATCGTATCCGCCTACCTGCTGAGCGTGATTTGAATGATGACCCATGTTGGCTCCGTACCTACTATGACCCTTCCTCAGAAGACTCATGGGGTCAGATTCAAGATTACATTGATACCAAGATCGGCGGCCCAGTTACAGTTTACAACGACTCATCCTTGTATAACTTCGGTTCTAACTGGGAGAAGATTTTTCTTCGCGCTCCACAGCTACTCGATAATACTTGTTTGTTCGAAGAATACGAAGAGTATGTTGAGGAGGCCCTAGAAGAGGGAATTGAGTCCGAGAGCGGTGATGCCCAGCATGCCGGGGAAAACGGCTACGACCCAGTGGAGGATGAAAACCCTTGGATATGCTTTTATTCGGAGTACCTCTTCCGGTTGGCCGCAGGGCATATCTATATCGTTGATGAAAAAACTTTGGCCTCCGAAGGCCCCGACGCAGGGACCGTCCTCGTGATGTGGTACGACGAGTGTGGACGGGCAATCCGTTACTATCGTGAGGAAGCGATGCATGCAGCGGAAATTGCGAATCTTGCCCCTTGTTACCTCAAAGATTATGCGTGCTGGGATAATGCGGAGATTGGCGAATCCTATGAATGGGGTGCACCCTTAGGACCCCCCTACGGCGAAAACCGCAGAGAGGCCTCCGAGTAGCAATTTCATCACAGTGGACTCACCTTAAATACAACTATTTTAGCTTCAATATGCGCTCTAAATACATACCTCGTACCCTGGCCAAAATATTTCGTATTCGAACAGTGGATCTTATTGTGGCCCCCTGTTCCCATCTGAACATCCCAAGCGTTAGAGTATAAACCGTATGGGACAGGGCTGGACCTGGTGAGAACAAATGTGCGGTGCAGTTCTGTCCTATTTTACCAAAATGCATTAAATGATATCCACAGTTACGAAAATTAGGTACAGTCATTCTCGAAATTGCCTTGACCAGTACATCCTTCGTCTTCTCTATACCATCTTCACGCACAGGAGCCCTTTGGAGACTTGGGCTGGCCACTTTTATCCATCTGTTATTGCCAGCGCGACTGACACTGACCATAGAGGAAACATGGATTGAATCCGCTGGCCTAGTCAGTGCCCTACTATTCAAGTCCGCCGAACCAGGCAACATAATCAGATTCCCTCAGCCGAGTGTGCGGGCCCCCACTTAGTCCCCCGGGCTGGTCGATCATCTTCAGGGCGTGAGGACATATGGAGATCGCGCGGCGAGGGCCACCGCTAGTGAAGGACTAGAAGGCAGCCTAATGCACCTTTAAAATAGTGGCTGATCCCACGAGAGGGTGGATTTGGGATGCTTCGGTTTAGAACCAAGGACTGGTGGGAATGGGGATGGGCCGGGGTGGATGACGTGTTGGGGGAGAAAAAGGACTTGGTGGGCTATGGATGAGGTGGCAATTAGAGGGGGAAGGAAAGAACTCTAAGAACCGAGGATGGGCTTGTGGTCTACTTGATGGAGGACATGCTCTCTTGGGATTGAGAAAGCAAGAATTCGCAGCAATCGGATGGGATATGGGTTGGATCGCTAGGTTTTGTGCGGTGCTATTTACACGATGCAGCCCGAGTAGGTACTCCGTAGGTATTTGTGTGACTTGGCTAATGAATAGAGAGGCATCCGACTGGTTGGGTGGAATGGAATGCCGGGCTCGGGTTCTTGCTATATACAGTAGGTGCTCCTCCGTATCGGACATACTCTGGACGGGGAATAAACCCTTGTGTACGCGGAGATAAGGTGAGGCTGTGATAAGACCCCGTCCCAGGGCAGCGGGGCCCGGCCCACCGGGAGCGGGATCGATGACCAGTGCTCACCAGTGACCGTGGATTGGATTGACTTGAATCCGCGGCTTCGAGATTATTTTATCGACATGTACCTCCGTATACTGTATATTGGTATGTGGTGGAGTGACCCGACATACAGGTGGTTGATCGCTACTTCTCGCATCCCCGGGCTCCGGATCCTGGATGACATTGGGGTCGGGTCGTGGGTTGGTCGCATGCCGAAAGCTGGTGGCTCCCGAACTCGGCCCCTGGCCTTTCCCGAGACATCCCGAGACGGAAGAAGTCGGAGACGCTGTGGGGGCCAGATGCAGGCTTATCTGGAGCCAATCGCCGTCGCCCATTTGCGGCTGAGCCGATCGGCTCACTAGTCCCAATCAGGCAAAGTTCAGGCCCCACTTAGCGGCCGGTGGCGAGGGTTTATCTGCAGCCAATCAGCGGGGCAGTATTGCAGCCACAGTCGTCCAATTGCCTGCGGAGGATGGCAGCCGGTTTCTACGTTAAGACCGAATGGGCTGGTCTTTGGGCTGTTTGATGAGGCGATAAGCGGCCAGAGAGACTCGTGGGCAAGCGCCACAGCCCGATAAGCCGGACAGACGCGCTGGAGATAGGCGTGGGAGACGTGGTGGGAGGGAGATAGGAAAGACTGCAGACGCCTCCAACGTATATATAGGACGTATACGACCCTTCCGGGCCTGCAGGAGATGGAAGCCGACGCGTCTCGCCCGTTCATATGCTCCCCAGGATGTTTGCCCCGGCGGCAGCGCAGCACCTGCCGAAGTCTAGTGCGCTCTCCCTGGTCACCGGAAACGGGGATTTCCTGCCAATTGCCGTTTACCATAGGCCCTCCACAGGCCCTCCACAGGCCCTCCACAGGACATGTCGAGTGGACTAGCACTGAACAGGCCCGCCAAGCATTCGAGCAATTCGCAGTGGGCAGAGCCAAGGCCGTTCGATCGGAGCGGGACCCATGGGCGACCGGCGCAGACTGCCTACCGTCGCCACCATGGGAGGGACGGACTTTGGGGCGCGGTCAATGAAGCCGGGGCATTTCATGATGATGGCGAAGGGGGCATTGTATTTTCCAGGCTAATTAGGTTCGCAATCAAACGAGATGATTCAATGATCCTCTATGATCGGTGTTCGACCTCCGGTGTTCGGTTTCAGGTGCTGGTGTGTATAGACTGGTTATCACTATCAATCCCCGTGATTGGGGATTATCCCATTGCTGTTGTCATCCGCTTACGCCCGCCACCCACTCTGCTTAATCTGTTCTCCATTCTTCGACTTTCCTTCCCCCCCCCCTCCTCCTCCATATTTGCAATTAACCGCGCCTCCCTGCAGTTTAATCCTGACTAATTTCCTCGGAGCGTCACAATCCCACGGGCCCGACCAGATTTCTTTTTTTTTTTTCACCGTCATCGCCTGCCCCATTGCTTTTTTCACTCACGCTAGCTCGTGTCGTGGTCCGATTTTAGGCCCAAGTGGACCCTCTGCGACGGGGCTGTCTGTCGATCCGAACTTATCGCCGCGGTCTTCGACGGAACGTCCTCCGCAACGGCTGCGTCCCGGCTTATAACATTTGCTTGCCCCCGTGGCCAACTTTTTTCCCTCGTGCTCTTCTCCACACGCTCCGCTCAGTCATCGCTGAGTCCTGCATTTACTCCGGCTGTGTCGCTCAATCGCTCAGCTGCCTGTTTTGTGCCCATTCTCCTCCCTTGGGACCTTCATCCTTCCATTACGCCCGCGACACCAATCTCACGCGTCTCCGACTCCCATCGAAATCTGGAAGCTCGCAGCGCCGCTCGAAGCTAGATTTACCACTCACGCGATCCCATCCGACTCCCACGAGCTCGCCTGAGCTCGCCAACGACACTCACCATGTCGTTCAACGGGAAGGCTCCGTATGCCCCGGACTATGCGTCCTACAACTGGATTGGTGCTCCCGCGAACTACGACCTAGCCACCAATGTTGACCTGGGCGGAGATTCCCGTACGTGGGCAGTCCCAATTGCAATTCTGTGTCCACCATAACTCACCGCGACCCTCTTTTCTCACAGGCACCGAAAACGTGAACAAATGGTTCCAATCCGGCGACCAGGCCTACATTCTCGTCTCCTCGGCCATGGTGCTGGTGATGGTCCCGGGCCTGGGCTTCCTGTACTCGGGCCTGGCTCGACGCAAGTCTGCCCTCAGTATGATCTGGGCCTGCATGGCCTCCATGTCTGTCATCACCTTTCAGTGGTACTTCTGGGGCTACTCGCTCGCCTTCTCGCCCACCGCGACCAACGGCTATATCGGCAACCTGCGCAACTTCGGCCTCATGAAAACCCTGGCGGAGCCGAGTCCCGGATCACCCTTGGTTCCTAGCCTATTGTTTGCGTTCTACCAGGTAGGCACGGTCCCCGACTAGACGAGCTCTCGAGCTCGCTAGCTCGCACTGGCGCTAGCGTCAAAAGGAGGAAGAGTGTCAGAGGCTAATCCTGTCCCTTGATAGATGCAATTCTGCGCCGTCACCGCAGCCATCGTCATGGGCGCCGTCGCCGAGCGCGGCCGCCTTCTTCCCGCTATGGTCTTCACCTTCATCTGGGCGACCATCGTGTACTGCCCGCTGGCCTGCTGGGCCTGGAACAGTAACGGCTGGGCCTACAAGTACGGGGTGATGGACTACGCTGGTGGCGGGCCCGTCGAAATTGGCTCTGGCTTCAGCGCACTCGCCTACAGCATGGTCCTCGGCCGGCGTCAGGAGCGCATGATGCTCAACTTCCGCCCACACAACGTGTCGCTGATCCTGCTCGGCACCGTCTTCCTCTGGTTCGGCTGGTTGGGCTTCAATGGCGGGTCGTCCTTCGGTGCCAATCTCCGTGCAACTATGGCCTCGTGGAATACGAATCTGACTGCCGCCTTCGGCGCCATTGCCTGGGTTCTGCTTGATTGGCGGCTCGCCCGCAAGTGGTCCATGGTCGGCTGGTGCTCTGGCACCATCTCTGGCCTAGTCGCGGCCACGCCCGCCTCGGGCTTCATCTCGCCGTGGGCCAGCGTCATCCTCGGCATCGTCACCGGCATCGTGTGCAACTATGCGACGAAAATCAAGTACTGGATCCGCATCGACGACAGCATGGATGTGCTCGCGGAGCACGGCATCGCTGGAATCATCGGGCTTATCTTCAACGCGCTTTTCGGCGACGACGCCATCGTGGGGCTCGACGGCGTTAACACCGGCGCCGGCATCGGCGGCTGGGTCATTCACAACTATAAGCAGTTATACATTCAAGTCGCCTACATCGTGGCCACCGCCGCCTACTCATTCGTGATGTCCGCACTCATCGCCTACGCCATCAACCTCATCCCAGGCCTGAAACTGCGCGCCTCCGAAGAAGCCGAGCTCCTCGGCATGGACGACGACCAGCTGGGCGAGTTCGCGTATGATTACGTTGAGGTGCGCCGCGACTATCTGGCGTGGACGCCGCAGCAGCACGACCAGCGGGAGGACGGGCATGAGGTTCCGGCCGCGGAGCGGTACGGCATCGGCGAGCACTCGGAGATGATGCTGGAGGGGCACCCGCCGAATGGCGAGATCAGTCAGAGCTCGCGCGGGGGTAGTGAGGGCGATATGCATATTCAGGAGGTGAAGATTGCGCCGGCGCCGAGACAGGTTGCTGAGTCGACGACGCCGCATACGCATGCGCCACCGCCGATGGAGACTCCCGTTGTGTTGAGGCCCGTTGATGAGAAGGGGGATAATTAGGTGGCTGCCGCATCGTCTGCACCAACTCCACCTCCTTCGACTCTTCCTCGCACACTTTGACTTTCTCGTCGACCTCCACCTCATCCCTCTAGCCTCTTCTCTTTTTCCCCTTCTTCGCATTGTTCGATATCCCTCTGAGCGTGACTTGTTCTTTTTTATTTTTATTTTTTTTTTGCTGAAAAGCCTGGGGCTTTTTTCTTTCTATCTACAACCATCCTAGTACTCGATATCACCGCCTCTACCTTCTACCTCTACCGTGAACCAACACTACCACTCTACCACCCCCACCTCAACCTCATCTCTTTCCAACCAATCCTCTGACTGTTCAGCGGCAAAAGCAATTCCTGCACGATCAGCCTGGCGTTCCCCACACATCCCGTTCACCTATCTATTTATCTCACCTTGTTCGATTATCCGGGATGGGAAGGCTTGTATATATTCTATTGGTTTTATTGGTTCATCGATCGATTTTGTACCACGTGCTTTGGCGGCGGGCTATACCTGTTATGAGCGTATAGAGAAATTCAAAGTTTAGAAATTCTTCTACATTCCTTTTTTCAGGATTCATTTCTAGCGAAATGTCGCTCCCTCGTTGTCTGCTATATTGCATATTTCTTGGAGTTTGAACCAGTCATACAGATATTATTAGTCGCGTCCGGTGTTTCCTTCTACACAGAACATACCGATATACAAATTCAGATCTAAATAGCGTTCCGCGCTTGTTCCAGACCACAGACCCAATGCCAGAAGATTTGGAGACCAGTTCCAAAGATGTAGGAGTTTAGAACTCGAGGCTTGATCAGTTGAAAGATCGGTCCAACGTAAGATCTTTTAGTGCTCCTACCTTGACTGAATGCTCAGTCATCGTCACGACTAGATCGGACGATCTCACTATGATCTTCCAGGAACGGGAAGGGGCGCGTTCGCGCTTCATTCAAATTTCGGTGAATGTAGTCTTAAGGGAACTCGATTACGCTGATCGGATCTGCGTTCATTCTATCTAATCAAGGATATCGACCGTGCAATCTATGTTGAAATGCCATGCGAGTATAGGTAGACTTACTCTTGAGGTTCTGGCCTTGTTACTGGATGCTCTTTCCCGTTTATACTCAGCCTGAACTGGATATCGGATTGATGAACTAAGCGTCTTTAGGATCAAGAATGTACAAATTTAATGATTCAACGACTCTAGGATTGTGGTTTGTGAAAAGTTTGCTACGTGCGCTGGTGAAGACTTCCATTTCTGGATTTTCACAGTAGAGCTCATACTACTTACCCGAGAACTTGCTGAATTCTGCCTTGACTCAAAAACGCCAAGTTGAATATAGTACTGGATCTGCAGTGAGGAACATTTGATTAGCCACCGGAGCTCGGGCGTTCTTTTTCCTTTGAAATTCTACCACGGTCCTTTCTTGTTCCAGAGGACTCATTCTAGCGGCTGTGATTGGGGGTTCCAGGGTGGATACTAACCAATCTACCGCACGTAGCTGGGCGATGGCTGCAGCTACATGGTAGAAACTGATTGGCTCTGTAGGTAGTATCGAGTATGCATCGAGTATGCATCGAGTATGCACCGAGTATGCACCGGGTATCCGGACACGTTGGCACCCTATCGCATCGTTATCCAATCACATCGAGTAAACAAGCCGCTCCGAACCACCGGGGGTGGGGACGAACGAACGGGGTACAAATCCACCGAGCTTGTACTTGATAGATGATGCCACGGAGGTGGCGTTGTTAGAATTAACTAAAATTGGATCCTTTTGTTCTTCATAGTGTAAGATCCGGAGTCCACAAAAGAGGGAAAGGAGTAGGTGTTAGTCACGTTCTAAGATTTACTACCCCAATTTCTTTAACACATTGATGGGATCTACCTTCCCTTGAATGAAGCGGTTCTAGAATTCTAGGAGCAGATAACAAACGCGTCAGCCCCACAGCGAAGTTCTGCGTCCTTTGATACAACAGGTAACGTGGTGCAGGACCGACTAGAGAATAGTAATCAAAATAAAGTACGATATTGCGTCACCCTGAAATAGCTCAAGCCTAGTTAGGCGGGGCTGATAGCAGTGAATGAGGCTCCTTTTTTATTATTTAAACCCCTCAAGTAGCTTTCAGATTGGAACTTTAGCTACAGATTTAAACTCTACTTTCCTTTATTTGTGACCACATATGGTCATTTCTGGAAGTCCCCATGCCAGCTAAAAAGACAAAGCCGGCCCGACTCTGGTCGATGTACCCTTCTCTCCATGAAGAAGTCTCGCGCTTGCTAGAAGAAGATGATCTTCAATTCAGCTTTCACAACGCAGATAATATTTCAGGCTGCACGCAGGATTACGACACAAATATCATGGGGCGGTTCAAATGCCATAACGCTGCATGTGGTTCCGGCGGGTGGTCCAGTAGGAAGATTGCGATCACCATCCGAATGTATCATTCAGCCGAGTATAATGCCAGAGTCTATCATCAACGATGCAAAAGCTGCAATCATCTCAGCCGTCCTTTTCTGGATAAATCATACGCGGAGCGAGTATCCTATCGCCTCAAGAAGTGGAGTGGAATCCAGTTGGAGATACCCCCCTTCTCGGGCGAAAGCAAGGGCCCACACAATAATCAACTCTGCGAGGGCTGCAAGGCAGGGCATTGTACCGCGTCTGTGATAGATTACTGAAGGTACCTACATGGTGAGTTCCATATGAGCTTTGCAGTCATGTCATACGAACTGGCGAACCTTACTGGAGGAATTTAGTTTACATGGCGATGAAGAAAGCCCCTTGGGCACCCCAGGTGACGGGGTATCCATTTTGCCATCGCAAAGAGATTTTAGCAGAGAAATTCGAGAGCGGCTGAATCGGCATATTAATTTGCCCGGGTGAGATTGACGTTTGGGAGCATAAGAACCTATGTTAATGATTTTGTACCCGGGCTCTTTACCGGCTGCATGAGACCTGCTATGCGCGCAATATGTAAAAGATTGCGCCTACACTTTCGTCTTTTCAAATTGGAGTTGCTTTTTATCTTGAAAATTTATCTTTCGGTTCCCACGTGTTCTGCTTTCGTAACCTTTCACTTATTACATGCTGATATTTCAGGACTGGTGTCCGGAATTGAGTGGAACCCGGAAAGTACATGGAGTTGACTGAGCTTTCACAGAATGGGAACCGGGTGCGAGCTAAGGCGAGGGTAACCTCAAACGATGGACTTTTCATTTTGAGTTAGTTCTGGGGAAGAGGTATATCATCCTCGGAGCAGATTGCCATAATATTGACTATTGACGATTCGGTCATTCTCGATCTACTTCATACAGAAATGCCCCATTGTGTACCACCTGTTCCCGTGAGCCTCATTTATTGGTAGTCTGCAAAAAAGCAAATTGATGTCCACAAAGTAGTGCATCGGATGTGTCTCTCGAGTACTGTCGCTTTGGCTACAGCGCATGAAAAAAAGTACGGAAAGCTGATTTGGGTGGAGCTGAGCGATACACAAGGCAGTGGCGTGCCCAATCCAACCGGGATTATATGCAGTCGTGCCCAAGCCGATGAGTCCATGGTTTGTCATTGCGGAGTACAGAAAAGAGCCGCGTCTTCTCTCTTCAGGTGCGTTCTAGCTTTTCCCCTTGAGTATCTCGTGAAGGATATCGCACCGAATGTCTCTCCAAAGCATGACTGAATCTTCAACCTACGTGCAAGAGCATGCCTCTATGCGTTTGCCCTCAAGCCGACCCGACGATTCACAGACACCCGGAACCCATGCAGAAAGTGAAGGTGACAGGCGGCTAGGATGTGTCAGGAGAGCTATCGAGTCTTATTTGCTGGATAACGTTGCAGGTTATCGGGAACTCAGTGATCTAAGAGCCAGAGCGAGTATTAGTGCGTCTAGCCTATTATACAATCTACTGATGCTGTTTCAAATAGGGGTGGGAAAATCCTGCAGGCGATCAACATTTTCGAAATCAGCGCCGGAATGCGGATAAAAGCGACGAACAGACGGCTAAATATTTTTATCAATTGATGCAGAGAATCGGAGAGGAGCTTCAACTGGCCACTAAAGCCTTCACCATCTCAGGGGCTCAGGGCAACCCGCCGAGGATTCTCGATATGTGCATGGCCCCGGGGGGCTTTTTGAAAACGGCCTTGACACATAATCCGGGATCATACGCACTGGCGTTTAGCTTGCCTCACAGCAATGGTGGACACAAGAGCTTTATACCGAGGGAGTTCAATGTTGAAAAACGGTTCTTGGATGTGACTATGCTGGCTGCAGACATGGGGATGGAATCTATTGATAATGCACACGAAGATGCCGGGAACTTCTTACCACGGCAGTTTATATCACACCAGCCCTTCGACTTAGTCATTTGCGACGGACAGGTTTTAAGGACACATATCCGCGCTTCATATCGAGAGAGACGAGAAGCGAAACGACTGACAACAACGCAACTAGCTCTCGGCCTTCAGAATCTAAAGCCTGGGGGAACCATGGTCGTTCTTCTTCACAAAATCGAAGCGTGGGACACCGCGAACCTGATCCGGGAATTCAGCGAGTTTGCCTCTGTGCGTCTTTTGAAACCCAAGAAGGGCCATGCCAATCGCTCCTCCTTCTACATGGTCGCTACCAATATCCGGAGTCAAGGCCCTGAGGCCGTCCGCGCTGTCGCAAAGTGGAAAAGGATTTGGCGGTCGGCCACATTTGACTCGGATGAAGAGTATCAGGAAGAGCTTTGGAATGGCGAACCACCGGTCGAAGATTTCCTCAGGGATTTTGGACCCCAACTTGCGGCGCTGGGCGAAGATATTTGGAAAGTCCAGGCGGAAGCACTTGCCAGAGCGTGGTTCGTGAGGTAGTTTGAGCGACATTTGCGGGCGTATGGCGTTTCCTGGAAAGGAGAGTTCAAGATCAAGCACCACTATGAAAGGATGGATATAAGCCAAAAAAAATAATATGAAAATATAAAACATAAAGACATAAAAATACATATAAGCCTAATAATATCTGCCAGTAGAAACAATCTTATCCTAAGGGGAATGTCAAGGCATCCCCGAAAAGGCCATCCAGCACTTCAAAATGCGGCGATAGAAGTTCAATACATTGTGTCTCTTGGCTCTGCAATTACTGTAGCCGATCGCACTATTGATAGACAGTGAAGAGATATCATTGGTTCCCAGTTGACGATTCTCGTATTCGGCCAGAATGAGGTTGCCTTGGCCCAGCCGCTGATTTTGACGTCCAGCAACACACATGTTTCCGTTTCATGAACGTCACTTAACATCACTCGTCTATGAATGTATTCTGGAAGACCGTGTAAAGACTGGAGGGCTTTATAATAACCCCCATCTTGACGGCCGCGTTTATGGATCCGCACCCTGGTTTACGTACGAGGGGCCTTGTGATGTTCCCCGGCAAGATCGGTGCCTTCGGTGCTCTTGAAGATCATTGTGTTGAGCAGAGCGGCGGAAACCATCGTCACCGTTTGAAACGCCCACATACGAAATCACGTCGGGGATGTTTTAATTGCAAGTTACGGAAGGTGAAGGTATGTCAGCTAACAGAAAGTTAATATTCCTTGTAACCGACCGGACTAACAGCCTGCCAAGTGTCAGGAAACAAAACCAGCGTGTGAAAATTGCCTCTCGAGAGACATGGATTGTATTTACCCTCCGAAGGGATATAAAATGCCCCCAGAGCTATCGACAAAGAACTCAAGTCTCACGTCGACCTGGCAACTATCTGCAGACCGAATCGCGGGCGATGAGCTGCGGGTGTTCCATCACTTTCTACTTGTTGCACGGCCGCATCTACCGTATGGAAGTGAGGGAGCGTGGACTAGCTTGGTGCCGGCGTACGCTCATGAGGTCTGTTTACCAGCAATCATTCCTGACGGGCGTGGTCTCACTAGTCTTAGTGTCCGCATTTGATGCACGCGATTCTCTCCCTCGGCGCAACCCACTATGCTCTCGCGACGCCCACCGGATCTCACTATACACCCATGGCTATTTCGCATCGAGGGAAAGCCCTCCGGCACCTAGCGAGCGCTCTGGCACACGTTGACAACTGCACAGATACAGTTCTCGACGGGATCCTAGCAACTTGCTACACTCTTGTCTTCCAGGCATATTACATGAATGACGGCCTTATCGATTTCGCAGTGATGGTGCGCGGCTGTGGGATGGTGACGAAACACATCCAGTCGAGATTTCAAGGCAGCAAAATGTTCCTCCTGCAGACGCCAGAACAAGTTAGTGAAATGGTGGCACCCTGGTTGCCGGCGGAGGCACATCCAAATCAAACAGTTCTCGGGCCCTGTATCGAGGACATTGACCAGCTACACCCTTTGCTGCACAGCAGAAGCACTCGGGAGTTCTTTAGCGCCCTCCGGAACATCTACGTGGCTCTACAGCTCTCCGTTCGCAATGCCTTCCTCTGCCTGACTGAAGTGTATACTGTTTGGCATACAATGGAGAACCACGGGTTTATGGAGTTCATCTCAAGCACGAACCACGTCTCCCGGGCGCTGTTCCTGCATTATCTTGCGATAGATACGCTGATGCGACCGTTCTTGGTCAGAGTCCGGGAACGGCAACCCCCCACTCTGCCTTTCGGTGTTGACGTCGTGGACCAGTGGGCACATGCTATCTATAGCAGTCTACCCGCCACCATCCAAGTCTTGGTGAAACATGAAATTGACCTTATCAGCCACGAGAAAAGCAGCGTATGCTTTAATATTAGAGCTGGGCTCCTAATAGAGGAGCATCTCGACGGCTGTCAAGACAACCCGCAATGATGCACGCAAAGGACATGCTGGTGCCCTCTGGATTTGGCCAAGGGAACTCATATGAATGTTTACGAGGCCAGCCCGCGACTCAAGATGGGAATATCATGACTTGGAAGAAGAGAATTTATTTCTTTGATAGCAACATGTGAACGAATATCGATGAGCGGCGCTCTTTACGGTTCTAGATGACAACACTGGTCCCTTTCCAACCTTAGAGCAAAAATGGTATTTACCATCGCTAAAGCTATATTTCCACCTCCATGGGTGGGTGCGCTTGCTGAGAAACCATCAGAATAGGAGAAAAACACAACTTGACTGCGTTGAAGATGAAGAACGGACAAATTAACAGGAGAGAAAAAAGGGCAAAAAGAAATATCTGCCATTTATCTCAATCCCATGGTGTGGCCACTGCATCCCGATAGAGCTAGCAATGTGTCAGTCGGGACGATCACTGAGCGCTAGGGGAGCTGGTTGGAGACAGAAATCGTGCAGGGTGGTACCATCCAAGAACGCTGATGGCGATGAGCATCGGGACTGCCTCGAGGACATACAATGCCCATTCATGATTGAAGAAATACGCGTCGATTCCAAGGGCAAACTCAATCATGCGGTATACACAACGGACCTTTGTTGTCGTACCGAATTAGTTCAATGCCAGTCGCGAAATGCGAGAATCACTTACCAGAATGAAAAAGCCGGATATGTAAATCCCTCTCAAAAGCTGCCTCACGCCATCATCGATCACTACCCCTCCTCTTTTCGCTTTGAGATGGAACGACCCGACGAAGAGGAGGAACGCCGCAAAGGTCGCAACCTGTAGCGCCAACCCGCCGATCAATACTCCGGTCCCGGTATCTTTCTCCGATCCTTCCCAGTCTCCTGCCGAGGCGATACTGCTTCCTGACGCTTGGGTAAGGCAGCTGAGGATGTCCAACGTAACGAAGATCCGAGGGAGCCATGGACGCCGCAGGACGAAACGGAATGACGCTGGCTTCTCACGGGCCTGATCATCGGATCTAGTCCAGATCAACCTGTCCATCAAGAGGTAGAGACTCGCACACACGAAGACAGGTGCGATCACAATGAGAGTGGCACTAACAGCATACAAGGGAATGCTGCTAGGCTCTTCAACACTGGCACTGCGTACGGCATATCCAATCACCTCGAGAAAGGCACCTATCAGCAAAGGGATGAAATGGCCAGCACGGTTATATCTACCCCGACAAGGGGCAAAGACTGTCACGTAGAGGTGGTAGATGAAGGGGAAGAAGTAGAGAATAGTGAACAGGACCGAGGCTGGAAGGGAAGGACTATAAGAATAAATATTTTCATCAGACGCCATTGTTGAGAAAGGAGAGAGATCGTTTGCGACAGGACGACTTTAGGACTGTAGAGGATAAAGGCTATACGCAAACCGCGATTTTGGTGTGGATCGAGTCTAATGCCAATGCTCCAAGGGCCATCTTGATGATGAGCTTTTATAAGTGGCATCTTTGAGGCTACAATAGATAATTCCGCTGCTGCCTCAGTTGGTACGGATCTTGGGCAGATATTAAAAGCCCCCGTATTCGCACTCGGATACCAGCATGCGCGCAGATGCCAAGCCTCCACAGTCAAGCAGATTCGTCAGTGGGTGTTTGCACCAGAAATAAGGTTGAGGCGTCGAATGCGAAAAATGCGAAAAGCGGTAGCTCCGATATGCCAATAACACGGCGACATCGGGGTGGCTGATGCTATCGCGCCGGGTTGTCGGCGCGGTGTGGAACTGAAAGCTTCCTGAGTTCTTCGTCACAGCAGAAGGCAAGACATTAGCAGCAGGGAGGGCTCTCAATAGGTGATCTATTGTCAAGGAAATGCTGTGATAGATTGGACATTTCCATTAACAAACAAGTACACGTGCGCGGCCGCGGAAACAACAAATGTCAAGCCGCGGAGCTTTGAGTCCGCCTGCGAGGTCTCAAATTTACATGGAGTTAGATAGGTAGTGTCTTCAGATGGAGGATGAATATCATGAACAGCTATATTCGACTCTAGTTGCAAGACGTAGCGTGAGGATGTACGGGAAAGAGGGCTTTCGCACGTTCTCTTAGAATAACAGAAAATATGCATTTGTGGAGGGTGAGAAACTTGTTGATTTTATGTTGCCGTTAATACCATGTTTATAATGCACATGCAATCCAATATGCAATAAAATACAATGAAGAGATCACCATGCAGTCTTTCCAAAACTTCGCCCCCAATGAGTCCTCAGGTTACTAACATACAACCCGTGAGAAATCACACCCGCCTAACCATAGCCCTGACTCTCACCCTTTCCTCGCGACTCAACTTCTCCACAACCTCACCCGCCTCCCCACCACCCAGCACCTCATCCCACTCATCCTCATCCATGCCCATGATAAGCGTCATCTGCACGCAGCGCGCAAACGCCTCACGATGCCGGTACCGGCCCGGCGCCCCAGCTCCAGCTCCATACCCCACGTCCACAGCAGCGTTCACCAGCCCCGCGATATCGCGCTCGAGCCGCGCCGCGCCGAGCGCGTTCACGCGCCCCTGGTACGACCAGAGCCGCTTCTCGAGCAGCCGCGCGAAGTAGGCGATTGTCACGGTGAGCAGGCGGTCGAAAGCTGGCGCGGTGAGAATCCGGGCTAACGGTAGGAGGAGCTCCGTCCAGCCGGAGGCGAAGCGCGGACGGACCAGCTCCTTGCTACCGTCTGCGGGGTCATAGTCATCGTGCGATGCGGGTGCAGCATCGGGGGTATCGGAGAGATGGTATTCGATGTCGCGGAAGGCGTCGGCGAGTAGTGGGCGCAGGCGATGCTTGATGACGTTGTTGAAGACAACTTGGATGCCGTCCGAAAGGAGGTCGGCGACCTTGGCCTCGAAGGAGGTGGCAAGGGAATGGAGGGTTTGCGCGACGCGATGCGCGGAGGAGGGCGCTGGGAAGAGTGAGCGCAGGTGCTCGGTTGCTAGGGCAGATTGATCGGGTGTGCCTTCGGACGCGGGGGGGAGAGGCTGCTTGGAGCCGGTATTGTTCTGCACGATGCGGCGAATGTAGTCGATGCCGAGGTCGAGGTTGTTGATTTGCACGAGGAAGGCAATGATGGTTTGTTCGGGAGGCTGGCCACCTTGTACCGGTGCGCGGGGGTAGCACTCGTCGCGCATTTTGCGCTGCGTCATGCCGATGAAGTCGGAGCCCAGGACGCGGGAGAGCGTCGGGATGACGTTGGTCACGACTGCTTCCTGGGAGGTTGCGATAGATTGTTGCAGTACTTTATTGACAATATACATTATGTCGTCAACCGCTGAGGTGATGTGTGGGGGGTCCGCCTTGAGGGGGCGTTGCAGGTTTAGAGTTAGGCCGGACGGGGACTCGTCGAGTTGGAAGGCCTTTTCAACTGAGCGGCGGAAGAAAAAGGTTGTCATGGCGTTGAACGGGGAGATCAGTTTGTCGTTGACTTTGCGTGCCAGAGAAGACTCTTGCAAGAAACTGGGCATGGAAAACCTTTGGCTGTCATCCTCCTCGGTCTCGTCGTCACCAGGGGGCTGGACGCCGGTCAGTACTAATTGTGTATAGCAATCAGAGAACGGTAAAGGGCACTTACATTGCATGTATCCGTCAGGAATCGACAGTAGAGAGACCACCGGCAAAGCATAATGGCCATCTCATTTAGTATACCGTCGATTTCTTTCATATCTACACCCTCATCCTCAGTTGCCGCACTCGCGCCTGGGGCTGGCAGGTGGCTTGTCCGCTGTGCCGGGAGGAAGCTCTGAACCAGAAACGTAAAGGCGTAGGACTTAATATCCATTAACTTGCGGTCCACATGCCGTTCATCGCTCCACGTGTCGAGGATGATGCCACCCTGCACATCGGCTTCAACCTGTAGGCGCTCAATGACTCGGCCCATCTTCCGGGGGCCATAGTGCCGCTCCACCAGCCCCCCGTGTCCATCAATAATCTGTGCGATATGTTCGAATAGCTTGGTCAAGGCATTAGCATAGAAAAAGCCATCTTTAGCCTGAGACCCATAATCGGCATTGAGATTGCTGCGTGCTCGCGCCGCTACTCCCTGACAGACGTAGCGACCATACACATCCAATCCAACCTCGGACCGGCCAATGAGAGGGAACAGCTTGAAGAAGCGGGTAATTTTGGCCCCGTCATTCTCCTTGACAGCCTTGTCGAATTCCCGCAGGAACAGCCCGCACAGCGATTCAGCCGCATTGTCCAGGGTGACACTGGGCGGGTCGGGCACCTCAGCAGTAGGAACCATCTCCGCCGCGAAGGCCCCATTGATCACAGTAAGCGGGACCTGTGCTGCGCGGTGCAGATAGCTGGCCGCCGTCTCCCAGTCCTGGGACGCACCCATCGACCCCGCCACGCCCAATGCACACGCTTTGAGCTCGGCAACCTGTTCCACGACCTCCAGTGTAGCCTTGACCCTCTCCTGTTCCAGGTCCAGTCGTCGTACGGCGCTCGAGATGCGGTCGGCGGTGCCCGCGGCATTAGAGAGCATGCCATGGCTTATTGATCGGGTTGTGCTGGTCTGGGTGCCGATATGTGCGCGCATGAGATCCAATCTGCCCAATTCGCGAGACAAGTCCTTTTGGGAAGTCACCAATGCATCTAGACGGGCCGTCACAGATGCTTCCTGGCTGTGGAGGCGGGACAGCGCGGCTTTGATCTCCGCCACGGAGCTGGCGTTGAAGACGTCGGTTTGCGGGGACTCGAGGACGGGGCTCAATGTCTCCGGGGATGTCGACGGCGATGATGATGAGACATGACCGTTCGTCGGGGCAGCCGCCGGCTGCGAGAGTGCCATCCTGGAAGCTGGCGGGTACTGTTGTCGCGACCAGGGGACTGGGGAGTCATCTATTGATGCCAACTACGCCAGTTGTAGGTAATTCGCGGGCGGTGAGGGTCGGCGCTTTTTTCAGCGTCGCTGGAGGCAGTCAGGCTCGCTCGTTTTGATAGAAGACGTTCCTGGCAATCAAAGCAATCAGTTCTGCCTGGCAGAGTGTCTGCTGCTTTGTCGTGTCTGCCTAATTGTTTGCCCGGTCCTAAAATTGCTCGGCGTAGTGCTGATTCCAACACAACGTTATTTTCCACCACGATCACTCTACTTCACTACTTCCCATACGCAGCCCAACTATCTCCACCACACGACGCCTGAAATTCTACACTTCTCTGTTGTCGTAGCGAAGGCCACTTTCGCGTTGTCGCCATCCGACGCCGTCGCAGACCCCGGTATCAACATCATCCCCGGCGCTCTCGTGCCATGGGTAACGAAGAGTCGACCGTCGTGGATGATTCCACTCGCCCCTCGGTGCTGGAGGCGCGTAACATGGAGGCTGTGGCCAAATACATTCAACAGCATGATGTGAAACGCATCGTGGTCATGGTGCGTCCCACGTCCCCACAGGACATGCCGAACATGCATCGCTGACCCGGAGACCTAGGTGGGAGCCGGCATAAGCACTTCAGCAGGCATCCCGGACTTCCGGTCACCAGATACCGGGCTCTACGCCAACCTCGCATTCCTGGACTTGGAAGAGCCCGAAGATGTCTTCGACATCAGCTTCTTCCGAGAGAACCCCAAGCCGTTCTACGCGCTGGCGAAAGAGCTCTACCCGGGGCGCTATCGCCCCACCGTCGCCCACTCGTTCATTAAACTGCTCTACGACAAGGGCTTGCTGCTGAAGCATTTCACCCAGAACATCGACTGCCTTGAGCGCCAGGCTGGTCTCTCCGGCGACAAGATCGTCGAGGCTCATGGCAGCTTTGCGACTCAGCGCTGCATTGAGTGCAAAACGCCGTACCCGGACGAGGAAATGCAGAAGAAGGTCCATCATGGGGAGGTGCCACACTGCTTGGTCCCCCAGTGCAATGGACTCGTGAAGCCCGACATTGTCTTTTTCGGCGAGGCCCTACCTGAGTCCTTCTTCCGGAGCCGCGACCTCCCGGAACAGGCCGACCTGTGTATCGTGATGGGAACCAGTCTCTCAGTGCAGCCATTCGCCAGTCTGCCCTCTTTTTGTCGAGAGGGGGTCCCACGCGTGCTTATCAATATGCAGCGTGTTGGCGGCCTGGGCTCTCGACCAGATGACGTTCTTCTACTTGGGGACTGTGATGTGGGGGTGCGGAAGTTTGCCAAGGCCATGGGATGGGAGGAGGAGCTGGAGGCTCTGTGGGAGCAGACGAACCCGGACCCCAAGGCACGTGAGGCCGAGAATGCGCCGCTGCAATCGCGGGACGAGCGGCTTCGGGACGAGGTGGATCGGCTTACGGAGGATATTGAGCGCACGCTGGGTCTGACGGACGCGTATCAGCAGCGAGTGCGCGAGCGGCTGGGCGAGCCGAGCAAACAGGGCCAGTCGAATGGAGTCGACTCAGGAGCAGGGGAAGAAAGCACAGGACTGGACCATGTGTTCCCGCACCTGGCGCGCAAATTCCGGTAGAGCACGGGAGGGTACCGGGTACGGGGGGTACGGGGTATGGAGTACGGAGTACGGAGTACAGGCTTAGAATCGAGTAACCCATTTCACTAGTCAACTAGTTACCGTCTGATGATAAACACGATGCAACGAAAGCTGACCTCCTCACTTGCTCACCGCTTTGCGCCAAGCGCGGACCGTTCTGGCCCTGGAGGTTACCAGTTCCCTCGTTGGCTAACCTGCTAGTCTGCTAGTGGGTTAGTGTCGAGTGTACTAGCCCGCGCAGGCAGGGAGATCCTGGACGTCGCAGGCCACCGGAGAGCGGGGATGTCCAGGGCCCCAGAGTAAGCAAAACATAGAATCGGCGGGCTCTAGCTGCCGCCCAAGGTGAAAGTGAAACGGAGGGGGCAGACCACAACTGACTGGGAAGTTAATTGGCGTTCCAGCCTGCTCCCACCGCAACCAAATCAAGCAAGGCGATCGCTGCCCCACGCCATATCGTCATTCCCTCCCCTCCTCCCTTCCTTCGTCTTTCCTCCCCATTTTCTCGTGTACACACTCATAGCCACACATTCACCATGGTCGGAATTGGTCCTAAGCAACCTCCCTCCCGCAAGGGTGAGCTTCCTGTGCTTTTCGCCAGCTTGATCATCATACTAACACGCTCACTTCCTCCCAGGGTCGATGCACGATCTGCCGCAGAATCTTCTGGGGCCGATCAAGGAGTTCGAGGAGCAATTTACGGTGGACCGTGCAAAGCTCAAGCAGATCGTGAACCACTTCGTCAAGGAGCTCGAGAAAGGTACGTGTCGGCGCTGCGAACCCCGGTCACGCATGGACGGGACACTAACAACCCCCCAACAATAGGTCTGACCGTCGAAGGTGGCAACATTGTGAGGAGCACCAACCCGCGAGAATAGCTACCGGATCTACGAAGATGACTCTGACAACGTGTGCATAGCCAATGAACGTGACCTGGGTGATGGGCTTCCCCGACGGCGAGGAGCAGGGCACCTTTCTGGCCCTCGATATGGGCGGCACCAACCTGCGTGTCTGCGAGATCACCTTGACCAACCAGAAGGGTGCCTTCGATATCACCCAGTCGAAATATAAGATGCCCGAGGAGCTGAAGACCGGCACCGCCGAAGAGCTGTGGGAATACATTGCGGACTGCTTACAGCAGTTCATCGAGTTCCACCACGAGAACGAGAACCTGACGAAGCTCCCCCTCGGCTTCACTTTCTCCTACCCGGCCACCCAGGAACACATTGACCACGGCATTCTACAGCGCTGGACCAAGGGATTCGATATTGAGGGTGTCGAGGGAGAGGACGTGGTTCCTCCTCTCGAGACTATCCTGAAGAAGCGGGTATGTGTCTCGACCCAACCAACAACTTTTGGGACTAAAGGGGGATATCCTCTGCCCTACCTTGCACGCAACTGTCTAATGGCCCACGCGCTATCCTAGGGACTGCCCATTAAAGTCGCGGCCTTGATTAACGACACCACCGGCACCCTCATCGCCTCCTCCTACACCGATCCGCACGTGAAGATTGGCTGCATTTTCGGCACCGGCGTGAACGCCGCCTACATGGAGAACGTGGGCTCCGTGCCCAAGATCGCCCACCTGGGTCTGCCCGCCGACACCCCCATCGCCATCAACTGTGAATACGGCGCATTCGACAACGAGCGCGTCGTTCTCCCGCTCACCAAGTACGACGCGATCATCGACCGCGACTCGCCCCGTCCCGGTCAGCAGGCCTTCGAGAAGATGACCGCCGGCCTCTATCTCGGCGAGATCTTCCGACTCGCCCTCGTAGACGTAATTGACAACCGGCCCGGCCTCATCTTCAACGGCCAGGACGTCTCCAAGTTGCGCAAGCCCTACCTGCTCGACGCGTCCTTCCTCGCCGCCATCGAGCAGGACCCCTACGAGAACCTGTCCGAGACGCTGGAACTGTTCGAGCGAGAGCTCAACATCCGCCCGACCCAGCCCGAGCTGGAGATGATCCGTCGCCTGGCCGAGCTGATCGGTACCCGCGCCGCGCGCTTGTCGGCCTGCGGCGTCGCCGCTATCTGCACGAAGAAGAAGATCGAGTCCTGCCACGTTGGTGCCGACGGCTCTGTCTTCACCAAGTACCCGCATTTCAAGGCCCGCGGCGCCCAGGCCCTCCGCGAGATCCTGGACTGGGCCCCCACCGAGAAAGACAAGGTGTCTATCCTGGCTGCTGAGGACGGTTCTGGTGTCGGCGCCGCCCTGATTGCGGCCTTGACCTTGAAGCGCGTCAAGGCAGGCAACATGGTTGGTATTCGCAACATGGATGACATGAGAACCCTGCTGTGAGAAGCACCGGGGTGAGTAACCTAGTCCGTGAGCATGAACAAATGAATAAAGGCAAAGATCATAAAAAGAGCGAAGAATAATGAAATATATCTTCAATGGTAGCGCGGCGACTTAATCATTTTTTAGGATTGTGTTTGGCTGAATGGATCCTCGTTGGCTTCTACTTCCAAGCGACGGGGTGACGATATGATCCGCAATCTGCCTGTTGGATTGGCCCCTAGACCAGTCCATAGAGTCCCGGCATGTGCTTGATGGTAGTATAGACCGAAAAGATGAATGGAATACTGGTTACTTGGAACCGGGTGGGTATTTTGTCGGACAGGAGTAGAATAGGAGCACATGGGGGGCGCTGCGAGGGAAGTATACGGCTATGATGTGAGCTTGATATAAGGAAAGCCATACTTCCAGTGTTCTTCCACGCACCTCGAAATAAGCTGTGAAAGATTAAGGTTTCATGTCAACGACAGATAGAACCATTGATGTCATATTTCCCAGTCATACCAGCTCAGGGCATCAACTGGTCACCTGCCGCGATTCTAGAAAACGTCGAAACATTGCTACCGCGGCCCTGCACAACCATAAACCATGCATACTTCATCTCAACTCCGAGAAACAAACAACCCCCAAAACCCACATTCTGCACTGCCCACCTCGGCAGACTCCGGCCCTAATGGACGTGCTCCAAACACCCGCTGGCCCAACACGCAATCGACGCATCGATGTCGTGATCACCTCCACTCCACCCGCTTCCCTGCCAAACGCATTCAACGCTGCCAAATCCAATTCAGGAGCCGTAAGCCAAATGAGCCCGGCTAGAAAGAAACGGCCAAATGCCGAAAGTATATCTATATTTCAAGTATCCTAATAGGATGACGCTCTGAAACAGCCTTGCAGCCCCAGCTCGCCGGCACATTTCCGCGAATCAGGTCGCTACACCGTGCTCAAGACTCGACATCAATGCCCCTCTTTACCCGGACCTCGCATCGTTTCTCTTCCGGCATTGTCTGTGGGGTCAATGGCGTGTAGGCTGGCGTTCTCGGCAGGGGCTAGGGGACGGGTTGGGTGCAGGTGTATATAAGGACCTGTTGCTGTTCCCCTCGCCTGGGTCTGTGCAAACTCCAACCGGGACTACTTATCAGGACACAAGGCGAGCATTCAGATTTGCAATTCCTGCCGTCCGAACAGTCTAGATCGGGCCATGGTGGAATACGAGAAAGAAGTCGAGGCAGCGACATCGCCGGCCCTCTCGACGACGGTGTCGTCAGGCCACGATGAGAATTACGAGTTTTACCGCCAGAATCGCGGGCTGGAGTATACGCCCAAGGAAGCGAAGAGGACGCTGCGGAAAATTGATAGGCAGCTGATTCCGCTGCTGTTTGTGATCTACATGATCCAGGTATGCGCTGCGCTTGAGCACTGCAGTGTTTTGTTTTGGTCTTTGCGATGGCTAATGACCGTAATGGCGTGCAGTATTTGGATAAGAACAGTATCAATTTTGCCTCTGTGTATGGCCTCAAGCAGGGGACACATCTGAAGGGGCAGGATTACTCGTGGCTGAGTATGGTTTGCATTTTCTCTTCAACTTTGGACGAGTACCTGCTAATCTACCCAGGTTCTATCTTCTACTTCGGCTATCTCATCGCCCAGTGGCCAGCTGGACTGGCGCTGCAAAAACTACCGATGGGCAAGTTTCTTGGTACCACCACTATAAGTACGCGTCCCAGGCTCGATGAGGAGATCAAATTTATTCTGACTGTAATGCAAAGTCTGGGGCGGCCTGCTCATGACAACACCGGCATGCCACAATTTCGCCGGCATCGCCATCAACCGCTTCCTCCTCGGCCTCGTCGAAGCCGTCGTCAACCCAGGTTTTGTTCTAATGATGAGCATGTGGTACACAGCCCGCGAACAGCCCCTACGCCTGGAAGCCTACTACTGCACGAACGGCATAGCGACCATGTTCGGCGGGTGAGTACACACCCTCCTACTTACAAGCACTCAGCATAACAATCGATACTGATCGGACTGGCCAGACTAATCGGCTATGCAGTCGGCCACATCTCCACCGGTCTGCCGCGCTGGATGTACGTCTTCCTCATTTTCGGCACGTTTTCCATCGTCACGGGTATCTTTGCGCTCTGGCTTCTTCCCGATCTTCCATCAACGGCCAAGTTTCTATCCGAGCGCGAGCGCATCATCGCCGTCGAGCGCGTGGCGATTAACCGACAAGGCGTCAAGAACCCCAAGTTCAAGTGGTACCAGGTCTGGCAGGCAGCGCGGGACCCGAAGACGTGGCTGCTATTCATCATGGCTGTGGGAGCGCAGGTGCCGAACTCGGCGTTGACGAGTGTACGCCACTCCTTTCCTTCTTTGCATTTGAAACCCTCCTAAACCCCCCCACCCCCCACCAACAAAGGAGATTGACGTTATTTCAGTTCACATCCATCATAGTTGGCACCTTCGGCTTCGACACGCTCGGCACCCAGTATCTTCAGATCCCCGGGGGTGCGGTCAACTTCCTCACCCTCCTGACCGGCGGCTTCATTGCGACCAAGTACGCGGACAAATTCCACTCGCGCAGTGCGTGTATGATCGTCGCCAATCTGACCTGCATCCTTGGATCAGGACTACTCGTCGGGCTACCAGACACGAACAAATGGGGCCGGCTGGTGGCGCTGTGGCTGTGTTATTTCCAGGGCCTGGGATTTAGCATGAGTCTGACGATTGTGAGCTCGAATATTGCGGGGTACACGAAGAAGCAGGTTACGGGTGCATTGCTGTTTACAGGGTATTGTGTTGGGAATATTATTGGGCCGCAGACTTTCAGAGACAGCGAGGCCCCCGGCTATCATAGTGCCTATGTTGCGTGAGTGTTGTGCTTCCTAGAAATGTTGGTTTTGATGACGTTGACTGATGTTTTTGACAGGATGCTTGTTGGCTATACGGTCAAGTTGACTGCTATCTTTGCGTTGTACTTGTACATGTATTTTGAAAACAAGCGGCGAGATCGTGCCGCGCTTGGTGGTCAGCAGCCGGAGGATGATGGCGTTGAGAATGGAATGCTAGTACGTCTATCCCTACTACATCTGCCCAGTGAGTTAAAGCTAATGGTTGTATTCAGGACCAAACGGAGATCGATAACAAAGCATTCCGTTATGTACTGTAGTTAGCAGACCTGGGAGGCACCGCGAAAGCCGAAACAAGATCAGGAATTTACCTGACCTCCAGCTCGACATCACTTTCTAGCTCGGGTGGGCTGGTCCAAACCAATAAATATCGGACCCCCAAACATCTCCATCAACCCTATTTGACTGGGTAGTGATCTTGATCTGTCTATCGGAATGCCGTCGGGGTGCAATCGGGATGCTCGCATTTCCCAGCTCCATGTCCGGCTCTGAGATTCGAAAACTGTGCGCGATTCTCGGAGACGTTCCTTTCTTTTTCTATTCTTCTATTTGTCTTCCCTTCCTCTCCCCTTCTTCCTGCCTGGCTCTAGTCTCTCTGCAGACTTGACACTTTCCTGGATGAATTTATTCCTAGTCAAACTTATCATGCGTGTGTATGCGAATGCCACATCGGCTGCGATGTCGACGATGGAAGATATATGCAATCAGGATCAACGGGGAGACAATCTCAAACCAAGATATGCATAACACGGCCTTCCGCCTCCTCCACTGTTCGGATAAGTCTCCGCTATTATGTGGCTTGCATATATCTTCCATCGTCGATATCACAGCCGATGTGGCATTCGCATACACACGCGTGATAAGTTTGACTAGGAATAAATTCACCCAGGAAAACATAATCCTAGGAACAAGCACTCAAAATAGACCTTTCAGACTCTGTGATTGGTCGCGTTGGACTGAACAATAAGACAACCTTAGTTCCCTCTCAAGTCTCCGCGGGTAGGCCCTCTCGCAGGCAGGGTCCATTGAAAGGACAGAAGGGTTCATTTAACTTATCGAAATACTCTCTTTGAACTCTTTCCTCTGTTTGACTTATCTACCAAGAAACCAACCTTAATTCGACTAGAGGTGTGCTATACTTTATCGAGACTATTCGATTCATATATGCGCAGCGAGATTATATAGGAATTTAACTGTAGAGTAGGTACAAAGAAGAGAATCTATGAATAAGAACTGAAATATATGACCTGTACGCCAATAGAGTAATATCCATATGTGGGTACTGTCTTTGGAGGATTAGTATTAGTGACGAACGGGATTGCGCTGGACCAGTTGCGCACCGACCTAAGCGCTCTGAATGATCGCATCCGAGATCTTCTCAGCAAGCATATCTGTACAAAATGTTAGAAGCAATCAAGGACGGGGTGAGCCTAGAGAAAACCTACAAACTGTCGACTGGGGGTGACCCGGGGGAAGGAAGGGGAACGAGCTAGCATCAACCACACGCAATCCCTGCACTCCATAGACGCGTGCCTGAGAGTCCACCACAGCTTTCTTGTCGTCGGGTTTGCCCATCTTGCAGGTACAAGCTGCGTGCCACAGAGTCATGATGTTGTTCTTAACATACTCAAGGATCTCGGCGTCACTCTGAACTTCAACGCCAGGGCAGTATTCCTTCCCGATGACCACGGGTGCCATGGCCTCGCTTTGGAAGGCCGCGCGGATTCGTTTGAACAAGGCGACGGCAACTTCCTGGTCGGTAGCGTTACCGAGCCAGTTGGGGTTAATTACGGGCAGGTCGGAAGTATCGGCGGACTGCAGAGTGATGTTGCCTCGCGACAGAGGTGCTGTTAGAACCCCCAGGATGGATGCATATTGGTAACCGTCTGCGGGCTGATCTGCAATCAGGTTGGAAGCATTTCCAATAAACCCGGCACCTGAGATATACTCTGCCTCTGGCCAGTCCTCAGGGAATCCAGCCAAAGCACGCTTCGACCTCGGGGTAAACTTCGAGCGCAGAGTTTGCGGAATCTTCTCCCAGGCCAGGAAATCCGCGACCGGGTTTGTCAGAGGGCCGGACTTCGTCGCAGCGCTGGTCAGAAGTTGGCCGGCCGCGTAGAGGAAGTTGGTCACCACCTTAGTGAGGGTGTCGACCCGCACTCGATAGGTAGGGGCAAAGAACGGATGATCCCACATATTCTGCCCAACACCTGGTCGGTCGGCAACGACGTCGATGTCATGCTTCTCCAGCTGGTCTGATGGACCGACACCGGACACCATCAGAAGCTGAGGCGATTGGAATACCCCAGCGGAGACAATCACTTCCTTCGAGGCCGTGAGAGTGAATATATTTCCCAGAATTCCCTTCACTTGCACGCCAGTTGCTTTCTTCTGCTCGTTGAAAATGATCTTCTTCGCGAGCGTGTTGGAGTATGTCTTTAGAGTCTCCAGGTTGGTAGAGGTAAGGAAGGACGACTGTGAACTGCTGCGAAGCTCGCTGGATGGATCAATCGTCGACGAACAATACTGCGCCCCCATCAAAGAGCCCGAGTTGAAGTCCCGCGTTTCGTTGATTCCAATTGCCTGCATCCCGAGGTTCATCCAGGATGAAAAGGGCATGGCATAGTTCGAGTATGACACCTGCAGTGGCCCGCCATATGAGTCAAACGCATCCTCTCTATACCCAGTGGTCGCGTTGGCAGCTCGCAGTTTGGTGTTTGGGGGCGTGAAGTGTGCGCTTCGTTTATAGAAAGGGAGGACTTCATCGAAGGTGTAGCTGCTGTCGTCGACCGCGTCGGCCCATTCTTGCATCGATTCGCGGGTTGGTCTGTATTTTTGGCGATTAGCAGATGGCTACCCCGACTGTGTTTATGACTGTAAAGCATTACCGCTGGTAGACCATAAAGTTCAAGGCTGATCTGTAGAGAGAGGATTAGTATCAATTTTCAGGTTCAAGTTCCAGAAGCAAGCACCTACGATCCTCCCAAACATTTCCCCCGCGCATAATGGATCGCGCGCCCGTTCGCACCCGGTTGCCCCTTCGTTACAAAGCCCCAATCGATCGCGGACTGCGTATTTGGATCTGATCCCACTGGAATCACATCAGCCGCGGGGACCGCTGCCAGAGACTCAAGCTCGTAAAGCCCTCCCGCTTCAACTAGCGCGACTTTAAAGGAATGCTGCGCGAGGCGTGTCGCAACAACGCTCCCGCCGGTACCACCACCCACAACAACATAATCGAATGTTTCATCGCCGATCGCAAATGAATGAGCGGCACTCGCGTGGAGTGCCAGGCACACAGCCGCTACCTGACGCAGCATTAAGAGAGTGACAAGTTGAAATCTAGGGGAAAGGGGGTCCTGTTATAGCCTGCTGCAAGGCCTGCAGGGGGCGTGTAGTGGTAAAACACCACACAGGCGTATCCTCATTGGACAAAGATCATCGGGGGCCTATCTTCGAAATCCTAGGGGATACAGCTTCGAATCCTGTTACTAGTACTCAGTACAAATTCTACCCCTGAGGTACCCACTGAAGAAAGTTCTAGGTCTAGTTAATAGCCTCGGATCTACCCGTGGATAGGGTTAAGTCTACCAGGAGGACAATAGGACCTAGGGCTAGGTAACTGTGATGGTGACGGTATTAGGAACAAAGCATGGGCCTTGAGTCTCCGGAGGCACTTTGAACCCGCTAGAATTTATATACGCATCTTCGGGTGTGAAGCGGAAATCACAATGCCCCAGCCGCTTGAACGCGCTGGGCCGTCCGCTCGCTTGGATTAAATTTCAAGTCGGCGTTAGGGATATTCCGGCGCCGCTAGGTGCGCCGAGATCCTGCTGCAAGGGATGTTATTCAGGATGTGATGGGCGCACCGACGTGCATATAGGTATTGACCGGCCGCTGATCTCATGCCTTTTAGAGGAATACCACCATTTCCCCAAAAACAGACCTCAAGGCCCGCCCTGTTTCACCCACTTGGAAAACGCCCTTTCGGGTCACGTAGGCAACGACAATTTCCTGCCGATCTAGCAAATCAACAAACAATCTCAAAAATTCGACGACTCCAGGTCGGCTCCAGATCAAGCATTGCGTGGTCCACTTTTTAAAGTCCGGCTCCGCGGCTGTCCACCAACCGCATCCGCAAAACCTAAGGATAGTGGAGCTAAGTTTCCCTCAAATTCGGCATCCCGTTCCAGCCGTCACTTCGATGCGGTTTCGTGACAGGACATGATCTTTAATTCTCGGCTTCCATACGCATAAGGCCCCCGCTCGATGCGGCTCATCTCAGGCTAGGGCTAGTGCCGAACTGGAGCCGAACTGGGCTGGCCCGCTCGCGAACCCGGTCTGTTTCAGGGTTCCTAGCTAACTCGATGAGCTCCGATCCAACAACACCATACCGGATCAGCACACTACCCTGTACTTGACCACAGATCTATTGCAGACCAATGTACGTGAGTATCCGGGGCCCGCAGATTCCGTCGTAACAAGGTGGATAGGTATAGCCTAGTATGCATTCATGACGAATAAGATCAAGCGGAATCAAAATCAGGATGAAAGCTTGATTGATTGAGGAAGAGAACAGGGGTGAGAGAGGGTAACACTGGAGATTGTCTTATTACTAAAATGATGAGCAAAGTCTTCCCAATCAATCAAGTATCGAAAACAGCTCCAATATAGAAAATGTCAGATCAGAAGCAGAAAGGAATCTCAGGAGGACGCCTATACGCTGCATTCCAGGCAGGACTATCGCGCATAAAAGCCGAGGTGTTTATCTGAGCCCGATCATACGGCACCTTCATCCAGCCTACATCTTCCAGCGTGCACCCTTGCACTGGCTCGAAATTATTCTCTGGCGGCGGACTGTTATAACCCTCTAATTCCTCTTCACTCAGGAACTCCGGCTTCCACATGCCATTAACCAGAATCACAAAGCCAGTGCTACTAGGACCATCCACCTTCTCAGGTGGAATATCCAGAACGGACTGTAACGCCTCCTCATCAACCATGATACAGGATTTATACCGTGCCGTATACGCCGACTGGGCACGAGCAAACGGAACCCCCTGCTCGGTTTCACACGCAGTACGCGCCCACCGTTTGAAATAATCACGCACTATAGATGCAGGCACGCCATCAAACCGCCTCTTGTCGTCCACAACAGTAGGCACGAATGAATCAAGCATATCTAGGCCATCGTTACAGTAGAGTGTTTCTCTAACATGATAGAGTAAGCGACGCATGAACTCCTCCCAGTCAGAGTCGCTCTTATAGGTGCATCTGTAGATGACGAGGCCCCATATCCGGAAGGCGTCATCGAGCATGTTCTTCTCGATTACATCGGCTTCATTGTAGTTGAAGGGCATCCACGGAGTACGTTTAGAGTCTTTAGAGTCGTGATACCTGGCTGGTGATGATGATGATAGCGATATAGCAGGGAATTGAAGCATTTTCTTCTTCACACATGCTTGTGGTGTGGTGTTGTGAAGTGATGGGCGGTGAATATTCCGGATGAGCTGCAGAGTGGAGAATGAGAATGTTTTTGACAGGGTCCAGCTGGTGGTGCTTGGTAATTGATATGTTTGACTTTTGAGGAGGCCTCTGGCACCCCGAAAGGAGAGTGTCAACATGATATTCTCGCAGTGGGGTTCGTGGCTTAGGTAGGGGTTGGAGAAGTAGGAATAGGGGAAGGTTAGGAATCCAGGATACAGGGGATAGAGGGCCGAGCCAGATCGGTCCGAAGGCTCCTGTCCTACAGTAGATCCACTTTTCTCTGTTGTGGTCCCAGGATCATTACTGCCTCAGGCAGGTGGAGGGACGGTGATACTATCATCCCGGGGCCCTTTCAATTGTGTTTCTTTTTTTTCCCTTTCCAACTGTAGCCGTGTATCCCTGGGGGAAAATTACTACCTCGCCGAATCAATCGGTCACTGTGCAGAGTTCTTTCATGAAACATTTGGCGAATGGAGAAAGGGTGATGGGTCTGGTGCTGTCGTCAATGTCGATTATACCTAGGTACAAGCTATCTCTGAAGGGAGCACCCTGTCTTGGTTGACCTACTCTGTCTGTTCACGAACGGGCTGCCTCCGTGAGAGTGTATCAAAGTGTATCGGTTCCGAATGACTGAAATCTCCTCGGATAACGGTCTCCATGGTGGGTGGGAGTGTGCGATCAGTGGTAATTAGCATTTGCAATATGCGTAGATGCCGTCAAGTGGAGACTAGATTAATGCCTCGTGTTCTAGGGATTTGTAGTGGTAGCCTTTCGAGTTGCGGAGCGAGATTTCCCTTCATGGACCTTAAATGTGTGCAAAGAGGATGCCTTTTCACTCATGATTCATTATTTAGGCGGCTTATATACAGTTTGAAACAGTTGATTCCTGTTATCCTCCTTCAAAGTTTGGAGGATGCAACCTTGGCAATCAAGTGCGCGTTGACGGGAGTGACAGCCTTACCGTTCTGGTGAAACGAGATGATATTCTCCATGCCCAGACGCTCGAAGCCAATGTGAGAGTCCAGAGAGGCACCGGCGTTGTGAGACATGATCTCGACATTCTTCATCTGGCCGAGTTCACGGTTGACGTGGGGCTCATCAAAGTGCACGTCCAGCCCAGCAGCAGAGAGCTGGCCCTTCTTGAGGGCGTCCACCAGAGCAGCCTCATCAAGAAGCTTGCCGCGGGCGATGTTGACAAGACGCGAACCGCGCTTCATTTTCGACAATAGAGACGCGTTGAGTAGAGTCTCCCCGCTGAAAGGCGTGGCCACCACCACACAATCCGACTCAGCCAGGAGGGTATCCATGCGCTCGTGGAAGGTAGCCTGGGAGACCTGCTCTAGCTCGCGCGGCATCTGGACAATGTCATGGTACAAGATCTTCATGTTGAGAGCCAGATAGGCCTTCTCTGCTGTCCGGCGACCGATCTGACCGAAGCCGATGATACCAAGAGTGTGACCCTTGGGGTTGAATGAAACAGGAGCGAGGTTGCGGTTCGCATCCACGAACTGGTCGGCGTCGAGCGAACGAGCCGCCATGGCGGACCAGGAAAACAGACGGAACGTGGAGATAATGAGCCAGAGAGCCGCATCGGCGACAGACTCGGTACAAGCAGCAGCAGCGTTGCAGTACACGACTCCTGCATATTTCCATCAGTAAGGTTTTGCATGCGATACTGGATGTGGGTGATTCTTACCCTTTTTGGCCAAACAGGCAGTATCGACCCAGTCAAAGCCAGCACCGGCACTGGCGTACACCTTGCACGAGTCAGGGAGCAGGGAAATCAACTCTTCATCCCAGTTGCCCATCTCGCCGCCCGTGTTCCAGAACGGCCGGTAAATGGCAGAGAAGTCGCCAAACTTCTTCTCCGTCAGGGCCTGAATGAACTCCGGGCGCGACATACTGTGCGAGCGACGGATCTCAAAGTGATCCTTGAATTTCGCGTACAACTCATGGTTCCAGCGGATATCGTCACCCAATTGTAAAACGATTGGCTTGCCCATTTTAATGATACTTCTGATTTTTGTGTATGGACTTTGGAGGCGGCAGGAGGAGTGGTATGATGACCACTTGCCAGGGACAAGTAGAGAATGAGAAGAATGCGGCGATCGCCGAATTAAAATAAGAAAATACTGTCCATGCTTCTTTGCTGCCTTTGACAGCGGCTATTGCACTGCGACGGGCTCTGTCTTCGCGGCCGGCTATTGACAGGTTCGGCTATTGAAATCCGACGCCTCACAAAGTGGGTCGTCCGCGCAGGCCAGAAAGATCTCCGCACGGCCATTCACCTGCATCACACAAGTAAATGGGAAATGTATCAATAGATTGGCGATCGATTTGCTGTTGAGGGATTGAGCACAGTCTCGTAACTTTGTTGTTCAAGTCGAAGCGTATAACTCTACAATTTAACTACCCGAGACAGCACAAATATTTGCTTCTTTTATTTGCAACTAACAGGCGGTTGGTCCAGGAAGGGAAGCCTCCTCTAACAGTGCTAGTATCCATCCTCATCGTTAGAACAGATCTCTTGTATTCAGGTCAGGCTCTGGTGGTTCATTCCCCCACTAACTATTGAACTAACATGACTATGCACCGCAGAGATAAGAGTTGGTCTAGTCTCTTCGTGGATCCCGTTAAGACAGTCGTGGTAGTTATGGCTCATATATCTACAGCATTGTGGTATTCTTGACCCGCTCAGAACAACCCAGGGCCATCGGTTTCAACAACGCGATTTCTCACGCGTCGCTGCCCATAACTCATTTTTGATTGTTTTTCTTTGTTCTTTCTGGACCTCTTGTCTCTACCGCTCGCTTCCTTCAATCATGAGATCTCCCTTCGCGTACTCCACCTTTTGAACTTCCCCGTTTCTCCAGAATGGCATCTCTTGCTCTGGACCGTCCCGACGGTGCTCGCACGCCTTTCAAAGACCTCGACATTGAAGCGATCAAAAGTTGGAAGCTCTACACTTTCGATCTACAACGAGCGTGGGACCATGCCAAGCAGGCATTCGCACACACCATTCAGAACGTCCGTCTCTCAGATGAGGCGGTGTTTGCCGTGACTATCTTTATGCCTGCTTCCCTGCGTGCCAAATACTACCGATATGACTTCGACTCCCGCGGTGATATTCGGGAATATCGGATCCCCAGGGACCCGCCGATGGTCATCCAGTGCCACGGAATCAACTGGTTTCCGGTGTACCGCATGACAAACATACTCTGTGGAAGTTGGAACAAAGCCTGCGGGTGGCTTCGCGGCCTCGTGGCTTCAGAGAATGTCGGCTACCACATTGGCGAATTTGTCGCCCCCCAGAAGCTGCTCAGGCATGTTCCTCTCCACTGCAACTGAATTCCCGCGAGCTCAAGAATACCTCTGGCATCAGTCCTGACAGGCTCCTGTTAACTAAAGATGCTCCATCGACCTTGCTGAAAGCTATTGCACGCCAGGGAATCTACCTTACCATGGCAGTCAATATCCCCAACGTCGTTGTCATCGACTCTAAGCACACATGCGCCTTCCAGTCTCTACTGGACATTGAAGGATTCCATTTCCTCGCCGGTCCTCACTCGAATCCCAAAGATCCCACAGAGGCTATTCAGCAGCCTTCATCCTCCAAGAAGAATATTGAGGAGAACATCGCAGAGAAGTACGGGGGTCCTTATAAAAATATCACATCTATGCGCCCTCTGAAGACTCACATTAACTGGTCGGAGCGACAGGTCAAGGATGCTGACACTGTGGACTGAAGAATCTATGCTTGTGGCAGCTTCGAATAATCACTGTCATCATGGAATGTCTCGGCAATCCTATCGCCCTCACATTTGTGGCTGGTCCACACATTTATCTCTCATCTTCCATATGGTTCTTTTCCACATAACATACAATTGCTTCATTGGCATTCTCCAGCGATCCATGCTATGTTATCTGTACATCAACGAGGCTTCGGGTCATCAGAACTGTTCGTTGACAACAATAAATAGTGTGGACTCCTGCCACCAATGGCCTACTATGTAACGGGTAAACCAATTCAATTCTCTGTATTGTCACCTAGAATCGAATGCGCCCTAATTGGTCCGCTTTTGCTTCTGCCAGACTCGTCTGCGAAGTGGGAACCAAAAGACTGTAGCAAGCCGAACTCAATATGAACAGTACTTAGGCCTCCTTTTTCTTTTAAGAGGTGATGTACTATTAGGTATTCCCCGGATATCCTTTGGAGAATAATTACATAATGCCTTCCTCCTCATTATTGAGTCCTTTTAGGCCAAAACAATCTCCAAAAAGAAGCAGGTACGTCAGGATATGGAGTAATTTCGGCTCCCAGAATATTCTCGGAGGAATTAAATCTATAAGAATCATCCACCGGAATGCCGAGTTAAATCCGGCACTCATCGATGATCATTGTTCTCGGAGAATTAATGGAGTTTTGCAGGAAAATCCTCGGGTTGCGTCACTCCTTCCCACTTGGCGGTCGCTTGATCTTGGCAGCCGATGTGCATTGGACTCGCGTCCCCGCACATCTGGAGCATGAGGAAACTTTTAATGTTTATTGTAGTCAACCTTGCTGGATAGCCCCGCGTTTTAAGTTCCTGGCAGGTACGAACACCCGAAGATGTGGCGATCAAAACCCGGAGATGTTCTGTTGCAACCCATATCGTGGATATAAGAATAGCGTGTCGTCCATGAAGTGTCATCCAATTTGCGGAAGCTGGAACGGAACTTGAACAGCAGTTATGAAGCCAAATACCGTGTTTTTGGGCGTGGCGCTTGGTGCTATTGCCTCACGAGTATGCGGCCAAACCCTCACAGTCGATATGATCGATAACATGTCGAATAACACCCTCTTTACGCGATGGCGACCATCTTCTCATTTCCTTGCTCCTTCAGGGTGGATGAATGTATGAAATAGCTTTCGGCCGAATGGAAAAAGGAGAAGTCCAGGTGGGAATGGTAAAAGGCTAATTTCGAATTAGGACCCCTGTGGCCCAATGTACGACCCAGTCCGGGGTCTCTATCACCTGCACTACCAGTTTCACCCGAACCACGTTGCCTGGGGTATGAGCTCCTCCTCTACCAGACGTTTTCGAGACTAATTGCTAATCAAATCAATCTTCACCAGGCAATGTATCCTGGGGACATGCCACATCCCCTGACCTCATTACCTGGACTGATGTCGACCATGTTCCCGATGACGGCATTCCTGCCTGGAAAGATCAGCAAGCACAATCAATCGGTGTCACCAACCTGACCAGCAAACACGATCCGCCTCTATACAATCACCTCTCTATCTTCTCTGGCACTGCACAGCCTGTCAATCTCTCTGGCGAAGCTGATGGCACATTTCTGGCCTTTTATACGGGCGTCTCGCAGCTCCCAACTACATGGAATACTCGCTACTTCCCTGGAACCGAAAGTCAAGGATTGGCATACTCTATTGATGGAGGAATTACATGGGAGCACTACGAGAACAACCCAATCCTCTCTGATCCGCCCGGAAATTGGAACATCACGGGCTGGCGTGATCCCTATTTCGCCCCATGGCCACAGATGGATAATTTCCTCAATATGACAGAGCCTCACTGGTACGCCGTCTTTGGCTCCGGTATTCGAGGAGTCGGTCCGCGTATACCCTTATACCGAGCTCCCGCTTCAGACCTCACCAACTGGACCTTTTTGGGAGCTCTCTGGGAGCCGGGAATGAATACCACTCTTGGTTCTCTAGAAGAAACTGGGAGCTACGCGTTCAACTTCGAGGTTTCGAACTTTTTCTCAATCGGCGACCGGTACTTTGTCAGTATGGGCGCCGAGGGTGGGAACGTCAGCTTCCACCAGCAGAAGTGGTCTCTTTGGAATGAAGGCACTTTGTCCGTTCGAGCGAATGGGAGCGTTGCTTTCAATCCTGTTTCCGGTGGCGCGAGCGACTGGGGTCTTTTGTATGCGGTAAGTGCTGTGTGAGGCTATCGTCATTGGGAGACAGGCCCTCTTCAAGAATTACTCAAAGCTAATGCACAATGTCAGATTACCTCTTTCAATGATACCAAAAACAACCGTCGTATCCAATGGGGCTGGGCACAGGAGGATATGAACGACTTCGGCATCACCCAGCAGGGGTATCAGGGAGTACTTGCATTGCCTCGGGAAATCTTTATCAAGGACACCCCAGATGTGATTCATGATTCCACCAATACAGTCCCTGGAAACTCCCGCTATTTCCCAAATGCCAACGGCACTTGGACTGCAAGCACCCTCGGCGTCCGTCCCGCCCCTGATGTGGTGGAGGGCCTTCACCTCGGCGCCAACCATACCAAGTACCCCTGCCATGAGAACAAGTGCAATATCAAAAAGATACACCTACCGAAAAAGTTGTCAAGGTCATATCAATTGAATGTGGACATCAAACACACAACTGGCATCGCAGGAGTCACAATCGGAGCTTCTCCTGACTGCGAAGAATATACAAATATCTACTTCAATCCCACCAACAACAGCATCGCCGTCGATCGCACCCATTCTTCCCTCATCAACATGTTCTCAAACTCTACGCACGAGGGCTACTTTAAGCCTTACAAGCTGCAGCGTGGAGGTAGGAATATCACGGAATCCATTCAAATGAGCATCTTCGTCGATGGCTCGCTGGTCGAGGTGTATGTCAACGAGCGCTTCGCCCTCACAACGCGTATCTATCCAAGCCGTGAAGACAGCAGTGGAGTTGCACTCTTTTTTGGTCCAGGAGTCGAGGTGGAATACTCTAATATCGAGATCTGGGATGGTCTGCTCAATGTCTGGCCTCATAGGCCGCAAAATAGTAGCTCTCTCCTTGTGTTTGATACGGCTGCTGAGACTGGCAATTATACCTGGTGGACGGGTAATTGAGCCGTATCTTCTGTTGCAACATTATCTGGATCAAGTCCAATATTGGTTGAATAATCACTCGATCAGTGTACAGATACGTACCTACCTTCTCAAATGAAGTGCCACTGTCTATGACAGCTATCTGATAGCCCTGCGTGATATATTGCTAGATTGCTTAACATTTGGTCATTCCGGAAATTGGAGCTAGTTCTGAATAAAAATATAATCGTTGAACTTGTGAGAATATGGAAACATTGGGCCACAGAAGACGGCAATGTGGCGGAAAACAAGAAAAGCTCTGGTTTGAATCACACGATTCTCAATGGATATTTAACTGATGCTTGACTAGTTTCAACCGAAACTATACCAGTAGTTACTACTTTGGAGCCTTCTACTTATGGATATTCACTATGATTGGCTATCATCCAGTCATTCTGGTCCAACTACTCAGTTAAGGGAAAAATATAACAGCAGCGAATTGGTTTTGTTGAATCATCCAATTCTAGTTGAATAAATAGGAAAAGGCCTCCCATAAATGGTGGTCTTGCATGTGGCATTATGCAGGACATTGAAAAAGCAATAGAACGCAAGTGATAGAAAGTGCCTCATTCCAACGACACCAAGCGAAGCAGGCCCTGGTCATTACTGTCCATTTTTGTATCTTGCGTTGGAACTTCCCAAAATTGGGGAAAGATGAGCTCCGGCAGTCCCAGCTTTCAAATTTTGCCAAAGTCCGGAGATATATTTTCCACGTGGGCCGTCTTGAGTCCATGAAAATGAGGGGACAGGATCGGACGGATCCTTTGTAACACACAAGGAAAGACAAGTGGTTCGAGAAGATGTGTGGAGTGATTCCGAGCTAGATATTTTCCTCAATGGAGTCACTATATCCAGATTCTGCAGCCAGCACCTTCGATCCCCAATGAGTATTGAACGCCTAATTCCCGCGATAGTATGCAAAGCCTTGATGGCAGCAGCCGATGCAATGATGCAGGATAAATCCCGAATGATAAGAGACTCATCTGGTCGGACATGCAATCGGAAGGATATATGAGCAAGCATCAGCTCATCGTGGTTGAGCATTGGGTGTGACCTGGCATCAGAGCTTTCGGTCCAGATCTCTCCCAAATCGGATACAAAATTCCCAGTGACATAAACCGAACACTGCAGATTAAATAGCCCTAGTAATTTTGCTGCATTTTGACCGATATCCTGAGAGTGTGGGCCAGAAATCGACAAAAATGCAACAAGTTCTTCTGTTGACTCGGGCAGTGTAAGGTGATGAAACGAGAAAGAGACCTCATTCACGTTGCGAATGACGGAATCTTCTCCGCGAGGTGGAGGAATCGGAGCCATGTCCCAATCAAAAGCTAAGCCTCCTGGCATAGGGGGTAGTGGCGGGGATGCAGCAGGGGAGTAGACAGTCACTGCATCGGTATCGTCCTCCGGGTCATCTATAATCTCAATAGTGTCCTGTTCACCAAGTAACTCCCCCAGTCGAGATTTTGCATCAGACCAGTCTTCACAGTCGGTATCACCCTCATCTGGAACAGCACCTGGGGCAACAGACATCCAATATATAACTCCCTTCAAGTAAATGTCTGCAGCCCAGTCACAAATCATGTCAACTATCAGAAACAGTTGCAATGCACAATCCGCCCGGCGAATATCGCCATTCCAAAGTTGGATAACTCGCTGTTAGAGTGTCAGAGGTTTCGTAATCAAATTGGTCATGGTACATACTACTCCTCCGCCGTGAGTGGGGATACAGCCATGGATTTTCCAATCCTCGCCTCTGAAGGCCAAAAACCATACCAATGGATGGTAGCTCCCTTCTTCCTTTGCTCTCGCTGTCGATTTCTGGAAATTCACCAGCTTTCTGATCGGAAAAGCGGTTTGTTTCTCAATCGCAGAGAAATCGGAGCAATACTCCCCTGACTTCGCCTCAAGGATGAGGAAAGGGAACAAAACATGATCACCAGTGTCCAGTGGGGTACAGGGCATTTCTGCTGAACTTTCCATAGCATGGCTCAGTGGGGAGTTCTCTCCTTTCAGAAATCCGAGAACATAGTCGGGGTTTCTCCTGCCATCTGCGGGGATCGTTGGGTCCGATATGCTTGGCTCATGTATCCCTGCGAATATTCTGCGACCATCTGAGTAAGGGGACTAACGAATATTGATAGTGAGCATGTCGCCTCATCATGTCCAAGAAATTAAAATGCAGCAATATATTTACCTGTGTTTCAAGGCTAAATTCATTGTCGTTGCAGTGGCACATCAACCTGCTAGATCGTAGTTGGGAAAGTTCAGATGCAGCCTTTTGGCACATAGGCTCAGCATGGAACTCGGCTTTCCACTGACGTCCTTTGCATCGGGAACTATTTTAATAGTCTGTTAGGCCGATTATGGCAAAAGATGAACGTTTGATCACGCACCAAAACAGGTCTTCCATGAAGCGTTTTAAAACCAGTCTTTCTGTTGCGCTCCTCCAGTCCCGCTCATTTGCACGGGTTTTGCGACATTGATCAGCTTCGTTCATTAGTTCATTCGTAGCTCAGATCATTTTTTTCATCTGGACACGTTTTTGTGTCTCCACACACAATTTCATCTCGCAATAGTATTCTTCATAGTTGACTCGTTCAATTCGGCGGATAATTGTAAACAGTGAAACATATTGGGCAGGCCACTTGGAATCACGGAGTGGGCCTTCGAAGCATATATTATGTTTTGCTATTAAATCCCGAGCTTGTTTTTTGGTCAGCTTTTTCCTTGGTCCGGGTCTGTTCTCCATGAGAAAATGGTGGATGTGGATTTCTTGCAGAGCTGCAATGTTGAAGAAAAGTTGCAAGGGATGCTATCAGAGGAGCTGGTATTATTTATGGCATATGAGTTTGACTAGTTCTTGAGCTAAGGCATGTGGATTTAATTCAAGCGTTATTTCTCAGCCATGCTGTGGGTACTTTGGTAGTCTGCCTTGCGTTATCAAATATCTTTGGGGTTACATTAACCAGACGCCCCACACATACCAAGAAGTATTTTTATCCATGACTAGATGCGTAGCTTGGCAAACATACGTTATCGGATCCCACTTTGACTCCAAGACTGGAGTGACCACCTGGAAACTCCAAAGTAGCCCTTTGCACGGTCAGGATGGATTACATTTTGAGGGCCATGTTTCCGTGGAGCGGGCCCCGATATGCTGTGGGGCGAAGCTTCGCAGTGCCCCATCAGCTGGACTTGCCGCGAACCATTCAGGGGCCGCCACTAGCCGCCTTGAAATAGATTGCAGTGATATATGTAACGAAATAGGGGTGCACATGTCCTAGCCTGTTTCAGTTCGTGCCGGGCACATATGTATGTACAGTCGGCGTTCATTAGTATTTGAAACATGCTACATGCCCACATATCTTTGTGCCAGTTGGCGGAAGTACAGCACGTTGGGTAGGCATATTGGTAAGTAGCGAACCTGGCGGCGAATTCTGGTAGCGAATCTGCTATGGAGGGGGTCTTGGTGGTTCGGTGTTTTGGTTGCTTAGGAGAGGCCCTACATGGAGCTAAAGGCTAGTTTCTGCCAAAAATAGTTTAGCTCTCCGGCGTAATACAACGAATACGTGGCAAAATATAAACGAATTAGTCGAAATATGTGGAGTGGTAACTTGCTAAGAACGGGCCTATTCATCAACTGCCCACTTCTCTTGTGTCCTTGTATGTAATTCTGATTTACCAGTGAACTCAGGCTTTGTGAGAGCCGAGTATTTGCCGTATGCGCACGAGCTATGGGGGTTGCTTTCAGCGGTTCCTCGTCCTGACTAAGGATAGAGGAAAAACATAACTATATCGATAATTACGCCGCACGTCATGGACAATACACTAACTAAATAATCACAAAATTGATTCAGCCTTGCCGCAGGGAAGCATTCCGCGGCTGGCCAATCTTGTCAATCTAGTGCCGCCTGGCTGATTTGGGCATCGCTAATAAGTTTGATGTTTCGGCGCTCTGAATACCCAAGTCTGTATAGTGGATACAGCGATAAGCGCCAACAAGGCTTCGCCACGCATTAATCAGGCAAAAGCAATTGTGAAGCGCCCAAGAGCATCTCACCAGCATGTAGAGACCGACTATCAAGCTGGGATTCATTCATGCTGTAGGCTTTGTGGCTGCATCACACTAATTCTGAGCTTTATTTGATATCCAATGGCATAAGCGCCCACTGACTTTTGCTAGAAGGGTGGAAGAACGACCTCAAATCGGCAATCGCGTCCCAAATGCAACATCCATGACTGCGGCACCCCGGTGAAAGGGACTGGCTGCTCAAACGCAAATGGGCCACCGAGAGCAACCGGATTTTAAGGCGCTGAGGTGGCAAGCCATGTGTAATTCCTTACACCACGGCACGGCCCCCGGGGGAAAACAATCAGAGGATGTCACTGAATGGCCAAATGGGGACTGTGAAATCAATACAGTGGGTTAAAGAAGCAAAAACATAAAGCAGCGCAGATTTGCTGGTGGTGTCGAGAACCCAGGCACAGGACTAACTGGACCGCATGATTCTGGGTGTGACCAGCTGTAATCGGTGGCTTGCAGAGAGAGGAGAGCATTGTGTGAGGGTCGCCGTACTGTATGTACTGCATGCTATGCCCATTATTGTGGGATAAGCGGTAGTGATATCCTCAATGTCCGGTTTTTGGCAAAAAGAGAGGCAGATAAGAAGAGGGTTGATGCAGTAGAACCCCGAAACGACGCTAAGTCCGCAGCATTTGAAACCAACGGCACACACAGCACGTCAATATTACCCGCCTATCTTAACCGCCTATCTTACACGCCTATCTACAAGACCCGCAGGGAGCCCAGATGGGGTTGACAGGCGGGGCTTGGATTGGTCGCTGATCCTTGTTGGCACAGTGGAGCAGCGACAGGGTACCAAAAAGGTGTTGGCAGAAAATGCGTCCAATTGGCTGATAGTGCTTGCCGCCTCCGAATAAGATAGGAAGAGACTGGGGCCAATTCTTTTCTCTTCGATTTGAGATTTCGGGACTCGTCTTTAACTTAACCCTTTTGCCGGAAAAGAAGATTACTGTATTGCATCGTACAGTGACAATATAAATCAGGTTGACCTCATACCCGTACGACTTGATTCCTGGAATATAATTCCTACAGTAGCTGCGCTTCTCCCGTTTCCCGCTCGATTAGTTGAGCATGACTTTATGGTGATAGCTAAACAACAATTAGATGAGGCATTATTACAATGCAGGAACTCATCCGATCCAATTCCGCACTGAGGTTTTATCTCAATACATAATGGTACCTAGTGTAGCGGAGCCGGAAGTCGCGTATGGCGTGTTGGGATCTACTAGAGAGGAGGCCTTTAGGGGAGTCTGAAGAGGAATAATGCCTAATTTGTGCTACTACGAGCGATCACGCCTTATATACGCGCACCATGTCATCTGATAGCAAGGAGGAATTGCCCGGCTGGCACAACGGATAAGGTTGTTGCCAACATGCACTGTGCATCGTAGGATCTTGCCAGACAAAGTATCTTGCTCGATGGTCCCGCGTCACCAGAGTTTAAGCTCGGGGTTTAAGCAGTTTTTTCCTCTCCTTCTCGCCTTGTCCTTTCTATCTAGCTTCCTCGTCTCATCAAAGGCATGCTTTGGGTAATCTTGATACCCCGTGGCTACGAAGGCGGTGAGATCAACTTTGATAGACTTCAAACTTCATGATGATGTACAAATGATGTTGGGTACCAAAATTACCGTGTATTTCTGGAATTCGAATGGAAAGATCAACTCGCAGCTTAATTTGACCAAGTAAAAATTTGCTGGTTCCGCCATTCGCCAGCAGTGACGCCGTATTTGATGAAAATCTGTGCGTGGTGGATATCTATAAAGTGTTTGTCCCTCACAAAGCTGTCTTGTAATGTCTCTGCTATGCAAATCTGGAGCGCTCGAGGAGAGAATTAATGAATAAAAAGCAAAAAAAATACATACAACAGCATGTCTAAGGTGCACGATTCCGTGTCGTGGGCGGCTCACCCTCTTCAGGCCGATCCGGGTACTGTTCACCCATCTGAATAATCGTCACATGAATATTCAGCCCCGTTAGCAAAAGATGCAATTTCACCTCTTGAAAGAGGAATCTAGGAAGAATCACTATACGCCCTTTCCATATTCTTCTTCCTTTATTTACCCTTATTCCAGAGTACCGTAAATGTTATGATATTGACCAATATTGACATAGTATCAGTATCGGAGTATTTGTCAGGACTTTGGCCGCACAATCCTGCTGTACTTTGGTAATCTAGGTGCCCCAGGCCCCAAGCCAGACCGCCGGGGATTTAGAACCGGCGTTAAATGGGACCGATGGGGAGATTGGGCCTAGCAAATAGACCATGCTAGAGACCTAGAAACCGAGAGATTAGCAAGGCTCCGTCACCGGTACTTTGCACCGTTTTTGGAGGTTTAGATAGACAATTTAAAGGCTTTCTAAGCCAGAGAGAAGAAGAATCAGGCTGCATTTCATGAACTATTCGATGGGTTGCATGTATCTAGCAGAATATTAGTGTTCGACATTAGGGCTCCTTAACCCAGGCTGATCAAAGACTGCCAGCTTGACGTGGTCTACTTTTTAGATTATGTTGAAGAATCCATCAAAAAAGGGATATTAGTGGAACAAAACCCTGTCTATGACCTTGTGATCTGTAGATATTTAAACGTCAACCCGCAATTAAGCTCTCACTTTGACCTCTTATGACTCGCTCTTTTCTTCCCATCCTTTGTCTTCGAAGTAGACTTTCCTTTACGCTTTTTCTTCCTGTCCTCCTCTGATGGAACCAAATCCGATTCAGGCTCAGAGCTCTCATCGCTTGCAGCATGTCGATGATCTGGCTCACTGGACTCTTCCTTATCTGATGATGTACTCGAGTCTGAATCAGTGTCTGAAGGCTGCGCTTCCTTGAACACCCCTCTCTCAGGCCCTCGGCCTTTGGAAGAACGACTCGACCGCCCAAACGCATATACTGAGCGACCCGGATCCGTGTTGGGTACCATGGGCACCACCATAGGTTGATTCTGGAAGTTATCGGCGCGCCAGCGATGCTCTTCGGCAAGTTGTGAGTCATTCTTTCCCTGGCTGAGCGAGAGGAGGTATCTGTCGAATTCCTCGGCGGCGGCGGCGACTCGGGTGAATTGTTCCTTACCGAGAATGATATCATTTGGTCGTTTGTTTTTCCGTGCATCGAAGGCAGCAAGAGCAACGGCTGTCTGGAATGCGTTGCGAATTTGTCTACAAATAAAGGGCTTTGATCAGCATAAAGATTTTGGTTGAGTGCGTGGAATGAATGATGGCAAGTTGTACAGTACCTTCCATTCCAGTTGAGCAGGTTCTTAGCTTTGGTATCCTTGAAATGGTCTTTTGCGAACTGGATTATTTCTTTCTCCCGGATATCGAAGTCCGGATTTTGCGCCTCGAACTCCTTCCTGATCCGTCCGATGTTGTTCTTCCATATCTGGATGGATGTTTTCTTGTCCAGTTTCGGATAATACAAACTGACATGGATTCGGGACTTGAATGCCCGGTCGATTTGGCCGACACGGTTTGTGGTCAGGAATAGGATCCCCTATCTGGGTTAGGAGAGACTCAGAAAATATCATTATTGGATGTGTTGAACTTACACTGTAGTATTCCAAGGTTCGAAGGAAAACTTCGTAATGGAAATTGCAATTAATATTATTTATATAATCAACAAACGGAGGGACGGACCTACCTGAAACAATAGCATTGCGAGGGAGATCGGTATCATTGCGTCGCTTAAGAAAAACACTATTGAAAAATCAGCAAGGCCTTGATGAAGAAGTTGATATTGGAGGGATGCAACAAACTCGGCTTCGTCAAGAAGAAGAACGCATCCCCATTTATGAGCAAGCTGGAAGTTCCGCTCCAAGTTCTTCTCCACAAATTCAGCGTTGTCTCCTATGTCACCACATGTGACTGGGAAAAGAGGCCGTTTGGTATGATCCGCAACGCATTCAGCTGTACTAGTCTTGCCAACTCCCGGTTCGCCGTGCAGCAAAATAATCAGACCCTTACCTTTGCCCTGAATAAGGTCGACAGAGGGCAGGGAACTCCCCCGCCCTTCAGACTTGCTTGGGATACTCTCATGATTTTCAACCATAGCCAAGACTGTTTCTTTAATACTGTCGTTGATAACCAAGTTTTGCCACCCATCGGTGTATTGAACATCGCTAATGCTCTCAATATCAAACGTTGCCCATTTGCGAGAACGGAGAACAAACCCGTAGACCATAAAGGGAAGTAGGGCCTTCTGGTCTCGGGTCAAGTCTTCCGCATATCCCGTGGAGTCAAATAAGCTCCCACTCAGACTTTTGAACTGCTGTTCTTCTTTTTCATCGATGGCGGAGTCTTGGACAATGTAGTCGTTCCCACAGCAGCCTTCCGAGCCGCATTGAATACAACGAAAATAACCCAAATTCGTCTCTCGGTTATCATGATCAACTAGACTATCCAGTCCGATCTGTGGTTTTTTGTCGGACATCTCTAGAAACGCCAGTTGGAAATCAATGATTACCTGAGATTCCACTTGTTCCGGATGCTTATCAAGGGTTAATCCACGGTATTGCTTATGTGCTGTCTTTTGTGGGTTCGATAAAACTGCGAAGATTTCACCTCGAGTGACCATCGCTTCGCGAATGCTCTCATGGTCCGGATCGCATTGCAATGGATATACCGGGAGAGCAGTCATATCTCGCTCTCCTTCATACTTCCGGATCTGGAATGTACGGTTTACTGGGCCATATTGGGCCCCATCAAAGTCAATGTAGAAGCACTCCACTATGAAACTTCCCGGGGAGTATCCTTGGTCCTTCAATTTGACCCCAGCATAGTTTGCCGGGGGGTCACCAGCGAGGGAGTAAAGCGGTCTCCCTCCCGTTGCGCGAATCACCCGGTATCTAGAATTCGTGTTAGCAATTCATCATATGATTCCAATTTAGTCGGAAGGCTCACAGTTGGATCTGCTTTGCAGCGGGACTGCGGACGGTGGTACCTGGTCGGAACACATGCCAAAGATCACAGAATGCTACTTTGCGAGCCGTGCCCTTCTCAAAATCCTCCCTTAACTTGAAAACACGACCTAAATGATTTGCCATAAATTCATTCAATAACCGTAGATGTTCAAGGGCCTTTGGGCTCTCCGTTTCTTTTAATGGGCCAATTGCCATTGAAGGGTCTTGACTTTCAGCTGTGCTGTCACCATGGATCTGTTCGAGTTTCTTTTGATGTTCCAAGAGATCCTTCCAGAACAGAGTCAACAGCTTAAAGGGCCTCATGAACGTGACTTTATGCTCGTGGGGGCCGCGCTGCGAGAGCTGGTCTGTGACTTCATTCAAGACCTTCAAAAGAATTGGCGAGCGAAGCCGAATCTGAAACATAGGAAGGCTGGCCTCTTTGCCATCAACGCTCACTTTGTTCCCAGCGACGACCCCGGGGGACTGTTTCGTCGTTACCGACCGCACCGCTCTGAACGATAGAGGTTCTTCGATTAGAGTCTCAATGATGCTCTGTGGGCTGTTGTCGATTTCCGGGACGTGCTTCCACTCGCCTTTCGAATCGGGTACGTCGTATACAACGGAGTACTCTTGCCAGCTGAGCCATTTGGTCGTAGCCTCGCTATCAGGCACCTTGCTTTTGTTATAATTGGTAAAGTCCAGTTTCTGCGGTCCAAGAATTGCGGCCTCGAGTGCCTCAAGACGGTCGTGAAAGAGTCGATGGAGCATCGCCTCGTGAAAAAGTCGCGCTGGGACGTCTTGAATTCGCTCTTGTAAAGAACGTTGCTCAAAGAGCGTGGTGACTCTGTTCCAGTGTCCAAGGAACCATGGATCATCTTTCGCATCCTCGAGCCGAGGTTCTGCTTCCTTTCTCTCATTGAGCTGGGCATTTTGAGGTTCATCCTCTGCCTTGCTAGGCTGACCGTTCTTCGCAGCATCAGAGGATAAAAAGGAAGATGGGGTACTGGTTTCAGTCTGAGACGAGTCTGTGTTGCTGTCCGCGGCTGGTGTGAAGACATTCGGTTCGGAAGATAGACCCAAGGAGTGAGGATTTACACTGTCGACGATCGCTGTTGCCATGATGCGAAAGCTCCTGCAATGGTTCTTGAGCCTTTGAAAGACGAGGGAGTTCCGAGGTCACTGAGTTGGTCACTGATTTGTGCCTGTGATACTCTGGCCAGTTTACCTCACATACACGCTGTACTGTGACAGGTGTCAGCGCGCCGCGTCAGCCTTGCTTTAAGGCAGCTGCAAATCTCACCCCGCCAGAAAGATTTTTGCTTTTTATGCTCGGACATCCTTTTCGACAAGTAATGTTTGTGCCCGAATCCTTTGCCTATCTCCCTGCGCCTAGTGCTGCAACTAGTAGGGATTAGCCGGGCCAGAGGAGACCACCGGGACGGGGGAGTTCTATTTTGATAGTAGCGCCCGCCCCATCTGCATATGCACGTGTCTCCATTGGGCACGGATCCTTCCCTACAGTTCCTTTGCCATACCTCTTGGCCCTTGATCGCCATCAGCAAGTACTTGTCAACTTTCCCCCCTCTAGCGTGGTGCGATGAACTGCGGGAGATCGAAGGTCCTCGCCCCCAAGCCGCGCTATATTTAGTTTGAGTGTCAGCAGAGGAGGACGTGAAATTAATCTTGACAGGAAATACCTGGGCTTTTGGGCCAATGATCGATCTGATATGATGCCTCAAGCGTTGGTGCGCCCGACAGCCTGAAGGCAACTTGCCTACCCCTCACCATTCCTCCGCTTGGTGGTCGGAGTCGACTTGATTTGAGCTGACAGGGACATAGGAGGGTTTGGTTACTCCATAAAGCCCCCAGCTAAGTGGTAGGATAATCTTTGTGTTTACTTCAGGCAACATAGGCCACGAACAGGATGGCAAAACAACCAGTAACCAAGTTCCCAGTTCGTCATTCAACTAATCTCCCCGCGAGCTTCATTGAGAATCACCAAACCACTGCCGAAGACGAAGAAAAAATTAAATATGTTCATCGTATCAATTCTTTCCTCCCCGAGAAGGACGCAGCTCAGGATGAGCTAGAGTGTAAGCAACGAATGTGTGTGTATTCACCTTCCCCTCATCATATGCCAGAATCTCGGAACCTATCACTTATTATCGAGGATCTTTTGTTAGTGAGGAGTCTTTTCAAAGTACGACCAACAATGTTCGAGCCTTAAATGAGGCGCTGGAGGCTTTCCATCTGAAATTGCGCAAACCTGGCCAATTCCAAGTCGGTCAGCCTATGCCATCAGGCCAGAAAGTACACTGGTCGGATGTGATGAAGGAGCTACAAAATGCCCAGAACTACTACAAGACCCGTCATGGAGGTGGACCGATTGGCAAGGCGCTTTCCAAGTTCGGGAGATATACGGAGTCGCTGAAGGGGTGGCTAGACCTGCTTCCTGCTGGAGATTATGGGTCTACTATATGCGGTACGTATGCACCTATCATCTTCAATGCGATCGATGCTAAGCGCCCGAGAATTGTACAGGCGGACTCAAGCTATTGTTATCGGTATGGCAACAGGAACATTCCAAATTGACTTGATTCTCAACCCCCAAGCACCGACTGACGCCATTTAGGCCCTTGATGAAACTCACAAGCTGGATGACTTGGTTTTCGTGGCACTGTCGGACATACCCGAGATCTTGTACGAGGCCCGGTTCTACCTGGATGCGTACAGAGTTCCTAGGTTGAGCATTAATATGCTGGAAAAGATGGCTGACCTATGTAACCACGTTCTTGTCGTGCTGCGGGAAATCGTTTATTACTGTCTTGAAACAAAGCCTAGTAAGTACACATATAGGCTCTTTTTCCTGAGTGCAAAGGTCGCGTCTCTGATTTTCCTTTTCGCATAGAACATTTTATTTCGACGGTCTTCAAGGGGCCAAAATCAAAAGACTCTCTACGACAAACGATTTCCGACCTCAGGGAACGCGCTACCTCTCTTTCTCGAGAGGCAGAGCTCACGAACCACCAAACTGTACAGAATATCAGCGAAGATATTCAAGGCATTAAGCAGAGTTGTCACAACACAGAAGGTAGCCGCACGGACATTTATGTCAATCTATACGTGCTCTACTCTGGACACCCATCTCTCGATAGCAAAGGCGAACTTCTGTCCGACAGTATGGACGGTCAGTATTATGCAACTCTCAAAGCTTTCTACAAATTTTATCAAATCTGAACGTGCAAAATAAAAATCTAGCGTCCCCTCGATTGTCTCTTGCCGGCGTTCAATTTCAAAACTCCATCAGTGCAGACTCTTCCCCAGGGGTCCAGCCTTCGCGGAGTCCATCCATAACCGACCTACCAGATCTAAGAGATTTGCTCACCCTATGTGTCAATTCTCAATCTAACGATCATTTAAACGTTCCCCAACGGACCCATTGTCGACATCAATCTTCCCCCAAGCCAGAGGATCCCCTGATCACCACCGAAGGCCTTTTGCACCTCCTCGCATTCGACGAAACAAAGGTCGCCAGCGACCGGGGCACGAACGTTCACCCAAGCAGGTTCAACAAGCGCGAATCCCAAAAACTTCCCTTCATTACGAGATCCACCCAGTTTCAAAACTGGATCAACAAGACCGAGGGGAAAAACGCCTCCCTACTCGTTCAAGGTCACTTTGACTCTGAAGATGGCACGTCGGCTTTGACACACCTCTGCGCAAGGATCGCTTACGAGTCCGCTCCTAATCCCAAAGTACTGATTCTCACTCACTTTTGCTCGCTCCATACGGCCAGTCGCGCGGAGATCGGTCGCCGGGCTGGTGCCACAGGGTTAATCGTCAGCTTGATCGGTCAGCTTCTCTCGTACGACACCCATCGAGTCCAATTTGATCTATCGCGAATCACGCAACATGCATTATCACGGATCGAGGAGTTTTCATTGAAGAAACTGTGCTGGTTCTTCGAAATGCTCATCGCCCAAGTTAAGAAGGGAATCACGATTATCTGCATTATTGACAATATCTCATCGTATGAGACGGACGAAGCGGTGGGTGATCTGGAGCGGTTGATCCGTTGTCTGCAAACCTGGGTCATACAGGCAAACCAGACTTCGTCGAAGCCAAGGATGAAGTTGTTAATCACCGACACGAACCAGACCACCCGGGTCTACCGGTATTTTCAACAAGATGATATTCTGGATCTTGAAGGTGGTGGTGAATCAGGGGATGATTGGGAGGATGACTCTGAGGAGGACAACTGGATAATATAATTGGGGAGGGTCACTGTTCACAAATTGGCATTCTGAGTAGATAGTATTATCTTGTTTAGCTTATGCGACTACTACCATTTACTGGTTTTGCAAAGGTCGTCATTCATAGACCATTTTCAAGGTCCACTGTGAGTACATTCAATTAGTAAGGCAGTCCATAGCGAACATTTTATTAATCTAGCATGACTTGAGGATTCTTAGACCTACTCTGAGACTAGAGGTTCTGGAGATCAAATCTAGTTCCCGTAACTCAGTTATTGCTTTTGTGGAACACTAAGATTCTGCCAGATACATGCAACCAATGGGATAATAGCTAAAATAGGTACAGTCTGATGTTTTGTTCTTCTAACCGAGAAAGCCCTCTAAGTAGTAGCCTATCTAAGACGACAGAGAGTACCAGTACAGGAGACCTCCTGAATTCTTGGAATTCCAAGATATTATGAAGATCGTGAAGATTTCTATTTATCTCAATCCATGTCGGTCGGAATGCAATCTTTCCTTGTCAGTGTTGCTCCAAGCAGGGGCTGATGCCAGCTGTTAGTGCTACATTTAAGAACAGCTGTCCAAGCGGCAGCAGAAGGCGGTCACCTCGAGGTTTTTCAGGTACTACTAGCAGCTAAGGCAGATGCTAACGCATCCCCTGCTAAAATCACGGTAGAACAGCCCTCCCATATGAAAAAATGCGTCGTTATATACAGAAGATAAAAAGAGGATGCTACTAAAGAAGACAGACGAAGAGGGTCTACTTAATTACGTTGGGTGTAGGTATCCTTGGAAGGGTATTAAGCCTGAAAGTGATCAATTTGAAAGGCTATAAGACTGCATTAACGAACCCATGAAAAGACAGGAAACCGAGAGTGTAATATAGACAGCTGGATCATAGAAGCAGACGATAATAGAGTCCAGGAAAGAAAGATCCAGTGTCTCGGTAAGAAGCATAGTAAACGGGAAAACCGAGGGAGATGCTGATGTAAAGAGAGGCAAATGTCGAGACAGAGCGGCTTCCTACATGTGACATACCGGCCCGAGACACAGGCAAAAATAGTAAAGAGACTTTGAAAAGAAAGGAAAGCCTGAGAAGCCATGATTTTCGAAGCCATGAAATCATGCAAAAATTTTAGACTTCTCCGTTGATCAAGAACTGTCATTTGCAGTGCGAGTCAAGTAACAGGTTTGAAGAACCAAACGAATGTCCTGTTTAGAGTCCATTGTTCCCCTGGAAGCAAGTTCGCACTTTCCTACTTCGAGGGGCGATTGATACTCCAGACAAGTGCGTAGGGCTGGGCAGACGTACGGTTGAAGATGTGATACGCACGCACGATGATTTTGACTTTCCCAAGAGGGATATCCGTCCACTCAACCTGTTCCACATTGTTGACCCGATCAAAATCTGGCTTGTCACCCATATTGCCATGTTTTTCAGTACCATCCGAACTGACCACAATTAGGTCCAGATCATTCTGAAGGGTCTCCCCTGGGGGATCTGTCCAGACCAAAGACACCTTCAGTACTGCGCCGTTGGACGCAGTGGTGCTGCTTGACCTTCCCTGGACCCTCAGGAGATGTCCCTTACTTGGAATATCTACCACGATCTCCTCGCTCGCACCTTGCGTGAGCGGTCCTCCCTCGCGATATCCACAGTCGGTTTGGTTTGGCAAGATCACTGAGTTGGATAGATTCACTCGACCAAAGCCGCTGTTACAATTGGGAGATGGACCAGCTTCGCTTGGAACATACTGCCCAGATAGTTCAACCGCTCCGTTGATCATCATTGCTTTGAGAAGAGCTGCACTAGGATTCTCTACTCCGCTTTTAACTAGCGTCTCTCTCAGGACAGCAATGCATCCCGCCACCAGAGGAGTCGCCATGCTAGTGCCAGCCAGGAACCACCACTCAGCATCCTGACTTGCACCAAAGTTGGCGTCAGCATTAACCATATTTCTAGACCTTGTCGATAATATCGCGGTTCCAGGCGCAACGATATCAGGTTTAATGCGAGATTCCAGAGTAGGTCTGCGGCTGCTGAAGGCTGCCAGGCCTTCGGCATGGTCCGCCATCAGATCCTTGCTAATGGGACCGCTTGGCCATCGGGGACCATAAGCGACAGGAATCTCCGGACGATTGTTCTCGCTTGCCCCAACGGTGATGCAGTTCTTCGCGGCTGCCTCAGCTCCGATCTGCCTTGGATCAACGATGCCGTTCCTGTCAGCATCAATTCCATCATTTCCGGCGGCGAAGAGGATCACCATGTCCTGATGGTCCCAGACGAACTTGTCAATTTCTCCGCTAGCAGCAATATAGGGCAGCTGTCTCCTTCCAGTGGCAGAAGATCCCCATGAGTTGGTGTGGATTCGAGCACCGTTTGTTTGATATGGAGGAGCGAAAAGCTGGCCAAAGTCGGTTGGGATTCCACCCAGATTATTGTTTCGGTCAAGAAGAGATTGCACTACCAGAGTAGCCTTTGGTGCTGTGCCACGGATGTTTCCCCCATCACCGCGGAGAACCCATCTCCAAGAACAGATCCACAGACATGTGTTCCATGGCCGTCTGGATCGTCTGACTTTGCAGAACGCCCAGAACGCCCTAATGCATAAAGCTGCCTGACTCGGTTCGAAAAGGCAGTATGAGTGTCACTAGTAGAGCCTTTATCGAACCCTGTATCTGCAACAGCTACCACCTGTCCTTCGCCCTCGTACTGAGTACCATTGACCTGGACAGGGGCCCCGAGAATTTGCGTTGCCCGGTTGTTGAAGAGCCGCGCCGGATAAACTGGATGGATGGCCTTGACTCCGTCAAGGGCGGCCAGTCCCTCCAAATATTGATTTTGAACATTAAACGAATCTTTGAAGACCCAGCATCCAATGTGTCAGGGTTAGCGTGCGCGGCTGCAGCAATTTCCGAGAGAACACGTGAAGACCTAGCGTCAACTTCCTTATGAAGAAGGACGTCAACTGTTTGAGAGATTCGGTCTTTTGGCACTGCGGGAAATGGCGACAGCTCCATAGTTCCGGCGGGGGCTTTCAGGCTAGACTGAATGACAAACATGTCTAGATAGACGTTGACCCAGGAGACATATGGGAGACGACGGATGGGATCGAGGTCGGTGCCCTTAAAACCACAAAGGTAGGTGTTCTTGGAAGCATACTCCTGTATATTAACGCCTAGCCTTTCGAGCTCGTCTTCCTGCTCATTTGACAGTGGCTCGACTGACTGCACCAGGATATAGTCTGATTTAGCGGCATCCTCTGACTCGAGATCTAAAGCCTGAAGTACTGGACGTTGTTCCTCGGGATCCACTTGGTTTCCGTTGATTGATATAATGGACATCTTGCTAGGTAGGAGAGGGGAGAGGGGTGGGGGAAGCGGGTGCGGTTGAATGATGGAGAACAACTGTAATGAAGACTGGACCTGAGAAGGTCCAAGGATTCGCTGAGAAGTTCCAATAAAAGGTTAGTAGGTGGGTGTGGGCTGTGTGAAAGTCTACGACGAAGCCTTCGGAGTGAAACAGGGTAGAACGGTCTCTAGAAGAGCTTGAGGTATGATTGGCATGTAGACTGGGGGATAGTTGATCGTAAATAATACTCAACTCTATTAATTTGATCATTCTTATATGCTGCTTATATAGTAAAAGGACCAGTCTTTTCGAAGGAGTGCGAACGGACGTGAAAATTCATCTCATAACCGGTTCTTGTTCGTAAGGGATCCAAAGACCGAAAGCTAGGCTCGTGTAGAAGCCGTCCATACATGTGGTTGCTTTGTGCTTGGCATTACCTAGAGAATGATACCTAGCCGCATTAGAATAGAATGGTCTAGATTTGTTAGACAAACATCCGCTTTAATTCACTCTCTGCCCTAGTTGATAGGTCAGCCAGGTTTCAGTGCTTTTATCACTTGGTTCCTTGCCCGCCTGACCATATAAGTTTACTATCGGCAACACTTGGCGACATGTTGGCTTTAACATCTAGACTCAAACTTACTGGTCTCGATGCTGTAATGCGCACGTTAATCAAGCCTATTCGGCCGATCGAAATGACCAATGTCATCGATTCTTGATGTTCCGCTTGCGCAAAGGAATGTAAACAGCCGTGGTTGAGTTATACCAAGGTGAATTACAGGCGATCAGTGGGTCCCAAACACTTCGCAAAACGACCAGAACGTCGACAGGAGTAGAAAGCTCATTTGTGACAGCGTAGGTTTTAGGCTCTATGGGTCCAAACTTCAAACCCTATGATAGAGTAGAAGGCAATAGAACTTGGATTCTGTTGGGATACATTCTGTCAAAACATGGGAGCGGTAATTTACCGCTAGCAACTGATAGATTTGCTTTTTGTATGTCCTGCGTCAAGCTGCAGCTTTGGCGTTGTAACCACCGAGTTTCGGCAGGCTGGATGCGAGGGTATTCCAACATGCCCTCGATCGCACATCTTCCAGAGGGGAAGACATGAATCAATATTCTTTCGCTTAAGAGCATGATCATTTTTCACTGTGTACACAGCACCTAGCTGGTGAGACCAACAGTTTCAGATTGGTCCAGCTCATTGCGATCAAGGTCGTCATGATACATGCCAAGCTTTAAAAGTCTCCTTCCCTCAGTTATTCAAGTGCAAATGACGACTGCACTTATCGTGAGGACTTCAACTATCGAGTCCATCGCAAGCGCCATGGTCTAGGCCCCGACAGGATATGACGGGCGCCGTTTGCGGATAATAACTGGGGGTGAGCATGGGAATATCCATATTGCGGGGTTAACATGCCAAGAATGCTGGTTCTTGACGAACGGGAACTGAAATCGACACATACGCGCCTGCTCCTGCACTGTTTTCAAGAACAGTCATAAGCACCACTTTGGTCTGCTCGTTTAATAACGGTACCTCTATTGCTCTAGTCTCTTCATCCAAGCCCTGCCTGCGAGCTCTCAGCTACTATACACCTCTCCCCGCGTCGCCCTTTCGCCATGCCTGACGTCGTTCCCGGAACACAGACAGTGCCAAATTTGAAGCCCGACTACGAGGTTAGGCTCTTGCTCAACCCAAGCGCGGTCCTCAGCCCGCAATATGAGCTAACGGGCAACGTCATATCGTCCTTTGATATGCCGCCAACCGTCATCAAGATGAATGTCCAGTTCCTCGACACGAGCTCCAAGGAGCTCTATACCGCCGACTGGAGCGCCCGTATCCGCAAGATGGAAAACGAGGACGATTTCGAGCTGACGTATAAATAGAGGTATGCCATCACGGGCGCCGACATTGACGCCGCTCTCACCGTGGCTAATAACGATGGTTTCAACGCGGGCAACGAGAAATACAAGGCGCAAGTCGAATGGGGTTGCCGGAAGCAGACCCTTTCTATCAGCCGCAAGAAAGCCGTAGCAGATGCTGGGAACAGCGAAATGGACCTGCCGGAAACAAGCAACTCGCGTAAAATGCTGATCGATGAGGCGCCGGACAAGTTCGACAATTGGAGGTCCAACAAATGGGCCACCGGTGTTTTAGCAACATCGCGTATTTTTGGGCCGGTCCTCGTCAGGCGCTCCATTGGCTCGTGGAAGGGGATGCCTCTATACCTCGAAGTCTGGCCCGTCCGAAATTCCGCAGGTACGGGAACTGAGTACATCGTCGAGGCTTCTTTGAAGACGGAGAGTCGTACGAAAGCCTCAGTTGAGCAGAGCAATTTAGCCGCCTACTTGCAGAGCAAGGATTGGTTTCTCCCACAGAACTCGCTAAAAACCGAGCTCATTATGGAGCGGTATTGATAGGGAAAGTTCTTGGATCCACGGATGGTTCTTGATCTGGCCCTCGCGATGAAAAGGTTCTGAGAAGAAACGCATGGATTATTGGCTGTAGATTAGATACTATAGCCAAGGTATATTATGGTGGACGGAACCATATTATCTTAGATTCCCCGGCCTGAGCTCTTCCAGAATCCTTCCAATCTGTCTATCGATTCCGTATCCACTCTCCCAATGCTGCAAATAGGCCAGTGCAGCGCCGATGGGTGACCAACGTGTTCTCCTAAAGCCAAGCTGTTTATCACGCCCTGACTCGTCAATATACACCAGACTGAAATTCAGACAAATCATGTATTTTAGGTACTGATGTCGTAGATCGGCGTTCTGTTCCTTCGCTTTCTGTCTAGCGGCTTTCTTCGACCATTCCTTTGGCTTCAACGCTGTTCCGAGACGCTCTCCCGATACTGGAGGTTGGTGCATGTATCCCAAGCTCATCCCACAGAAAGGCCGCCATCTCATCCCACAAAAAAGCCGCCATCTCATCGAGGTAGGGATCGGACTTTCCTACTGTAGAAGCTAATCCCGAAAAGCCTCTAACATCGACGATGTGATACTGCGTGGTCCGCCAGCTTAAATAGGAGGGGCTCTGGTATCACCGCAATGTTGACGTCAAGTGTTGCCCCTGCAGTCCACCTAGGTGGTAAACGAATATAATCACGATTAGTTTCCCGTTTAATCAATAGCCCAGGTCTGAACAACCCATGATGTTCAAATCAGACTGCATGTTATGGAGACCTTCAGCGTGATGCACGAGGTGAAATCTTCCCATGACTAAGAGGAACTGAAAGAACTTCTGAATTATAAAAGGAAGCTAGAGCAGCATTAAAGCCCATGGTGGTTTACTCACATTTAATCAAACCCAAGAGTTGCGTGTGCCACGTAAGACGGAAGAATAACAGATCAGCCCGTGACCAGTGGATTACGCCATATCCATGTTCCACTAGATCGATAGTATGATACAAACTAGAGTAGTCCTAAAATAACTACCTTGTTAGCAATGCCGCCCCAAATGCTGTGTATACGCAGTTGGTCTTTATAACGATCACATCGGGCCAAGCTGATGTTGTTGTGGCGTAGCGATGCGAAGTCAATGCCCTCTCCTTTGAAGGGGTGACCATTCGGACGAAAATGAATTGCCTGTCTCTACTAGACGTTTGAAGAATAGATGGCTAACAACTCTAATATATGGCCATTAACCAAAATGGTTGGAAAAAGCCTTTGTATTAATCTCTGGCTAACATGGGTACATATAGAGAAACCAGGACCATTGCAAAGGACAAGACCGATCGTAAAAAGCCACAAACATGGAAGTAGCCCCCGCATTTGCGCTAGGTGCATGGGAAACCCCGGTGGGAAAAATCCATGCCGGAGCAAACGGGCTTTAAGAATCTGACCCTAATGCTTCTTGAGTCAGTTGCAGTGCAAAGCTTATCGTCTCGTAGAGATGGGAAAGGAATTCCATACTGTTTCCCCGTCGAAACTTTCATCCTAATGCAAGCCAAGTTCCGAATCTCTACCAGTTCCAACCAACAGTGCAGGACACAACCTTATTTCCATCTTTATCAACAGTGACTGTACATGATGCGCTTCCTCCCAATGGCGCGAATTTGGGAGGATCAAAAGTTTTGTTCGAGCTCAAAGCTGTGCGAAGATCACTGTAGCATGTCTCCATAATGCTTTCGACTTTATCCTTTGGCCATTCATCACCTAAGAGAAGATCGGGATCAGTCCCTTGAGGATCAAATGGACTGTCAAGCATCACTTTAATAGAAGGCATTATGATGGATATTATTGCTCCTAAGCCCTAGTTAAATTGAGTATAGGGTTGGCTAGGCAGTCCTTATATTGAATGATTTGTTTAGCACTTGGCCGGAGATAATGCGGAGATAGAATTACCTTGTTTGGATATATTCTGTTGAATGGAGCTGATGTAAAACATACTAGGAGCTGCGCTCTTTTTAACTCACATACTACGGTTTGACCAGGACCTGTTCTTTGCCAGCTTGAGCGGTTATAGGATTGCTGACCAAGGATACGCGGATTCTAGATCGCCTGCGACGCATCTTCCAAACAAGAATGACGACGAAATGTAGAGTCTAAGCTTCCACTTGACATTGAAGTCTTAAAAGTCTAATCAAACAAACGATGTCAACTGGCGTAGTTGGAGTTGTCGAAAAGTATGGCCAGGATTCTGGATGTTACTTTGGGTAGTGGGCGACATCCCCGTGTACGAAGGACAATAGTGGCCACTGGGAAAATGCCCAAAGTATGTTCGTAGTGCAGCTCTCTCACCCTTAAAAAGTTTTGAAGCTTTCTCGCGTCCATTATTTCTCGTGCCAGATATTCCAGGTCCACAGCACGATACATCACTGTAAAATTCTCGTTGGACCTTAACTAGGATGGAGCATACTAGGTGTGATTTCATAGCAATAGAATGCTTTGCGGGTTTGCTCACTAACCGGAAATAGAACTCGTACCTTTGTCATGAGAAACTCTATGGCTCGAACAGCCGCCAAGAACAGAAGTAGGATCCACATTCGGAACAGTAACATATAGCGTTAGAATTAAGGTTGACCATTGCACAATCCCATGGAACCCTCGTGCATGTCAGGTAAGTTGTCACTTTCACCTATGACGCACTTTCTCCACGTGCGTATGTCCCAAATTATAGTTTCATTGCCGTATACCCTAATTGCAGTTAGAACGAGCATCTGATCACAGACTGCACGACAAAAGTACATTTCCCTTGCTGTGTCCTTGATTTTCTGGTTAACAGGCGGCGTGGTGTAGTCGTCATACCATCTGCGAAAGGAGGCGGATTCCCAAAGCGTAAATAAAGCCATTGAAGAGGCATGTGAGCAAGGTTTCATCAAGGTTCTAGCCTAGGTTTGTTTGCATGTAACCTCGCATTTCACCCGATTCGCCATACATTGAGCTGTTCATGACATGAGAAAACACCTACTCTACCAGGGAGCCAAGTCTAGATTATTTCGCCAAGACATCAAGGAGCCTTTTCAAGTGCTAGGTGCATGCTGCCCGAGGAAAGCGAAACCTAGAACATGGTCCGTGAGGAGGATGACTATAATTATTTAGGGTCGGAAAGCAATAATATGACGCAAGCCAAGACTAATCACGGCGATATGGATGGAGAACAGACATTACATGATTTATAACAGCACCTTCTCAAGTTCTATTAGATAGGAGTGTTGGTGTCTCTCAAAAGAAGAGTACTGGGACATCAAAACTCCAAATTTACCACTCTATTGATAACCTACATGAAAAAATATACCAAAATGGCTTCTATGTGTTGCATTGTACCAGAACATGTATTGGAAAGAGCTGTGGAGGCAAGACAGGTACCGCAACACATTCTCAATGCTTGCCAGTCTACCCTTGAGAAAACAAGAGAACTACAAAATACCCGTGTCGCGCACGGCCGACATCTCTTGTTTGGCCAGGAGCAACAGCCTTCCGAAGGTATCGTTCCGCCTTACATCCATGAAATAATTGCTCGGCAAGCCGTAACGGAAGAGCAACGCGATTCATCTCTTAGTACAGTTGCGCATGATACTAAGTATCGTGTAGTTGCAGGAAAGATACGTCGTTTAAATCGTACGATTTACAATGCGCACCACTCCATGGACGAAGATCCTGCTCGTGACAAGATCATGATCAAAGAAGGCGGCCCTCCCATCACCAAGGAGCAAGACCCAAGCTATGATGCTAATGAATGCTATAATGGATTCCAGAAGACATATGACTTCTACTTTGAATTCTTCAAGCGAGACTCAATTGACGATCGGGGGCTCAAGCTCGACGGCTTCGTGCATTATGGAGACCGCTATCTGAACGCCTTCTGGAATGGCAAAGAAATGGTTTTCGGCGATGGAGACGGCGTTATCTTCAATGGATTCACCGATGAGCTGGACGTTATAGGCCACGAGCTTACCCACGGGGTCGTGCAGTATACGAGTCCGCTCGCGTACAGCTTTCAGAGCGGGCTCTGAATGAATCACTTGCCGATGTCTTTGGAATCATGATTAAGCAGTGGGGAAACAATCCAATTGGCTCATCGCTGAGGGAATCTGGGGCAAAGGCATCAACGGCAGAGGTCTACGTGATATGAAGGCACCTGGAACAGCTTACGACGACAGTAAAGTCGGATCCGACCCGCAACCGGCACACTGGAAGAGTTTCAAGAAACTCCCACTTACGAGTGATCGTGGTGGCGTCCACATAAACTCTGGTATACCGAATCGTGCTTTCTATCTCGCTTCTACAATGATTGGGGGCTATTCATGGGAGACTGCTGGGCCTGTTTGGTACAAGGCTCTAACGAGCGGTGAACTCAGCGAGAACGCAACATTCAGGGAATTTGCCGAACTTACTATTCGAAATGCTGGTGACTATGAAGAGAAGATCAGGGAAGCTTGGAAACAGGTTGGGTATCCGTTTGTTGAGGGCAGGGATGAGCTGTAATTTGCTACAGGAATGAGCTACGACATCCAACATGTGGATAGCAGCTTAATACCAATAAAAGTTCCGTCTTTTCCAGTAATCCGCTTGACAACATTGCATCTCCGATGGGGTTATTTCAGTGTATTGAATGAAAGCGAAAATCAGAGAGCTGTCGAACTAGCTAATTAATGGTAGTGTCGCAGGGTCCCAGTATGTATGGAAGCGAAAAGTTTTCCTGCGCCTCGCAACATTTACATTTCCGGTCTCTCTAGCTCAATCCATCCAAACGCTTTACCATTGCATTGTACGATTCGTGACGAGCAATCCTTTTCTACCAATATCTGTTACGGTGATGAAAAAATTGGAAAATCCATCTGTACCATTTGACGAGAGTATCAAGACTCTGGGAGACAATCAAAAGAGAACCCTTTCGCTGCGAGGTTTCTTTATAAACCTCCTTTCGTCCCATTTCAGCAAGTTCATTATCATGCCTCATTTGTGTTACCATCATCTATTCTTGCAGGGTTTACCTCCCTAGGCCTTGGTGGCCCAAATGTCATAACAGCTGGGTTAAGTAATTTCACTAGATCTTACATATCGCTTCCCACATCTTGGGAGCGAATAGCCATCTCTATAGCTATTGATGTCGGGCTTATATTTGCTCATTTATATTTTAACAGCTACGAGTTTTAATGCTTTTCAATAGCAGCAGCTCCCTACCACGTGATTTACAAAGTAATCTAAACTCAAGGGCCCTTCGTTCTCTTCTTCAAGTGATCACCATCCTGCATAGAGCTGTACTCAGCATTATGATATCCTAGAAGGGAAGTAAAATGAGCCTGATAGAACAACAAACTAATAATGAACATGTTGTTATGAACAACATGAAGATAATCAATCAACAGGGAGCTCCCGTGCATGACAAGATGATTGAACGTCCTCTTTTCGACCATAAAAAATCAATATAACTCCAACATTAATTGCGCCTTAAACCCCCATTTCTTCGTCCGTTGTGCGTCTTTTGACAGTCATTTTGTAGGTCGGTGCTTCTTGGTTTGGGGAGCCTTCCACACCCGTCGCATCACCATCAGCTTGTGAGCCGAAATCTCTTGCAAACGTATCTGGCTGGTTCTTCTCAATGGACTGCTCGGCGGAAGCGTATCATTGAAAAACCTCTTCTAAAAGAGGAGCAATTCCATCATCGGTGACTCGGTTCTTGTCATATTTCAATAAAACTGCAGTCTCTTGGATAAAATCCAGAACATTGGATATTTCGATCATACCTCCCCTGAGTCGCTGGGGAAACCCTCTCCCTTTAATTAGAGCCAATAATCCGGCAAAGGAGGTGTTAATAGCCGCTAAAATTGTTATTGCCAACATGTGATCGGTAGCTGAAGGTCTTAAAGCGGTAATAGTGGCACCGACTATCACCTGCGCGATTGTAAGGAAATTGAACAAAAAGCTGCTAAGCCGATATTGCATTTTCAGATGTCGTTTCCTGTGAGCAAGTTCTCTTCGCAAATCAGCTGTTGCAGCCAAGAATGTCGAATGGATATGAGGCTCTTCTTGAGACCTTTATGAAGATGACTGATGGGGTTCAGGCATGGTTGCAATTTGGAATTGAAACTCATTTTTGAGGAGAAGGGGCTTCTGAGGAAATTTTGCAGCGTCTCGTTGACTTTTGCTATTATTTGATAAGTTTCTTCGACATAGGTGAATAACATTTATAAAATGTTCGACCAGTACCTTGTGACTTCGTGCAAAGTATCTCTTCTCTCATTATCGTTCCAGGCTGGACTAGACTTTGCGGCTATTTGGGGGTATTTCAGTCTCCAAGAGCTAATATAGCTTAGTGTGACATTCTCTTCTTCTCTCATCATACTTTCGTCAGGCTAGCCGAGGTGGGGAGTATAATATTTCTACCTATCGAATGGCCCATGAGGGATGGTTTCATCCATCCCCTAGTGTTTATTTAATGCTTTTCTCTCTAATATTGACTTGAAAATGGAAAAAACTATTTGTTAGATGCGTGTTTATTTAGCGCTATGAGCGGCTGTCGCCTTATTAATTCATAAATACCTCAATACGGCACGATGAGTTATGTGGCTATTGTTTGTTCTTACATCAAGGAAACAAGAACTAGTAGACTCTTGAAGCAGGCCTTCCATTCGCAGAAAGTGAATGGGCCTTGTCTGAGAAGGTCGGTAGAAATCTTAGCAAGAGATTTGAGCAATCCAGAAAAAAAAAATTAAGTTTCAGATTCTTGAAGTCAATGTGGTGTCCAAGGTTCTCCGAGTCTCGCCAAGGCCCGAACCATACATCCGTTCTAAGGATGATCCACTCCGTGACCATGGGAGACGCAGATCAACGGACTGTATGCATTGAACCGTTTGCGTCCACAAGCCCTTTATGTATTTTCAGTACTTGCATTATGCAAAGATTAAAAGATGAATTGTATGAGGGCGTTGAATCAGTCCGGATCTTCTATCTAGATAATGGCGGCGTGGTCGCCTCTGTCCTGGTCATTAATGATGTCATGTTTCGTAGGTTTATCGCAGACTGTCATCAGTCACAGCAATACGGTTCACCGGAGCGGTAGAAAGAACAATCAAATTCAAGCAGATTCAATCATGGGCATATTACGTAACAGGCATATTGCGTGGCCATCTAGGTTAGGTTAGCAGTCCTGACAGTTCCTTAATCATGCACCTAGCTTCTATAACTATTGGCCTCCAAGTGACCGATGTAGCCGGCGTACTTGCACCAATCCTCCCACCATTGGCAATGAATTTTGGAAGTATTCTCAGCACCAGTTTTTGTAGTTCACGATTGGACCACCCTGGGATACCAGCCAGGCTGTTAGACAGAGGAATCAGTGAACATCCAAGAAGATACCCCAAATTATCCCACAGTGGAAGCCTTACAGGGATACGTCATAAATTGGGGCTGCGACACTGTAGATGTACTAGGTGCGGGCTTAATATCTTGTCATGAGGAGCTGGATAATAACGCACCAGGCCAGAGCGATCCGGGCTTATAAAACTATAGAGGATCGTATAGGGGGCTATAAAGTACTATAGGGGACAGTAGTATGGTCCTAACTACCTTGAAAAAGGACTTAAGACTAGATAGATAGTCCAGTCCCGGTCCTTGCCAAGGTCTACACTGATTCAAGTGACCAGAATCATCGACCAACATTATCAGATCTTACCAGTGTATTGCTAGCCGTCGTTCTTTCTCAAGTTTCCCAGGGCTCAAATGACGCCCTTGGGTTTGGAAATGGCCAAAGCCAAAGTCGGTGTTGGTGATAAAATATCGCATTTTACTATGGTGTTTAGGGATGACCCACTCGCATAACGATAGCGTTATGTTTATCTCACCATGGTTGTCGATACTAGCATGCAACCTCTTATCCTTGCTGACAAGCTGGGTATCATGGTTCCGGATTTATTTTGCATTACAATTTCCCCATGTTGTTGACTAGTCTGTGTAGAAGAAAGAGATGGAAATTCAATTGTTACAAATTTGAGAATGCTAAGCTCCTTCAGATGGGTCGCCCGATTAAAATCATGAGACACATCACTCAGACTCTGGAAACTGACATTTCCTACAGGTTAAAGTCATCCAGATAGTATATGCACCTCAGTGCTGCTGGTGCCAGTGTTGCGCGTTTTGATGGCGATCAGATCAGGGCGGCCGTCCTTGCTCCAGTCTCCCATCACAAAATCGAAGGAGTCATCTGTCTCGGGCAATGGTGTGCCAGTCTGCACTATGAAGTTCTGAAAGTTTGAGGCACCAGATAGTATATGCACCTCACTGCTGCTGGTTCCCGTTTTGCTCTTTTTGATGGCGATCAGATCAGGGCGGCCATCCTTGTTCCAGTCCCCAATCGCAAAATCGAAGGTGTTATCTGTCTCGGGTAGTGCCGTGCCAGTCTGTAGTATGTAGCTCTGGAAGTTTGAGGCACCGGATAGTATGTGCACCTCGGTGCTGTTGGATCCAGTTTTGCTCTTTTTGATGGCGATCAGATCAGGGCGGCCATCCTTATTCCAGTCCCCAATCGCAAAATCGAAGGTGTTATCTGTCTCGGGTAGTGCCGTACCAGTCTGTAGTATGTAGCTCTGGAAGTTTGAGGCACCGGATAGTATGTGCACCTCGGTACTGTTGGATCCAGTTTTGCTCTTTTTGATGGCGATCAGGTCAAGGCAGCCATCCTTGTTCCAGTCCCCAATCGCAAAATCGAAGGTGTCATCTGTCTCGGGCAATGGCGTGCCAGTGTGTAGTATAAAGTCCTTAAAGTTTGAGGCACCGGATAGTATGTGCACCTCGGTGCTGTTGGAGCCAGTTTTGCTCTTTTTGATAGCGATCAGGTCAAGGTGGCCATCCTGGTTCCAGTCCCCCATTACAAAATCGAAGGTGTCATCTGTCTCGTGCAATGCCGTGCCAGTCTGTAGTATGTAACTCTGGAATGGTGTGCCTGGAGGTGGTCGGTTCAGCTGTTGGATCTGTTTGTCTTTCTCCGCAAGAGCCTAGCCATAGTTAGCATGAGAAAAGGACCGAAAGTAACAACCCGCCTACCTTTTGAAGAGCCTCCAACTTCACCTGAGCGGCTGTGAGTTTTGCCTGCGTATCTTGCAGACTCTCGCTGTCAATCACGTCACCGGTATCTCCAAAGTGGTCGGCTGTATCCTCGCCAGGTCCTTCAGCAGTGCGGCTGCGGCACCACAAAATGCCGAGACGCCAGATCTTGCTGCTCTGAGGCGCGTCGTCGCTGCGACCGAAGAAACCTTTCATGGATCCGAGGTTGAAAGGCACGTCAAGATAGAGCACGCTCACATTTTCGTAAGGCACGCCGTCCCGGACGATGGTCTTTCTGGGCTCAGAACCAGTTGAACCAGGAGTTGAACCAGGCTCAGAATGAAGAGCACGGGCAATCAAGCCACGACCACGATTAGTAAAGAGGCGCAACCCAAGTACTTGCGAGTGCGTCTCCCCAACTCGCCTGCCGTGCTCGATAGAAGCAGAGTTGATCCTCTCGCCGGCGAAGAAAGGCCCAAACTTCTTGACTCGTGAGCCATCGCGCGACTGCGGAAATATTAGAATGCCACGTCCGAGTGCAGAAAAATAATATCTTGTGAGAAACTTACTGCTCCTTTTTCGACCAAGAGACCGTTCTCATATGACACAGCCAGATATACGAGAGCGCCTTCAGCAACTTCAGCCCTGATTGACCGGATTTCCCAGTCTCGCTTGAGGTAATCAAGGTTGTTGAATGGCCTCCCCTGAAACTCATCGCCAGCAGCGCTGGAGACACGGAAATTTTCCCCAATCATCGGATCGGTGGCAAGGAGAGCCTGCATGGCCGCTTTCTCCTCTTCCGACAGCTTGTCATTCTCCGTGAAAAGAGGGGAACCTTCTGCGATTCTCTCATCTTCATCAATAGCTGTCTGCTGTTCCTCTTCTGTAAGGGTTTTCGCCATAAACCGCTTGCCTGATAAAGGATGGGTTTTGATCCGCAGTCTTTCCGGCACCACGACCGTAGGAAGGCGCGCCTCAAATGCAGTCGAAGCCTGGAAAGGCTCCTCATGACCCTCATCGGTTGCAAGCTTAGGGTCCTTCTCAATCTCGTTGACTTCGTTAACGATCCGAGCCATTTGTCGACGCGCAGCAATGCGGGCGTCACTAAGGCCTTTGACCGTTGCATCAAAGAGGAAGGTCTCTTCCTTATATTGGTAAAGACCTGTTACAGGGTCTCTGGTCCCTGTCTTCGATAATTCTCTCGATGTTCCCCCTTCTTTCTGCTGATCACTGTCTTTTGCCCCAGTCTTCGCGACTGAGTTGTCGCCATCGCTCCGCTGCTGGATCTCCATTGTTTTGCCTTGTACCTGGAAGATTTGCTCTCCTAGACGCTTGTACAGCGCTTTGTAGCTAACGAATGTGTCAAGCAGGGAACTAGTGTATATCTGCGCATTCTCATACTGAAGCGCAGTATATGATGCTGGCTTTCGTGCAACGAAACTTCGCAGCGCGTCGTACTTAGTCAAGATAGCATAAGTACGTTGGGGACATTCAGCGACCAGGTCCGGGAACCGAGCAGCAGCGTCCATCAGACTTTGAATATCCCACTTCTGCTCCATCGGTTTGATATGGCCTCCACCCGACCAGCTGACTTGGATAGTTGTTTCCGTGTTGGTCTCGATGTTTGACCTTGCAACACCAACATTTACTTCCCCTTCGACCTGGACGGCACTGGCAGTCAGTGCCACCTTTGCTTCAGCCTGAATATCGGTTTTCTTGGCTTTGTTGAGGATCTTCATGCTGACGAGGGCATTGAATTCGCCGCCTTCCAAGAAACCGGAAATGAAAGAGTCGCCGTAGACCTCGCGGAAGTTCTCCTTGTCTACCGATCGTAGGGGATTGAAGACCAGCGCATCTTTGAAGTTGATAGTCTGATTCACCACCTTCACGGAGATGTAGAAGTTCAGGTCACTCTCCTTGAACTTGTCAGAGTCGACGAAAGAGCCTTTGCCGGAGCCACCGATCTTGCCAGCTTTGATAGACAACGAGCCCGAAACGCTCATGTCATCCATGACATCGCTCAGACGATCCACAAATCGGGACGTGTAGATGACGGTCTGGCTAGGGCCTCGGGGAGCGGTGGCGTCGAATTCGTACTTGGTCGTTTGTTCTCCAATGCCGTTGAAGCGTTCAACAAATTGGTTCTGTGCGCGGATCTTCTCCATATCTTGCAGGCTCATTGCCTTCAAATTCGCTGCATTATCAATAGCTTTGCGTGCGTCCTCGCGTCGTTTGGCGTCCCACTGACGCTTCTCGGTACGGATTGCTTGTTGTTCTTTTCGCTCTTCTTCCCGACGGGTTCGCTCGTCCTCGCGTGCTTCCAGTTCAAGTTTCCTGCGGTAAGCACGATCTTCTTTTAGAAGCTCCTGCTCTTCTTTCTCGCGCCGAGACGCTTCAGCCGCGTCATGGGCTGATTGCACAGGAGTTGCAGCAATCTTCGTTTTGGTAAGAGCAGCTCTGATTGCGGTACGACCGAGAGGCGTGGCTGACTTCTCAGCTGTCCGCTGACGTGCCCGATCAGAAGAAAGAGATCTTTTGACAGACTTCTTGGTGTTGGCACGAAGATTAGCTACCACGTTGTCTCTGTCGTGAGGCTGTTCTGCATTCGCTTGAAGATTTGCCATGATCGCCTCTCGGTCGATCTTATCATCATTGCCTTGAGGTTCTGATGGCTTCTCTGCAGTCGGTTTCTCAACAGCATCGTCGCTTGATGCAGTCGTCTTAGTGACCTTCTTGCCACCAGCTTGCAGCTTTGCCAAGATAGTCGCTCGATCGGGCTTTATGACCGCTTGAGGCTTCGTCTCTGAGGATGAAGTAGCTCTGCCTCGAGTCTTTGCAGGTTTCGCTTCACTTTCAACCACCGGCTCAGGCTCAGGCTTAGCGTCTGCATCCTCTGACTCACCGCCTTTCTGTGTCGCCTCGACGTCCGTGGATTTAGAGTCCGGTTTGTTGTCCTCAACTTCCGTCCGGGCTTCGTCGGCGTCTGGCACTTCATCGACAGAATCGGTTTCCTTTGAAGAATCTTCAGGCTCACCTTCAAGTTCCTTCTTCAGCTCCGATTCTGGTTCTTCTTCTGGATCTTCAGTGGCAGGCTTCTGCTCCGTAGCCTCAGGCTCTGATTCCGCCTCCGCCTCGGGTTCTTCCTCTGTACCTAAAGTCAATACATAATTCATCCATCAGATTCTATAACGCTCACCTGCGGTCTCTTCATCCCCTTCATCCTCCAGTTGTTCTTTAATCACTTTAACCTCATCCTTGGCTTTTTCAGCATTGGCCGCAAGGACGGCAGTGGCCGGGCTTTCGACGAGCACTTCCTTTTGCCTTGTCCAAGCACTAGGTGTGGCACTCTTCTGTGCCATGATTCGCATTGTTGTACCATCATTAGTCACGACGTTCTCTGACCTGTTAGAGTCAACGACAACAGCATCGTCAATGCACATCTGCTGGGTGTAGGAGTTGAAACTGATAATATTGTTAGTGATTTCAACTGGACCGATCGGAGTTGAATTTGATCGTCCTACCCTTGCCCAATGCGCATAGCATTGTTGTAGGGTGCTAGGAGGAGCGACATCTTGGCGACAACCTGTAACTAGCCCTATCAAAAAAACAACAATAGATTAAGCGTGTGGTCACTTGACCGGGATAGGACAGTAAAAATATGATTGTAAAGAATATTAACCCGTATGGATCATCCACGGGTTAACCACGAGTTGATGAGGGAAGGGTAATATATACTATTTTGCCTGACTGAACTCCTAGGCTCAAATCACCTTCTGATTCTCTGATGAACACGAAGTGCTCCTCCCACGCTAGCGGCGGCGACATTGCCACTCTGGCAACAACCTTGGAAGGAGGACTAAATAAGCGATACACAACACAGCTATGTGGTATCGTTCGTGTCATGCGCGTCCCCTTCGAGATAGACTGCAGACTACATTTCTGATTTTGAGACTCGGCCATGTGGCCTCCTTCTGCAGCGAGCGCCACGAGGCGCTAACGTCCGTTATGCGGAGCTGGGGAGGGCGCAGCTCGGCTATACCTAGTTATAATTATCGGCCCAAGCTGAAAGAATATGGACTAGTCCTGTTCCAGACGAATGACAAGCCCCACCAGCTCAGGATGAAAGACTCGATTACTGAAGAGAATAAATAAGCGATCGCGTGCTGGTTGAAATACCCTTGAAGGGGTCGATACTCGCTGGTTACAATCCTGACATTGAAAAGTAAACCAACTCACTATACGGAGTACGTGGCTTGAAGAATTGAGATCCCTATGTAATCACTTGTTTGCTAGTGGTAAGGAACCAGTGCGGGCGCTGATGTGGGGTAATCGGCCCGATTGTTCAACTTGACGCAGGTACTGATATGCTCGGACTGGTAGCCCCCTGTTCACAGTCGCGATTTTACGCCTCTTCGCGCTCAAGGCTTTTGTGGCTGGCTGAAAAGGAGAACTATTTAGCAGTGTCAACCTTTCCGGGCACCATCTAGACCAAATCCACGGCCACATCTCCGTCCCTATTGTCGGCATGAAATGCCATCCCGCTGTACTTGAAAATGTAACCCAATGTCACGAGCTTCTTTTCTCGTGAAGTTTAGCAATGGGGCTAGCTCCCATCTACTCCTTCCTTTCCTAGCTACGCTACGATATTTTAGGTTGGACATCCACCTGCCGAGGACGACTGTGCTCCCCCCCCCCCCCCCCATCGATAAAATAATTCGATTGATTGCTGGTTTGTGTCTTGCTTTTCTCCGATGATCAGACCACCTTTACCATGATCACCACCGATGAAGAGGAAACATATCGAGCCCGTCCAGATGGCCCTGATGAGGATGAGGTCTCCCGACAAGCTCGACAGGGACTACCGCTGGCGCTACCTTGGGGACGCGAGATCATCCGCCTTGGCACCACATTCTTTTCTGATCGACAGACTACGATGAACCCCTGGTCTGACGAAACGCCTTTTGTGCTCTCTGAATTGCACATGATCAAAAAAGAATTGCACGCAGAGTACGGAACGAACTCGACTTTCAAGAAGGTTTCGACGCGAAAGACCTGCGAGACGGGCAATCATCTCAGCCTCGGGTTTGGTGTCGGTGTCGGGTTGCCGTACTTGGCTTCTGTGAATGTTAAGGGGACCTATGACGAGCACCTACAGGAGAACAAAGATTCAGACAAAATATCCCTTACTTCGAGTTGTCGAGCTGGTACAATTGAGTTCCAAAGCCAGCCTCGGCTGACGCTGGAGGCTATAAAGGAGATCAAGTACGGAGGTGGCTTTGAAGGACTGTGCCAAAGGTATGGAGACTACTACCTAGCTGGCTACAGGCTCGGAGGGGATACCGGTATCCTGATGAGTGCGTCGGGGCAATCAAGGACTGAGATTGAAAAATATGGCATCACAGCGACTGTAACTGTACTTCTCATATCAGCTAGCGAGCACTGGGAAAAGGAGTTTCAGTCCTTCCGCTCTGGCCGGCAGGTGAGACTGCTTGGCTATGATACATTGGACAACAAGCACTGGCAAAACTTCAGTGCAGCGGGCGATGATATAAAGGAGGTAGACGCCTGGGCCTGTGGGGGTTCTGCAGTTGATTCCAACTCACTCCTAGCCGACACTAATGCAATCATGACACGATCAGAAAATATCCTTGAACGAGTGAGCGAGGTGCTCGAAAGGCACGGATATCGGAACGGCGAGAGTCTTACATATGTACAGTGTGAGGAGCTCGTTCAGGAGGGGATCGTCGTTGAGCTGTTGCTGCAACCAATGTCCAGATTGCGGGATGTGATTCTGTGGAGGAATGAGAGAAACATCATTTGAACAGATGAAGAGAAATTTCTTGGTTCAGAGCACCTGGACCAGACTAGTCACTTATTATTTGTCTCTGTCCTCTATTGATACCCTTGTTATAACACCCGAAACTGGTGGTCAAATACACCTAGCTATGAATCACTACTAAGTATGATTAGTACTGAGTTATATGGCCGTAAGCTCGTGGATGAATCTGTGGGCTCAGGACAAAATATTCTTAGAGTGGCAAATGTGCCAAATCAACCAGACAAGTCACGCATTATTATCGAGCAATACAAGCTGTCTAATAACGGGACATTCAGACATTATCCTCAGTAGGGGCCAAGATACCAAGATCACAAATGTGGCATACGTGGCATTCCAAAGTCGCGGGCACCAGTCCGAGCTATTTTTCCCCTCACCAGGGTTGTTTGCAGAAAGTTATTGTAATAAATTTTATTTTTTCCCTGGTTTCATATCTTTGCTCAACACTCTCCGGAGCTGGACGGATTCTGTCTTGAATTTTGAAAACGTCTTTTTGTCACTCTAAACGTCACAAGCCTCAACCATTCCAAATTCTCACTTCTTCTTCTCCAGCTTCTTGGTTAGGTGCTCGGTGCCATGAGAGTGATCTTCCTTGATGCCAGCAAGTTCTTTCTCTTTCTTTCTCTGTGCGTCCGTGAGACCTGTCGGGGCTTTTTCCTTGCCAACAATCTTCTTTTGACTGAAGTTGTGATTGTCGCTGTCCATATTGGTGGAGAATTATTGAATTCACGTGAGAACTAAGATTATCTGAAAGTTAGCCTTGTCCAGCAATATATAGATTCAGTATTACCTTGGCTCGGGGCAAGATCGCAAATATGGGTATTATACTGGGATGCAAGAGAATTCGAGGGGCAGGCTGTTGCTTTTGCCTTTGATTGTTCTTCACGCAATGTCAGCCTTGTGGATGCATAAAAGTGGCGGAGTTACGCCTTACCTTGAATTAAAACGAGTCCGCAAATATTTGAACGCTAGTAGGATGAAAGAGACGTCGAGGAGCAGGCCCATGCTCTGTCTTATAGCCTTCTTCTGGCAATTTCAGATCTCAGAATGATAGACGTGGCGCTCACAACATATTCTGTTGCTTAGCTGAAATCATCAAGAACAAGTACAAATAGCCGAGTCGTTATGTGGTAATTGGCTGGAATCATCGAGAATAAGTAAAACTATCCGAGCTGTCATTCGATATTTCCAAATGGAATAGGTATGTTTTTATCACGATACAATTCTTTGCGAGTAGTTCTTGTCGCACAATTTGGGGCGTAATACCGCTAGACTAAAAATGCTCCATGGGCAACATTCTTAGTCCATACGGTCATTTATTATTTCGACAGTTCTGCGAAGCTAGAGTGAAGCTGAAATGAAGCTCGTGGATTTAGCGGCTTTACTAGGTCACAAGTTCACAATTTCACTAGCGCCTGATGGGCCGCGTATGAGAGTGATCACGCTAAGTTTGTGATTCGGCAAGTTTGGCCGATAAAAAGAAGTAGGCTACGGTACGCCTACCGCTTTCGTGCAGTTTACGTCGAGCTGAAATTTCGTCAGTGCGTATGAAAGTGGGGACATTCCTGAGGGCACCACCGCCACAAGTGGGGTAGGTCATGTTTTAAGGAAGAATTAGCCTCGCCATGTGTCCCCCAAGCCGGTTCTAGCTGAACTTGCACGGACCTTTAGATCAAGACGCAGCTTCACTATGTGCTGTACCTAACTACTCAGCGAAATTCCTTGGCTGTCCACCTGGGTTGGGTTGTGTGGTAGAACAATAAGTATAAAAGACATGTGTATGACAGACTCGACTCGATTTTTTATTCTCTTCTTCAACCACTTTCCATTTGATTTCTCCACTATTTCTTCAAGATGCCTGTCGACACGAAAATCATTAAGCCATTTGGAAAGGTCACGAAGAGCTTGATTATTGGAAAGGGGCCCAAAAACATAACACTTGAAACGTTGGACCCGCATAAATTGCGAGATTTGTTAGCCAAAGAAAAGGTTGCTAAGAAGGGATCAAACATCGTTTTTATCGACTGCCAAAGCTTTGCTGATAAGGGTGAGTAAATTTCAAACCACCTAAAGTCTCATATTAGCCATATTTCCCGATCTGATCCCGCGTATCAATAGGTAACACTGGCAGTCAAATTCATGGTGCTATTCATATCGACATGGTCGGGGCTCACTTGAGCCAAGCCAAGTTCAATGCCGTCATCAAAGCGAAGCCCGATGTGTACAACAAGATCGGTGGGGCCGAGCTTGTCGTGATCTACTGCTCCTACGGCTCGCTACGCTCTCCAACCATCATGGCCCTTTATGAGGATGCAGTATCTGACGTTGACACTCGTCCGTTGGTATACAATGACGACCAGTACGTCTTGTTGCTCGAAGGTGGAATCCACGCCTATGAAGCTGTTAAGGGTGAAGTACCTTATCGTAAGCTCCTCGCTCCCTAGTTGATATTTTTTATGGCCGAAAGCTGACTCTGAGGTCCTTTAGTGGAAAAATACGTCGGAATGCACAATGGAAAAGCAAAGACCGTCTCATCAGGAGGCTCGGGCAAGCTTCCCCAGCTGTCTGGTGATGACCACTGTGATATCTACTAAGGATATAATAGGCTATATCTATAAGGATTCTTATATACTGTAGCTATGTATATAATCCTTCGCGGTCAACTCTCATCAGACAAATATTACTCCATTGAAAAAAAACCCAAAACATACAACTGTCTGGACTAGGTAGATGCTGATTCGCTAGTGCCCAATCCGCTAAGTTAAACTAGTCAGTGAGCAACTGGCAGACTTTCTGGCTTATTCCTTAATCGATTACCTGCTCCTTAGCGAGAAATGCGTGAGTGCCACCCCCAGAGCCGCGCGATTAAAGAGGTGAAGCCAGCCAAGGCTCATATGTAGCACAGAATATTGCAAACGCGGTTTATCTCCTAGGTCAGTACAAATGAGATATTTTACGATAGTGCCCCATCAGGAAGCAGGTAACAGCTTGGCCTGAACAAACCCATCAAATTCGCTCAATTAAAAGGGGGATGACTCCGCGCCACTGTAACAAATCGATGCTCCCCTGAAGTATCCAGATATGCATGACAAGAATCAGGCGCAGGTTTTGTCCACTTTTGTTGTGACCGCAATACTGTTGGTACCTGTCGAAATTTGGGTACTCCACCTGTATTACCAGCTAGCTACCAACCAGCTTAAGCTTAGCTTGGTGGCGCAGATTACTCACTATCTGGCCACATCCCCTTTCTTTCTACAAAACACACTCTCTTGATCTATTGGTCTACACGTTACTAGGCGTTACCCTTCTCCCTAAGTTTGATAGTATCGATTAGTGCCGGAATATCTGTGACAACGGGGACGATACCGTGACGATAAGGTGTTGGTGGGACGATTTTTTGGGTTCGGAGTTGTTTGGGCTGCTACGGCTGGTACGCCCCAAGACGGGCGTGGCCCACATCGTAGTTCGCGAACTGGAAGTAGCAAGTGCAGCGATGTAGGCTTATCAACGAGGCAATGATGCGGCCCACCTCAAGCTAGGCAGATAGCCGGCCCCTATTCACCGACATAGTCTCCCGACTTCGAGCTCTTGCCCCTACTAGATTATTTACAGATCCAAAGGAAATACGTTACGCTTTTCGAATGCCCTATATGATTTATGCTTATCTATGTAACAAGCTCGTATGTCTTATTTGATTCTGATTTTGTAATATTTAACATATTCTTTGTATATCGGGATATTAATACAATCAATAAATTAAAATGCCAGCGCAAGGCCAGGCTTCTAGCATTAGCTTGGCAAAACTGCGTTCGAGAAGAGAATCGGGCCAGCAACACCCAGTCACATCAGAGTCGAGAGGGCTATAATTCCCTACACTGTAGGCTTCAAGAGCTCCTATTTTGTGATATACTCTCCTTGTTTGGATCAAGGGAGTCCGGACAGATCGCGTAGTCCGGCATTAGAGATTGTAGATGAAATTGTTTGTGTCCTTAAGAAGGCGGTCGCTTCATCATGAGTAGCCCAACAGATCAACGATTCTCTTCGCACATGAAACCGCCTATTGAAATGAATCTGAACTGCCATTTGCAAGATCGGGGAAGCCTTATAGCTATGTCACATAAATCCTGAGTCATCATGTGCTTCGCCATCTGAGCCATTAGCTATTCCCTCACTACCGTAGATGATGCGAACGTAAACATGTCATCTTTCAGCCCAATCCTCAAGGGCTTTCACGGCAAACGCAGAGCTGGTTCCTCTATTTCCGACCTCACGTTTAGCTCCAGGAAACAGATACATGCAAGAGGCTTCCCAACCGCCGTCTTCCAGCTGCATATCGACGAGTTTCTGGCGATCAGGATGATTTTCGATTCCGAGATAATTGCATGCTAATACTCGCATGCCAAGGCAAAACGCATCACCATTTGCCCCGACCCGCTCAGCCACCCGCGTCCGAAGAGGAGGTTCGAACCTTTCCTTGAGAGTAAGATCACTGGAAACACCAAGGAGACGTGTCATATAATAGAGGAACCACTCTGCGTTGGGGTAGTAGCGCGTCCCATTGATGTACGCTCGGTTAAGCAGAATGCTATAGATCCATTCCATTGTGCCAGGAAGCTCGTGGCTTCGCCCATACTTGTGAAATAGGGTCAGAACATTCAGAGATATAACAGCATCGACACGTGGCCTTGAGTGGTCGAAGTATGCCTGATAGATGGCATTAGCTTCTCCATACACAAGCACAGATGATTATTTAAACCACACCTGCACGTTTCCGTCTTCGTCGATATAATCATGCATCTCATCTAGTATAGAATGGACGATTGCCGGGTCAAGGGGGATCGTTAGAAGGCCAAGAGACGTCGTGTCTAGATCTTCGGGGTAGGTGTCACTTGTGTATTTTGGGTCACCTGGATTAAATGAGCGACTCTTGTATTGCTAGATAGAAGACTAACAGAGGCTCACCACTAAAGAAATTCCAGAGTCGGGGCGGGCATTTGAGGTTCACTAGGCTCCTACACACTGATAGTTAGCAACCTGTGGGCCTTAGTGTCAGGGTGAGACTTGCGGGTCTTTCAACACTTCTAAGATCAGGAGTGGAGCATAATTCTCAGCGATCGTCTCATTATGCTGGGTCGTTGTCGGAAATACCCCCTTCTGACGCCGCAAGAATGCAAGACCTCGTGCCACAGGATCGCCGATGAAGTTTGTGAGCGTACTGTAGAGCTTTGCGGTTTCAAAAGTCCCCCTCATTCCAACAGATAGCGCCGCGAGCACATTTTCAGGTCTGTCATCTACGAAAAAGGTCTGGTGTGGTACTGCCCGTGTGACTCGCAGGACGTGACGATAGAAGCGCAAGCTAGGCTTTCGAACACCGAGGGCAGAGGACGTAAAAACGCCATCAAAGATGGACCAAAAGTCGTCATCCCAGGATTCCCGCAATGCAGCATAGTCTTCTTTTGAAATATTGGACACCAGAAAGATGCGTGTTCCTGTCCGTTTGACTTCTTTGAAACTTGAAGCAACAGCCTGGTCGTAGGTGATAGTCTTGCGGAGCTTCAGGATCATCTCCGCCAGGTCGCTTGCCTGAAAATGATATTCCTCGGCAAGTTTTGCGAAACATTCCTGCTCACTGAGCCGACCACATTCGTAGCTCATCCAGACTGAAGTAGACATGATCCGTCGCAAGGAAAGGGTAGAGTCACGAGCTTCCAGCTTGTTCTCAACTTGCGGGTGCATGAAGATCCCCCCGAGGTCAACCAGGATGGTTGTTGATCTGGGCTTCACCGCATTGCTTAGGACCATCGTGGCGTCAGATAGGAGTGTGATTCTGAAATTTCGGGTGGGAAAATAAATCAGTCGAAAGGCTGACACTTTGGAAGTAGGTATATATTCCTCAAGGAGGATATAGGTCTGAGATTATCTGTTGGCCGAGAGAAGGCTGATGAGGCATGTGCGGAAAGGTCAATATACGATCTTAAGAAAGATGACCTCCCCCCCTTCTCCCTCCTCCTCCCACCAATTTTTTTGGATAGTACTTTTGCACACATGGATAATGTGGGAACATGCAAAATATGGTTCAAGTCAGCGCATTGCTACGTCTTCTACTTCCTCATCGCACTCCTTGCAGTGCATGTATCTCTCGCCCCACATGGCGTTCCGTGAGATTCTGTGCGTTTTTACGTTGGCCGACATAAGGAGCGGTGACGGGGTTGGGTTCGAGACCCCTTGCTTAGTTTGTTTTTGTCAGCAGATGAAGGGATATCTTACCGCTAGTAACTGATTAGTTGCTACTGGGTTCACACTCGTTTAGTATTTTATATATAATTAGAGATTAGTCAGTAACTCAGGCTTTATAATAGCCGAGTATCGGCGATACGCCTATTTCATAAGGGGTAGTCTATAGCAGCGCTCCCCCCCCTATTTTCCTTCTCAATCAATCAATATTATTTATCTATATTAGTTCCGCTTAATATTATTCGTCGTCTTCGTATACTAGGCTATATAGTATTAGCTTGCCCTGATAGTTATAAGCCCGATAGCCCGTTAATATTACTAAGAAAGATATATATCAGAACGCCTAGATCTTTCTATTAACGTAAGCTTCTAAAAACGATCAGCCCCTAAACTATTACCTAGCGGTAGTTTATCTAATACCGAGGGACTGTAGGCCTTACTTAAAGAGCCTATAAATTAGCCTAATTTATATACGAATATAACGACCTTTAAGATAACTTAAGCGTTAAATATAAACCCCTAGGACTAATAGCTCCGGTCGGAGGCTTAGTAAGGAGTATAGATAAGCTATATCGAATTAGCTACGATAGCTATAAAGGTATAGAGATATATTAACCCTAAGCTATTAGATAATAAGGTTAAGAAGCTACTTATTAAACTAAGGAATACCTTCCTATAACCGAACGATATTAATAGTACTATCGATAATCCTATCTAGCTTAGTAAGGCTAAATATCTTTATTATACCCGCCTAGTCTCGCTATTTAAAAAAGAGAGAGTATTCTGCTATACTATAAAGAAGAGTCTTACTTAGATAAATACTTATATCTATATAATAACCTATCCTAAAAAGTACTATATCTTAACTAGTAAGTAAACTATAAAAAAGAAGATAGTTAGATTAGCTTAGGAATTTAAGCCGAAGGGGGCTATATAGAAGTAAAACCTTCGAAATATATAGAGATATTAGGTATCTACCTAAATAGGTAAAACGTCGATAAATAAATAGCTATCGAACTAGTCTATCCTATATAATAAGGCCTATATAGCTAAAGTACTAGATATCTAGCGTTATATCTATATAATAGATAATCCTAGGATAATTTAGCTATTAGAGACTTTCTCTAAGCTATCCCTAGCTAGGATAGCTATTTTAGTAATTAGTATAGGGAGAAGCTAGAGAGGGAAACCCTATATTTCTAGGATATCTTAATAGAATACTAGATATACCGAGAAGTATAAGACTAGAATAAGAAGGGCTATTCGAGCGCTATAGCCTTTATAATAATACTATATAGTTATTAATAGCCTAATTAAGAATAGTTAAATATAAAGAGACTACTACGCTATATATATAGTAGCCTAAAGTATTAGTAGAAAGACTATTTTTATATAAACCTATCTAAGAGACTTTAGAACTAGTAGTAATATAAAACCTTATATAAGAGGGTCGAAGATAGTATTAAGAAACTAAGCCTCTCTAAATAGTAAGAAATAGCTAAGATAATAAATACTAATACCTTATCTTTATCTAAGAAGATTACTTAGATAGCTTAGCTTATAATTATTAATAGAGATAACGATAATAGCTTTAATAAGATACTAACTAAATCTATAGGGTTCTTTAGCTTTAATATTACTCTAGTAATATATAATATAGCTATATCCCTTCTACTTAGAAATAGCTAGATTATCGACTCTAGAGCTAATATCTATATATATAACTATCTAGATCGATTTAAAGGGGGTCTTATAGAGGAATAGAAGATAGTTATACTTAGTAGTAGTAAAATGACTATAGCTAGTAGGAGAACTATAAAGGTTATTATCTAGGACCTTACTAGTAAGGTCTTATAGGTAACTTTACTAGATATATAGTATATCCTAAGCTTTAAGACTAATATCCTATCTATCTTAGAGATAGCGAAGAATAGCTTCTTCTTTAATAGCCGCTATCTAGCTATTACTAAGGATAATAAGCTAGTAGCTATATATAGTAGAAAGTTTAGGCTCTATCTCCTAGAGTATTACTAGGGTAATAAATATATCCTAATAATAAAAGGCCCTCCGATAGCCTTTCCTATACTTAGAACGTCTTAGAAACTACTTATATCTATCGCCTTACCGTAGATCTAGTACCGAAGACTTAGCTATATATATAACTAGTATATTAAGATCCTTATAAAGATAGTTAATAGTATAATTATTAAGGGAGACTTTAAAAATAACTAGCTATATAACCCTAAATAATATATAGTCTATTAGCTTACTAAAATAAAGAAGTAGATCTCTTAGAGGTTAGCGGATAGATTAAAGATATATAGCTAGTTTAGGAGGATTTATTTTAATATAATATAGCTAGAAGAAGTATATAATAATTATAAATAGGTCTCTTATCTACTACTTAAGGATATTTATCTCTATATAGTCTAGATATATAAGAAAAAGAGTAGTTATATCTACGCTATTATTATATTTATTACTATCTATCGAAATTAGTTTAATATAGAGATTAGAGTATTTATTAGTAATAATAAATAGACCCTCGGCTATATATTCTAAGAATAGTATAATAGAGAGGGTATCTTAGTCAAATTTAGTGTTATTAGAACGCCTAAATAGAATAGTTTTATCGAGAGAGCTAGAGGTATTATTATTACTATCGCTAGAGCTTTAATATAGAATATAGGCTTACTAAAGAAGCTTTAGCTAGAGATAGTAAATATAGTAGTCTATTTAATTAATAGGACCTTATAATACTACTAGATAGTAAGGTAATTATCCTATAGATTAAAGCTATATAGAAACCTTATTACTAATAGAATTAACTACGCCTTAACCTCTCGAATCTTTAGGTATATAGTTATAGAGTATATATACACTATTAGAGGATCCCCTAAAAAGATAAGATAGTACTATATATAGAGATAGGGTATCTAGTTAGATATATTATATCGAATATCTAGAAGGTATAGTTACTATATCTTAATACTATTAGAGCTATTAGAGATATTATATTTAATAAGAATATCCGATTCGACCTAAAAGAGTTAGAGAGACTATTACTAATCGATATTCTAGATAAGATACTATAGATAGTAGATAAAGAACTAATAGAAATACCTATTACTAATAATAAGAGCCTTAAGATAGCTCTTATAATACTAGAAAAGTAAAGATTAATACTAGAAAGGTATAAAATAATACTAAAAAGATAAGAAGAATAGAGAGAGATAGAGTAATACTTAAGGAAAAAGACTATACTAAATATCCTAGTTCCTATAATAATAATACTATTACCGACGCCCTCCTATTAACTAATAGTATTAGAGAGATTATTAGAAGTTCTAGGAAGTTTTCCTATAAAGCTAGAGCTACTTATACTATCTCTAGAGATCTTAAACTACCTCGAAGCTAAAAAGATAAAAAGATTAGGACCTAATAAATAGCTTTAAGGAGAGCTTTAAGAAATATTAGAGCTACTAGAAAGATTATAGATATTACTATTATTATTACTATTATCTCTATCGCTAGGATATTATATATATAGATCTCTTATACTAAAAGATATTAGTATATTATTTTCGGAAGATAATATTATTAAGGGTAAGTATACCTATAGCTAGGTATATTTTATATCGATAGAGAAAGATATTATAATAGTAAATAATTAAGAAGACTATTATAAAAGTATTTTATTAGTATTCTCTATAGAAATAAGCTCGCTATAGACCTACTAGCGTTTTTACTATAATAATCTACCCCCTAAACTAATAAACTAGAAAGAGATAATATAGTATCCTTACTAAAAGGGCTTTATTAAAGCTATAATATAGGAGATTAAGATTTTAGATAGAAAGAGTACCTATTAAGAGATTAATAGACCGACGGACTATAGTATCTAGATCTTACTATTAATATAGGTATTTATCTATAAGTTCGATAATAATAGACTATTAGTTAAATATAAAACTAGGATATATATAAAAAGAGATCGCTAGAAGATATTAACTAAAGAGAAATATTTAGCGATACTAGCTATTTAGATAGCTAGAGCTATCTTCGCTCTTATAGTAGCTTTTAACCTTAATACCGCTTAATATAATACTATTAATATATTCCTTAATAGCTAGATTAATAAAGAAGTATATATAGAACTTCCTTTTAGCCTATACCTCCTAGTATAAAGGATAAGGTATTAGAAGCTCTTAAAAGCCCTATATAGCCTAAGGAAATTACTAAGACTCTAGTAGTAAGAAGTATTAAGAGTCTTAATAGCGCTAGGCTTTAGGGTTATTTATAAAGATATCTATCTATTTACTATAGATAGAATTATTATTATCTTCTATATCGACGATATCCTTATCTTTAACTATCTATCTATATATTAGGAAGCTATAAATATAGCTAAAAGCCTTAGAGAGACCTAGGAGCTTCGCTCGATAGGCGAAGCGTAGTAGTTTCTAGGTATATATATTATAAAAGATCGTCGATAGGGTAAATTATAGCTTTACTAGGATACCTATATCTCTACTATAGCTAATAAGTATTATTTAATAACTAGAAAACGCTTTAAAGTCCCTCTAGTTTCTATCGCTAACCTAAAACTATATAGCGAAATAGCTACCGATAAGTAAAGATATAAATTCTTTACTAAAGTTAGTTTAGCGTAATATATTACGATAATTACTTAGCTAGACGTAATAAAAGCTATCTTATATCTTACTTAGTTCCTATCGAACCCTTCCTTTAATTATATTAATATAATTAACTAGGTTGTTACTTACCTCTACTATATATAGATAAAGGTAGTCTACTATCGAAAGCTACCTAATTTAGACCTAATTACTATATAGTTCTTTAGTAATATATTATATAGGGATAACTATAACTAGAAGAGCTTATTAGGCTATATCTATCTAATATATAAAAGACTAGTAGACTAGAAGGCTATAAAGTAGAAGATAGTAATAATAAGTACTACTAAGACTAAATTACTAGTAATATTAGACGCTAGTAAATCTCTATATATATAGAATTATCTATTCGTAGCTATTATATTTACTCCTAGTTACCCTATTATCCTATAATATAATAACTAGTAGACTATTAACCTATTAATAGGCGAATTACTTTAGCTATATATAAAACTCCGATATATTAATATCTACTAGTACTAGCTACGATAGGAGGTTTAAGCTAAATATATACTAGTATAGTAGGTTAAGATATCGGATATAGTAGCTAACGGTCTAACGAAGCTATTACCTCGATAGAAGTATACCGAATTCGTTAGATAGCTTAGTATAGAAGATATTAGATATCTATTAGACGGAGAAACGAATACCTAAGGTTATTAGATAAAGTAGTATAGCAAATTGCCTATAGATATTTTACTAAAGGGGTATATTAGTAGATAAAGGGATATCTTACCGCTAGTAACTGATTAGTTACTACTAGGTTTACACTCGTTTAGTATTTCGTATATAATTAGAGATTAGTCAGTAACTTAGGCTTTATAATAGCCGAGTATCGGCGATACGCCTATTTTATAAGGGGTAGTCTACAGCAGCGCTCCCCCCTGTTTTCCTTCTCAATCAATCAATATTATTCATCTATATTGGTTCCGCTTGATATCATTCGTCGTCTTCGCATACTAGGCTATACAGTATCAGCTTGCCCTGATAGTTTTTTAACGGAAAGCAGTCGCAGAACGAGACATTGGCTGGCTGAAATGTTGAAGATCAATGCACGTCCCCACCAGTACTTCCTCAGCTTTTAGATAAGGGAAAAAGCGGTGAACCCTTGCTTGATCCGAAGACCGTCTGTCTATGCTTCTAGCAGAAAACGGTAGCATTGTGTAACATTGGCTGACTGAAGTAGTTAGAGGGACAGGAAGTAAGCGTTCGGGCTTGCAGCGTGGTGACGTCAGGGAGTTATATCAAAGTCATATGTTCCGTATGGTACCCGGGAATACCTTGAACGTATGGTGTCGGTAACAAAGCATAGCTGTCTGCTAGGAATCAGCTGATTTCTACACCTATACCTATCTCTATTATTTCAATTTGTACCATCAGTACTAGTAAGTACTGAGATTCCGCTACATGGCCTCATATATTTTCATTGAAATTCAAGCAGTAGAAGGTAAGGGGAAGAAGATAGAGCTTATCTGTATTTCCCAAGCAGTGGCTGGGGTATCTCAACCGCGAATCTAGTATGGTAGGTACACATTGTTGCATATGACCTAGACATTTTGTAATAGATGCATGTGATAGACCTGAACCGAGAGATTTCAGGTGACACTGAGGTCAAGGACCCAGACGCGTCATAATCTGTATTTCTTTTTTTTGTACTTAGTTGCTTTCAAGGTGGTCTTGGGCCTTTGCTCAGTGGAAAAAGTTGATCATTGAACATGCCATATACATTCATCATTTATCAACCAGCCCCCATGATCTCCGGCATTTACAAAGTATTCTTTCTGGTAAGTTTTTTTCAAGCAAGCACCGCAAGCTCATTTAGCCTGAGCGACGGACGGTAGGGTCTTTTGTTCTCGGTATGGAAAATATTGGCCAAACGATACCTGCATCCCCTTAGCCGCTATCCTGGCCCGTTTCTTTGGAGCGTATCGAGGGCCCCTTATGCAACCGCCTACGCTCAGGGCAAGCTGCACAAGCGGATTCAGCGCCTTCACGACCAGTATGGGCAGGTTGTCCGTGTCGCACCTGATGAATTGAGCTACCAGAACGAGGAAGCATGGAAAGACATATATGGCCCCTCAAGGAACTTTCCAAAGGACATGCGCTTTTACCACATGTCCAAGAGTAAAGCCCCAAGTGTGGTGGTCGCTCCTGATAGCATCCACGGTCGGCAGAAACGCGCAATTCTCCGTGCATTTTCAGTATCCGCACTTGAGTCTCATGAACGACTCCTGTGCCCCTTTGTGGACACTCTCATTCAAATGCTCCATCCCAAGGCCGGAAACAAGCAGAGAGTCGTAGATATGACAGAATGGTACAATTATGTCATGTTCGACTTTATGGCCTTCGAGCTGTTTGGTGAGTCGTTACACTGCCTTGAAAAAGGGGCCTCTCATACCTGGGTGGATATGCTTTTCGGGTCTATCAAAGCATGGGCCTTCCTCAGCCAATCTAAGTATTTCCCGTCACTTTCCTGGATTATCAAAGCTGCCGTGTTCTTGTTACGTCGTGACCTGTTCCAGCATCGGTCCACAAAGTTCGCCTTCATTTCGTCCAAAGTCCATGAAGACAGCGTGTCTGAATCAAACCATCCTAACTTTGGCACATATATCCGAGCTAGTAATGACCACAAGTCAACTCTATCCAGGGAAGAGATCTTATCTAATTACAGCTTTATGATGATGGCGGGCAGTGAGACTACGGCGACCCTTTTATCGGGTTGCACATTTTTCATACTGAAACATCCGGAGATATACCAGAAGCTTTCCTTCCAAATACGGCACCGCTTCTCCTCTCGGATTGAGATAACATTCTCATCATTAGCCGATATGCCATACCTACGCGCTATCCTCCAGGAATCACTGCGTATGTACCCACCTCTACCGCTTGGTATGCCGCGGGTTGTACCTAAAGGAGGCGCTCTGGTTTCAGGGCAGTTTGTCCCAGAGAATGTAAGTTTTCTACAGTAAGAATTAGAGCTAAAAGATTACTGATATCCTTAGACGTCTGTGGCTGTTGCTTCTTGGGCGGCCTACCAGTGCTCGTCAAACTTTAGGGATCCCCAGTCGTTCATTCCAGAACGCTGGTTAGATACTGATATTGGAGGTGACGATGTTAAAGAGGCTATGCAGCCCTTCTCGGTGGGTCCGAGGTCGTGTCCGGGGAAGAAGTCGGTCACCTATCTTTGTGAACGGTTCCGGGGGTGAAAGGCTGATTCGTCCTATAGACTAGCATTTGGGGAGGCCAGCTTAATCCTAGCCCGATTAATATGGGTGTTTGATCTGGAGCTGTCTCCCTCGTGCTCGAATTGTGCAGATCAACGGGCCTATATAATTTGGGACAAGAAACCACTCCTCGTCAAACTGACGCTGCGCTCTTAGAATGGCACATGCGTGGCGTTGAAAAGTCTCTTTATTAGGCAATTGAAACAAAAGCAGGCTTACATTTATCAATGAGGTGGGAATGAGTGGGAAGGCCAGTTCGAAATACATCAGGATGCAAGGAAATGGAATATTTCTTGCTGAACACGTAGCAGCAATCCGCAGAGGCGAAAGGAAAAGAAATGAGTCGGCTATGGTTGCAAGATAGAGGGGACGAAATAAGGAACAAGGTCGAAATGGCGAGGTCGGTTCTCATGGAAGGGTGGTTGGAGCCTTGTGCTTGTATGGCAGGGTATTGGCATGGAAATAGCCCCCCATTCCTAAGGTCCCACATCACGGCCCGACGACATACATCGGAGCCATAAATTGATGAATCAACCTCTTGAAATTCGGGATTAGATAGTGCAGATAGCTTGCAAAATCTTCAAACTCTGTATTTAGCCCAGATTCCGGCCCGAACTCAACAGTTTCTCAGGCATGGATCCCTACTACCATAGTCTCCCGCGAGACCACTTTTAACAAGGTTACAGAGTATAGTGCTATTATCAGTTAAGGCCACACGCTTCTCCAATTCCATGACTTTATCACCTACATAACCTAGCAGAAAGTAAAAGATAGGAATCGGGGCATTTAGAATCGATCGTGTTCAAATAACTCTCATCTGCTTGATATGGATTACGTATCTTGTTGATATGAGAAACCGGCTTCTAGCAGGGGAAATTGTCGACGCGAGAGAAGCTTGAAACAGCAGGGGCCGCTAGGTAGTATGAATAGCTATACCGAACTTATCCATGCTATTAATCTCCGTCATCGGGGATATCTGTGAGCATTTTTCCCATGCCAGGGAGGACAATCAATTGCGATTCATTATTGGTCCCTCCGACCCAGTTGCGTCTTCAGGCTGCAGGTCGCGGCAGAACCCTTAACAAGCCTTATGCTGATCCTGGCTTCGATATATGTAGTGTAACCCCAAAGGAAACCTTCCCTGTGAATCCATCTCAACTTTCCTTCTTAGCCTACACGGCATGTAAGCTTCTGCTCTTTTTAATTTACCCTTCATCACTCTAATATTGCTCGCTTCCGAAAACTTTCCCTATGCTAAAATGTGCAAAATCCCCTTTTGCCTACATACATTGCACCTTCGGCAGTCTTCCAGTGAAGAATATCCAGGTAGGTGAACTGCCGCCTGAAGCTGCCTAAGCGGCGAGTCGCCCACGGCCAAAATGTAGGCACTAGGTGAGATTGGGGATACTTCTGGCTGTTGTGTGCTTTCATTAATTTTTGCTTTTTGCTTTTTATCTTTCCGAGTCTTTTTCACTCGCGCCTACTCTGTGTATTTTTTTCATTATAGTCGATGCTTAGGTCTCTATCTCTCCTGTCTTTACCATCGGAAATATATATATTAAAACCGGCTAGGTTTCCTTCTAATTATAACAAGACTATAGCTAAGATCAAGGTATAAATCCCTATAACCCTGTACTCTAGCTTCTTTTAATTATACTAACCTCTCTTGGGCTCATATCTAGCACATACGACCATAGGGTGTGGAGAACAGGGCTTCCCGTCCGCTCAGCCGTACTTAAGCCACACGCCGGTCAGTTAGTAGTATGGTGGGTGACCACATGCGAATCCTGACTGTTGTATGTCGAATTCTTTCAGTTTTTTGATTCGTCTGGGAAATTGCCCTTGCTGCCTTAATCTTCAGTCCCTTTCGGGACTTTACCCTGAACACCCTGAATCCCCCTCTATTCTTCACCTGAATGCCCTGCACGCTCTGAATCACTGACATTTCCCCTCGACTAGACCTGCCTTGTCTCGTTCCATCCTTACCTACCAGGACACCCTTAGGACAATCCTAACAAGTGACACCCCAACGGTATTCAGAGCAGTCTAGCTACATAGATACCTGCACACTTCGTCTATCTACATAGGTCCAAAGGTTCCTACAGACAGATCTAGTATGGCATAAGATATTCTATGAAATAAAATTGAGTCAGAGTCAGGAGTTTATAGAATGATGTGCCCACAGGCCGTAAATAAATGGAGTGTCTAAGGGGTAAGTAATGTGTTCCACGTGTCTTTGAGGTACCACTTTACCACTCCTCCATCAGTTTCCTTTCAAGTTGAAGCATTTTTTCCAGAGCTTCCATGAACCTTTCTCCCTCTGATTGTTCGAGTGGCAGGAGAGGCTTGCGCGGTGCAATTCCATAGCCGTATATCTTATTCAAAGCGTATTCTGGAAATAGTCAGCAATATTTCGCCTCAAACCCCAACAGAAACATCTTACTCATCGCCCGAATTCCCCCAGGAACTGCAGCTACATCCGCCCTAGACAGAATTGCCTGTATTTCCTTGGCTTCCTGCGCCTCTTTCTCGGTCGGAGAGAGGGTATTGAGCAGAGTCCAAAGTCTCACAGAGGCCAGCGGCGCGAAATTAGGTATGCCACTGACGGTTCCATGGCCTCCACATTGCATCCACGGAGTGAGGTCTGCAATCAAACCATCCAGCAGAAGGAATGGGAATTTCCGACTGAAAGATATAGAAGGATTTTCGGAGATCGTGGCATTCAAGCGAAGCAGTTTGCCGATGCTACCACCACATCTAGTTACGAATTAGCACTGAGAGAGGAAGAATGATATCACAAACCAAGCCAAACTCACGTTAGTTTCACACCACACAAGTTCGGCGCCAGTTTCATGACTGCGCTGATGACTTCCGACGACATATCTTGGCCACCGGCATTGGCAGGGAAGTTGTAGAGTAGCAATGGAATCTGTGATTGTATGAGCAATGGGCGGTACTAGCATTCACTCAGTGAGTCGTAATAACATACTGGCGATGCTTCACAAATATCAATGTAATATTGAATAACTTGTTCTTGATTCGTATTGAGACTTGCAGCATAATAGGCAGGCAAAATCACCATTCCCGCATCTCTGCATACGGTGAGTGAAAGATTCATGATGCTGTCTTCGATGATGTATGACTGACGCTCCTGCCTTCGCCGCTGCATGAGACAACTGGATTGTCTCTCTTGTACTCAAGCCTCCAACTCCAGCAACAATCGGCGTCGTTTGGAGCCCAGCTTCATCTAAAGTATTTCGAATGAAGTGGATAAGAGCCGTTCGCTCATCGAAACTCTATTCCCGTTTATTAAAAAAAGTTAAATATATGGTTAGTTTACGTACCAAGTGCACAGCTTCTCCCAATGATCCGGCACATACTGGGACTTGCAAATCGAGGTTCATTAGTATGCGGCTTCGCATTCCGTCCGCAATGACTTACTCATGTCCTTCGTAGCCAGATCTAGAAACACGGGGTCAGGACTTAGACTTTCAAAGGTGGATTTCAACAGAGATTCGAACTGACTGAGAAGATGTTTCTTATAACTCTCATAGTCGATTTCTTGATTATCATCGAAAAATGTGGGCAGTGGCGCATAGATTCCGGGTCGGAGCGCTCGCGTGGCGCAAGAATTGGCCATAACAGTTATTGTCGCGAAAAAAAGTGGCTTGATTGCACGTTCTTTACCTTTTGTCTAGTTAGGATTCCATACTCTGGCCCAGCAGTGACTCGTCTTCTTATCTGTCGGCAAGGTCGGTATCCATCCCGACTTCGCGGGCCTGATAAGCCAACAACTGCGGCAAGGTTCCGATAACCCCGCGCTGTTATCAGAGTTTGGAACGGGCTCGAGTTCGAGGGTTATCGCAACAAGTAATCGATGGCTAAATACACCCCCAATGCCTTCTGTCTTTGCAAAAAGCCATACTCACTTTCTATCTCATCACAACTTCATCAATATGATCCAGGAAGAGGTATGAGATGGCGTTGAGAAGGAAACCCCGATTTCAGCAAGAGACTCCGTACTGATCGAGTCTCTCGTATTGTCAGAAAAAGCCAGAGATAGGCTATGATGCCAATGAAGTGCCTGTTGATACGGGCATGCTGGAAAGTAAATATATCAATCATGGTCTTCAACGACAGCTAAAGGTGCGTACGGGTGGACCTCACAACTCCTCATTTTGCATGACACTAACTAGCATCGCACCTAGCCGCGTCATCTGTGAGTCTCAAATTTCTGGGAGAAGAGTATCCCAGCTCTGACAAAGTGTTAGACAAATGATCGCAATTGGAGGCGTCATCGTAAGTTATCCCGATCTCTACTTCACCATGCAAGAGCTTATGGAGTCATTAGGGAACTGGACTCTTTCTGGGAACTGGAACTGATTTGCAACATGGTGGTCCCGCCGGTTTGCTTCTTGGATACTGTATAATGGCATCGCTACTGTACTCGGTAATGGTAAGACTGGCGACTATATGCTCACACTTGAGTTTTTGAATTGTCTGACGTGAGTGGACAGGTCGCTCTTGGTGAAATGGCCTCGCAATTCCCTATTCCAGGGGGCCAATTTGCTCTAGCCAGTCGCTTTAACTCGCCTGAGCTTGGATTTGCCATGGGTATCCTATTTTGGTATAAGTATGTACGCATCACTTCCAGTCTTTCATAAATCTTGGAATCTAACAAAATAATTTAGCTATATTGGTATGCGAAGAGTATTTGCAATCACGTTCGTCAATACTGATTCTTTTAGTCGTTTTGCCGGCTGAGATCTCAGCCGCTGCCGTTCTTATCACATATTGGACTCCAGCAGGGCAGGCAGATTCAACCTGTACCACCGGAATCTGCAATAATGCGATGTGGGTAGGGCTCATGCTGATAGTTGTGGTATGTTGTGAGTACTCCAAGTAAGGAATTATGGATGTTCATACCTGAATAGTTCCTCATCAATTATGCTGGGACGCGCATCTTCGGCGAGATAGAATTTTGGTTCTGTTCAATAAAGGTATCAACCACTTGCCTCAGAACTTGATGTCTTCTTGTCTGATGCAAAAAGCAGGTTTTAACGATTATTGGCATGATAATTGCTGGTGTGATAATCAGCGCCGGTGGAGGCCCCAATCACGAAGCAATCGGATTCAAGTTCTGGAATGAAACAGGCGGCTTCGTACAGTACGAGGGCATTGGTATGATACCCCTTCGACCTCAAATGTCGAATCGTGACTAACAGAATGTGCTTAAAGGGGGAGCCAAAGGCCGTTTTCTAGGATTTTTCAGCGGTTTGTGATCTTCCCGGTCTTTCCTGAGATTCATATTTCTCACGCATGACAGTATTGATTAATGCGGCTTTTGCGTTCATCGGGTCTGAGATTACCGCAATTGCGGCAGCTGAAACATCCAATGTATGATCTCCGATCCATATAAGTCGCCTTTCAGGCTGACACACAATTCCTCACAGCCACAAAAGAACGTTCCTCGAGCCATCAAGAGCGTTTGGATCAGACTTGTTCTGTGTGAGTTGCGCTCACATGCAGTCTTTTGTACTGACACTGACACTCACATTTCATGATTCAGTCTACCTTTGCAGTGCTTTTTTGGTAAAATCATTTTGAACAAGACCTCTCAAGATCACATACTTACAATCACAGATCGGTCTCCTTGTATCCCCTTCAGATCCATCTCTCAGCCTCTCTTCGACGGCTGCTAAGAGCCCCTTCGTTATCGCATTTGAGGTAGATATTATTTTGAACAAAACCAAAACAGGTAATCTTTGCTGACCTAATGATTCAGAATGCTGGAATATCCGTGCTGCCATCCATCATAAATGCTGCCCTCCTTACCAGTGCTTGGTCTGCCGGTATTGCCGATCTCTTTGTGTCAACGCGTGCCTTGTTCGGGCTTGCTTGCAGAGGACATGCGCCCAAGATATTTTTGAAGACCCGAAAAGATGGTTTCCCCTGGGTCTGCTTCCTGTTTAGCGGTGCATTTGCGTTCCTCTCATTTATGGCCGCCGCCTCGGGAGAAGCGGGCAAGGTCTTCGGTTACTGTGAGATAAGAAATTCCTTCCGTGACGCAAGTATTATCTTTGTGCTAACACGGTCAAAGTCGCGAACATGACTGCGATATGCGGCATGATCTCTTGGACTGGTATTTTATGGACCAGTATCCGTTGGAACAAAGGTTTGAAGGCGCAGGGCATCGACCGCCGGACCTTGCCATACAGAGCACCTTTCCAACCTTACCTCTCTTACTGTGAGTTGGTCACAACGATATGACATATTGGGGTTGGCTCTAATTTTTCATACGCGTCAGATGGAATGTCGGTCTGTATTCTGGTCATCATATTTGGTGGCTTCAGTGCGTTCAGTGAGTGTGCATCTCACCATAATTTACCATGAATACTAACGAGGTATCAAGTTCATTCTTTTGATGTATCCTCTTTTGTCACGACATACTTCCCTATTCCACTTTTTGCGGTGCTGTTCTTTGGCTACAAACTCTGGAATAAGTCGAAAATGGTCGCCTATTCAGAGATGGACTTTGTCTCCGAGTCTTCGATGGAAATACCCGACAATGTAAGTTATGCACAATCCAGCTTCTCTATAGCTATATAGCTAATCTAGCGCGGCCTAGGAACTTCCCAAGAGTACGTGGCAGAAGATATCGGAAAGAATTTGATTGGTCTTGTCTTCTACAATCGAGAACCGATGGAATTCTTGTACTGTTTTCACACGTTTTCAACCTGAGATTTTACTACATAGTGCAGTGGCGGATCTGGATGCAATTAATTGGTTATTATTTGACAGGTGGTTCCTACGATATGTGGGTTTGTGAGCTGAGTGCTACTGCATGGTGCAAAGTGCAACTGACGCTGCGAAGTTTATGTAAAGACGGGCAAACGCCCTCCATCTTGTAGTATAAGTAGGCCTCACGGGCATTATAGGAATAACACACTTCTCTCATTTTCTCTTTCTCTGCAGGTTCCTGCGCTGATGTGTCCTTCGACCTTGTGATTGATGATCCTGACAGTTATTCTGATGTGGTGAGTGCGACCCGGTGATCATTACTCTCCATCTCGACCCGTCTATACCGACCAGACTCACTAGAGCGCCCCCTATTGGATAGGTAATTGTGGAATAATTATTTACTATTTTCGTAATTTTTCTTCCCCGAGAGTCGTTATTTCAACTACTAAATAGTAGGGGGTGAGCTTTCTTGGGCACGGCGATCGCAGTTAAAACTTGCCGTTTTAATCTTGCACAAGTCATCTCAGGCAAACTTTGCAGAGCTGAGTACATCAACGCATTTTAGTGGTCGATGAGAAGCGAGATTCAATAAGTGGGGGATAAGATCATTACAATCCCTTATCTACCCACCAAAAAAAAATGGGCTGAGCCGACATGTAGTCTCAAACGAAGATAACAGCTATTTTTATTCTCGTTTTCTTATCAAACGAGCGTGGATAAGGAGTCCGCCCCGCTTACCGCTGATAAGACGCGGCAGTGGTCCGATTGTCGGCTTGCGAGCCGTATGAGCCGCAGAATGTCCTTTGCGCACAATTGTAAACATCTCATTGCACTCAATAGAGATTCCCTACTCCGTAAACACCGCAGAGCTCGATATGGTAACCCTATATGACTTGGTGATCGTCAATGCAGTCGTGGTCACTGCCAGTGACATAAGGTAAAACGAACTGTCTGAACTCGAGGTAGCGCAAAGTGGCTAACGTTATGAACGAAGTACATGCTGTATTGGCGTCAAAGATGGAAAGATACGCGCTCTTGTTGATTCGTTCAGCAATGAAGAGTTAGCGGGGGCAGAGTTGATAGATGCCGAGTACGCCATGCCGTGCTCGTCATGAAAAACAATGAGCTAATCTTCTACACATAGAGGCGCCTACGTGATGCCCGGGGGCATCGATGCTCATGTACACCTGTGTCAGGACTTAAAGACTGGTATGTCAGCGCATGACTTAGTCTTATTCCACTTACCTGGTCTCACAAACGTTCCTAACTATAGGACCACATGGCCTCGGGGGGGAATGTGCCGATAATTTTGAAACAGGATCTCGGAGTGCTGTAGCTGGCGGAACCACCACAATTATTACATTTGCAACGCAGACTCGGGCAGAAGAAGACCGTAGCCTCATCAAAGTTGTCGAGGCATACAACTCGCGCGCCGAGGATACGGGCAGCTACGTGGACTATGGATTCCATATCATCATCGTTCGAAACGATTCTGACGTTCTCGAAAATGAACTTCCAATCTTAATCAAGGACTGGGGAATCAGTAGCTGCAAGCTGTTTCTGACGTATGAAACGCAGAAGCTTACTGACTCACAGCTACTCGATGTTATGTTTGCAGCCAGGAAGAATGCAATCACCACTGTAAGTTAGTATTTGCTTTTTCAAAACTCGCAGTTGCTAATTATGCAGATGATACACGCCGAAAATGGAGACATGATTGAATGGCTAACAGGTAAGATATAATACTTACCTGCGTGTAAGCTTAGACTTACCAAAATATAGGAAAGCTTGAGGGCAAGGGAATGGTTGGTAGGTGCCCATATGGTTATATTAATCAATTCTAGAATCTCCCACTAACTACTAGCAGCACCCTACTACCACGCTTTGTCACGTCCGCCACTTGTTGAGGGAGAAGCCACAAACAGAGCGATTGCTTTGGCGCAGCTAATCCAAAATCCCATTTTATTTGTTCACGTCGGATCAGCAGTATGTCACCAGCACTCCAGGGCTCTGATTACATCATTAGCTAATCCCAACAGCTTGGAGCGTCCAATGTTCGGCGAGCACAGACGATGGGTTTGCCGGTTTATGCTGAAACATGCCCCCAATACTTTCATTTAACGTGGAACGATCTTGTAAGTTGGGGTAGTCTGATTCAATGAGCTCTTCAACTGAGAACAACGATAGAAGCGCTTTCATTCGCCGACATGCTTTGAGAATAGCAAGATGATTTGCTCGCCTCCTCCTCCCCCCAGCACTTCCGATCATGAGGATCTTTTTGTGTAAGATTGAGTTTTTCTCATTTGGGAAACGATGTATACTGATTGATTGCAAGGGGTCTCTCAAATGGCACATTCACCATCTACTCATCAGATCATTGTCCGTTCCGCTACGACCACCCCCATGGGAAGCCATCTGGTGTGCTAGAACATCCTGAAAGTATGGAGGGCGAGGTACCCTGTGAAGGTGAAGATCTACGAAACTTACTAGATCGGAAGGGGGGCGCATTTCGCTTCATTCCAAATGGTATCCCTGGAGTCGAGACAAGATTGCCCTTGTTATATACTGGAGCACTTACAACACGCCGGATCACGCCACAGAGATTTGTTGAGTTGACATCTACTAATCCTGCTAAATTGGTAATGATGGGCCTTGGAAATCTGAGAGATTTGAGTGACTGACTTTTCTAAGTACGGACTTTATCCGAGGAAGGGAGCTCTTATGCCTGGATCTGACGCAGACATTGTTATTGTAAGTTGTTTTGCACAAAACAACCATGGAACTTTGGACGATCGATTCTTGTTAACAAATAACTTCCACGATTTAGTGGCACCCTCAAAAGACCTTCTTACCATTTCGCCTGAAAAACTCCATGCTGCACCACAATGTCGATTGTAAGTAACATTGATACCTTTCGTGCTGTTTAGTTACGATACTAACAAATTTTATCGAAGACACCCCATACGAAGGCTTTGAGTTCGTCAACTGGCCTCGATATACGATTCTTCGCGGGAAGGTCATGTGGGCAAATGGTAAGATATTGGGCAGAGTACGCGACGGACAGTATGTGAAGCGTGGTCCCAGTCAATTAAGCCAGACCTCACCTCGAGCTGATCCAGATCCCCGCCGCGTAGCGACCTGGCTGTATGAATAGACAAGCATTGCCCCAACTGAGACACAATAATCTAGTGACGATCGTTCTTTTTCGGTAGCATTTCAAATGTATTTAGACCAATATACCCATTTAGGTACCTACATACTCCACGTATGTGCGTAGGTAAATTTATACCTATAAATTCTTGTCCGTATTTCAACTTCGAATCATATCGATCAGACACTTTAGATGTTGCCGATTCAGGTATAAGCTCTCCCGTTAAGTGGCCAATGAGGCTGGAAAGTGTTATCAGCGCACGCAGTGAAGGAGATAAGCTGGAGATAAGATCACGATAACCGCGATAAGCCTGTGCAGCCTTTGATTATGCTTCGACGTGGAAAACACTCACTATTGTTTCCTCTTGAGTTTCGCAAATCATGAAAGTTCAGCATGTCAGCCCATGGCCGACCCATACCGATGGAAGATCCTGTCGGCTCGGATGATGAACACCCTGCCAAAGCGCGCCGCATTTCTCGAGCCTGTCTGCAGGTATGATCCACTTCACGCACCTCTCACCCTTGAAACCAATCAATGACAATAACTCGGAGCTTTAGTGTCGCGCTAGAAAACAGCGGTGCCTACCATCTTCTCTGGCGACTAATCTACAAGCTGCATGTGAGCGTTGCCAGAAACTGTCCATCACTTGTTCATTCGAGACAGATAAACCGCCAACTTTGGATGTAACGCAGAGTCCTTCAAGGCTCGCGCAATTAGTTGTAGAGCTTCAGTCTCGGTAGGGTTTTCCCTTCTTGTCTATTCCAGTCTTCAGATATTGAGACTTGCAGCAGACTTAACCAGCATGAAGCCCGAATTCTTGAACTGGAAGCCCGGCCCTTGCCGGAGCAGTCGGACCTGCTTCCGACGACAAAGAACAAATATAAGGCCACACCGAATAATGCACAAACAATCTCGCCGAGCCATACCGGGGCCTCTCGGTCACCAGAGTCTACGGTGGACGACATTGACCTGGGTGCCCCGATTGCGACTCTTCGATCGCTAGGCGCCCTGGCCACGGATGGTCCCAGATGTCAGTCAAGTAATTTGAGGACGCGGTCAAAATATCCCATCACTTTCAATCCAATATCCCAAGGGCTGCTCTCAATGCGTGATTCGCAGCGAGCAATTGATATGTGGGTGTCTCACTTGCGTTTGTCGGGGTGTATAACGTCTCACTAGTTCTGAATTCTAGATTCTTCAAACACTGCCATCCTTCAGCTCCCATGCTGGAGGAAGAGATCCGTTACTCCTGGCACGAGCCAGGTCGTCACTCTCCGACTTTGATTCTGGCCATTTGCTCAGTTGGGACACGCTTTTGGAACAACGACAGTCAACAGTGAGTGGGACCTTTTTGAATAGTGAACCGTACTGACGGCTGACCCAATCTCTTCCCAAGTAGCTCAATTGACTCCATTCACCCAAGTTTTAATAGCCTCACAAATCTACTAGACAAAGCAGTTTCGAGTTTACTTCTCCGGCCTACTCCCTCGGACGTGACCTTGGATTCCATTCGCGTACTTCTTCTCTACGCCCAGTGGATGCCTTACAGCAGGGATGATGAAGACGAGCTCAACTCTGGTCAGCACCACGCCCCAAGGAGTCGATACAATGAAATTAGCGCGTGGGCCGTCCTCGGCCTGGCAGTACGATACGCCAATCTTTTGGGTCTGGACCGGTCGGCCATTACACCATTTCGAGAGACCACGAAGGATCCTTCTGAGCATGATGTTAGCCGACTGCGCGTGTGGTATAATCTGTTAACGTGTAGCTTCAACCTGATGCTGACCTCGGGTCTTCCTGCCTCGATCGACCCAGCACTATCAGTTGAGGCGGCCCAGAGCTTTGGTTCGCACACTAGGAGACAATACCCAGGAGATCTCAGAGTAACCGGGCTTGTTGAGCTCGTAGGTATTGTTTATCGAGCGATGTGCAGCAGTGGAGATGTTTCGGCGCGTCAATTGCAAGCGCGCAGCCTGCAAAAACTGAACTCGGATCTGGATGCGTGGGAAAGGTACAAGAAGCTGTTGAAAACCGATATCGTGTTGTTCTTTTGCTAACTTCCTGATTAGGACTTGGTTCTCTCTTCTACGTAGGTCATCGAGCATACCTCACTTGCTGTTACTTACTCTTCACAAGACAATACTGAATCCCAACATAATCAACTACCCTTCAACTCTCTTCGGGTACGCAACATGGCTTCTGTTTATTCCAATAACTACTCGGCTAACATCTCTTTTAGTGGTATCGACTTTCGTTGAATAGTGCCTCTCTTACACCATTACTATCTGCAGCATCACAACAGCCCGCAGAGTCGATGCAGGAAGCTCTATGCCATCCACTGAAAATCAGTCTTACCGCAGCTGCGCAAATGATCCTCTCGTTGTCTAGCTACGGAGCGGATTTTGTCTGGGAATTGGATTCGCAATCTCCAGGTAGCTTCCCAGATGGCCCTTTCCATGCTGATCCTGATTCCATCGGTCGACTTTACTACGCAGTCGACTCTACGTGGATTTCACACACTTTTGCTGTGACTTTCCTTGTGATCTGCTATATAAGAGGGACTATAGATGGTAAGACTCTTAGATCAATGTTCATATCGTCGTATTTCTTTCTCTCTAACCTGATCGCCTACTCAGAAAATCTCCAGATCTGCTTCCAAAAGTCCGATCCCCATATGAATGCAACACGAATATCTTCCTCCTCATGGTCGATTCTCTCCAGGCTTCTTTCCCTTGCGTTGGAAATTTTTGACAGCGTCTGTCCCACTGCAGCTTTTCACTTCGCTCGTGACTTTCAAGGGATCGTTCATTATGCGGCCTCTCTGGTAATATCACCTGATCGGCAGGAAACAGATGGTAGCGACGCAGTCAATGATCTGGCATTTCAATCTCTTCTAGAATTGATGAATGACTCTGGTGTCGACTGGGCAGGAAGTCTTCTCGGAGAGACGGCCGACTTCGCCGAATGGAACATGAGCGGAATGCTCAGCGGATAATGCACTTATAACTTGACAAATCGAGGCCTTCTAAGATGCCACACTTCGAATGAGTGATAATTCTGGCCGTTGAGGCTACCGGCGTTCAGAGTTTGTGTACTTACGTCTGATTCTCGACCAGCTCGAACAGCACATCCTGAGCGCCTTCCCACAAAACCAACTGTCCCAAGTCGTGTAGTTTCTCGCCTCCTTCAGTTATAGTCAAGAAGTGATTCGCTGCCAGCGGTCCCATCTTGCTCGCGAAGGCAACACCGCCGTAGCAAAATAGAAACTCCGTCTCTGAGATTCCTCCGGGATACAATAGAATTTGGCCCGGCGCCGGATGGGCCGTATGATTCTCGAATGGGACACCGAAATCCGTCTCACCCAATGGAATCCACATCGCCTCGCCGCTCCATCGCACATGAATGAGCTTTTGGCGGTACGGGAGTAGCGTGCGGAAGAGCTCGACTGTTTTGGGCGCATTTGACTCGAAAGTCGCGCGGAATTGATACGGCCCGGCTGTGATGCGGACGGTGTTTGAGCCTTCCATTTTTGTTTGAAAAAGTATATGGTAATTTGATCGTTGGAACAGACGTTTCTTATCTACTGGACCGCGGTGATCGGGAAGAGCGGGAGCGGCCCGCACGGCGTTGATGCCGTCTGTCTGCTATCTTATCGCTGCTCTAATGAATCTCGATGGGAAATTTAAAAGGAAAATATGCCTTGCTTTCTTAGATATCGATGTCTGTTGTGAATTAATTGCCTCCATGTCGGTGGATCATATGTACATTCGGCAGTACGATAATACCTGCCCTCGTGCAGGTGCTACTGATGTGATCCAAGAAGGCTCCTTGACAATTAAGCCAGTGCTCCAGTCAGATAATAGCGCTTTCGGCGCCGAGGTGTTCGGTCTTGATTGGAGCAAACCTATCCCCGATGTGACTGTGGCACAGGTCAGTGATATGCGCAGTACTCCTAGGAACTGACTAACAGTGGGATAGCTGGTTAGTTTGCAAGACAAATATGCCATCCTGATATTCCGAAAAACGGGCTTGGACGACGCTCGCCATATTGCATTCTCACAGCAATTGGGCGACAAGCTTGAAGTCAACCCCTTTTTCTATGGTCGTGAGAATGATCGATTGGGGGAGCCGCTATTGTTTGATGTGGGGAAGTAAGCTGGCTCTTCTCAAGCGCAAAGTCTAGGCATGTTCTAACAAACGCCAGTATTGAGTTGGATGGCTCATTGGTGAGACAGGACAGTCGACGATGGCATCATAGTCTCGGGAATGCATTATGGCATACAGCAAGTCAAGCTCCCTTTTATCTAAGGGACTCAGCCTGACTGGACTTTCAGGACTCCTCCTATCATCAGCAACGTTCAAAGTACTCTATTCTTCTCTCTCATGGAAACCCCGTTCAGGGTGGGTCGTGGACTCACTTTGCCGATATGCGTCGGGCTTATGGTGATCTCCCTCAAATGAAGAAAGACGAGATCGAGAACCTTGTTATCGAGCACGAGTGCGTATTCTCTCATTCAGAAAGCTTTATGAATCCCAACTTAATCCAAATCTAGTCTATGGCACTCCCGAAAGCTAGCTTCTCCCGCTGTGTTCGGCAACCCTCTTCCTCATGAATTAGCAGCCAAGCCACCGGCGTACCACCGACTCGTACAAATAGCTCCCGATGGGCGCAAAACAATGTATCTGGCAGCGCATGCAAAGAGGGTTCTGGGAAAGGGGTTCGAAGAGAGCCAAAAGTTGATCTGGGAGCTCATTGATCACTGCACCCAACCAAAGGTAGATGTCTACTCATTCCACGCAAATATCAATAGTCTGCTAACCTTTTTACCGTATAAAGTATGTTTTCAGCATGGAGTGGCTGTCCGGGGGTGACATGGTATGGTGGGATAATCGGCAAGTCTTCAAGTCTCTTATCGGAGTGAAACCTTTGTTAATGTACCTACAGGCAATCCATGCACCGTGCCAACCCTTACACCGATCATATGACTGCGAGGGATGTCCGTCGCTCTACAATTCTTGACGATGGCCCATTAGCATTTGGTGTTAGTGCAGAAGAGAAATCAGCTGCTGAGGGAGATGGGGTTACTAACTAATCGTGCTCGGTTCTATAAATCTTCCTTCGCTTTTGTTGAATATGCCTTCTCCTTTTAAATACTATATTATTGGATCATCACATTTTCAAAGAGACCCCCACTTTCTTCGCGGGACGTCCACGCTTGGGATACTCTCCACCAGCGCTCGAGGAATGAAATCTTCAAAGATCAACTCCCCAATTCTATTGTTACAGTAGGTTGGTTGGTTGGTTGATGTCATTTAACCTGACCCCTGTATTTGAGCCGGGTCCTTGCGCCGTGATCCAAGATAAGATTTTCTTTTTTTTTCCATGTCGAAAAGGGTCCAGAGCGATCAAAGGTCAAACAAAAGCAAATGGTTATCAACTATGGAGGTCCATGCCGTCATTGTCCGGGGTTGATGTTTTTGGATAAGCATGCAAGCCGCGGGATTGTTGAAATATATTTTGGAACCAGGACCAGAATGCACCCCGGTAAGTGCATGATTAAACATACTGTACCCTGGCATTAGGAGATGAAAGTGCCCGACTCCATAGATGGGACAAAGGTAAGTCAAATAATTATCCAGATAATGGTCCAAGCTTGAAATCTAGAAAAGGTGGTAGATATCCCCAGGCCAGGTTAAGTCTGACTTGGTGGTTCCCGCAGCAAGCGCGACCGCATGTTCACGTCACCTGTCGCAGAGTTCTCCTAGTTCACAGCCTGACAGCCATGATAACCTACGAAAGCTACAGAGGTGCGTCTTTTGCTGTTTCAAATGCAGCTGTTGAGTCAACGTTGGCCTGTGGCCAGATGCAACTGGTGAGACCAAGACTCTGTCAACAAAATGGCGGTCGGCCTCGCCAACGGAACATTGACACCCTATTCACTGTGTAATCAAAGACGCCTGAAGAACCCACTAAACCCATCTAAGGGTGACCTTCTTCCAAAGGCGACTCGACCACCCAGTCTCAATTTGCCAGACTGTGGAACGGCATTTTACTGTAGACCTGAAGGTGAGGGCAAAACTGGGAGGAGCCCTCGCAAGCATACTTCAACGTTGGCGAGTGGTAATATGAAGGACAAGGGAACCCACCCATAAGGCTGAATTGATTGTCCCTCTTTTACGCCCTCATATGCGCCATTTCCTCCGTTGAAATCCAGATCCCATTTCTTTGAAAGACACTAAGCGTTTTGATGTCCTTTGGGGCGTATTTGTTGTCGTAGCAGCCACCATAGACTGTATCAGATTGGCACCCAATACCGCTTTTGTCCTCTTGGGCCTACGTGCTTCTTCAAGATATAGCTGACTAAGTTAGGTCGCTAAATCATAAGGGGAAAGGCGAATTCCAAGGGAGGCGAGGCGAGGGCGGGGTAATTAATTTCTCCTCTCTTTGAGCTTCTCAAGGTGGCGAGGGAACGCAATCGCCAGAAAAGAGCAAGGACTGAGGTAATATTGTCCTTGTTCCAATACGATGAATGAAATAGCTGTTTGTGGGCTAGTCTGACATCTCTAGTAATAGGGGAACGCGATAATGCTTGAAAGTGCCTCAAAAATATTCAATGGGCCAGATGGCCCCGTGATGGTAGCCTTCAGCGAGGCCACCCGTGAACAGCGAGTCCAGTGTTCAAAGCTGGCCGCGGTTACCTTTGGAAACCCGCTCTCCGAGGCAGACTATCTAGAACGAGATGCATACTTAGGCCAGCGGCTGCTAACTCGCAATAACGGGTGGCGGTACTGGTGTCTCTACCGCGTGGACAACCCTAATCAAATTTTCGCAACTTGCAAAACGATACGCAGGGATATTCTCGTCCGCGATGCGAGCGGAGTTCACAAAGAGCCGGGGTTCTGCCTCGCAAGTGTCGTCACTGATTTTCGATACAGACGACATGGCCTCGCATCTTTACTCCTAACACGAGTGGCGGAATGGTTGGACGGGCCGGGCAACGCCGCCGCGAGCATGTTATACACAAGTATCGGTAATGTGAGGGTTCATCAAGCGTTACAAACATTTACTTTTCCCACCTCTTCCCTAACAGGCTTGGCAGTTCTATGTGGATAGAGGCTGGAAGATGCAACGTGCATTTCAATCTACCTTATCGTGGCGTCATATCGCATCAAGCGATCGGATGAGTTTACCCATAACTCGAGCCCTCACCAGGAAAGATATTTCAAGTCTTTGTGAGCGTGACGTGGAGGATATCGAGACCAAATTTGAGAAGCTCGCAGTTGGCTCAAATGAGATTCATATGGCTGTGGTCCCAACAGAAGAAATAATAAGTTGGCTGCACGATCGAGCTGTTTTCACTAGTGTGAAGATCTCTGGCCAAGTTCCACAGAGCCATGGCAGGCTTTGTGAGAGCGCAGATGTCTGGCTTTATTGGTTTCACGACTTTAGAAAGCAGCAGCTAGCAGTACAAAGGGTAGGGGGCCATATGGAGGAGAGTGATTTGCAGACAGCAGCAATTGCCAGGCTTCTCCTTGACGCTTTGGAAGAAGCTTCTAAGTGGAATCTAGCTAAAGTTGTTGTCTGGAATCCTAGCAGTGGATTAACATGTGCGATGAAGATCCTCGAGGAAGGTTTTGGCGTCGAGGTGGAAACTGAAGAACGGATTGGTAGAAGTATCCCTTCGGTGAGATGGAAGGGTTCGAATGAGACACAAGCTATTACGGTTCAACTAAATGAGTTTTATGCCTGGAGTTGACAGAATGTCTTGCGCCAAATAATACTTCATGCATCAATATTTAAACTTAGCGAGCTTTCCTTCTTTCTAACAGGGTCTCCTGTCAAATTTATGTTTGGGATCTTGGGCTTTTCAGAAACTTCCAGGGAAGGAGCGATATCCATCCTAATTCTTCAGGTGTCATTGTTCAGCTGAAGATATCGCCACCATCTCCTCTGTTGCATCGTTTCCATGTCACTTCTCTAATATCATTCTGATGAGAGGCCAAGGTCCTTACGATAGTATGCACCTCTCGGCCCCAAAGCAAGCGGTTGATTCGAGAATCTCAATGTACATAAAAGGGGGTAATAACGTGCCCAATACCGTGACCCGATACCGAATCTCGGAGTAGCCGGCTGTAATCATACTAGATATAATGCTAATCCCCAGGTAAGTTTGCCAAATCAGTTTCTGACGCCATTTATGAGGATGTAATCAAGTTCGTCGGACGCCCCATCAAGAGTTTTTTCCGCGTGTGTGCACATGGCTGAACGCATGTGGAACAAGATCTAGATTCGCTTGGAAGGAAGAGACTAAGAGAAGCTATTTAGGAACAGCCAAGAACTAGAAACAAGCAGAGCGCTCGCGTAGTACGGGGGTCAGTCAACAGCTTTCAACTCTTGAAATTTTAGGCCATTCTTCACCACCGCCAGCTTGTTGTGCAAAGAGAAGACAAAGTTATCGTTAACCGTCTGTATAGGTAGGACGTCGTTGCTGTTGGTAATAAACTCACTCGGCACGAAGAAGTGCTGGGTGTAGTGTGGAGTCGCAAGCGCGAGCAAATTGATGGAGGATACCCAAGAGCTTTGGTGCAAGAAAACGAGACTTTGATCCGCCCTGCTAATCCCAAGGAAGTGCATGCACAGGTCGGCCGCCAATGTCCTCGTAGGCTGGATACTGACAGCGAGCGTCCCGTTGCGAAACCGGGGCAGTTTGAATATGAAGACAGAAGAAGTGGCCACATATCCACTCTGTTGGCGGATGCTCAAGATCAGAGTTCTTGTCTCTTCGTGGACCAGCATGGAATCGATTCCCACCTCAATAAACCCATCTGCAGTTGTGTAGCTGAGCGTAATTTGGCTGTCGTCCATTTCTGTAGGGAAGGAGTTGGCGGAGTAAGTCACCAACTTCCGGTTCGACAACAATGTGAACTGATTGGCGCATTTAGGGTCTGGTAGAATAGTCCATTTCCAAACGCCTCTTTCCGTGCCACAAGGGAGAGAACCGATCAGATTCCCTGTCATAACTTCGTATACGTAGTCTGAGCCCCTGGTTGAGACAAGAAGATGATCTCCAGCCTGATCGAAGAGCAACTGACATATTGCAGAACTAAGTTGGGCCTGGAACAAGAGCTTACCAGCCTTAATTTTGGTAGGCCGCGAACCGTCCAGGTGCCAGGCTTGGACTGTGCCGTTGATATCACCAGACGCAATTACATTATCCTTCGTAACTGCAAGGCATTTGACAATAGTATTCTGATGAGAGTATAAGATGCCAATCTCGTGGCCGTCATCACGGTTGAAAAGTAGCACATCTCCGTTGTGGTTGCCCGCAAATACAGCTGAGTACACCTCATGTGCGACGATTGATCTTATCTTGGAAACCTGAAAGCTCTCAAAGTGGCCCTGGGCAACAGGTAGCACAGCAGCCTGATCGCTCACGCCGGCCTCCTCTTCGACAGTCCTTCTGACTAGGGCTGGCGGTGACCATACCCTCATCTCTTGTTGAGTGGCATCGACAAAGCTGAAGCTGTCGGATGTGAATCCAAGAATCCGGAATGACTGTTTTGGAGTGAGTACGTGGTACAGGGCTGTGAGTGTCTCAAAATCCCAAATCTGTAGGTTTCCAAGAACGTCGACGGTTCCAAATGTCCGCCCGTCTTGAGAACACGATAGTGATGTGAAGACTGCATTTGTAACGGACGGCTGCGCTCGGACAGGCACGCCGGACCACATATCATAGAGAGATAGGTGAGAGTCATCGTAAGCCACGAGGAGAAGGTTGATTTCCGGATTGGGATTGAAGACAAGCTGGGCCACTCTCCGAGAATTGTTTTCAACCGCCCAAGCGATCCAGCTACCGGTTCGTAATTGATAGATGCATATCGGGCCAGCCCGGTAAGCAAGTGCAAGAAGTTCAAGCCCAGGTGAGGCAGAGGCCGCGAATGGCGCTTGGCTCAGGTTCGACCGTATCCCAAAATTGCTGTTGAATGGTTGGTATGGGTATTGATGCTCCTCCAGCTGATCTCCAGTAGCTATGTCCCACCTAAAAGCACGCCCCGATGTTGTTACCCCCATGATGAATTTCGGGGAAGATGTGAGAAGAATGCAACGACTTCTCAGCCGCTTCTTCCACAGAGGATTTCCCTTGAGGTCCCAGACTGTGAGAAATTTTGTGCTGGTCGAGGCGACAAATGATCCGAAAGGGTCGAGCATTAAGAGGTCGACTGGAGAGTCGTGTCTGATTGCTTGCTCTTTTTGACAGCTACCCTGGTTATACAAGTGAATGTTGCCAGACTCATATCCGACGGCAATGAAGCCATTATCGCATGTCATAACGGCTGCGCTCTCATTTTCAAAGTTAATAGTGGCGGCACAGTCATCCCAACTCGTGTTGTTGAAGCCTGAGCATATTAGACCATCCGGAGTTTGACCGAATTGCTGATATAGTGCTGTTTCTGTCGGACACAGCGGCGGTATCAGAAAGTAGATAGACTGAGGTTGCAATGTCAGCGCTCTGCCAAATTTGATGACTAGTCGGCTGAGGTCGGTAGTCCAGCTATTAACGAGTTTCACGTATTGATTCAGCGGCGAGCAGTACTTGGCTCTCCTGTCGAAGTATCCTCGGAGGTTTCTCGCAACACGAATGAGGCGATGCAAAATTTTCTTTGATACAATTCTCTCAATCCAGCTCAGAACTGTTGTGCTAAGAAATCTTTTCAATGCCACAAGAAGCTCGTCACTTTCCGAGCATGCTGCATAGACGTGCTCGGAAAACTCTGTGATGGCATAATCAAGAAGAGCTGATGCCTGTTGTTTTTGGAGATTCTGTCCTACTAAGCTTCTGTGTTTCGGAGGTTGCATTCCGGGGCTGACGAGTAGTTGCAAGCAAGTCAACGCTATTCGCTCATGAGACTCAGAGCTCGAGATCTTGAACTCCCCCGCATCGCCAGACAATAGGAATTCTCTTGCGGTAGCATGGACTACATGGACAAGGTCTGTATGTTTGTCGACATAGACAAGTTGTCCGCATAATCCCTCGATGGCAGCCCTAGCACTAGGAAGATGGATCTTGATATCCAATTTTAGTGCTTCCGAAAGCTCGCTTATCGACAGAGGTCGAGCCGCTGACAGCACCCATAGCAGGATGCTCTTAGCAATGTGCTTTTCCCGTTTGTGTTGCGCCATGTCAGTGACTGTCCTTTGGTAATACGACTTCATGCCTTCCGGTATCTCTTGGAGGACGGACATGATGCTCTCATACCCATAAACGCCCTCAAGTTCGTCCATCACAAGTCGAACCCAGAGAAAAGAAGCATCTGCCTTAGACAGTATTTCTTCTCTGAGTTTCTGCTTTTCCATATTGGTATCAATCGGAAGATATTCCATCCGATTGCGCACGAAGAGCTCAATATCTCTCTTGGTGTCTGGCAATGGTATCTCAACAATGGACACCATGCAGTCTTCCAGTTGACCAACCAACTTTTTCATATTCGGGAGTTTTCGACTAGTGATGAAAATTCGAAGTGGAAACTGACAGTGGGTTCCGCTCAGGAGGGTGAAGATCTCGGTGTATTTAAGACATTCATCTACCGCGTCGATAACCCAGTACTGTGGGTTATGCAATGGGACCTGGTAGGTATAAATTAATACAGGCTCCAAATCAGATGAATTAGTACCTTTCAAGAAGTGTAAAGAACGAACCGGTAAAATGCCGCCTTTGAAGATCTTTGACCAAACGGCACGACCGTCGTCCAGATCGTATGAAATACCTTCATTCTGGAGCTTCGTCATCGCGTCTCGAACAGCCGCATTGGAGGTAGTCATCTGAAAGGCTATTGACCGAAGAAAGCCAGCTATTGACTGAGATGCCTTCTTTCCAACATGAAAATGATAGACTGCATGGTGAAGACCAAGTTCTTTGAGCTGTGACGAGACGTATGCCGCGAGGACGGTTTTACCCGCCCCAGGACCAGCATTAACCCAGTATATTAACGGGCTGTGGTTTATCTCTTGACCCAAGTCGGACCCGTAGGGTGCATCTCTCCAGTTTCTAAAATCCTCTCGTTCATCGATCCATCGGCAGGACCCTTCTAGCTTCTCGTGATGCTCATCCGGGAGGCTGGATACTCCCAGGAATGATTGAATCGATCGTAGCTGAGATTTGGAGTCTTTTTCGGCGATAGGCATCACCACACGTGTACCTAGCAGCTTGTCTACAGCATCTGGGCTTGTTCAATAAAACTCCACTCGGCTTGGGAGCTCTCATAGCCTTACCTCCATTAAGACTGAACTGAGCATTTATTGTGCCATTATTGACCCCCGTCTGCAATCCAGAATTCGCATCACCGAATGGTATTTTGGAACCCATGGTCCTAGAAGTTTTTCAATTCCATGGGAGTGGGCATGGGGACTGGCGGTGTAAGCATCTTGTCAATGTGCACAATACCATTGTATTTAACTCAACTTTAATTGATTCAGCACTAAATAATTAGTCAGTCTGGTATCTGCTTTTCTTGTCGCCACTATTGCCACACATAAGCCACACGCCGGTCAACTAGTAGCTGGCTGTGTGACCACCTGGCTCTTGTATGTCGGGGTCGCCCTCTTTTTCTTTTTTGTCAGGTTTTGTCCCCTCGCCGCCGCCCTGTCGTTCAGCCCCTTCACCCTGGTCACCCTTACCATAATCACCTTGGAGGTCTTCTACCGTTCACCAGAACGCCCTGCACGCCAACTGAAACGCTGACGTGTCCCTTCAGCTAAACCTGCCCGCCTCAGCCCCTTCTCTGCTTTTTTGGGGGCCGGCTGGGACCTTTCCTTGAACCATGGCGGCTACTGATACCTTATGATTGGTGTTAATCGTTCTTCATTTCCGTGCGCAACCGCTCGCAGCGCGATGACCGTCGTTATCGGGCGAACTGGGCAATGATCCACAAGGCACGGGCCGTTACGAGAAGGCCACTAGCCACTAGACAGGGGCTGTCAAATCTGCTAGCTATGATTGGCTGCTACAATACAAATACTGTCACGAGGCGATGCAGTACAACGAAAATCATTTCGGCGAGCGTGGATAAGACCCAAGGAACTTGAAGAAGCCGACAATATTCAGCAGATCCTGAGCCCGCGGGACCGCCACCACGGTGGTAAGTTGTATAACCATAGTCTTCCAGGAGGACAAGCTGCCCCCGAATCGTTCAATTGCGTTCTCGATTGAGACTGACGGGAGTAAACGGGGTGGTGAGCTTCGGAGATTAGCTTATTCAGCGTCCAGAACCAACTTCCCTATGTTTTTGTATTCCGTATGGTAAGTCGGATGATACCGGAGAGATTGGTAACCCGTTCGATATCGGGCTTCTGTATTAATACCTCATTCCCTAGACGCGGCGTTTGGGGCTCTATTCCATGGTTCAAGCTTCTTTTCCTGCTCTTCTTTGAGACACGTGGGATATCTCTTCGCCTTCTCCTATTCGCAAGTCTAACAACAAGTTTGAAGGTCAGATAATGGACGAGTCACTCGATCCATCGATAATTGCCGGTACGTTTATCTCAAACGCCTCAATCTTATCATTTGGTTCCTCCAGTGGACTAAAATTTACTCCGCAGTATTGCAGGTGGGATGCAAGGTTATTTCGGTCACTCCGCACGGGAAGGGCAGTTGGTCTGCCGGATATAAGGTTGATGTAGATGTGAACGGTGAAGAAAAGGAGTACTTTGTCAAGGTGAGGATCCTGGCAACTTCTGAAGCATCATCTTGCTAATAGGTTAGTGGCAGATTCTTTACGGGAATAACCACCAAGAAATGGCCCTGGGTGAATATGAGAGTCAGAAGGAGCTAGCAAAGTACCTTCCCGATAACGTCATTGTGCCTTTGGCGCATGGGACTCTTGAGAATGACCCCTCGGCGTCTTTCTATTTGACGACCTTTCGCAACCTGAGCGATAGAACCCCCCAACCAGCACAGTTAGTAGAAGTTCTGGAGAAGTTGCACAATAATTCTCTCTCTCCAAATGGCAAATTCGGTTTCCATGTAACAACCTTCAACGGAGTGATGCCTATTGTCCATGACTGGTGCGACACGTGGGAAGAATATTTTGCCCGCCAACTTCAATTTGATATCAAGTGGGAACAAAGTATTCGGGGAGCAGATCCGGAATTTGATGCAGTTGCGGACGAGTTCTTTCAGAGGGTCATCCCTAGACTGCTACGACCCCTCGAGACCGGTGGAAGAAGTATAAAACCTAGCCTCGTTCATGGCAACCTCTGGCATGGTAATGCGCAGATTGATATGGCCACTCAACATCTCATGCTCTTTGACTCTTGTTGCTGTTATGCACACAACGAGTGTAAGTGAATGACTCCTCTACCTGACATAAATATCTACTGTGACTGATGGGATTCTAGTCGATCTGGGCATGATGAGGCAGCCGAGATATCGATTTACAGGCGAACATGCCGATAGATACAGGGAGGTGATACGTCCTTCGGAGCCTGTAGAGGACTTTGACGATCGAAATGCGTTATATGCCATGTGAGTCTCTACATAACCTATTAAGATGCGTCGCGATAATGTTTAATTGACATATCTAGGCATGATAATCTTATTAACTCTGGTCTTCATGAACATCGAGCATTTCTTCGTGGACAGTAAGCAAACATACAATCTCATAGGATTGGTAGTGAATCTAGACTGATGAGTTACAGGGTTAAGGAGGAAATGCAAAGGCTTATCGCAAAACATCCAAACGGCATTGACGGGTCAAATGCTGGTAGCATGTATCTCATCCCTAGGAAACGGATCGGATAACACGAATGCAATTCTTTCCAAGGATATCTGTCAATATTTCTCGTAAGACCAGGAGTTCTTCTTCTCTGTTCATGCCATAGAGAGGGCCCTATGGTGGTGAGGCCTCATTCCCAGCACTATCCTTTCAACAAGATTGAATGGCTAACCCCCCGATGCTGTGTTTCGGGAAGGTGTTGCCTACTTTCTGGGTAAATACCTCGCACGCTTGGGCGTAGACATAGTAGTAAACTATACTCTTTACAGGATTTATCAGCGCATTGACTGGTTATCTAAGGAAAAAAACCTCACTGTTATGCTGCGCTGTCTTCGCTGCTTCGATCGCTATCTTAGTCTCCCGCATACCCATTGGTAGTGGCTTCCCACTGTACAATTCCTCATACTGCCTAACTAGCCGTCTCTCTTCTGCGGCAGCTTCTTTAGCCCTTCCTCACCGCAATTGACCTGTTCACATCGCGTGTTTTTAATAAGACCAGTCTGGCTAAGCGGTTTAAACTGTCGCTTAGGGTTGGCGCCACAGGGGTTCTTGTGCGGCGCTAATTCGAGTGATTGTATCGTTAGCCATCGCGAGGTGGTCTACAGCGATTCGATAGTGGTCAAATATTCGCTCGAGACTTAATTGTAGCTTCATTGTATGAACATCTGCGTGCTTAAATAGCTTTGTCTGGTTCTTCTCAAGGGCTTCGATTGATTTGGGAGGTGTAAAATCGACGCTAGGTGATGAGATAGCGGTTTCTTGTACCGTCTGCACGAAGAAGAGGCGCGATAAGATTTGGTGGTAATAGCTGATTAGCAAGACTATTGATAAACTTGTACCGTTAACCGGCCATATACCACGATCTTTGAAGGATTCACAAATAATCTGCTGGTTAGAGGCCTTCTCCGGACGGGTCCAATCACTCTTAGAAATTCAGACATCACTACTGGCTGCCTGGCCCAGTAAGATAGCTTACTATCCATGCTCCAGAGTGCTATTTATAGCTTAAAAACGGCTTACCATCAAACAGCCGGCAAAGACCGGCCGTATGAGGCATGATAGCGAATGGTATACTATCGTTGTCTTCGCATTCTTGTAGGAATTCGACAGTGAGGTGGGAACCGTGGCCATCGAAGATAAGGATACGTTTCTCTCCTCTTTTCGTACGACCGTCAATTGCATAAATGAATTTCGAAGCCATTCGACGGCTAATTCATCGGAGATCCAGCCATTCGGCGAGGTTTCTATTATCATGTGAGGTGGTGGACTCTCCCTCTCGTTGAACCAGCACTCCATGAAGACCCCGCCGCTTTTGAAGATAAATAGCGGGTCCATCTGCCAGCCATCTGTGGCAATACATTCAATAGCTGTAATAGTCTCGATTCGCTCAAATTCAGCGAGATCAGGGCAAGATTTTGAATTTGAACCAATCACGTTCCTTAATTTACCCTCGTCAGTTTGGAGACCGTATTCATCGAAGTGATACACTCGGCGCCAAGAACCAATCAATTCGAAGGCGGACTGTGACAACCTCGCGCAAAGTCATGTGCCCCGCCAGCTAAAAGAGACCGCCTAAGTGTTGCTTTTCAAAGCTTGCTACCAAATCCATTGAACCCGTCAGCTATCACAACTTCCCAAGAAATCATTCAACTCACGAACATGGAAATCATACAAAAGAATGAGGCCTTCAAAAGAATTGATGGTAAACTCAGAATTTCTTACGTCCAGATCTTTGCCCGGCGCGATGGCATATTATACGCTGGGAAATGGCCGAGTCGACAAGATTCTCCGACTACGCTGGAGGTGGCCGTGGCCGTGATCTCTATATGCTAGTTATGGATTATGTGAACATAATGCATAAACGCCAACCAATTAGATAGTGGCAGAGTGGGGATCGCAGCTCAACAATTATTGGGCCACGCCGAGGGTGGCCCGAAATCTGGAAAATAGATTATTCGAGCCGGGAGGTCATGTTACTTTGGGCTACGCTCAGGGTGCCCAAAGGGCGAGGAACCCCGCTCTTTCTCTAGAATGCTCACAGGCAGCATCATGGATCCAACCATATCATTTCCTGGCTTCAATCACGGATCACAGATAGGGATCAACCATGGCTCGGTCACGAATGAGTTTTATATTTCCCTAGGTATCTGATGAGCGTAGTTGCTCAGTGTCGGCAGTGCTAACTTCTATGCAGATCTTGACAATAAACTAGCAATCGTGTCTGGGGCAGCGTTTGATTCGTATGAGAATCAGCATAAGGATGAATGTCTTCCGGGCACACGGACCGATATCCTCAATCAAATCAAAGAATGGGCTGCGTCCCCATATAGGGAAGGCATATTCTGGTTATATGGAATAGCTGGAACCGGAAAGTCGACTATCTCTCGAACGATAGCGAAATCTTTCAGCGAAGTGCGTTCACTTGGAGCAAGTTTTTTCTTTGAGAGGGGCGAAGGAGACAGAGGGAATGCAAAGAAGCTTTTCCCAACAATTGCTAGGCAACTAGCAATTACTAATCCTTTGCTGGTGCCAATCCTGCACCAAGCAGTTCATGATAATCCAGGTATCGCAGCAAAGGGACTACGGTATCGCAGCAAAGGGACTACGGGAGCAATTCGACAAGCTCCTTCTTCAACCACTCCAAAAACTTCACCGATCTAATATCTCACTTCAGACTATGGTGATAGTTATCGACGCATTAGACGAATGCGAGGGAGATGGTGACATACAGCTTATACTCCAACTCCTCCCACAACTTCAAAAGGCAGCTACAATGCGTCTACAAGTGCTTTTAACAAGTAGGCCCGATTTACCCCGTCTCCATGATATTCCTTTAGAAGTGATCGAGCACGATATATCCTTATTCTTTAGTCATCGACTTGCAGAAATTAGGATAATGCATCGCCTCTCCACAGAATGGCCAGGCGAGAGAGATCTCCAAAGGCTAGTCGCTTTATCCGTTCCATTATTCATCTTCGCTGCCACTATTTGTCGCATGTTTGAAGAGCGTGATTGGGACCCTGTCGATAGCCTTTCTGAAGTCTTGACGCATCAAGATGATCGAACAAGGCTAGCTGGGACATACCTTCCGGTTCTTGATCGTCTTCTTAGAAGACAAAATAAGAACCAAAAAGAACAGCTGGTCTCGCAGTTCCACCAGGTGATCGGTGCTATAGTGATACTAGAGAGTCCACTTTCTATAGACGCACTATCAAAGCTTCTAGGCATCTCTCAGCGGCTTATACATCTTCGACTAAGTCCGCTTCAGTCAGTACTAAGAGTGCCAGACAATGACACAACACCTATACGGCTTTTTCACCTGTCTTTCAGAGAATTTCTTCTTGATCCAAGCACCAGAATGAAGACCCCACTCGGTATAAGCAAGACAGAGATGCACAATATGTTGACCAGAAAATGCCTCCTCGTGTGTCAAAAACTAAAGGAGAATATCTGTCAACTACCGAGTTATGGGAGCCAACGTGTGGAAGTTGATTGTCAAACTATCAATGATCATCTTCCTCCAGAGATGCAGTATGCTTGTCGGTACTGGGCACATCACTTAGTGCAATGCGCGGGGTTGACCAACATAGTCCATGAAGCTCATTCATTGCTCCAAACGCATTTTTTGCACTGGATAGAAGCAATGAGTCTATTGGGCCATACGTTAGAAATATCGGGTATTCTTGATCTCCTCCGAACAGCTATAGGGGTAAGTCATAAAAGACACTACTTATGATTTATACTAATAGGTTTAGGGAAACGGCTCTTCTCTGATTTCACAGTTTTTCCACGATGCTAAGCGCTTTATTCTAAAAACTCAACATATCGTTGATCAAGCTCCACTTCAGGTCTATCGTGCGGGACTTCTATTTTCACCCCAGACGGCAATAATTCGTTCAGTCTTCACGGAGGAGCGTTCTCGTTGGATAAGCCAGTCACCAGTAGTTGAGGAAATATGGGGTGCAGAACTACAGACTCTCGAAGGCCATTCGGATTCGGTTTTGTCGGTCACTTTCTCACCGGATGGCCACCTTCTAGCATCTGGGTCTAAAGATCGGACAATACATCTCTGGAACCCAGCAACGGGTGCGATTATACAAACCCTCGAAGGCCATTCCGGCTCAGTTCACTCCTTATCCTTCTCGCCTGGTGGTCATCTACTAGCATCTGGATCTAATGATAAGACATTACGGATCTGGGACCTAGCAACGGGTGAAGAGTTGCATGTTCTCGAGGGCCATTCGGGTTCGGTTTTGTCGGTCACCTTCTCACCGGATGGCCACCTTCTGGCATCTGGGTCTGAAGATCGGACAGTACGCCTCTGGGATACAACTACAGGTGTCTCAAAGCAGATTTTTGATAGCTATTCGAGCTCGGTTAACTCGGTTGTCTTCTCGCCTGATGGCCAGGTGCTAGCTACTGGTTCTGCCGATTGGATTGTGCATCTCTGGGACTTGGTGACAGGCAGGCTACAGAAGACTATTGATGGCCATATGACCTTGGGCTTTGTTCTGTCGGCAGCCTCTGAATCTGTAGCCTTCTCACCTGACGGTCAGCTACTAGCATCTTGCTCTGCAAATGAAACAGTACGCCTTTGGGACCCGATGGCGGGCGGAATTACTGAAATTATTAATGGAGATGACCCTGAGTCTCCGGTGCGATTCATGACGTTCTCGCCCGATGGCCTTTCCTTGGCATCCGGGTCTTTCGATAGTCCAGCAGTATGTCTTTGGAACACAGCTACGGGTGCCCTTACCCATACTCTTGATGGGCATTCCCGTCCTGTGACTTCGGTGACCTTCTCGCCCGATAGTCGACTACTGGCATCCTGCTCTTCTGATGGGACAGCACGCCTTTGGGGCTTACCGATAGGCACTGTACAGCAGACTCTGAATTCTCAATACGGTTCGGTTCACTCGGCGGCCTTCTCATATGATGGCAGATTACTAGCGTCTTGCACAGATAATGGGAGAGTTTGCGTCTGGGACCTTGCAAGAGGCACACTATACCAGACCTATGATTGTCATTCGGATTCGGTTCACTCGGCGGCCTTCTCATCAGATGGCAGACTACTAGCGGTTAGCACAGATGATGGAAGAGTCTGTGTCTACGACCTTGCGACAGCCGCATTGTATCAGACAGTTGATGGTCATTCGGATTGGGTTAATTCTTTGGCATTCTCACCCGATAGCCGACTACTGGCTTCCTGGTCTATGGATGAAACGGTGTGTCTCTGGGCCTTAGACGCGGACGGGCTCTCGGAAATTTGGACTTTCGAAATAACAGACGACACTTCCGAATTTTCTCAGGACGGTCTATATTTCCACGCCGGTTTAAGCTCCCTCGATGTTGAAATGTCATTTACAACTTCTGTGAATCGAGACATATCTATTGAGGACGGGCAATGGATAAGATTAGACGGCGAAAGGATTCTCTGGCTACCTGTCGAGTTTCGGCCTAGCCGCTTCAAGATCAATGGCAACAGACTTGCTCTGGGACATGCATCGGGGAAGGTATCCTTTTTCCAGTTTTGTAAATAGATTTGAATATTTTTTACATCAAAAGATAAATGATTAAATAAATATGTACTGGAGTAGGGGAGCCGGGTACATAGTGTGACATCACGTAGAGGATTAGGTTGTGTCTTCGTTCTATGTACTCGTATATCGATTTAGCTGTGAGGGACAAGACGATCGTGTAGAGTCATATTGCGCCAGATAAAAGAGAACGATATTGTATCTACGCGTTTAATCAAAATCGCTCTTCGACTCCTTAGAAGAGGAGCTAGGAGGGAAAACAACAACTCCAGCGCCAAATTGAATTTTTGAAATATCTCAGGAACCAGACCAGTTAGCGAGTAACAGACCACGGCAAATTTCATCTAACTCCCTGCGCTACACTTTGATACTGGCATTGACCCTGTCAGGCCAGTATCATGGTGGTGCGCGCGCAAAAGGGTGTTGGGCCTGTCCCGTCAGGGGCGCCCGGAGGCCTATCGAAATCTCTGCCATCGAACCGTGAGCGCGTACTGAACGCTAACCACGCTGCGTACGACCTACTGAGAGAGCTCAGCAAGGTTCAGAAGGATGCAAGACCACCCGCTAAGGTCATTAGCTTCCTCCGTCAGGTAGAGGACCTAACGAAGGACCTCCTGTTAACGCCTTTAACCGACTAGAAGCAAGAGCTAGACGCCCTGCGAAACGACCTCAAGCAAGAGATTAAAGCTATTAAAGCCGCAGTCGAACCGCCAGTAAGGTAAACGGTTTAATTATTCGCGGAGGCAGCTACTAGGGCGCTAGCGCCAGCGTACTATCTCTCCTCTTATAGCCCATCTAGCTCTAGCGTACGCCCGTCGGAGGTCGTACGTAACCGCGAGGTAGTCGTCTGCCTAGGAGATCGGGTATAAGTAGGCACCTTCCGTCGCCTTACACCGGCGGAGCTTACCAAGCGAGCAAACTAGGCACGCTTAAAGGCGGCTATCTCGACCGGCACGCCCGCCCTTACGTAGGTAATAATCCTCGCCTTACGCTAGCTGAAATCGGGGGATCTCCGCTTTACCGTTCGCGACGCTAAAGAGGCAGAAATCATACGTATATATCGGGAGAAGTAGGCAAGAGGACTGTATCGGACGGTATTCGTATATATACTAATATAGGGCGTCGTAATATACGACGTTAACGTCCGGTCGTTAGGTATTAATAGACCGTCGATCGATAAGCTAAAGGGCGTACAGGATAATATAGTTAAAGAGCTATTAGCGGCGAACGTAGATAACTAGGGGGAAGCGGAGATCACTAAGCTTAGCTAGCTACGTATACCGGAGGGTAAGAAGTCCGGCTTGTTAATTATCGAGTTTACCTTACTAGTGCCGGCGAATAAGGCAATCGACAAGGGGGTCCTATAGAAATATAATAGCCTAATAGCCGTTCTTTACGACAGAGCGGCTTACGTACGCTAGTATTTTAACTGCTAATATTTTAGATATATAGGAACTACCTATGCTAATCCCGTTAAGTACGTATACTACGCGGAGGGCTATTAGTCTCGGGATTACCCTTCGAAGGATATACGTAAGGAAAATAAGTGTACTAACTACGAGGGTATATACGCTGCGTAGAGTTCGGAATGCGAGATTCGGAGGTAGGAGGTCGAGAAGATTACGGCTATAGCGAGGTAACGTAGCTACTACTATCTAGTCCTAGCGCCGTATAGTATTAACTAGCCGTCGCCGACGATTTCGTAGCCCTCCGTAGTTAGCTCGTAGGGAATACTAACGGAACCATCGACCGAAGAGCCTACTAACGTCGAGAGTAGCAGCTCGGCGCCGGGTATACGCCCTAGTAACAGGGGGTAGTAGGGTACCGGCCCTATAAGAAGAACGGTTAATAAGAAGATAATAGCTAGTCGAACGTCTACTAGTATACAGTCGAGCTAGTAGGCTGCTAAAGATACTACCTAATCGGCGACAGCAGCGTTATCGGGCGGACTAGTAGTAATAGCGCTAGAGGAAGAAAAGGGGGGAAGGAGGCTAAGATAGACGGAGAAGGTATCGGACGAGATAGAAACCGCCATCGACGAAGCCGAGGTAGAAGCGCCGATATCTACGCTAGTAATAGATCTCACTAGCGTACCCGTAATAAGTATAGCTATCGCTACCCTAGAGGTAGCGGGGCCTATAAAGGGTTACGATAACCGACTATCTTTTAATATACTACTACTATAGCGGGTCGAGCGACTAGTCCTACCTAACGAGGAACCGGGCTACCGATTCGGTAGGCCTATAATAAAAATAATAAAGAGAACTATTACTAATTAGCCGGATACTAGTTAGAGTGAACTAAATAGTAACTAGCTAGACTAAATAAGGGTAGAGGAAACTACTAGCGGTAAAGGCTAGATAGTAGCAGCGGATACTACTATCTAAGGCACTAAAGCTATTACTAGCGTAGAAGCTATTACTAATACCGAAGCTACCGCTGGGAGGATTCTATAACCGGTTAAAAGCTCTAGTAGTACCTAATCGAAAGCCGAAAAGGCTAAGGCGAGAACGGCTAAGGCGAAGGAAGCGAAAGCGAGGAAGACTAAGGAGGCCTAGCTAAGTATAGCTAGGAAGTTAGTAAGAAGGACAGCAGGAGACGTAGCAGCGAGAGTAGAGGAGGCGAATAAAGCAAGGACTAAGTCCGATATAAGCTCTATCGCTAGAACGGAATCAGATCTAAGCTCTATAGATAAAATTAATATAAAGAGACTCGAATAACAGCTTTTAAAGGATAAAGAACTTACTATATTATCCTCCCTACCTAACTAACGAAGCGACGAAGACTTCTAACCGTCGTCCCCGCCGGGCGCAGGGCTAATAAGGAAACGAAAACAGCCCTAAAGCGACGACCTATACCTAACTATCCGAAAGAGTAGGAAACGAATAGGGTAGCGTATAAAACCCTCCTAGATAGAAAGTCGATAAATCGATACGCCTACTAATCGATATAACAAGAAAACGCTAATAGACTAGGCCGAGGAGATAACGTAGGGGGACGGGAGCTTAAAGTCTATTAGTATAATACGAATAGGTTAAAGGATATAGTAATAGCGCAGTTCCTACGGGACCCGGAGGTTATCAGCGCCGACATCATCGCTATTTAGGAGCTATAGGAGAATATATTCAAAGACGACACCTACTATCTACTAAAGCTTACGTATAAGCTACTATACCCTATATCGTCGGAAACCGGCGGACGGGTACGTATATACGTATTCGTAGCGAAGAAGATAGCGGGATAGACGTACATAGTATATTTAAGAGACTATTAGGAAGTAAGGATTAAGACAGTGATAACGGACCTTAGGCTATTTAATATATATAACGAGTAGTAATAGTAGGATACACTCGACTAGCTAGAAGAACTACTACCGTCGATACAGGAACGGAAACAGAAGGGGATCTTATACCTAGTAATAGGAGACTTTAATCTATATTACCCGGCCTAGGGAGGTATTAATACCGTTCACGATACTAAATCGGAAGACCTTCTAGATCTAATAGATATAGTAGGGCTCGACCTCTAGCTACGGCCTAGTATAATTACCTAAGATCAAGCGGGTAGCTAGACAGCGATTAACCTAGTCCTCGCATCTTACGACCTACGAGAGCGTATAATTTAGTACGAGATTAATATAGCGGTCTACGCCGACTCCGACTACCTTCTAATCCTTAACGTACTCGAAATAGAGGTCCCGGAGGTATATCCTATAAGAAGGCGCTAGTAGAAGGCTATAGATAAGGATAAGTTCATTAGCTTCGTGTTATAGAACCTCTAGAATAAGCGCTAGATAAGAGCTAGCGAGCTTCCCGACGACCGAATTACTCTATAGTATATCGACGACGTAACTATATACCTCCTCGATATTGTCTAACGTAGTATTTAAGAATTAACACCGTAGGTACGGCCCTCGGAGCGAGCCCGCTAAGGCTAGATCCCCGAGTATAAGGATACGATTAAGACAGTATAGCGTAAGCGTAGGAGATAGAAACGAACGGGAGAGGAGGACGACTAGTAAATATATATATTAGCGAGGAATATAAAATAGAAGACGATTAAAAAGGCTCTCCGTAAGGGCTTCCGTAAATAGGTAAAGTAAACAGTCGACGATAGATAGCGCAGAGGAGGAATCTAGAAGGTATCGAAATAGGCGTATATATATAACTAGTCTATTAGCAGCAGTATCCTAGCGCTAAAAACACTAATAGGCCTAGCGGAAACAGTAGAGGAGAAGATCTACTTACTTAGATAGGTCTTCTTCCCGGAGCCTCTACAGGCCGACCTTACAGACATCGACTAAGCGCGACCGTCAGAGCCTATATAGTACTAGTTTCTACCGGTTAGTAGATAAGAAGTCTTTAACGCTATTAAGCGAGTACCGCTAGACAAAGCGCTAGGCGAGGATATAATACCGAACCGTATATAGAAGACTTTAGCGGCTAACTACGATAAATTCGTCATAACGCTAACCTCGATCTTCGATACGTATATACGAACGGGCTACAATCCTCGTCACTTCTAGGCGTTAATTACGGTTACACTCCGTAAAAACGGCCTACGGGACTTCCGCTAACTAAAGTCCTACCGGCTAGTAGCCTTACTAGATACTCTCGGTAAGATCCTCGAATCGATCATCGCTATACATATCGTATTCGCCGTAGAGGAGCACTAAATACTACCGAAGATATATATAGATAGAAGGAAGGAGATCAGCGTAGAACACGCTATCTAACTAATTCTCGATAGGATTCACCGGGCGTAGGGAAAAGGGAAGAAGATCAGCATAATCCTACTTAACGTAACCGGTACGTACGATAATATATCCTATCAGCGCCTACTCGATAACCTACGAAGGCTAGGCCTCGGCTACTTTATACTATAGGTAGCATCATTTCTTAAGGGGAGATCGATACGTATTAAACTATTAGGCTTCTTATCCGATAGATTTCCTATACCGACGGGGATTCCCTAGGGATTACTACTATCCCCTATCCTCTTTCTGCTATTTAACATACCGCTAGTCTTAGTATATAATATATTTATATGCAGTAGGATAGGCAGAGCGTACGGTTATAGATAGGTCGACGATATAGTAACAGTAGTAGAATCAAAATTATATTACGATAATATCTAACTAATAAATAAGGTCCTCGATAAGGCAGACTAATAGGCCAAACGATACGTAGCAAAATTTATACTAGATAAGTTCGAACTAATCTACTTCGTAAACCCGAACCTAAATAAACCGATATCCGATAATAAAGGCGACGGCGACCGCGACCGTATTATACACCCGGACGACCCCGACTTCGATATATACGACCCTATATACGTCTTCCCCGAAGGCTACGACCGGATACCGATATAAAAGGGAGACCTTACGATCCGACCGGTAGACTCGGCGAAATACCTCGGAGTCTAGCTCGATAAATAGCTTAAATTCGATATACACCGGTAAAAGCTTCTCGCTAAAGCGAATAGTAATCTAGAAGCGCTCCGCGTAATAATAGGATCTACCTAGGGAACCTTACTACTAGCGATATAGAGGGTCTACTAAGCGGTCGTCGTTCCGTAGATACTATACGGACTCTCTGTATAGTACTATCCCCTCGCGAAGGCTATTCCCGTATAGGAAATGAAAAGGACAGTTAGTCAGTTCACCGTAGTCTAGCGACGTACGGCGATTCTAATCAGCGGGGCTTTTAAATCGATAAGCGCCGCCGTACTTAATACGGAGCTCTATCTATTACCGGTTAAGCTCTAAATAGAATAAATAATTTAGGAATCGGTAATAAGGATCTAAATAGGCCTAAGATAGGTATAGCCTAAGTACCTAGGCTAATATAGGTAACGTTAGCCGTAGGAATAGAAGAGAGGAGGATAGAGCCCTCTAGAAGCCCTTAGATAGAAGGAAGGGGGTATCTTAAACTAGCAAGGCGAGTAGAAGACCAAAAAAGCGTTCGTTCTACCGCTATAGGAGGTACAGATCCTATATATTATTAAAGAAGCAGAGGCTACGTAAGCCTTATACGACTATATCGAAATAGAGTCTTTATTCTAGTAGATCTAGTAGGACTATACCTAGCTAGTCCGATCTATCCTAGTCTTTACCGACGGTAGTAGGTATAAAGGCATAGTCGGCGCTACCGCCGTCGCCCCGTACGAGGATATCTTCGAACGGCGATACCTTAGTACTACCGACTAATTAACAGTGTACGTTACCGAGCTTAATAGTATTAAGATAGCGCTTACTAAATTTATTAAGAGGGTTTAATAGGGCCTAGTAGGCTCTAAGATAATTATTTTCTCCGATTACTAGGGCGCTATCTAGGCGGTATAGAATCCGAAGCGACCATCGGGCTAGTACGTCCTAAGTAGCATTTATAGCTACGTACGAACCCTCCGATCGCTATACCTACAGTATACGCCTACGTCCGACACGATTCCCGTCGAGATCCGCTAGATCCCCGTATACATAGGCGTTCCTAGTAATAAAATAGCGGACGTAGAAGCAAAGCTAGCGGTAATAGGAGATAAGGAGGATAGGACAGATCAACGTCTAGCCGGTAGCTCGGCGCCTACCCGCCTCTTACTTACTATATCGGCTAGACGTTATATATAGCGATAAATTAAAGAAAGGTAGATATAAGAGTAGGCAAATAAGATAACTAGTAGGCTAAACTAACGACTAGTAAAAGCGCTAGATAAGAAAGTGCTATAGCTATTCGAGTCCCTCTCGAAGCCGTATACGTTAATCCTAGTTTAAATACATTCTATACGGATTATATTAAACCACTTCTTATTTAAAATTAAAGCGGTCGAATTAGATAAGTACTACAGTAGTAAAGGGTCTCAGACGCCGAGACATATCCTACTACAGTGCCCGTTATACGCTAATCTAAGGAAGACTATATTAGATAATATCCGGGTACGGATAGATATTAATATAACCGACTACGACGCGATTATATCGGAATCGTAGGCTACCCGCTACGTAGCTAAATTTATACTATAAATAGGCCTTCTAGGGCAGTTCCGGTACGTAGAGCCGGAGCCCTTAGAGAGCGAAGACAACGAAACGCTAGGATAACCCGGCATAGACACAGGTAGCGAAGACGATAGGTATAAGGAACGATAAAGCTACGGCTCACCGAGAGGTCGTAGGAGAATACATCGCCGCGTCGATAACTAGTAGAAAGACACGAGGGACCGACACCGAACCACGATCAACAGAGAACGAAGCAGGAGGATGAGATAGCCAGTGACAAGCGGGGGATGGAGATACAGGGAAGGCAGGCGGCCAAGCTAAGGGAGATCTGAGGGCAGTGAGACACACGTAGGCGTTTGGTTACTGTTATTATATAGGTTTTGGGGGATTTATTATGGCAAAACGCCGTTTTCCTATGTATCTATTGTTTCATGCGCAGGGCTGGCGTTCGGAATGCTCTTGCTTCCGCCGGAGGAAGCGCCTGCATAGCCATACGACACTAGTTAGGCTGCATCAGGTTAATAGAGTATCATCATCATCATCATCATCAGGAGCTAGGAGGGTAGTCGCTGCTTTAGCGCCCACGTTTGCTATCATTTTCTTTCTAGTACGCTCCTCAGATCAACTTCAAGTCCAAGCATGAGAACGTGACACAGCGGACGCCTTCCCAAGTGACTGTAGCCAGAGGCCCGGCGCACTGTACATTCACTACAAGAACATTTACGGCCGCGCCAGCATCGTTCTTTCCTGAGCATTTAGGACTGTAACCGATAGGAAGTGCCCCAACTTCGATGAAAGATAATCCTTCCTGGGATTTGAAAGGTCCAGACACCCTTTGCCGCCCTGTGGATCGCGGCAGAACCCTTGCACAAGCCTGCTTATGCTTATCTTCGCTTCGATATGTGGCGGTATCCTAAGGCAATCGCCGGCTACACGGGGAGCTTTGGATTGAAAACATAAGCCTGTTCTGTATTTCCTTTGATAAATTTACTCCCACGGCACTATTGGATTTCTTAAATCTCCGAGTGATATTGATTGACATTGTTGTCAGGTAAGCCCGAAACATTTATGCCTTTTCCTTCCACTGCCTCATATTCATGAAGGTTTCTGCGCAAGAAGCGTTATTGGACGCCAATGGTATGCACCTCCCTGTCTTACTGATGCTAACAATTGCAGAAAGATGTCCCCGCACCTGCCGTCATTTGGAGTCTGTGATTCCTGGACGGTCTCCGTAGTGCGAAAGATCTCGGCGTACCCTGCTAAATACGTAGTGGTGCAGAGGGGGACAAGACTAGGAGGGATCTCTCCGGTTTCACAGCTCAAAACATCCAAGCCTTGTTGTCTGACGTATTCCTGTATTTTGCCAAGCCATCTGGCCAAATTCTGTCAGTACTATTTTTTAAAAGCTTGACCATAACAAAGAGCATCGGCTTACTCGAAGTAGAGTTCTTCGGCCGAAAAAGTTGATCTCACCACTTTCGCAAACTCTTCCGCTATTTCTCCGCGGACAACAGTTTTTCCGGTGTTGGCGTCCTCCCATTGAAGGTAACCGCCAGGTTCTATACACTCCAGTCTGTTTAGCGACACTCACTTGAAATGCTTGAGCATCAACTTACTCAGGAGACCTGCTGCATGCCGTATGAGTCGAGTTGGGTCATTGTTTCTGACGATACAACACCAGAATCGTAGGTGAACCACGTCATACTTGTTAGCGAGATGGTCAGGGACATCTCCAAAGGCATCAAGCTTGTCAAAGGTTACATTCGCCGGCCAAATATATCGGGCAGGAAATTGCTCCTCGGACAAGTCAAAGCCATCTAGTTGGACACTTTCGGGAAGTTGAGATGCTAAATCTAGAAGCCACATTCTGACAAAGCCACGCGAAATTCGTTATTTCAGAAGTAGCGTATGCAAGATTGAGATACTCACCCCGTGCCTGTGCCAATCTCCGCAACCTTCATCTCTGGAGATTTAGATATCGCAGGATCTAATATATAGCCGTTGTATACTCTCCAGAGAAGGTGTTGTGCGTCCAGCCTGGCAATCAAACCAGTTAACTTCCAGATCTTCAATCGAATCTCTGGTCGCCACACGAACCTAACTGACCCATGTAGGTCTCGTCTGAGTAAATAATCATCGACCATTGTGAAAGGATACCGAATTGAATGTAGATATCAACGAAAAGCTTTGGCTCAACGCAGTGGTTGCTTCTTAGTTTACAAAAGGCAAGCCCGCCCTCTTGATTTATATTCTCAAGAATGTCTTGGGACTCGGCAATAGCTTACAGGGTGATCATTGCCCTGGATATCACGAGCATCTGCTGGAGTCCAAACTTGGAAATCCTTGAGAGCATAGTAATTCTATCTTTGTTGGCTTGCAGAATGATCATCAACTGGTGCCACAATATCTACGCCCCTCGGGGTAACACGAGAAGCAGCTGTGGCCGATAAGAGATCCGCTACAAGCGCTGTTAGATATGCATTCCCATTCATCTTTCTAGGTGGTTTGGAATATATATCCGAGATCGACAGTCTTACAGCCTTGGTGAAATGTCCACGTCGCCGAACTAATCGGTTCTGGTTACACGAAGCAAAAGTACAGTCTGCGAAAGCACCTCATTATTGGGAATCTTAAAGTGGTGCAAGATGACATTTCCCGATATGCATAAATTGTACTGTCTATTTTAACTGTCTATTTTGACAGTATGTTGAAAAGTGCAAGTAAACCCCTAAGAAATAGCACAAAGAGGAGTGCTTTACTTTTAGAGCTGGACATGCTCTGGCAAGTAGAAGTTTCAACCCACAGGGAAGAGCCGTCTTACGACTCGCATGAGATATGTGTGTCCGTTTGCACCAATCAAGCAGCTGTAACATACTTGCAAATTCACTCAATCTGTAGACCACGACTGAACCCAGTCGTTACTTCATTAGGAAGCCAGCCGACGTAACTCCTGTAGGTATCCAAAAGGAGGGAGATCGAATGGTCAGCCTGTAGGCGTCCATAACTAGAAGTATAAAACTTCACTGATGCATCACAATGCCTGTCGAGTGTCATACTCATTTACTTGAGTGTGTGGGCGTTCAACCAGAGATTGGTTGAGGACATACCCATGACCCCTGTCAGCTGTAGTAGTACACACGTCGGCTTGAAGAGTAGCCTGGATCCATCGGAAAATCTTTCCAGGCTGCCTCATCGACCTATTATAAAGCAGGTCACTTTCACCATCTTATGCGGTAATCGCATTTGGGCCGCTTTTCTGGAGTATATAGCTCAGGAGGTGAGGAGGTGCGGCCCTCACCTCCTCACCTCCTGAGGTCAGATTGGTAACCGCTGGTAAATACTAGTATTCTATATTAATATGAGGTAAAATCCCTAGGGCTTAACTAGTTATATGCTGATAACAAGCTCAGGAGGTAAACTTCTAACGCTAAGGCCCTTATCTCCTGAGCTCTTCGAGGGAATAACTAGTAACTACTAGTAATTCCCTTTAATTACGTTTATTCTCTGTAGGGCTGCTACCTCCTAAGCTAGAGGGTGATTATAAGAAGTTACTAAAATATTATAGTAAGGTTTAGTAAGAGTATAGTAGATAGTAATAGCTAGAATAAAGTAGTAATACTATCCTTAAGTATAGAGATAACTAGTTCTAAATATTATTATTAATAATTATACCTTCCTAGGAGTGACTAGTAGTTTATAGTCTATATAGAATATCTAGAAAATATATTACTTACTAGGAAAGACTAGTATTTTATAGTCTTTATAGAATATCTAGAAAATCCCCTACGTACTAGGAAGAACTAGTATTTTATAGTCTATATAAAATATCTAGAAAATATATTACTTACTAGGAAAAACTAATAAATTATCTTTAAAGTAAGAGATATTAAAATTTTTATAGAAACTTCTACTATTACTACCTACTTTTATATTAACGCTTTCTCTTTATCTTTCCTCTATCTTTTACTATTATCTACCTTCTCTTTTCTTTTAGTAAGTTTTAATCTCTAGCTTACTTCTAGTATCCTCTAGCGACCCTAAAAGGCCTTTAGATACGTCTAGATTACTCTCTAAGTCGACTAGTATATCTAAAAGATTAGAAAAGGTATATCGCGATAAGGATACTAGATAAGCCTTCTTACCGTATATTAGGCTTAGCCGTCCTTCCCTAGATACCCTATACTATCGAGACGTCGTTCCCTATCGTCGACTATACTAGAGAGTATCTAGTTAATACTAGGAAAGGTTAACTATATTATTTTACCTCTTCTAACTATCTTATAGGAAATTCTAGTATATACTAGAATTTACTACTCCCTCTTCTTTTTTCCCTAGCGAGCGAACTATCCTGCTTAGATTTACTCCTTCTAACTATTTTATAGGAAATTCTAGTATATACTAGAATTTACTACTCCCTCTTCCTCTTCTCCTAGCGAGTGAACTAGCTTTCTTAGAGATAGAGATAGAAATATAGACTAATAGTTTTTCCTAGTTTCTACTATAAATTTCTATATATTTTTAAATCTCTTTCTCCTATCTACTTTTTACTAGTTTTTACTAGTACCTTCTAATACCTCCTAGCCGTAAGAAGAAAGCTACGCCGGTCTCGTCGGCTCCTCCTACTTCCCGGACCTATAGAAGAGCTTCTAGTAAGGTATAGAAAACCCTAGAACCTACTAGTCGCTTCTAGAAGATTGCTAGACTTCTAACTCTCCCGGTACCTTCTAGTAATTCCTAGGTTACCTATATCGCTAAAGACCGGAGTGATTTCCCCGACGAGATCTAGGCCTTTAAGTACGAGAAATTATAAGTATTCCTAGACTTTTCTAGATAATATTAATAATAACTAGTAATTTCTAGTATCTACGAGGAAAATATAAGCGTATATATCTGCCCTGTTTATTAAAAAGACTACCGGTATAATATATTTAATATAACCGGCCCTATTATAAGTTTCTATATTATTATAGTTATAACTAGTATTTACTAATAATATTTAGGTAATCCCGAACTACGCTACTCGCTACCCTTTCTATAGCTATATACTGTAAGTTACTAAAACTTTCTACTAATTACTAAAGGCTAATAATTAATTATAGTAAGCGAGGTAGTAAAGATAGAGGCGTTTCTAGATCGACTATCTAGAAGTATATTAAGTCGAAGTATACTATAAGTATATAGAAAATACTAGTATTTACTAGTTACTAATATTTTTATCTAGGGTACTCTAAGCTTCTGTAGCCTCTATATAGTTACCGCGACTATCTCTAAGCTTTAGTTATAAATATTATTTTATACTATTCTTTAATAATTTTTACTAATTACTAGTAGTAACTACGTTAAGGGAGTTTACGTCTTTAGCGATAATAGGTAAGTATTATTTATTACTAATTATTATTAGTTCTAACTATTATTTACTAGTGATTCCGACGACGAGCCCGCCCCGGAGCTTATATAGGAGTCTATATAGGAGCCCGAGTAGGAGCCTAAGTAGGGGTAGGAGTAAGAGATAGAGGAAGTAGAGTAAAGATTCCTAGGTACTCCTATTAATTACTAGTAGCTACTAGGTTTTTCCTATAGCTTACTACTAATTACTCCTACTTTTATATAAATTTCTAATAGATACTTTCGAATATTACCATAATTAATTATACTAAGTATAAAAACTAGCTTTAGAAATATTATAATATTAATAGCTATATATATAAGGATAAAATAATACTAGTTTTTAATAGCTATAATATATTCCTATATTATTTTATATATATCTAGGGTTCTAAGGGTAATTTCTAAAAAATATCTAAAGAAGTTAGTATCTTAGTAGTAATAATTAGCTTTTCCTACTATTTACTAGTATCCTACTAGTCTAGATATCTTAGCCGACTTACTAAAGAACTCTACTATCTACTAGTAATTACTACCTAGATATCTTTATATTATACTACCTTATTTTACTATATCTACCCTCCCTTTCTACTATCTTCTCTTACTCTCTTATATACTTATTCTCTTATATACTCTCTCTCTTATACTATCTCTCTTCTACTATCTCTCTTCTACTATCTCTATCTCTTTTTACCTAAAGTACTCTATAATCTACTAGTATCTTATTAGCCTTCTTATAATCGACTATACCTAAACTACTAGTAGCTAGGATCTAAGATATAGGGCCTACAAGGGCCTACCTATAAGATATATTTGATGTGGTCAAAACGGCTAGATATCTCGGCCAGATATCTCGGCCAGAAATCTTATCATGTGTTACGATCATGGAAAGAGCCAACTGGAAAGTAACCAGGTGCATTCACGAAACAACGAAGGTGAAGAAGGAAGAAACTACGGAGGCTCTGGCAACTATCTTGTAGAGAGCTTATATAAACAGGCCCTATTAGGTTAGCTCGGTCGGGTGTTTCCATCACTCCGCGTCCATCAGGTGATCTCCGTCCATCGTTCTATCATGCGTCACATAGCCCTCCTTTTTAAAGAGGCTCGCCCCGAGACTCTAGGATATTATCGTCGATATAGTCACTAACGAATTCGTCGACTTCTACTGTAGCTAGCCAGATCTGTAGGTTCTTTAGGGGTCCGGGGGAGTTAGGGTATCGTCGGTAGAAATCTATTAGTTTCAGCGGCGCATTTTTGAAGTCGGCTGCGTAATACTAAGCGTCGTCCTTATCGTGGCCTAGCTACTTAACCTTATACTGTAGCTTTCGGTAGTGTAGGCGTAACCGTAGGACCTCTTCGACTTCCTATTCTTACTAATTATTGACTAGGACTAGCGGTAGAGGATCTTCGATCTAATCTAGCAAGGGATCGGTCTTCGATGTACGGCGTAGCTTATTTAGCGAGAAGACTAGGTGTATCTTAATAGATAGGGGTAGCTCGAGCCTAAATGTATAGCCTTCTTTAGCGATAATCTTATACGGCCCGCTAGCTTAGTCCGATAGCTTCCGGCTTAGGC